GTTCTGGTAACAAGTAACCGAAATATAGAAAACTATGTAATTTTTTTTTGAGGGGAGAGATAGGGGTAACATATGTGTTCAATTTAATTAGACAGATGAATGGATAATTAACCTTATCCTTAGCATCCATGGCATTCATCAATCAATTTTACACACACACAGGCAAACCCATCAAGTTTGACTGAGACTTTGCTACCAATAAAACCAAAATTTTAATTTCAATTGTTTATAAGCTGGGTCGGCATTGTGTGTGTGTGTGTGTGTGTGTGGCATCTAATATTTCACTGAAAAAAATTTCTATTTTCTGTGTGTCTGTGTGATTTTATTTTTATTTTTTTTTTTTTTTCATATATTTAATGCGATTATCATATGATGATGATGATGATGATTATGACATCGGAATTTATATCCAACAACTCTGATCATGTGTGTGTATATATATGTGTGTGGGTGTGTATTTGCCATCAAATTTTTTGGTGATATAAAATCATCATCATCGTCATCATCATTTTGTTTGTCATCACATTAGCATCCAACCATTCAATAATGGAGAGCAACAGAGAAAAGCAAAAATAAAAAAAAACTACAAGCATTTTATTCACCACATACACAATTGTGGTGAATTCATTTATTTTATTTTTTTAGTTTCTTGATCTGATGGATTTAGGTCAAACTTTAAATCTTTTTTGTGTGTGTGTTTGGTTGGTTGGTTGATTTTTTTTTTTGCTGGTTTTGTATACAATTTCTTTCGATTTATTTAGAGACAGAAAATAAAATTCATCACTGTCTCTGTGTGTTTGTTTGTTTGTTTGTGAATATATATCATTCTGTGACAAAAAAAAAATTTTTAAAAAACACGAGACAACGCCTTGAATATGTTGTGGGAAGTAGTTGAACAGTTGCTATTGATGATGATGATGATTAAAGATTTATAGCTACTTAATGATCGATAAATCTCGTTTTTTGTTTTGTTTTTATTTTTTTTTTTTTTTATTTCGTACAATGAAAAATCCATTAATTTGTCCGGAAATGTATTTTGTTATCATCATCATGCATCAAGAAAAAAAAATAGAATGTAAATAATACGATTATATTTGTTTCATAATAAAATAATTGTGTGTGTTGATAATTGATGATAACATTTGTGTTGTCCATACACAATACACAGACATGGTAAACATGGAACATAATGTAATCTATATAAAAATATAAACATCGATGATGATGATGATGATGATACCGTGGGAAAAAATGAATAATTTTTTTTTGTTTATATTCCGGGTCACACACACACACAAAGGCAACATTCTTGAATATCCGGATTTTTGTTTTTTGATTACATTTGTATTTGTCAATTTTCAACAATAATTTAATTTATCAATTCAGTCGTTTTTTCTACATTTTCTTGTTGCCTTGAATTATCGGATTTGTAATGTGCATCTGTGTGTGTGATTAAATCTCATTTAAATTGACAATTGATGATGATGTTGTTGATGGTCATATCAATTTTGATCAATCAAACAAGGATAGATTGATAATTGATTTTTTTTCATATATATAAATTCGACGCCTGTGTTTGTTGTTTGGAAAGACCGAGGATTTTTTTTTTTTTTTACGATGATTTGATTGTCATCATCATCATCATAATTGTGTCTGTGTGTGTGTGAGTGTTGAGTAAATGAGAAAAATTCCCCTTTTTTTGTTTTGTTTTTGTTGTTGCAAAAACCCAAAGAAGTTTGCAAGATTTGATTGGATTTTTTTTTCTTCTGTCTGTATTCGTTTGTTGTTCATGAGTTTATCTTTTACATTTTTTTTTTGGGCCCAATAGATTTTCATCATTATTTTTCTTGTCTGCATCATTGTCTGTGTTTTAATTTTGGCCACAAGGTACAAATTTTGTTTTTTTTTTTCGTTTTCTTCTTGTTCCCAAAGTTGAACAAATTTATTTTGTCCACTCCTCATGATTGTGGTCTGATGATCATTTTTTTTGTGTGTGTGTTTGTGTGTTTCTCCACTGCTACTGCTGATAATAATGATGATAACAATTATTTGGGAGTTTCAATATACGTGTGTCCTTGTGGTCATTTTGTTGTTATGTTGATTAGTATATAGTGGATGGATGGACTAACATACAAAATTAATGATTTTTGATGATTAGATTTTTCGATATATTGGATGTTTTGTTTTGTTTTGTATTTTTTTCTTTTCTTTCGAATTGGATAGTCGATCTGTTTTGTTTTGTTTTTTTTTTCGTATCTGAAAAGAAAATCTCATTCAAATCTGAATACATTTTAATTTAATTAACACTTTGTTTGTTTTTTGATTTATTTCTGTGTGTCTGTGTGATGATTGCATTCACATATCTCTTTTATTGATGATCAAAATGGAATGGAAAAAAAACAATCATCTTTCAAACAGAAAAAAAAACAATTGAATAGCCTCCGTTATAATTGATCGATTGATTGGGAAAAAATAATAATATGAAGAAGAAAATTGATCTGGATATACATTGATGATTGTTTGGCTATGAAAATGATGATGATAATGATGACACATTGAAAAACCATGTCGATCCTATTTTTTTTTGTTTTTTTTTGTTGGCTTGCTTATCATCATCATCAATTTTTTTCTGTTTGAAAGTTGTAATCAATTATTACCTACACACCGAGAGATATAGTTGATTGAACATTTATTTAAAACACTGACCACCGCCTTTTTATAGCCATAACATTTTTAAACCATATGTATGATATATATAGTGAATAGATAGATGTTATCTATCTGTGTATGTATCGAACATTTGGTTCATGGTCTCATGTAGCGTTTTGAAAAATTTTAAATTTTTTTTTTTGTTTTGTTTTTGTTCTGACGAATTTCATAGTTAATTTTGGAACATCATTACATGATGATGTTTACAATTTGTCTGGATGGCTTGTTGGCTGGTTTTTATTTTTTCGAATTTTTGAATTGAATAGACAAACAAACTAATGACCTCGACAAAAAAAATTTTTTTTTCTCTTTCAATTTGAAATCCTTATAATTATTATTATCAGTGATGATGATGACGACAAAAATCCTGATTTATTATTCGATAAATCAGAAGAAAAATTCTGTTTAAATCCTTTTGTCAATGAATAATCATCATTTTCACCATCAAATGAAAATGAAAACAAACAAAATATATCCATCCATATCTTTTAATCCACTACGTTGGAAAAAAATAACACCATTTCGATCTAATCCTATTCATCATCATCATCATCATCATCATTCTTTGTTTTTGTTTTTGTTTTGTTTGAATTTCTAAAATAAAACAAAACGAAACAAAAAATGAATCGATTCGATTGTCTTTTGTTTTTTTTTCAACTCTCCTACTTTTAAATTATTGGATAATTTTTGTTTTTGTATTCAAAATTCCAAAAATAACATCACCAGTTATCATCATAAGTTTGATGAATAGCTATGTTGACCGATGTGTGTTGACCAATCATATATATGCTGATTAAGAAAGAAAGGGAGAGAGAGAATATTGTATGTCAACTTTAACTTTTTTCGTGTGTGTCCAGTAAATTTTGATTATCTTTTGCAGGTGATGATGATGATCTGGAATATTGTGTTTTTTTTTGTTTGTTTGTTTGAAAAAATAGAAATTGAAAATGAATTTTATTGTTTGTTTTTTTTCACTCAGCTGTGTTGTGTTGTGTTGTTTGGTTTTGTTTTCAATCAAAAAAAAAAAAAAAAAAAAAAATCAATATCGTTCACATATATATAGTCATCATAGGTGTTAATATGGATTGGTGTTTTTTGCCGCCACTATTAAAGGGATTAACCTGACTTGACCACACACACATACATAGATAATCCTTCCCATTAATGATGATGATGATCTGAATAATTTTACTTTTGACTTTTTGCGTATATATCCACCAATATATGACTGAAAGTGTTTGACCAATCTATCCATCTTTATATCTATCTGGGATTGGTTCAAAAAATAAAATCACTCATTTATTCGATGATGATGATGATGATGATGACTATTCATCATCATTGATTTAAATTTATTCATTTTTTTTGCTGTGTAAATCACTTGACTAATATTTTTTGTTTTCTCTGAGGTATATTTTGGTTGGTTCTACAATGAAAAATTGATAAATTTGACCCAGAAATATTGGTAAAAAAATTTTTATCTGATTTTTTTTAAAAAAAAACCCAAGAGAATAATGAATAATTTTACATGATCATTATATTATCATCGTATGATGATGATCTTAATGTTTGATGTGTGTGTGATCATTATTTTGTGTAATATAATCGTGTATATGAACCCTTTTTTTATTCGTATTTTGTTTATTATCGATTATTGATCAAATACACATGATTCATGTGTTGTGTGGCCAAGATTTTCATCAATTTTTTTTTCTTTTTTTTCGCCACTTTATCACCCTGTTTAGAGTTTCTCGGTAATACGTTGTTGTTACGTTGGCGTTTTTAGTGATGAGGACAAAAAATTGAAATTTTTTTTTTTACTTTCGAGTTCCAAAACCAACCTACACACATCAATTGAGTGAATGTATAATTTAGTCATCATCATCATCATCGATGACATTGATGATCCATTGGATTCAATACAATTTATCATCAGACTTTGTGTGTATGTGTGTGTGTGTGTCAGCCGTTTATCATTATTATTGAAAAAAAATGAATAATGTTTGAACACACAACACATCCAAATGATTGAAAGTAATTTTTTTTTCTCAGCATAATGACTCAATACTTATCCAGTAGTAGTAGTAGTAGTGTTGTTCCAAAAGTGAGTCATCGATTTTGAAGGATGTTATGTTTGAATGGCCTAAATGGATTATGTTGATGATGATGACGATGATTTGTGATTAAATCTTAATTTTGTTTTTTAAATTGAATAAAATTTAATGAATTTTCTTTCTTTTTTTTTGTTCCTCTCTTATTATTGAATATATCACCGACCACCACAACCATAGGGGTAAATTTGCTTGTGTACGTCGTGTTAAACATCGACAAACTGGCCGACAATATGCAGCAAAAATAATGAAAAGACGACGATTAAGACATGGTGATGTTACCGATGAAATTTTACATGAAATTCGTGTACTTTTATCTGCAGCTGATTCTGATCGTATTGTACGGCTATATGAAGTATTTGAAACCCGGTTAGATTTTACTTTGATACTTGAATTGTAAGTTTTAAATTGAAAAAAACAAAACAAACCAAAAATTAAAAATTTTGTTTTTTTTTTTCATTCCAACAACAACAACAAAAAAAACAGAGCCGAAGGTGGTGAATTACAAAAAGTATTGGATGATGAAGAATCAATCGATGAAAGACAATGTCGTCGTCTTATACGGCAAATAATCGAAGGCATAAGATATTTACATCAGAAACATATTGCCCATCTAGATATCAAGGTAAGCACAGTGTGTCTAGATTTTTTTTAGATAATTTTTTTTCGTCATTTGGCTTCTAAAATCAACGACGACGACAACGATGATGATGATAATTTTTTGACCGTTAAAATATTCATCAGAAAAAAAGATTTCGATTTCGATTTCAATTTTTTTTTTTGGCACAATTGCTCCCAATTTATTTAGGGCTATTTATAGCTAAGATAAATTGCTTGAATATGTTTATGTCACACACATAAGCATAGACATAATCGTTTTGAACATCGTCATCGTCATCAATTTTTGAAAATTAATGTTTGACATTTTGAAAAAAAAAAATTTCGTTGTTGTTGTTTTTTTTCCTCTTCGATCTTTGAAATCTGTTAAGAAATAGTTTTGCTCTCGTTTCTCGTTTCGTTTTGACTTTGAACTTTTTTTTCTAATTTTAATTTCTATATATATACAATATATTTGTTTTGAAATGTTTGATATTTGAATTTTTTTTCCTTCTTTTCTTTTTTTTCCATTATTATTATCATAGCCACAAAATATACTGCTCACTGACGCCCTACCTAATGGCGATGTAAAATTATGTGATTTTGGTATATCTCGTATGATTGAAGATCATTGTGAAGTTCGTGAAATAATGGGTACCGTTGATTATATGCGTAAGTTTTTTTTGAATCCCATGTCTATTTTTATTTTGTTGTTTTATTCATGTTTTTTTTGTTGTTTGTATTTTGAATTTAGCTCCTGAAATTCTTCAATATGAACCAATATCATTAGCATCTGATTTGTGGTATGTTTGATATATACAATTTGATTGTGATTTAAATTTAAATTTTTCTTTTTTCATCATTTTTCAGGAGTCTTGGTATCGTAACCTATGTATTATTGAGTGGTCATAGTCCATTCGGTGGTGATGATAAACAGCAGACATATTCAAATATAACAAGTAGTGATCTCGAATTTCCTGATAAATTATTCAGCCATATAACAGATGATGCCAAAAATTTTATTAGAAAATTATTGAATCGAGATCCAAAGTATGTTTTGCTTTTATTTTATTTTCTAAATCAAATTTATTTAATTTTTTTCCTTTTGCTTTATTCATAGAAAACGATTAAATTGTGATGAATGTCTACAACATCCATGGTTATTATTGGATAATAATAACATGTGTGAAACATCATCAATCAATGATCTTAAACATACGATTGATTCAAATAATCAAACATCCGATTTGGATGATGAAGAAGATGATGATGATAAACATTCAGATGATGATGATGATGATGATGATGATGAAGATCTGGCGATGGCTAAATCTCGTTCAACATCTGATTCGAAATCCTCATCAATGACATTATCATCCATTAGTTCATTGGAAGATCCATTGGATCACCACCACCACCACCACCAACAACAACAACAACAACCATTAGAACAACAAAATGTTGTTGAAAAAGATTCATTATTGCCATCAAGTAATTGTGATTCAGGTTTAGGCGAGAATATCTGTGATACAATGTTGACAAATGATGACATCACTAAAGCCAACAACAATAAAATGGATAGCTGTCAAAATGTACAAATTGATAATAATGTAACAAATCAAGCCATTGAATCAATGAATTCTGGTCAAAGTTCAAATGATAATGTTGTTGATGATGATAAAGAAAATCAAATACCACCACAACCTGAACAAAATCTACTTAGTCCATTTATTATGAATACAAAATATCATCATAAACGTCTTTCATCGGATATATTTCCCGATCGTAAATCAATTATTGCAATTGTATCAAATTCATTACAATCAACATCGAAAAAATCTACTTCTGAAAGTTCAATGTCATCGTCATCATCGACGACAATTTCCGGTGATCGAACATCAAGAACATTGCTGGTTAATGTTCAAAATCAACAGATGATGATGATGATGTCATCTAAACAAGAAAATTCTGTTAATTCTATCATCAATAATGATCATTCACCACCATCGACACCATCGAAAAAATTTTATCTATCCATTGATGATTATGATATCAATGATGATGATAATAATCATTGGAAAAGACGTTATTCAAATCTACGTTCATTATCAATGGAACGTTTGAATACGTCGCCTTTACATAATGATGATGTGTATGATAATCATATATCAACCATTCCATTGGCCACTGTTGAAACACATTCAATAACAACATCGGCAACAATGGATAGTTTATTTACCAAAAAGATCAATGATAATAATACGAATCCATCGTTATTTCAACATCATCATCAACAAACTGCCATGATGACAACGACAAAAACGACCATCATTCATCAAACATCATTACCAATGATAAAGATATCAACCAACAATAATAATGATGTTGATGATGATGATGGCTATAGTTTTTAAATACAGGTCAACAACAACAATAATCATTGATGATGATAACATCAAACACGATTAATCAACCTAAAAAAAGTCTATATTAACAATTAATTAATCATACAATCGGCAAATACAAATAATCAAATGTTTTGTTATTTCAAGAGCTTTGTTAGGAAATTCTTGATTCAAAAATTTCGATACAAACTTATCATTTGTGTGTGTGTATATGTGTTTGTATGACTTTGATCCTTTTTTCCTTACTCTATGAGCTTATCCTTTTTTTATATGTGTGTAATATTTATGAATGTCATTCATAAGTTCAACCTACTCATCATCATCATCATCATTATTATTATTCACAATGATTGACCAACATTTTTTTTCAACAATAATAATACTAAATCATTACAATCAATAATGTACATGTTACAGATTGAAGAACAAAAAAAAGAGGCCAAAATCCAAGTGAACACCATTGAAACATCAACTCAAAATCAAAATCAAAATATACAAACCAAACAAAACTTTTCCCACCTGTTAGTTTGTTTTTTTTTTTTGCTTTTTTTTGTTGTTCGTATATCTTTTTCTCTTGCTTCCACCCTCTTTTTCCTTTCTCGAAAGAATCCATTTGGTTCATCATATTTGAAACAAAATTTAATGTATCTATCTCAATAACAATCCACTTATTTCTATCTTGTTTTATGGTATTACCATTTATTATTACACACACACACACACACACACCCATTCCTTATTCAGACATCAGAATCTTTAACCTTTTTATCCTTTTTCAATTCATATTAATTATTTACGATATAGAAACAAATTCACCAAAAAAAATAATAATAATATGAAACAAAAACTGTCCATATTAGACACACAACATATATAATATGATTGATTATTATTATGATTATTGATCTTTGATTTATATTTGAGTGAAAAATAAATAAATAAAATAAAAATTTAAGATTTAAAATTTAAAAACTTAAGATTAAAAACAAAAACGAAAAAAAAATTGAATTGTTGTTGCTGGTATTTGATTTTACACTTTCAGAAATAAGCTTCCCAATCAAAATCATTGAAGGAATCATTATCTTCTTCATCATCACCAGTGACACCACTACCACCACCACCACTACTATGATGATTGTCATTTTCATCATTTACGTCAATACCACCGCCACCACCACTGTTATTTTTATGATCTGTACGTTGTTGTTGTTGTTGTTCCGGTGTTGTTATTGTTTTTTTATTACTTAATGAATTACGTCCACTACCCGAACAATTGGACAATGATTTAAACCATGATGATGATGTTGAACCGGAATGTTTATTTTTTATAAATTTTTCTTTAGGTTTTTGATCATTATTATTATTATCACCAATAACTTTATCGATTACGTCATCCGTATTGAAACATTCAAAATGTCTTGTATCAGTATTTGATGTTAATTTCGGTACAATTGGTGCTATCATTTTTCTTTGCAACAAATTATTCCAATTAAAACCGGTAAACCATTTATGTCGTTTAATATCATTATAACCATTACGTCCACGTATAATAAGCCGTTCATTTGGATTTTCACGACAAAGACTACGTATAAGATTTACACAATGTTTTGAGAATATATTCTCATCGAAACCGATTGAATCAAAACCACGTAATATAATATGATATGTTTGTAATGGATCACTCGATATGAATGGTGGCCTATATATTGATGGTGGGAAAAAAAGCGAAATTAATTTCATAATAATGAAACTATAATCATGGATAATTAATAATTACAATCCAGTCAATAATTCATAAATCAATATTCCTAATGCCCAAATATCGACAGATTTATCATGACCACGATTCAATATAATTTCTGGTGCCACATATTCAGGTGTACCACAGAATGTCCATGTTTTTTTACCAGCCGGTAAATGCTAAAAGAAAAACAAATTATTAGAAATTATTTCCATTCTGTTTTTTTTTCTCGTATACAAACCTTGCTGAAACCAAAATCTGTTAACTTTAAATAACCATCCGAATCGAGTAGACAATTTTCAGGTTTTAAATCACGATAAATAATATTTTTTGAATGTAGATATTGTAATGCTTCAACAACGCAAGCCGTATAAAAACGGACGGATTGTTCATTGAATGGTCCTCTGCATATATGTGTGTTCGTATACGAACAAATTTGAATTAATTAATTGTCAAATACAGTTTTGTTTTGTTCATTATTATTACCTTTGCCTTAATACGGTCCATAATTCACCGCCAAGTGCCGTTTCCATAAGAAAATAAACATTAAAATCATCCTGAAATGTTCGATATAATTTAATTATAAATTGATTATGGCCGGCAACACATTGCATCACTAATTTTTCATTAACAATATGCTGCTGTTGACGTGAGGCACGAATAAATTCTTTTGAACATTTTTTCATTGCAAACACTTTATCATGATCATGATAACAACGTACAAGATTGACGGCACCAAAACCACCCATCCCTAGTTGTGTAATTGTTTCAAGATCGGTCAATTTTAGATTCTTAATAAACAATTCAAATGGTGTAAGATCATTTTCATTTACAATCGTTCTAGTTGTTGACGATAATGTTGATGATTTTGAATAATGATAATGATGATATTTTTCCAATTCATTCATCATCATATCCGGTGTATTTGAATGTTTTCGATTACCATTAATTGAATCGGTATAAGATTTATATCTTAAAAACACAAAATGAAAACAAAGTGAAAATCATTGGAAAAAATAAATAAATAAAACTTACTTTATCTCTTGTAATTCACCAAGAAGATTGAAAAAATTCGTCTGATCCAATACAAGACATTCACAATCTTCGGAAATAACATTCGCCGTACGTATAGCGCCAATATTATCGGATAATTCTGTTTTTATCAATGCCGTTTTTGCCGTCAAATCAATATTATTATGATTATTATTATTATTAGATGGTGTTGTAAGTAATGTTTCACGTGCACCTTCCAATAATAATAGTGCTTGTTCACCAAAATAATCTCCTTCATTTAATGTACGTATTGTATCTTCTTTAATGGCCATTTCAATATCATTATCATCATTCATATTATTTCCATTAATATGATTATTATCGACAAACATTGAATATTGTTGATAATATTGGTGATTATTAGGATTATTGATTGACCGGACTTTGGTCACTCTAACTGAACCTTTACTAATAATATAAAACGAATCACCGAAACATCCTTGTCTACAGATGTATTCACCGCGTGGATAATAATCCTTGATTCGATAATGGATTCGATAATCATTTCCGTTTTTTTTTTGAATGTTTCAAATGGAAAATATAAGACAGAACAAAATGAACAAAAAAATGATCAGATGATTATTATCATTATTGGTTATTTGTTTGTTTGTTTATTTTTGTTGAAATTCTTTTCAACATTTCAAAGGTTTCATCTATTTGATTATAACCATATATATCGACAAAAAAAATTGTCCATCATCGAATTTGGACAAAAAAACAAAAATAAAAATTCATAAGAAAATGAAAATGTTATTGAAAGGAAAATATCCGATTACATTCGATCTTTCGTTTATAATCATTGATTCGAAATTAATTCGAATGAATTTCCACTATTCTATTCTATTCTATTCTATGGAAGAAATTTTTTCATGAAATTGCAATTCAATTGGAATCAGGTTACAATATCGACACACAAAAGAATTTGCAACATGAAAAACAAAGATTATTCTTTTCCTTTTGTCTTTTGAAGAAAATTGTCGATTCATTTCGATTATTTTCTTTGGAAAGGGTATATTATTGAGTAAGAAAAATCTTTTCTATCCATACATACCACTTCAACGGCATCCGTTATTTTCGTAATCTTTTCATCGTTTAAATTTTGCAATAATGGAACCCTGTAGTATTATTATTGTATAATAATATAAATCAATGAAATTCATAAATAAATGAATGGTTGATTGGTTATACAAACTTTTTCAAAAATTGTTTAATACTATTCGTACGATCCAATGATGTTTTCATCATGATCATTTGAAATACTTTACGATCCAATACCCATGTTCGTACTCTTGTCAATGCTATGGATGAGTTTTGTATTACGAAAAACGAAAAGATTCATTCATTCATTCATTCATTTAAATTTACTTACCTCGTACCGATGCCGTACGTGTACAATTATATAATAATGCCAATTCGCCGAACGCTTTACCTGGACCCATTTGATTGACCGGACGATCACGAGCATCGATCACTTCACATTTACCATAGCTTATAACGTATAGATGTGAACCGTATGTACCACGACGACAAATATAACGGCTTTTAGCGAATTCTTTTACATACATTGAATTAACAATCAAATCAATTTGTTCATTATTCAGATAATTTTTTAGAAATGAATTATCCATCAATGCTTCCTGTATGATACGGCGACAATCAAAATCTTTCCAAAAAAAATTGATAATTTTCTGTGATCGATTTTTAACACCATCATTGCCACCATCATCAATACCATTATTACCGGTAGAATTTAATGATTCACCACTAACACCTTTTTTCTTTTCTGGTTGTGTGACATCTAATCGATTATAATTATCTATATAATTCATATGATGATCATATGCATTCAAATTGTTAACAAAAAATGAATCAAATGGTTGTTGTTGTTGTTGTGATGATGTCATTTTCAATGTAACATTCATTGCATCTGAATGATCCAATACAGATCGAAGTTTATGTACTTCACGATGTAATTTCAATAATTGTTGTTCACGTTCATAAACTTTACGTTTTGAATCACGTAATTCATGACGAAGACGATCCATTTCATTGGAAAGATTATTAAATTCATTGTTATCATTGATTATGTCCGAATCATCATTATTGTTATTATTATTAGAATCCAATAATAATTTTTTCTTATTATTCAAATTATGTAATAAATTATCATTCTTTGATTCAATCTGCATTGGATGATCAATTTCCATATCTATTACGTTTGTTTTCAGGTTATTATTAGTAGGACAATGATTATGATATGAAAATGATGACAAAGATGATGATGGACAATGATTAACGAATCGTAAACGATTCAGATGATGATGATGATGATTATGATGATATGTATTAATTGGTCGTTGATGTTCTCGTTGTTTTCTTGTTGTCGACGTTGTTGATGATGTTGGTGTTGTATTTGTCGTTTGTAATCGTCTAAATGTAGATGTATGATTACCCATTATTCGAACATTTGGATTTTTGATTTATAAATACAGTATATAAATATAACAAGCGAAACACTGATAGAAAAAAAAGAATGAGAATAAAAACAAAAACAAAATTAAAAAGTTAACCCAACAACAATCTGGAATTTATTTTATGAAAATTAATTTGTATATAATATTATCAAAGTGTTTGGAATTCTTTTTAGCCAGTTTTTTTTCCATTGAAAACAGAAAACAAACCAGAAATATTTGCATTTAATTCAGCTGGAAAAAATTTTTTTCTGCTGTTGTTGTTGTTGTTGTTGTTGTTTTCACCTGAAATATCCATCTGATTTACACTGTATTCATATATATATATATTCATTCATTCATCAGGCTATACCGACAAACAAAAAAAAAATTTATTCACCAAAAGAAACCATTCATTCTACTATCTACCGAGAGAATCTGATTGACTGATTTAACATATAGAAAATGAAAATTTCTATGTTTTCTTTTTTTTCTTGGCTTAAAATTTATTATTATTATTATCGCGTAAGCTAAATATTTATGTGATTCATTCAGAGAGAGAGAGAGAGAGAGAGAAGTCAATCACAAGTTTTTTATAATTAATTTAAATGAATAGAATAGAATATTTGGGTAACCTAACCTCCTCCTAAGGCTGATTATTATTATTATTATTATTATTAGGTGGAAAAGTTTCTCATCGTCATTTTCTTCAATGACAAGAATATTTTTTTTTCTCTTCTTTTTTATATTCTACTTAAAATGGGGAAAAAAAAAAAACTTTATTATTCTTGTTTTCAAGAATGTCATTACCATACACTATGAAATTATCATTTCATTTCATTGTCAATGATTCTGAAGACGAATTTTTTTCCAGCTTTTAAATCAATTAAAAATTGATGATGTTTTATTGGGGCTATTTAGAACATATTGATCGACGCTATATGCACTCAAATTAAATAAACAAATGATATTGATATTTCATTGAAATGAAAAAAAGTTAATATATTGATTCTATGTACAAACAACAACAACAACAACAACAAAGTGTCAATAGACTGAAAGCAGAAATGACAACAACAACAACAACAAATAAACAAGCAACACAAACACACACACACAAAAAAACATTGAAAAACTAGAAAAAAAATTGAATAGAAAAACTTTAAGTGATTCATAGAATCCTTATTGACAAATCAAGATTGTGACAAATTAATTGAAAATAATCCACACACACACACACACAAGAACAAACAAAAAGAGAATTTAATATGGACGATAACAACAACAACAACGACGACGAGAAATGTCAACGACAGAAAAAAAAAAATTTTTTTTGGAATCCAATCTACAAAGAAAAAATCGAATAAAATAAATTGAAATTGATTTTTCTGAGATTTCTGTTGTTGTGGTCACATTGATTATTATTTTATGATGAACAATTTGAATTCATTAGGATTCTTACACACACACAAATGATTCTTATGTTGGTGGTGGTGGTGGTGGTGGTGATGGTGATGGTAATTTGGAATAAATTTAATTTTCAATTTCGATTTTTGGTCCAATGATGATTCGTTATAACACTGGAATTGGAATGAACAATGTGCTTAATCGAAGAATTGGAAATTCTTTATCATCATCATCATCATTATCGTCCACATCACAGGAAAAATCAAAGAAAAGAGAGAGAGCCATGGTAAAAACAAATAAATTTTTGTCCAAATTTGGACCAAAAAGAAAAAGAAAAATCTTCAATCAACAATGGGTAACAACGCGAAATTCTAAAAAAAACCGGAAAAAAGAAAGGCAAAACAAGCAAAAAAAAGATTCTAAAAACCGGAAAAAGAAAGGCAAAACAAAAGGTAACCTTATCGATATTGCGGGAAAGGTAACCTACGTAAATTTTACAAGCAAAAAAAATTCATCTGATTTTCAATCAACAACCAAAATCAATTATCAAGTCTAATTAGTTTTTTTTGTTCTCTTGAATCAAATGAAAGTTTTATTGTTGTTTTCAAAATTCCATTAACCAAACAAAACAAAACAAAAAGAAAAGCTAAATTCATCATGCAGCTTTAGGGCATCATCATCTCATCGATGCAATAATCAACATCATCATCATTATTAAATTTTCTTGTTGAAAGCAACAAAACAAGTGATAAGATGAATAAAAAATCAGATTTCTGAAATCCAATTTCGAATCTAATCGGATACTTACATTATGTTTTAAGAAAAGACAAAAAAAAAAAAATTCTTATTGCCTCAATCCAATTGTATATACAATGATGTTACATCATTATGAAAATTAATATGTGAATGAATGAATGAATGTTCGATGAATAACAAAAATTTCAAAAAAAAAAAAAACTTTTTTCTGATAAACAAACACTGAGTATACTCATCATCACTTTATATTGTGTTTGTCCGTCGTCATTTCTAAATGTGTATATTATTCACATATAACATGTCGATTTGTTTATATACACACACACACACAAAAAAAACCAATATCAAGAAATCCCACACAAACAAACAAACAAACAGACACAGCAGGAATATATGAATGACAGGAAACAGAAATTGAATTTGAAATGGTTAGACAAACACACACACGCACACAGAATAATAGTAAATATATTGTTGTTGCTATTGTAGAATTAGAAATTAGAAATTGAAATTGATTTTGATTAAAATAAAATTGACTTGACATTCGATATACATGGAGCACAAGTTATTTTTTTTTTGTTTAAATTCAATGGAAAAAAAATATTACGAATCATTCACTTTTATATATATAATAATAATCATCAAATCCAATCAACAGCATCGAGAATGTTTGTTGATTTCTGATGAAATGTTGCCATTCAGCTTTGACATTTATATTCAGTTTCAACAGTTATAAATTGAGAAATTCTATTTTTTTTTTTTTTTTTTTTTTTGATCAAATTTCATTGAAAATAAGAATTGAAGAACGAAAAAAAAAATCAACGAAAAGAAAATTCGAGAAATTTTCTATCAAATTTCAAAAAAAAAAAAATGATAAAAATTTAAAACACACAAACCCATTGGATGAATGAATGAAAATGAAACAAAAAAAAAATGAAAGAATCCTTTCGAATGAACAAATAAATGATGAATGACCATGATGTTTTCAAGAATCTAATTCAATGATGATCATGTTGTAAACACAATGTATACTGTTATGTGATTATATAATGATGATCCAGAATCGGTGAAATCAAAATGAATGAATATGTGAACGAGCCAAGCATGCGTAATCGCAAACAAAAAATTCCTTCCTATCATTATTATCATCATCAAAGATGAAGAATCGAAACGAATATGTCTCAAGATAATATAAGATGATCAGAAACAAATGAAATATTTCCATCCCACATGCACACACACACACACACATATACCACCTGGCTGTGATTATTGACTAATTATGTGATTTGAACATTTTTGTCTCGATCGATGAAATTGATCCTGAATAATTTTTTTTTTTTCATTTTATTCATCAAATATACAGCAGTTGAGCAGAATGTTGAAATATAAATAAGACAAATTGAATTTGAAACCAAAAAAAAAGAAGAATATTCTGAATCAAAACCGGCAATTTATTTTAAAGTTTGCATCAATAAAATGAAAAAAAGTTTGATTATAGTAAAGCGTTTTTTTCTGAGAGAAAACTTTTTTAACAAACAGACGAACAAAAATCATTTCTCAATCACAGTTGTTTTGAATTTTGTTTAATCACACGAATTTTTTGCTTTGTTTTGCAGAGGTTACCCACCTACCTACCTCACAGTCAAGTTGAAACAAAGAAAGAGAGAGAGAGAGAGCCGGGTTGCAAAAAAAAATCCGATTATTTTTTCAATTAAAAAATTGAAATTTGCCAAATTCGTTTTTTTTTAATCTTTTCGTTTGGTGAATGGGTAGTAGATAATTTTTTTTTTTATTTCGTCAGTATAGCAGAGAGATGGCATTTTATAATGACTGTAATGATGGTGATTAATTTTCAGCGTTTTTTTTTGTTGTTGTTGTAAAGTTTGTCATTGTTTTTGTTTTTCTCAGTAATAAATGATTATAACAATAATGTACAAATAGATGGCCAAAATCAACTGACCAAAATGATACGATATTCATGATGATGATGATGTTTTTCCATCATCAAATCAGTATATTTTTTTTCACTGCTAAAACACAACAATGAAAAAATTTTTTTTTTCAAAAAAAAAAAATCGTCAACATTCATCCAGAATAAATAATTGAATGAATGCATATACCCGCTTATATTTTTTTTTTTTTTTATTTCAGTCCATTTTGTATTCATCCAAGAAATTAATCATCCAATTCAGTCAATCATGAAATTCATGATTCTTCACTTTACATTTGTTTGATAAGTACAGTGATTTTTTTTTCATCTTTATCATCTAATTCCTATCTTTTCATTTTTATCAGAAACATTCACACACACACACACACACACACACACGGTAACAAAAACAACCAAATAGCAATGACAATGTAATTGAATTTTGGATTCTTTTTTTTGTACCAAATAATTTCGATTAGTAATAACATGTTTGGCTATAGACAGCAATGATGATGATGATGATGATGATGGAAACAGGAGATGAAATTGTTTTATTTCACCAAAAAAAAAATAATTCTTTTGGGAACAATTTTTTTTCCAAATGTTAACAAAACTATAGTTTGGTTGACAACTACAATTTTTATCATCATCATCATCACGATGAACAAAAAGGTAATTGGTTAATTTCCGTGATACAAAAAAAAAAAAATAAAGTAACGGTCATGATCATGATCACACACACACATATGAATACAGCAATTATTTTTTTTTTCACTGCATTCCATCAAGAATTGTATTATAACAGTAATCATTTCATAGAAATATATATAATTTCTATTTTTCATCATCATTCATTCTAGATTCTATAGAATTCTCGTAGATAATCACAAAATTTTTATGCAAAAACCAAAAAAAACGAATTGAATCTAAAATTGATGATTTAATGATGGATTGGATGAGATGATTTCTTGTGTGTGTGTGTGTTGATTTTTGATTCAATTTACTATATAACGTATTTATTTTTTATTAAAATTAATATATTGATTTGTATACAGGGGAAATGGTGGTGGTGGGGAAAATTGAAGGAGAAGAAGGTCTGGAATATTGATTCCAATGTTTACAGCGTATAATTATATATTGGATTCAGGTGAAGCAAAAAAAAAAAAAAAATCGAATTCTGGACACACTGTGTGTATATAATGATAAAAAAATGGCATTTAAAGAATGAAAAAAAATAGCAAAAGAAGAAGAAGAAAAATTAATGACCAGAATGAATTATTCGCATAGAGAGAGAGAGAGAGAAAAAAATGATGAAATGAAATGAATAAAAATAATCATCCAATCCATTCAATGCTGTTGATGCTACTATGTATATGATGATGCACACAAATTTTTTTTTTTTTTAAAGAAAAAAATAATTCTAACTGATTGATAGATTATTTGTTTGATAATAATAATAATAATAAATACATGAAAAAGGAAAAAAAAAAGAAATCATCAAGAAAATAAATGGTGTGTGTGTTCAGGTATATAAAAAAAAAAAACATTGCAAACACTTAACAATGGATAATTTGTGTGTGTGTGAATTAATTTGTACAAAAAGGAGAAAAAATTCGGATCCTGATGTTTCCGGCTTTATGTGTATGTGTGTGTTTGAAATGAATCCATCAAATTGAATTGAATTTGTTCATTGGATTTTTTGATTTAAATAAAATTCTATCACAATTGAGAGATTTTTTTTTCGATTTAATTAGTTGTTGTTGTTTATTGTTGATTTTCAATCAGTTCGATCCTCTTCTACTAAATGTGCCGTATCTTTATCCGTATCGATTGTCGTTGGTTTCAATGCTGTTTGTCTTATTGGTATCTGTGGTGATGCTGATTTATGTATTACACTTGATGGTGATAATATTGCTGAACCAAAACGATTTGTATAGGATTCATCCAATGGATGCGGGGTTTGTGTGGATGGTGGTGATTGTGGATTATCTACATCGATTGTTGATGTAAACATTTCCGTATCATGTAGATAATTAGTTGTACCATTATTATCGAGATTATTTTTCTTTTTACTATTATTAAATGCAACATTATTGCCACCAGTTTCAGTGTTTGCAACGCTACCACCAAATGCATCATACATTGGATTGGAAAAATCGGTCGTTTTCATATCATCCAGATTGATATCATTTTCAGATGATTCCTAATTATAAATGAAAATTTTGTTAATGTAAAAAAATAAATTTCATATAAATCGTTCTCTATTTCTTTAACAACATACATCTTGATTGTTCGGTTCACCAGATGTTTGACCAGAACGGAAATCCTGGCCAATAAATTCTACATTAGTGCCACTACGAAATGAAACACTTGGATTTGCAAGAAAATTTGTTTTGCTATATATTTTATGGAAAAAAAATTTTACATAAAAGAATTGATAAATTTCAATCAAAAAAAAAACTCCAATTGAAGAACAGAACTTACAGATTTTTCTTCTGAAAATATATGATAACAAACACAAGGCTGGCCAGAATTAATGCCAATAATAACAATAACAATGATGGCGTTGTGCGTAACACCCAACGTGAACTCAATTTTGTTTTGGCAACCGAATCTTCACAGAAATTTCCATCAAAATTATCCGGACATTTGCAGATAATCTTTTCAGAATTCGTAAACATACAAAAACCACCATTTTTACATTCACATTTATATGGCATCGCTAATGGATGTTCAAATGCTGAATTGCATTTTGCATTTGATCCAAAATTTGAATGCTGTAATCCATCCGGACATGAACAACGATATCCGCGTGGTACCAATAAACATTGATGGCTACATGGATTCACATGATTCAATTGACATGAATTGGACACTATTTTAACCATTTATGAATGGTAAAAAAATGATAATATTTTTAAAATAAAATAAAAAATGATTCACTTACAGGAAGTATTATATTTTTTATTGTGGAATATCTTCAAATCTGTAGTATAAGCAGATGCGCGTTTCACTCGAACTTTTACACCACGGCCAAATTTATCCTGTCTATAGATTTCATTCGTATCTTTTGTTGTCCAATAGATTTGATCTTCAAATAGTTCCAAACTAATCGGATGATGTGATTCACCGTGTATGATGACCGCACGATCGGATCCATCTTTGTTGGCCGATTCAATTGAATTAAGTTTAGTATCGCACCAATATAATCGATGATCAGCTTGAAAATCGATGACAATACTAGCCGGTACGCCCAATCTTTCTTTGACGATTGCTTTACGTTCGGAACCGTCCATCCAACTAGTTTCGATTTTAGGCAATTGGCCTGCATCCGTCCAGAACATTATTCTAGAATTTTCACAAAAAAAACATCATTGATAAATTGAAAAAAAACATTTCATATGATACGTACCCTAATTCAGGATCCAATGCAATAGATGTTGGACGTTCAAGATTAGTTGTTATTAGTGATCGTTTGTATCGACCATCCAATAGACTTGTTAATATACGACCACGAGGTTTTGATCCCGATATATCCATCTCAGTCCAATAAAGATTTCTTGAAAAATGAAAGGAATCAAGTTAACAATGTAATTAAATAAAAAAAGTAGAACATACCTGGCCACCCAATCCACATCGATATCGATTAATTTATTTGTACTTTTCAGATTCATATCCTGTGTGAATGCCATTCCATGATTAGGATCCTGAATATCTGGTATGATTGCCCGTTTTATTGATGAATCAAATGAATCGATCCAATAAATTATCTTATCCACCGGATCATAATCTAATGATTGTATTCGTGATTCACCAGTCACAATCATTGATTGTAATTGTTCATTATAATCGATTGTACGAATTTCCGATCCATCTGAATACAAAATGACTGGTGCTGCACCCTGTGCTACACAACGATCCTCGACAAAATCAAATCCAGATCGACAGCTACAAGCATATGTTCCTTCAAGATTTATACAATTCTGCGAACAATTATGACCAAATGTTGCACATTCATTTATATCTTCACATAATTTTGGATTTGTTTCATTCGTTTTATAGCCCCTGTGAATAATGTGATAATGAAATCATCAATAATCAATCATCAATAACCAATAGATTCTTACCGTGGACAAATACAAATGTACGAGCCTTCACCAATTGTTGAACAATTATGTTGACAGCCACCTTTCGTTTCACGATTACAAACGCCTTGATGACAGCCTTTTTCGTCGGATAAATCACCACAATCATCAAAATGATCACAAACTTTGGTCAAATCAATGCATTTATCATTGGTACATTTGAATTGATTTGATGCACAGGTTGTTGGCCAACGTCGACATAATGTATGATTATTTTCATCACTACCATCGCCACATTCATCATAACCATTGCAAATCTGCCATAATGGTATGCATTTTTTGTTTTTACATTGAAATTTTCTTGATGGATCGCATTCGAAATTTTGACATAAAGATTCTTGTTCATCCGTACCATCACCACAATCATCATCTCCATCGCATAGGAAATCATTACGGAGACATACGGTATTGTTACATTGGAATAAAGTTTCCTGACAATATTTTCCATTTGGAAATCTGGGTGGACAATTCATTTCATCGGATACATCTTTACAATCTTTATTTCCATCACAGACCAATTTCTGCGGTATACAGTGTCCACTTTTACATTTGAATTGATCAGATTTGCAGACATGTTCCAGACAATCAATTTCATCCGATCCATCATCACAATCTTCATCGTGATCACATCGCCATCTGGATGGTATACATTTTTTATTATTGCATTGAAATTCACTTTCCGAACATTCACGATATAATTCAGTACACATTGCTGGATTTTCATCACTATTATCGCCACAATCATCTTCGAAATCTGTAATTTCAAAGCAATATACAATATAAATAAATAAATTTCAATATAAAAATGAAAAACAAACTTACCGCATCGCCAACGCAATGGAATACAGCGATCATTTTTACATTTAAAATCACCCGCAATATGACATACTGGACATAATTCTGGATTTGTTTCATCCGAATTATCGCGACAATCATCTTTACCATCACAGAATAGCCAACTTGGTATGCAACGATAATTATGTCTTGATGGACATTTTCGCCATCCGGTACTACAATTTCGATTACGACATAAATGTGCTGGTTCATCCGAATTATCGCCACAATCATCATCAAAATCACAATACCAAAGTTTCGGTATACATTTGCCATTATTACATTTGTATTGTGTATCTTTATCACAATCACGATGATGACAAACGGCTGGATCTTCATCGGAGCCATCCGAACAATCATTATCACCTAAATGAGATAATTTCAAAATAATTAAAATCAAATAAATTGAGTAAAGAAACATACCATCACATTGCCAAGAGCTTGGAACACAGCGACCTGTAGATTGACATTTGAAACTATGTTCACCGCAATCAGAATCACAAAAACTTTCATCCGAACCATCCTGACAATCACGAACACCATCACAAATTCGAATACGTGACAAACACGTGGTTTGGTTATTCTTACATTGATACATGCCTGGTTTACATTGGAATGGTGGACAATTTAGTTCATCCGAACCATCCTGACAATCTTTATCACCATCACATGTCCAGAATATCGGTATACAACGATCATCATTTGAACCGCATCGATGTTGACCACGTGTACAATTGGCTATACAAGTTTTATTGTCACGAAGTAGAACAAAATTATTTGGACAAGCACAAGTGAATGTTTGTCCTTCCGGTGCAATGAGACAAAGATGTGAACAGCCACCATTTTTATCACCACATGGATTATCATATGGAATTTGTCGCAATGGATGATATACATGAATATCGTATGGTCGATGAGATGTATTACGAAGCACTTGATAATTTTCTCCGGTAAATTTATGCGCTCGGGCCAAACCTTTTGTATTCCAATCGGTCCAGAAAAGCCAATCATCAAATACGGATAAAGCAAATACATGTGGAACGGAATTACCACTGAGAACAGTATGTCGATTTCTTCCTTCAAAATCAGCATATTCAATATAATCAAGATGAGCGTCGGCCCAGAATATTTTATCACTAAAATAATCGATTGTCAATGCATTTGGCCATACAAGTTTCTGTTCATAAGTGATGATTCGTGAAAAATTCTGTCCATTCATTCCCATTTTACCGATACATGAATGATGACCCCAATCGGTGAAAAATAGATAACCAATCTTTGGATGTACAACAATAGCACGAGGATCAGATATTCCACGAGATAGTAATGTTTTTCTTCGCGTTCCATCCAGTTCGGTTACTTCAATATGTTTACTTGTACGATCCATCCAATATAATTTTCTTCCAATCCAATCAACAGCCATACCTTCTAAGCCATGTGCTTCATGACGAACAATATTCTGTTCACCAGTTCCATTGATAAAAATACGATTGATTGTTTTATTACCAACATCGGCATAATAAAGTCGTTCTTCACGATAATCAAAATCCAATGCTACGACATTTTTCAGATCCATTTTAATTAGATTATAAATTGAACCATCGACACTGGAATTACGGATATAGTAACGATTGCTGAATATGAGCCATGGTTGTACGTCTGTGTCACGTCTTTTACATGTACGACCATCTGGTTCACGTTCATAATAGATATCATTACATTTACAACTGAATGATCCAGGTGTATTGAAACAATATTGGCTACATTTTTGTTTCATCATTGAACATTCATCAATATCTTCACAAGCTTTTTGATCTTTCATAAGTTTATATCCATCATTACATTGACAATGGAAACCAATAGGATCATCAATACATTTATGTTCACAACGATTAATATCGATTTTGGCACATTCATCTATATTACAATGTGGTGATTCATCACTACCATCTTCACAATCAATATGTTTATTACAAACACGTTCCATTGGAATACATTGTCCATTTTTACAACGATATTGACCATCCGGACATGTTGGTGCTTTTTTTGTTTTACATTGTGAAAGATTTTCATCACTACTATCACCACAATCATCTTCACCATCACAAAGATATGTTTTACGTATACATTTTGTATTACGACATGAAAATTCATCATCATGACATTCACGGAATGTACAATTACGATGTTCATCTGAACCATCACCACAATCATTATCATGATCTAAATAATGACAATAGAATAAAAGAATCAATTTATAAATAATTTACAAGAATTTACAATTAAATTACAACATACCACAAACCCATTCTTTACTAATACAACGATTATTATTGCATCTAAATTGATCAGCATCACATGCTTCGGGTGGTGGACAATTATGTAATGTTGTATTCTCATCGGCACCATCCACACAATCTGGATCACCATCACAAATCCATCGTTTCGGTATACATTGGGTTCGACCCCAGTTTTTATTTGCCGTACAGGTGAATTCACGTTCTGGGTCACATTGTCTGGTGTCACATTGATGTCGTTGTTCATCTTCATCGGAATTATCCAGACAATCATTATCACCATCACAGATATAAATTCGTGGTATACAATTTCCATTATTGCAGGTAAACAAATCACCAAAACATGTTCGTTTATCACTTTTACAATAATCTTCTGGTTCATCAGATTTATCGCCACAATCATCATCACCATCACAATACCAAGTGGCCGGTATACAACGATGATTTTTTGGACATCGAAAACTATTCGGTGGACAGGTACGTTGTGAACAAATTAATGAACTTTCATCCGAATTATCGCCACAATCATTATCACCATCTTTAGTTGGAAAAAAATAATTTACAATTTCAAAAAAAAAAAAAAATAATAACAAAACATACCGCATAGCCAATATGGTTCCACACAAATGTTTGTATTTTCACATTTCAAATGATTTGCCATACAAGTTTTGTTATTCGGACAATTAATATGATTTTCATCGGTCGTATTCGAATCTTTACAATCATTTACACCATTACATAATTGGGCTTTCGGTATGCATTTATGATTACCACATGTGAATTCACCATCAGCACATGGTGGATATTCACAATCTTCTTCATCAGAATTATCACCACAATCATTTTCATGATCACATTTCCATGTTTTAAATATACAACGACCATTACCACACCGGAATTCATTTGGGCCACATGTATGAACGGCGCAAAACATTGAATCTTCATCGGTATTATCTCCACAATCATCATCACCATCACATGTCCATAATCGTGGTATACACTTTCCATTACCACATGAATATTTTGATTCATCACATTCAACTGTATCCTGTACACACATTCGATTTTCATTGGCTAATTTAAATCCAGAATTACAACGACATTCAACCGTACTGTTTGGCGCTTGATGACATGAATGTGCACAGCCACCATTATTAATTTGGCAGGGATTTTTATCACAAAGTTGCCGCTGTGAAGAGAACACATGAATATCACGTGGTGATTCTTCTAATCGTTTGACCATTTCAATCATTCCAGAACCGGTATATTTATCTGCACGATAAACACCACGTAATTGTAGATCAGTCCAGTAGATATAATTTTTAAACAAAGTCATTGCAAATGGATAGATTGTAGCTGAGATCAAAACTTCACGATCAGTTCCATTCATATTGGAACGTTCGATTTTTTCACGTAAAGCATCAGTCCAATAAAGTTTTCGTTCTTCATAATCGATGGCCAAACCACTTGGTTGTGTGAGATCATCTTCAATGATGGCCCGTTTGAAATTACCGGACATTGTTGAACGATAGATTTTTCCATTATTACCAAATCGACCCCAATCAGTGAAATATAGATAGCCTTCACAAGGATCTATGACGATTGCTCTTGGCCTTTCAACACGAACAATCATAACGATCTGTGATCCATCTTCATTCATTGAATAAATAGAACGATTTGCTGAATCAGTCCAATAGATTTTTTTGTTTGTCCAATCATAAGCAATACCTTCCGGATTGATTCCTTTCGATAGAATGACATTGTGTGGATCATCATTTTTCTTATCAATTTGATACGATGAAATGCTACCATCAGGACGAATTTGTGTGAAATAGATTTTCTTATTTGCATAATCAAAATCTAAACCAACAACATTGGTAAGATTAGTTTTTGGCATGACTGGTGGGCTAGAGATCTTTTCATCAAGATTAATGGTACGAATTTCTTTACGTGTAGTGAAAATAAGATATTCATCCAGTTGTTTACATCGTTTATGATCATTGGCATCTAATACACCTGATGAACAGGCACATTTATAATCTTGTTCATAACCTTGTGGCATTGCAAAACAAAGTTGATCACAAATACGTTCATTGAAACGAGAACAAACAGAATCACCTGGTGGTTGATTCTGTGCATCGAATATAACAATATCACGTAATGTATCCAAATTTGATTTGAATGGTTCAGGTGTTTGACTTTGTGCCACTTCAGGAACTTTACTTCCACGAAATATTGTACGAAGATTACGATCTACCCAATAGATTTGTGAGCCAAGTATGGAAGCACCGTATGGTGTTGGTAAATTTTTCCAAACATATTGTCGTCGTCCACCAGAATATGATACTTTTTGAATGGCATCTTCACGTGCATCCACCCAATAAAGATCATGAGTAACGATATCGATGGTTAAATCACGTGGATTACTTATACCAGTGACAACGATTGGTGTACGATTTTGGCCGTCTAATAATGCTTTTTCAATTTTTGGAAATTGACCATAGTCAATCCAATATAGATATCGTTTGATTGGATTGACAGCAATTTCTCTTGGAGCATCGGTCGTTGTTTTTATCAATACCATTCGATTTTTACCATCCAAATGGCTAACTTCAATATAGGTTTCATGTGGAAATACATTCGTGAAATAAAGATTACCGGCAATCCAATCGATTGCAATGCCACGAATACCATTACTACCGATACCTTCGCTGATAATATGCATTTTTTCCGTTCCATCTGGTTTAATTCGATATATGCCATTACGTTCGCCTGGATTATATTCTACCCAATAGATATGATTTTTCACTACATGAACATCAATATGAAGAATATTGTGGCCAGGTCCAGCAATCGGTTGTATAGCTTCAGCATGATCTTCAAGACTGAATCCTTGCATTTTTGTCAACAACGATACAACAGCAAATGATTTATATGGTTGACAATTAGTCTGTCCATCGGTACGAAAACCTGTACTACATAAACATTTATGGCGATTATTTTCATCCGGTATACATAAATGTTGACAATTTCCATTCGAATTACGGCATGGATGATTTTCAATTCTTGGCCGTTTACTATAGATTTTCAAGTTTGATAGATTCGGTGAATTTTCTTCGATTGCAACGGCATTACTGCCGTCTGGTAGATTGACTCGAACAATTTTCTCATATACAGAATCCAAATAATATAATCGATTATTGTAGATGGCTAGTCCTTGTGGTTTTGCTATGCCAGTGGAACTTGTAATAATAGTTTTACGATCTTTTCCATCTTCATCAACACTTTCAATAACACCTACATAACTTTGGCTAAAATAGATACGACGATTATTGAAATCAAATGTAAGTGCTTCGATTTGATGAAGTGAATCTTTGATTAAAATCTGTGGATTTGTTCCATCCATATTAGCTTTGGCTAATTTCTGCGGTACACCAACACCACCTTCATCGAGCCAATATAATTTTCCCTGTAATGGATCCAATACAATTGCTTTTGGTTTGGCTACACCTTTTTCCGTTCCATCATTACTAAGAATAATTCGACGATAATTTTTATCACCATCTGTTTTCACTACTAAAATATTTGATGCTTTTTTATTGCCAATATAAAGATTTCGACCAAGCCAATCGAATGCCAAACAATATGGTGCACCAACAATTCCATCTGCTAAAAATTTTGTCTGATTTCCACCCAACAAGTTAATTTTATACAATGTACCATTTTCTTTATCATCTTCACGTAATTGAATATAATAGGTGTAACCTTGTTGTTTATCATAATCAAAATCATAGCCATTTTCGATGCCAATAATTGGTGTAAAAAAGCCGACAGATTTTTCATTCGGCGTAAGACTTAAATCAACAATCTGTGTGGTTTTCATTACCATTAGATATGGTGTATCGATAGGTATACAACGGCCACCACCAGATGATGTACGATCCTGTCCATAACCGGATGGACATTTACATGAATATCCTTGCTGTTTTGGTGATAATAAACATAGATGAGAACAAGGAGCTTTGGCACATGGATTCGATGATGATTCAGGCTGTAATAATGGATGATTGATATGTATGCCCAATGGTTGACTGACTAGATGAGAGACAACCGTTTGATTTGATCCACGAAATTTATGACATGAAAGTACACGATTCAATTGACGATCAGTCCAATAAAGTGTATCTTCAAATATTGTCAATGAATGTGGATGTAATAGATAATGATTATGTGCAAGTACTTGTTGTCGGCCAGTACCATCATAATTACAGAAATCGATATAATCTAATTTTGAATCAGCAAAATATATACGTTTTGTTGGAATATCAATAGTAAGACCATTAGGCCAATAGATTTTTGTATTAACAATCACTTTACGTTCACTACCATCCATACCCATACGTTCTATACGTGGATTTTCACCCCAATCACTCCAGAATAGAATTCTTGCATCTTCACGTGGATCAAGACATATACCACGTGGTTGACTAATATTTTGGCTTAATAATACAATATGATTTTTACCATCAATTGTTGATACTTCAATTGTTTTAAGACGTGAATCAACCCAATACAGATTTTTAGCAATCCAATCGATAGCCAAACCTTCGACTAGATCTAAACCATTTTCAATAATCACTTCAGGTTCGCTAGTACCTTTTTTTACACGATATATTTTCTTTGCATGCATATCATACCAATATATTATGCCTGTTGACATTTCTGATGCAGTAGCGACAACATTTTCAACACGAACCGGAATTCGTTCCAATGAAACATTCGTTATATTAGCAATCAATATGGATCGACGATTTGAAATAACCATATAGGCTAACGTACGATTCAATGCTTTACAATAGGTTCGATTTTCCAGTTGATATCCTGATTCACATTCACATTTAAATCCAATACTGCCAGCTACATTAGCTTTTTCATTGAAACATTTATGGCTACATGTTCCAATTTGTTCACATTCATTTATATCGACACAGGTACGAGTATCGTTGAGACGTTCCCCCGGTGGACATAGACATAATGGGCCAACAGGTGTTTCTTTGCATTTATAAAGACAATTTTGTTGTTGACAACTGACCAGACCACAACCAGGACCTTCATCGGCTCCATTCGGACAATCGGAATGACCATTACAGATTTTATCTATCGTAATACAACGATCGGTTATATTTGGACATGACCATTGACCACTTGGACAATCATATTTGGCTGCACCGCATGCATGACGTTTATCTTCATCTGAATTATCACCACAATCATCACGGCCATCACATATCCATGATTTGAAAATACATCGAGAATTATCACATTTGAAATGATTATTTGGACATTCAATTTGGCCGCACGTTGATGGTTCATCACTATGATCTTCACAATCAGGATTACCATCACAATACCATGATTTTGGTATACAGATTCTTGATGCTTTACATTGAAATTGTTTTTCCTGATCACATTGATTCGGTGAAAGCTGTGGACATTCTTTTTCATCTGATCCATCTTGACAATCATTCATACCATCACAATGATAACTTTCATGAAGACATTGTTTCATATCGGAACATTGAAATTGATTTTTCGAACAAACGATTGGTGGACAATTTTTTTCATCCGCTTGATCAATACAATCATTATCGCCATCGCAAACCCAACTTTGCGGTATACAATGGCCACTACCAGGACATGTAAATTGAAAATATGAACAAGTTTTATCTTTACAGGAATCGCCTTCATCACTACCATCACCACAATCATTTTCGCTATCACATTTCCATGACATCGATATACAACGTCCATTGTCACAGGTGAATTCATTCGCACTACAGGTAATGTTTGCACAGCCTGCTTCATCGGAAAAATCTCCACAATCATTATCTTTATCACATTTAAAACCCATTGGTATACATCGTCCACTGGCACATTTAAAATCTCGATTACTACATGGTTGTGTACAATTTTGCTTCTCATCCGATCCATCCAGACAATCATTATCACCATCACATACCCACGATTTAGGTATACATCGTTGATTATCGCATGTAAAATCCCATGAATTAGGACATGCTTGTAATGGTGGCTCTTTTACAGGATCAGAAACACAGGTACGTTGATCGTTAGACAATTTTTCTCCATATGGACATCCACATCGTACAACAAGTTTATCACTTGTTGTATTATCATTACTAGGTATAGCGAAACAAAACTTTTGACAATTGCCATTATCATAAAGACAGGGATGAAGATTTTCGATTTTCTGCGCATCACGGCTAAATACACGTATACCATACAGACGGCTACCTTCTTCAACCGTGTTGATTATTTTTTCATCACTTCCATTCACTTTATTCATACGTAAAATGGCATCCAATCGCCAATCGGTAACATAAAGCCATTCCCGATGTATGACCAATGAGAATGGATGTTTGATTCGTGGTGAATTTATCGTTTTAACATCAGTACCATCAAGATTAGCATGTTGAATATGATCCAACAGGGCATCACACCAATATAATCGATCATTATCATAATCAATACTAAGACCGTTTGGCCAGCCAAGTAAAACACCACGAAATATCATTACATTTGAACCATCTAAATAGGCACGGCTAATGTTTGCAGGACGATCCCATTCTGAATAGAAAATGTAACCACGATTTGGATGTACGACAATAGCACGTGGACGTTTTAGATTTTTTAGTAAAACACGACGATAAGTTGAATTATTGATGCTGATTACATTCAATGTTCCTTTACGGCTATCAATATAGTATAGATTATTCGATATCCAATCATGTGCTAATCCTTCGACACCTTCATTTTGTGAAGCCAATACATTTTCTTTGCCAGTTCCATCTACTTTGATCTTATAGATAACATCAAGAATGACATCCGAATAGAAAATATGATTAGTACGTGCATTGAAATCAAGACCAACAAATCGAGCTGAACGACTAACAACAGGAACAATGGCATCGGTAAATCCGCTTAATTTAGGTTCAAGAATAATGCCACGAACAAATTTCTGTTGTGAATACATGAGAAATTCTTCAATTTTCGTACAACTTCGTAAATCTTCGGTAAGTTGATAACCAATATCACATGCACATCGATAACCAAGTGCAAATGAATTTCCGTCACCATTTCTGGTAAGCACACACATATGTTGACAACCTCCGTTATTACCACTACATGGATTAAATACAATAGGTTGTCGAAGCGAATGTACAGTATGGATACTTCGTGGTTCTTTGATGATTCGTCTTTCACGATATAAAATTTCAATATCTGAATTGTTATAGAGATTTAAGCGTAGCACACCTTGTCGTGTACTGTCCGTCCAATAGGCATAATTTTCGAAAACGGTCATTCGTACAGGTGATGGTACTTTTGTACTACCACGTATAATTGTATGTCGTTCTTGGCCATCATAATTAACGACAACAATTTGATCCAGTTGTGAATCACACCAAAACACACGTTGAGTAACATAATCCAATGCAATACCGGTTGCTTTGTAAATATAATTCGAAACAATTGTCGTTCGTTGTGTGCCATCCATCAAAGCTCGATCAATATTATCATTGTCTGTGAAAAACATTAGCCCACGGCTCGGATCGAGGGCAATGTCGAGTGGTGCTGTCAGATTTTGGCTAATCACTATACTATGATGACTACCATCAATTTCCATGATGTCAATTTTTTGATTATGTGTATCGCAAATGTATATTTTATTCGCAATCCAATCAATAGCAATCGAAATCGGTGTCCATGGATAGAAGACGCTTATTTCTTTTGTGAATTTGGTTGGTCTATCAGGATCCAGATTAATACTGTAGATCTAGATATAAAAAGAAGTAGAAGAGAAAAATGAACAAAACCAAAAATAATTAAATCTAGATCAACTATCCTACATATTTTATAATGGTAGATTTCTTCTAATTTTTTTTTCGTTTTGTTTTGTTTTGTTTTGTTTTCATTCATTAAATTAAACTCACTTTTCGTGTTTCAACATCCGACCAGAAGAGGATATTTTTAGCAAAATGATAATCAAGACCGCTTGCGGCTGTTGCATTTGTAATTATCTCTAATGAATTTCCCGAAAAATCCATTCGATATATGGAACTATGATGTACAAACATGATTTGCATATCCGAACCTGTTGTGTTTATGTTGATAGATATAACAAATCATTAACGACGATGAATGAATTTGTTGTTGTGAAAGAGAGAGAGAGAGAAAGAAAAAATTTAAATTATTTTTTTCATTTTAAAAAACAAAAAATCAAAATGGAATGATAATTACTATTTTCAGCTTTACAATGACGATTATCATTAAGCTTATAACCGGAACCACAATGGCATTGATAGCTACCCGGTGTATTTGTACAAAATTGATCGCAATATTCCCATTCACGGCATTCATCAAAATCGATACAGGATTTTTGATCTTTTGGATTGATTGTCATGCCGGTTTGACAATAACAAATACCACCATTTAATGATGCTTTACATTTATGTTCACACATCAATGAATCACAATTTTTCATGGCTAATAAAATGAGAAAGTGGAAGAAAATTGTTAATCGAAAATCGTTTTTGAACAAAATAAAGTTATTTTTCAGAAAAACAAACAAACATACAGCAAGCTTCTTTTTCATCGGCACCATCTGTACAATCGGCAATTCCATCGCATAATTTTTCACGATTAATACATTTCTTTTCTATAGGACATAGAAATTTATTCTCCGTACATGATACAACAGCTATAATAATCATTATTATTATCGTTAAATGATTTATTGAAAACATGTTTATTTATGTACAAAACTTACTGCAATTAGCCTCATCGATTGCATCATTACAATCAGAATGGCCATCACAACGCCATTTAGCTGGTATACAAATAGCGTTCGTACAACGGAATTGATCGGATGCACATGGTGGAAAATCACAATTCTCTTCATCGGATAGATCACCATCGCCGCAATCGCTCCAATGATCACAACGTTTTGTTTCTTCAATACATTTTTTACCACTGGCACAACGAAATTCATTCAATTGACAAGCGGTTCCATCTAAAGAAATGAATAGAATTGTTGTAAATGTTTTTTTACCGATTAAAATTAAAATTAAAATCCTATTATTATTATTAATTGATAACCGATCGACTTACTATGGGCACAATCTTTTTCATCCGATTCATCTCGACAATCATTATAACCTATTAAAAAAAATGGACATTAATGAAAAAAAAAATTTGTTTCAATTAATAAATCAATCAAAAAATAAACATTACACATTTACCATCACATTTTTTCAATGCTGGAATACATATTGCGCTACCATTATTTTGGCATACATGATCGTCAGGCTGACAAGGTCTATAGGCTATTTATTTATTTGTCCATGTAAAATTTCACAAAAAAAAGTTAATTAAATTATTATTCGTGTTTTTTTTTAGTTAAAATCATCATCATAATCAATCATAATAATTTTCAATCATGAGATTGATCATCATTGTAATTGTTGTAAATGTATGAAATGGAATGAATAATAAATGTTTTTTTTGTATATCAAATCATCAATGTATGAATTTAATTGAATAATACTTACAGCATGTTTCTCCTTCATCCGATCCATCCTGGCAGTCAACAATCTGAAATTTGTTTGAAATGAAAAAAAACAATCAATAATGATGAAAATAACAATTTTTTTCTAATGAGAAATAAAAAAAAAACATCATCATTCATACCTTATCACAGTGCCAGTGTAATGGTATACAATAGGTTTTATTGAATACATATTGACCACAGGTGAATTGATTTGGATCACATTGTGGTGGTGGACAGGATTGATTCTCATCTTCATCACCTTCACAATCTTTTTGAAAATCTAGATTTAATTGATTTGTAAAAAAAAAAAATTCTCACCATCAACAACAACAATCACCACATTGACGACAAAAAAAAACATACCACAAACCCAACGTTTCGGTATACAATTTCCATTATTACAACGGAATTGATCTGGTGTACAATTTTTTGATGATGATGATAATGATAATGATTTATTTGCAAATGTTGATGACAAGATTCCTGGATTGTTGTTGTTGTTGTTGTCTTTTTTTCAAGCAAAGAAAAGAAAAGAAAAATTAAATTTTTTGAATCAAAAGAAAAAAAAAAAAAACATTGTTATTTATAATTTGTTCATCATCATTCATCATTTTATTACAGTGTGTTTGTGTGTTTGTGTCCATTAGTATTAATATTACACACACATTGTGTTAGCCCAAGCCTATTATTCATCATTATCATCTCATCCATATCAAACATGTGAAAAAGAATTATTAAAAAAATTCAATTCTTTCACTTGTTATTGTCATGCTGGACAATAGACCAGAGTAAAATGATGGTGTCCTAAATATTATCATCATACACATTTGAGACACACACACAATTGAATTAACAGGCAGAAAAAAAAATTTTCATTCAAATGATGATTGAAAAAAAAATTACCACCACTAGTAGCAAAAAAAATATTTAGAGCAAGACCGGTAGTGAAAATGTATGAATTTTTTTTTTTTGATAAATAAAAAGCAGAAAATTTGTCCTTATTTTTTTCATTCATCAATCCATTGTTTTTTTGAATGAATTTTTATTTCGAAAAAAATGCCTTTCAATTCTAAATAATCTCATTTATTCAACAACAACAACAACAACAGAAAAAAATTCAATTCATTTTCAATCAACCGAATCAATTTCGTCGTTATAAAACAACAACAACAACATCCAAATCAAATCAAATCAACCAAATCGATCATCGAATGAATAAAGTTTGAAATAAAAAAAAATCTGTAAAAGGGGAAGCAAAAAAAAAAAAAAAAATCTGGTGATTTATGATCAAACAAAAGACCTTGAATACAATACATAATGTAGTAAAACTTTTCGTTTACCACCACAACCCTTTTCATCATTTTTTTTCTACTTCTTCTTCTTCTTCTTCAAAATCAATCAATTGGCAATCTAACAATTCATTCAATCATGTAATGTGTCGATTTATTGGATTTTCGTTTTGTTTTTCATTTTTTTTCTGTTCATCATCCAAATTCACCATCATCAGTTTTTCTTCAATTTTTTAATTTCAATTTTATCATCATCATCATCATTATCATTCGGATTTTCTTTCAACAACAACAAATAGCGTCACACTAAATGAAAATTAGCAGTTTGTTGTGTAATCAACGACATGTACTTGTGTCTCTATATTTTATATAGAAATTTATAATTATTAATTGTACCTATACGATATCTGACAAAAAAGTGAAGAATTAAAAAAATTATGTGTCAAGCGATAAACACTCCCAATTCGATTGAATGTTTCACGTATGATGATGATGATGATAATAATGATGAGATAACCAATCATCAACTCTTTTTTTCTAAACCGAAACGAATTTAAATGAAATCAAATGATAAAAAAAAATGTCTACCGATATCGAAATGTTGTTGTCATAATAGAGATCTATCAACATACAGGTTGTATAAAACACATAAAGCTGAATAAACTGTGAGTATGTGTGTATGTATACAATCGATTGATTGATTGATCAATCGATCAAGTAATCGCAATAGTATTGTGTTAATTTTGTTTGTTCTTTTTCTAAAAAAAAATTAGGTTAATCAATCAATAATGTAATGATGGTGGCGAATAAACGGAAACCAGTTGAATTTTGTATCATTTAAAGGCTAATAAACGGTACATTATGATGATTGATAATTAATTAATCCATTTTGAATTTGATTGACGTTTCAACACTTCATTATGGATATTTTTCATATGAAAATATTTTGTTTTTATTTGTAAAAAAAACTTGATAATGATTAATTCAGTTTGCAAACAACAACAAAAAAAGTAAATTATCTGTTGATTAATCCATCTGATGAATGGTGGAAAAAAATCTTTGCAAAAAAAAAATTAAAAATAAAAATTCAAAGAAAACATTCAATGATTGTGATGATCATATCCTTGATCATCATTATCATCATAATATAGAAAATAAAAATAGAAGCAACAACAACAACAACAAAATTCCATATCCTTGATCATCAATAAAGGACATAAACTTTAAAATAAACAGATTTAGATCCAATCCAATCCATCATCATTATTAATAATTTGCTACATGTGTAATGATGATCACAGAGAGAAAAAAACCAGAAAAATAACAAACAAGGAACAAAATAACATTTTGTTTATCGAGAAAAATTTTAAAATTTAGTTCAATTTGTTCAAAATGTTGCCACAAATGGCAATCGGAAGCAATAACAACAACAAGCCATTTGTATGATCAATTTGTACACGCGGTCAAAACACACACAAAGACAAAACACCACACTAATCTTCCTTCATCTGCCAAAAAAAATGAATGGGAAAAAATATTGAATTCACTAAGGCTTAGTGACTAAGCTAACCACTGCATGTGAATGTGAATGAAAATAAATCAATGAATGTGAAATAATCGAATGATGATATATATCTGATATTTGATCAGATCACATTGTGAATTGAAAAAAAGCTCGTTCGACAAGTTTCATGATCATCATCATCATCATCAATGTTTTTTTTCCTCTCAATAATGATGATGATAAAGTATTCACCGATACAAGTCGATCATGTTCATCTTTCATGGCTATGGCCATCATCATCATCATCATCATCACCAACATCATGATCATGGTTCGTAGACCTGAAAAAAAGTAAGGTTAAAAAGAAAAAAAAGAAGAAATAAATAAAAAAAAATTCAGAATTTAAACAAGGAATGGAAATGAATGGCGAAAAGAAAAAAAATACGACGATGATCAAAGTCAAAGTTTAGCCAAACAACAACAACGACAACGACAACCAAATGGCCAGACATATTAAAGACCGGCTATGTTGATGTCGATGATCTTAGGCTACCATATCAAGTCTTCGTCATCGTTTTTCAATGATGACGATGATGGCATCGTATCACCAGTTCAACCAACGAAACGAAACGAAATGATTGAACCGATGATGAACTGCAATGTATTGAGTCAAATAGCAAAGATAATTTTCAAGTTTTTTCTACAAACACACACACACACATTTAATCATTTTGAATTCAATTCACAGAAAAAAATTTGAGTTTTTTTTTCATTCATTTTATTTTCAATCATTCAATTCAATTGTTTCTGTAAAATGATGATGAAAAATATCTCTTTCTATTGTTGACTACAGCATGAATGCATCATTATTTATTATTAGGCCAAAGTGATAAATAGAAACGACCGTTATGTTTTTCGATTTCCCCTAACTCATTCCAGCAAAAAAAACCTTAAAATGATCAATAATCAAATGATGATCATTAACATCAAAATGAATGGAATTTTTTTTTTGAAAAAAACACAACAACAACCATCAACAATTGATGACATAAAAAGCTTGATTGATGGGTTATATTGGTTTGTAATTGAAAAAAACAAAAAAAAAAAAAAAACATAAAAAAAATTCGTGATTTAAAACTTACCATCTCCATGATGATGTAAAATAAATGTATCAATTGGAGATAATGTCGTCGTCGTTGTTGTTGTTGTTGTTGTTGTTTGATGATGCTGTTGTTGCTGTCGCTATAGATGAGGTAATTAATAATAGATGAATAAAAAACATTATACACGTTATATTATTATATGCTAAATAATTATTATTATAATGATGATGGCCATAATTATGACTTTGATGATATCGATATCGATGATGATTTTGACCACAATTGGTTTGTTGCACATTTATTGATTGTGATGATGATTGTTGACATGATTGTATTTTATTGATTGAATTCAATTTTGTTGTTGGTAATAATGATGATGATGTTGTTGTTGTTGTTGTTTTTGTTGTTGAATCATCATTGATACCAACAATGACATTGATTCGATTACGAGTTCTTGGTTTTGGATCTTCAATCTTCATCATGAATAATCTTCTCGTTTTCATTATTAATGAAAGTTCGATTTTCATCCAGGAAAAATTATTATTACTATTTTTTTATCTTTCAAAAATGATCAAAACTTTTCCAATCATCATTATCATCTTTATGATCAAAATGATAATGTTGAATATTTACTGGATGACTTTTTTTTATTGGTGATGTGATATGCTGTGTATGAAATTTGAGACACACACATACATACACACAAAAAAAACCGGAACGGGATGCGGAAATGAATTTCGATGAATTTGAATGGATGATGATGATGATGATGATGACGATGATCAATTGAACAATTTGATTTTTGTCAACACAATAAACACATCAATACACAGACGCACACACACACACACAATGGATGAGCATGAAAAATAGATTGAAAGATTCAAAATACTGTCACTATCAGTTGATTTATTTGGCTATTAACAAGAAAGAAAAAAAACGAATGAAAATTTCCATGAATAATATTATCGATTGAAAATGAAAATGGTGAAATGCAACAGCAAAAAAAAAATTCGACAAACAAACGCACACACGCATCAAACACCAAATGATGGATGGGGATTTATAAATGTTCAATGAATGAAAAAAAAATTAGTGGTTACCATAGAAAGCACACACACACACACGTTCACCAGAAAAAAACACTTGTTGTTGTTGTTGTTGTCATCAGATAGGTAACCATTGAAAATGATTATTATCAACAGAAAAAAAGAACATACACACACACACACAGTGAATACCTAGGATTCAAATTTCACATGGATTCATCAATTTTTGTGTATGTGTGTGTGTATGTGAGTATATGAATTCAATTCAATATCACACATATACAATCACGGAATAAAATCAAAAAAAAATCGATTATCAACAATCGATCGAATCGAATTTCATAGCATTGAAATTTTGTATGTATCACCAAAAAAAAAAAATCCACAATTCAAACAACACATTAAATCATTGATTATAAAGTTTTAGGTGTGGATTTTTAAAGCAAAAAAAAAAGTATATCACCAATGTTGGTCACATATTCATCAATTTTTTGTTGATTGTATTTATATCTACAGGTTGTTGTTGTTGTTGTTGTGGATACACATTGAAACAATGAAATTAAAACAAAGACAATAACAACAACAACAACAACAAAAACTAAACCAGAAAAAAAGACACTTTGTCCATGGAAAAAATTCGCTGTTGTTGCCGATGATGATGCTCAAAGATCGTCAATTATTATTGTTGTTGTTTTCGATGAATGGAAAAAAAAAAAAACAAATCATTAAAATCAATGAGAAATCAAAATATTAACCGGATGTTTATATTCGCAAAGGAAACACACAATATAAATAAATTTTTTTAATGAATCAAATTTTTTTTTTGATTCTGGAACACACTGGTAGCGGCCACCACGCGTATACACACGTCAAAATAATATCATTGTGGCAAAAAAAAACACACACACACATACACAATAGTTGTCTTTGAGAAACAAAACAACAAAAAAAATTATTTTGTATATTCACCTGTTGATTAGATTGGTATATGCGTATGTGTTTGTGTGTGTGTGTGAAACTGACCGAAGAAAAAAATTGTTTGTATGTATGTGTTTTTGTGGTGGTATGTATGTACAACAAAATATGCCACACCGACACAACAACTGTATATATTTCTTTACCTGTATCATTTATGGTTGTTGTTGTTGTTGGAATGGTAGGTTTCAATGATGATGATGATGATGATGGTTAGAGTTTCGGTAGTGTGTGATTCTTTCTCTTTCTCGTTTTTCGTAGATCTGAATTTCTATTTTTTTTTTCGGCCAGTTTTTTTTCTCCAATCATCAAAACTAATAAGAAAAGTTCTGAAAAAAACAAGTCCTAGCTATAATGGTGATGATGATGACGATGAATGGTGAACACTTGTTGTTTTTGCCGTTTACTGATAACCACCATCTTTTTTCTTGCATACGTTTTTTTTTGGTGGTAGCATTATGTTGTATATATAGTGTATATTATTCAACACTGGACTTTCAGAATGGTAGAAAAAAAGATTCTATGAGCAAAAAAAAATCAGCATACAACATAAATGAACAGCCATCATCATCATCAGACAACACAGGTGAAACAATCATCAAACAAACAAAAAAAACCCGAACATACACACACACACACACAAAAAAAACCACTATGACGGATTTTTTTTTCTGTTTCTAATAATTTTCAAAGATAAAAAATATTGGTTAACGAAGAAAATCTAAAATAAAAGAGAATCATCACATACTTACACATAGCATCGGGAAACAAAAACAAAAACAAAAAAAACTAATAAAAAAAAAGATGAGACCAAGGTAAGATGATGTTAATGAAGAAGTGGTTTGGTTTGATCGGTTGTTATTTATTATAACTGAACATGGACATTCCACGCCTTACTTGTGTGTGTGTGTGTGCGAAGTGAATATTAATGGAATGAAAAGAGACATTTTTCGATAGAAAAAAAACAAACAGAGAGAGAAAGAAAGATGGATATGATATTTTTTTTCTATAGTGGAAACGGAAAGTGGTGTTTATTGATGACGATGATGAATGTTAAACCGTGATGTTTGTTTGTTTGTTTGAAGCTTAAAAAAAATGGTGATGATAGAGTAAATCAATGAAAGAGAAAGAGAGAGAGAGAAATACATTTTCAGGTTACTTTCAAATGATGATAAATTATCACTTACGGAAGATGATTATGTCATCGAGAGTGTTTGATCAGAAAAAAAACATTCGAATTTGAATCAATATAGGTAAGAGATTCGAATGGTTTGTGTGTGTGCGAGTATGTATTATGATGAGAAAAACCAAATACCACTAGTTTATTATACGATTGATGAGTAAAAAAAAAACCAACAATAACAAAAACAATCAGGTTTTTGATTTTTTTTTCTGATCAACTGGAACCAACAAAAAAAAAGTTAAAATCTTTTAACCATCTTTTTGATCATCAATTGTGAATGATGATGATGATGATGAGAGCGAAACATAGACACATAGAGAGAGCTAGAAAGGCTATATCAACAGTAATAGATATTTATGTGTTCAATGAAATTCGAGATTGAATGAATGAAAAATTTGTAAAAAGAGTCGAAATATCCGGCAATCATTATCGAACGGTGATAGATAAGGCGAACGGAAAAAAAAGAGAAGAAAAAGGAGCGGATGGAAATGAGAATGAAAATCAATCTACTAAATTCATTCATTGATCTATTAATCTCAGTTCATTACATATATAATATATTTTCGAATAAAAAATCCTAAAAACAAATAGATTAAACATCACACACACACACACACACACACATGAATGACAAATCAACAGGTTGTCTTCTACTTGTTCCCGTGGGGGAGAGGGGTGAAAGAAAGAAAGAAAACAAAAAATTACGCTCTGTTTTTTTTTCTTGTATACAACTTTTCAAGATGATGACTATGATGTTCCCAAAAATAGATTTAAGATTGAATTTAAGATTTTCTTATTTCAATAATTTATTAAAAAAAAAATACTATGTTTACACATTGTGGAAATTTTTTTTTCTTCTTCTTCGCCATTCAAAATTATTACCAAACACACACATCATCATCATCACACATTTTGTTGTTGTTGTTGTCGCACCTGAATTCGAATGTTTATTATTTATTTATTTGTTTTTCATTTTCGTATTTTTCTTTACTTTCAATAATAATAATAATTTTGATGATGATCACAAGATAAGAATGTTGGTGCCTGTGGTGGTGGCAACAATTTTCATCATCATTGCATCATTCGTTTTTTTTTGCACATCATTATGGGAATTATCGATAATTTTATGCGTTAATAAATTATGCGTTAAATCAGAGAGAGAGAGAGAGAGAGAGAGAGAGAGAGAGAGAGAGAGAGAGAGAGAGAATCTCAAACAACGATAATTTGATACAGATTTAACACACACACACACACACACACACACACACATTTGACAAATTCTTGAATCTCTAGAGGAAAAAAAAATCCTTTTTTTTCCAATAAATTCAAAAGTGTAAAATTTATTGTGAATTGAATGCACACACACACACACACACACACTGGGATGAGCGCGCGTGCCATAAATTTTCATGTAATAAAAAAAATCGGGGAAATTCCAAAAATTTAAATGTGAACAAAAAAAAAAAATGACGACAACCAAAACATGCGTGAATTTTTTTTTTATTTTCTAAAGAATTTTGTTTTTCAAATTGAAATTGAAAAATTTAAAATTTTTTTTTCACACGAAAATTATCGCCATCTATTGATAGGAATTTCTAAAAAAAAATTACAAACAATACCACCATCTATCGGATGAATGTGTATGAACGATATCATTTTTCTCAATGTTGATGATGATTGATTCTTTATTTCGTCATGTAAACAAGTTTTTTATTATTATCAATCAAAATTGTTTTTTTTTTGGCCTGAATCCATTTACACAAACGAAATAAAAATGATAATAATAAATCATTCAATTCATCAAATGTGTCTTTTATTATTATTGTTGGTGATGATTATGATGGTCGACATGGGAAATTCTGAAAATGATCGAATCAAATTGAAAGATATTCAAACATTAACATTACATTCGGATCGTTGGACAGCCGCTCGTCGAACATCACCAATTCAACAATTAACATGTGTTGGTGACCATTGTAATCGTGTACGAATCTATTCCGCTCAATGTTATAATCGTGGTTCGGATGGTCGATCCATTCAATGGGAATGTAAAGCTGATATGCCTTCAAAATATAAATTTGGACAATTGGATATGTCATGTGAAGGTTATGATTCAAAGGATGATGAATATATTTTTGCTGGTTCCTGTGGTCTTCGATATACTATTGTTGAACGTTCTGGTGGTCATCAACAACAAGCCTTTCCAGGTGGAAATTATTTCAGTGGTCATGATCGAATGAAACCAGCTACCAAATCAACTAAGAATGAATCATTTTCATTCATACCGATTATTGTTGTTGCATTGATCATATTTTTCATCTATTATAAATGTCTTCGAAAAAGTTCGAAATCAAATGAAACGGATAATTCCAATACTGCTCGTCATGGTTATGGTAATGATGGTAATCAATTTCCATTTTTCGCCCGACCTTCAGCACCACCACCACCTGGATTTCGATCCGATTTATTTCAACAAGAATCACAACAACATCAGCCACCGCCTCAACCATCAATGGCTTCATCTTATCCGAAACATTCGGCTAGTGGAAGTAGTAGTATATGGCCAGGTATGTTGGGCGGTATGGCAACCGGTGGTCTTATGGGCTATTTATTGGGTTCCAATCAAAATCGTACCGTACCGGACCATACATCTTCATATTTTGATGATGATAATAATTTTGGTAGATCATCAACGGCCGATACATTCATGAATTCCAGTGGAGGAGGATTTTTTGGTGGTGGTGGTGGTTCCAATGATGATGGCGATATGGCCGAATCGACTGGTTTTGCATCCACTTCTGAACGTTAATAAGCAACAGCAACGGCCGCTTGATGATAATATGTCATCTTTTGATCTTTTAATTTACGAATCTTCAATCATTAATCTGCAAGAAAAACACAACAAAATTACGATTACATTCATTATATTTTAATATCAGTCAATAGAAAGAATTTTTGTTTGTCTTTTTTTTCAATGTAAATAAATTATTTCAAAAAAAAAATAAATAAATAAAACATTTAGCGTGTTTACATTTTTTTTTACCAAAATGAAGCCATATGGTGAAACTTGACTTCTTTTTTTTTTGGCCATCGATTGATTTGACATCAAAAAAAATACCACACATTGATTGGTAAACGATTTTTTTTCTGTTCTGGTGTTGTTGTTGTTGTTGTTGTTGTTTTGGTAAAAGAAAAGAAACATTAAGCCTTAGCAGGGGTTCCACTCCTTCTTGTTTTCGGGTGGCTTTTCTTTTCCATTTTCTCGGTTTCTTTTGCTGTGTGTGTGTGTGTGTTTGTTATCATCGGAATGGTTTTTTTTTCTCTCTCTCTTTCGGCTATGTTAATAGTGTGTGTGTGTGTGTGTGTGTGTGTAGTTATGGTGATTTGAATTAGTGGTGGTGGTGGTGGTCGTCGTCGTCGTCGTCTTTGTGAGCCATCTTCATCTCTTGTTGATGATCGTTATGTATGAGCTCAACTCGTGTCAACCTGTGTATATGTGTAACAATAAAGAAGAAAAAAAAACAAAAACAAAAACAAATCCAATTTCAATTTGATCAATATTTCAACAACAAAAACCAAATCTTTTTTTTTCACTATGAATAATCAACAGGTTATAAATTAATTATTAATCAATCAATTAATCAATGACGATTTTTGACTATTAATTCATCAAAAAAAAAAAAAAAATGTCAATGAAGATGGAGATGATCATGAAATGTTTGAAAATTTTCATATTTTTATCATTTATATCAAATATGACATGTATAATTGAACATGTTGAAGATGAACCGGTAACATTACCGGAAAGTTGTGAACCAATCATAATACCAATGTGTAAAGATATTAAATATAATCAAACAATGTTTCCAAATATTTTGGGCCATATTAATCAAGAATCAGCTAAAGATGAAGTACATCAATATTTACCATTGGTTAAAATTAATTGTAGTCCACATTTGCAGATATTTTTATGTTCAATCTATGTTCCTGTTTGTAATGTATTGGAAACACCATTGAAACCATGTCGTTCATTATGTATATCGGCACGTAAAGGTTGTGATGTATTGATGGAACAATTTGGTTTTCGTTGGCCAGAACATTTGGATTGTGCAAAATTTCCTAAATCTGATCAAGAATTATGTTTTGGTGAAAATAATGATCATCATCATCATCATAATAATAATAATCATAATGAACCGAATGAAATGATTGATACACATTTTCCATCCAATCCAATGGATATAAATAGCTGGTATAATCATGGTATAATCGGTAAACATGGTAATTCTCATCATAATCATCCACATTATCAACAACATCCATATGGTTCATCAATGTCAAATATGACATATCGTTATCATCATCAATTACCATTTAAATGTCCATTGAATTTTGTCGTACCATCCGGTATGGATTATGTATTTCGAATACAAGGTAAAGAACATAAAGATTGTGGTATGCCTTGTGATGGACTATTATTCGATTCAAAAGAACGTCATCTAATTCGTATATGGACTGGAATGTGGGCCATATTCTGTGTGATTTCAACATTGTTCACAATACTTACATTTCTAATTGAACCAAGAAGATTTGAATATCCAGAAAGAGCCATAATATTCTTGAGTATGTGTTATTTTTTCATCGGTATTGTTTTTATCTTTGGATTTTTATTAGACGATTCTGTTGCTTGTAATCAACCGTTTCCACAACCAAATGGTCATACAAATGTCCAAATGATTCGAACAATATCACAGGGTAACAAAAATGAAAAATGTACCCTTTTATTTATGACATTATATTTTTTTCTTATATCGAATTCAATTTGGTGGATCATATTGACCATATCATGGTTTTTATCCGCTTGTTTACAATGGGGCAATGAAGCTATAGAATCGAATGCCCATTATTTTCATCTATTCTCATGGACAATACCGGCTATAATGACAATTTTTGTATTGGCAATGAATAAAGTTGAAGGCGATATACTAACTGGTGTTTGTTTTGTTGGCATATGGAATCCATTCTATATGATCATATTTGTATTGATACCTATTGCCATATTATTATTATTGGGATTCATTTTTCTTGTGTCCGGTTTCATATCATTATTACATATTCGTACAACAATGAAATCAAAACGTAATCTTGAAAAATTTGATAAATTTATGCTTAAAATTGGTTTCTTTTCCATTCTATATCTAATTCCATCATGTACAATGCTTGTTTGTTATTATTATGAACAAAATAATATTGATTCATTTCTACTTTCATGGCTTCAAGATGTTTGTTCAAGATTTGATTATGGTATTCCATGTCCAAATTTTATATCAAATAATCCATCACCGTCATCATCATCATCATCATCGGCAACGACGACTGATAATCATATTGTACAGCCAGTAAAACCTAAATTAATTATTTATTTAGCTAAATATTTAAGCTTTTTAATGCCTGGTATTATATCTGGTTTTTGGATTTGGTCAGAAAAAACTGTCAGCTCTTGGAATCGTATTATAAGAAGATTCTGTTGTATAATAAATAAACAACGACAACAACAATTTGATGATTATGTATGATGATGATGACAAATCATCATCAACAATCAACGAGCTCTTTTATATTTATTTTGTTGTTTTTTGTTTGTAAAATTAATTTTAAAGTAAAAAAAAATCACCATAATGTAAAAAAAGAACATCAAACATTTCTTCACATTTTGTTCGTTGCCATTTATATAATACATACGCATTTATTTTTTTGTTCATTCGAAATTTTCATCAGTCTGATGGTTGTGTGTGCCTTATGCAAATTAAATTTTTTTTTGTTTTTGAAAACCAAAATAAATTCAATTTTTTTTTATCAACGAAATATGCGCATCATGCATAGTTTTTTTTTAAATTAACGTAATTAACAACCACTAACGAATGAGAATAACCGAATCAAGAATTTGTTGATTCGTAGTGGTTTCCAAACCATTCTTTCTCTCTTACTCTCATTCGCATCTAAACCAAATCCTAACCACGAAGCTGTCCAAAAACGGCAAAAAAATCAATCGAACGATAATAATCGTTTGGATAACATATTTTTAAATACGAGTTGCTAAAGAACCAGCCAAAACATCGAAAAAAAAGGGGAATGAGCATGCATTCTAAACCAAACAAAATTCAACCGAATGAGAGAGATTTCCAATTCTTTTTTGTCGTTCCAGTTAAGATTTACATTGTGCAGCACAGCACGGTGATCATTTTTGTTTTGTTTTGTTTTTGTTTTTTTTTTTTTTTGAATGATGACGACAATCGCGTTTCTCAAACATGACGAGAGCATGCTCGCCGTGTTTGTTTTTGTTTGTTGTTGGGCTATACAAGATGCAAGTTTGATGACATGAGTCAACGAGTAAAAACAAGAAAAGAAAAAAAATCTCACGTTTAAATCCAATATACGTGTTTGATATATCATTGGGTAAATAATCAATCAATCAAATAATAAAAAAACGTGGAAGAAATCATTTCATCGTTTATTGGAAATCAATCCATTTCATTTCATCCATCGATTATGAATTCGAATGTCTAAAAAAAAAATTGGCTCAATATTGTCCATCGGTATTGTCATTTTTTTTAAATCATCAATAAAAAACAAAGTAAGTGCTTTGACTTTTTTTTCAAATGCAATCACTTTTTTTCTTGTTTCTCATTCCATTGTACACACACACATTTTTTTGATTTGATTTGATTTGATTTGATGAATGAATGAATGATAATTCTAATCTAATCTGAAATGTTGATGAATTTATTATATTTATAGAGAGAGAATGAGAGAGAAAAGGAAGAAATTGTTTTTATGATGATGATGATAAAATCATTGTCGTCATCATCATCATCATCATCATAATGATTATCGTCTACAATTGTCACATCATTTATAGTTGATGATGATGATATGTGCCTATAGTGTTTTATCATGACAAATCTGTATTATTAGAGGAAAAAAATACGATTACAATCAATGATGATGATGATGATGATGATAACAATAGATCGAGAGAGAGAAAATTAGCGCAATCATAAATGATGATGACACGTACACACGTACACACACACAGAGAGAGAGATAGCGAGAGAAGAAATGGTTGATTAAAAATCGAATCAATCAATAAAAAACAATTATTGAATGGATGAAATTCATTCGATTATGGAATATAAGATTTATGATGAAAAACAATAACAACAAATACACTTCCAATCACAATAGACCATCAAGATAAATGAATCAAGTTGTTCCACAAATATTGATGATGATGATGATGATAATAGAAGCCAGATAGATCCAGTTGTATCCAGAATTTTGGATTGTTTGTCATTAGAGTTTATTTTTGTTTTCATTTCATTCAACAACAACAACAACAACAACAGCTGCAGCTACAGAATATCACTATGGTAATTTTATCATTGATCATTGGAACCGAAATTCTATGGATTCAAACTATTTATTTTGGATGAAACAAAACAAAACAAAACAAATCAAATAATAGGCAATAAATATTGATTGATTCGAACCTGAAAGAATTATAATTTAGATCAAATGTAGAAATCCAGTCCAATAACACAACAGCAGAATTTCATTAATTTGAAAGTTTCATTAATGTTCCAAGCACACGAGAAAACAAATTAACCTTTATCATGAATCAATCAAATGGATGAGAGAAAGAAAAAAAAATCCAATTATTTATCACCATCAATTAAATTTTTTTATTATTATTAGTTGGAAATTTTGTTATTGACATTGACCATGAAAAATACCCAATATAATAATCATTCGAATTCGATTCCAGAATCTAATCTAGGGTATAAATAGAGTCGAATGAATGAATTTTATTTTTCATTTTTCTTTTCTGGAACATGAAATTTCTCTGTGTAAGGTGTGTGTGGTACTAATCTAATCTTTTTTTCTTTTTTTTCGTTTGATCCATTTCATTTTTTTTTTTCATTTTCATTTAGATTAAATAAAATTCCATTCAATTCATCAATCCATCCATCAAAAATGTCAGCATCATCATCATCATCATCATCATATCTATCGAATATAATCCAGAATAAAAAGATTAACTATCTGAATAGTAATAATTATTCCGGTGCTGTTGTTGATAATGAAACGGCTGGTGATAATAATGGTATGTAAAAAAATGATTATAATCAATAATGATTTGATACATTTACGATGCCAAAAAAAAATTGATGATGGTCGGTAATCATATGATCATTCAATCTGATTGATCAACCGTTATATGATTGGCGGTAATTTTTTTCAACATCAAACAAACAAAAAAAAAAATGTCTACAACAATCAACTAAATTGTCGGTTTTTATTTTATTGATCTTTAACACCTTGAGAATATATGTATATTATTTGTCAGGGAATGTATGATAGAATAAAATTGTCAAGTGTCGGTGTTGTTGTCAATCAAACACACACACACACACACACACACATGTATATAATATCCATAGGTCCTTGAGTTTTTTTTTTTTTTTTCCATCTAGTTTCTTTGTTTATTCAATGGTGTGTGATTAGATTTTCAACAAAAAAGAAATGCTATTTTTATCCATTTTTTAAGTTTATTTTTTTTTCATTATTTTTTTTTAAATAATCACGTACAGTAAATAGTAGTGTGTGTTTGTTATTTTTGTCTGAATTATTGAATTGAAATGATAGCCAAATCTAATGATGATCATGAGGTGGATAAAAAAGAAATTCGTTCGTTTATTTTGCGTTTGTAAACATTCGATTTCATTGAATCAAGGCAACTTTTTTTTTTTCGTCTGCATATCGTCGGTGTGTGTTTGTGTGTATGTGTAACATTCGAAATATTTATCACAAACAACGTGAAATATGTTGTTGTCGTTGTCGTTAACACTTTGATTGTCTTGTCTGAAAAAAAGAATCACAAAGAATCATTCTCATATACTGAATAGGCTGAAAAAGAAAGTATATTTCATTTTTGTAATTTGTCACAAGTTTTTTTTTTTTTTCATTCTTTTTTTTTTCTGCACAATCATTCATTGAACAGTGATACCTAATATCATCATCATCATCATCATTCAGTCAGTCAGTAAATTGTAATCTTTTCAGTCAGTCTTTTTTGATTTTTTGATCTCTATATGTAAAAAAAGTTTGTGGAAATAATCACAATCATCATCATAATCATAAAAAAATTGTTGTTGGTTGGTTGATTGTAATCAAAATTTCCAAATAATAAAACACATCTCAAGAGTTTGTTTGTTTGGTTATTACTTATTACTGTCGTATTCTGAAACGTTTGTTTTGCAATGATAAACAACAATTGATTGATAATTGAAATTTTTATGCTTCCCATTTCAGTTTGATTTTTGTGTGTGTGTGTGTGTATATTATTTACTTTGTGGCATTTTTATAACAGATTTAGAGCATTATCTAAATCATGATTTGTGTATAAAAACGTGGCCACATTTACACATGTGCATTTTATATTTGATCCATCCATTTTTTTTTCGTTTTGATGATTTCATTTATACTTTAGTGTGTGTGTGTGCGTGTAATATTTTTTTTTTTTGTTTCCAACGAACCAACGAACGATTATTCTTCTAGAATTTTTGTTTTAGAGAATAATAATAAATTCCTGAAAATCTATAAACACCGTATATATATCATCATATAGATCAAGATGTTTATGCATTTTTGTCGCCATAAAAATTGTTTCGTTATATTTGTTTCAATATTATGGACTACTTAATATATAATAATTGATTATTTCTGATTGTGATTTATTTTTCATTTTTATGTTTTGAAAAGAGCTTGTTGTATTGAAAATTCAATTTTTAAATTTACAATTTGATTTGATTCAATTTATTCGAATCTTTTGATCGACTATTTTTACAGCCATAGCGAACACAAACATTCAAACAAACATTCGAAATTTTGTATTGAATTTTTTACTTGATTTTTTTTTTTTTTGAAACAAACCAAAAACAAAACAAAACAAAAAAACACTGAAAATGTTGTCCGTTGGAACACCGAATGAAAAATTATATAAACGATTATTATCGTCGAATAATAATAATAATAATAATGGTTCAATTCCATTGGTTAAAAAACAAAATTCAACACCATCAACAATATTGACAACGAATAATAATAATAATCTTGATGATTTGATTAAAATAAAACCATCATTAAATTGTGGTATCGATGTTAAAAATCATGTAATTAATCTTTTTACATCGTCCACATCGACAGCTTATAATATTCGTACAACATGGAATACAATTGGTCAATTGGTTACAGTACCAGCACCATTGGTTATTGCTGGACCATCCGGTAGCGGTAAAAGTACATTATTAAAACGATTGATGAATGAATTCCAGGATTGTTTTGGTTTCAGTATTTCACGTATGTTTTATGAACACAATTTTGAGTTGAAATTGAATTTTTGTATATAAAGAAAAACTAATTCCGTTTATTCTTTTGATATTTTTTTTTTTAGATACAACAAGAAAACCTCGTAAAGGTGAACAAAATGGACGTGAATATTTTTTCATTAATCCAGAAACATTTGAACAAAGTATTCAAAATGATGAATTTATTGAATATACTCGTTTTTCTAACAATTATTATGGTACAAGGTAAATGGAATTTAATTTAATCGAAAAAAAAATTTCTGATTAATCTCACTTTTTTTTCAAATCATAGTAAAAAAGCTGTAAAAGATGTACAGAATTCTGGTAAAATCTGTATACTTGATGTTGAAATTGATGGTGTAAGAAATTTGAAAAAGACCGATCTAAATCCACGATTTGTATTTATAAAGCCACCAAGTTTGGAAATTTTGGTATGTGATAATGATGATCAGAATCAGACCTTTCTAGAATTTGTAAGCTAATAAGATGATTTAATTTTTTTCTATTTGTATTCTAGGAACAACGTTTACGTAGTCGTGGCACAGAAACAGAAGAATCTATTCAACAACGTTTAACACGTGCATTAGAAGAATTAAAATTTGGTGAAATTGAAGGAATGTTTGATCTAATCATTACAAATGATGATATTGAAAAAGCCTATAGTATTCTACGACAATTTATTGTTAATGTAAGTACATTGTAAATTATGTGAATGATAATTAAATTAACACATCTCTCTCATTGATTATATTTAATAGGAGGTTGAAGCATTGAAAAAATCTCGTGGAATGTAATTGGAAAAAAATAATGAAAAGAAAATCAAAAAAAACATCATCAAAGAAAGATGAAGATAAAAATTATCAACTACATTTCAACTTTGATGTTCCGGTTTCATCCGTATTTTTTTTTTTTATTCGAATAGTTCTCTTTCTTTCGTTCTTTTCGTAACATTCAACAAATAGGCAAACAACATCGGAAAAAAATATTTGTTTAGTATTTGTCCACAACAAATTCGTAAATCAACATTTTCTTATTTCGATATAACAAGAATTTTTATATATCGCACACACACACACACACACACACCAGAAAGAGAGAAAGACACATACACGTTTGAAATCCCACCAGTCTTTTTTTTTTGCTTTTATTTGTATCTTTTTTTTTACTTTTTTTGTATCTTTTTTTTTGTTTGTTTTTAATTTTTAACTTTTTATTTTCATTCTTTGATTTTACACCTTGCACACACACACACACACACACACATCGATCATGAGTGAAAACATTGCATTTTTATCAGACAAATATCAAATATTTACAATTGAAAACTGAATGAATAATAATAATAATAAAAATTTAGAAACGCAAAAATCCAATTCAATTGCGGTGTGGTTCGAATGTTTTATTTTGCTGTTGTTGTTGTTGTTGTTGTCATGCACACATTTTCATCATCATCATCATCATCATCATCGGATTGTCGAATGTGATAATCAGAAACAAAATATGTTGACCAATATTTCTATTTCTAACAACAAAAAAAAACCATTTTTGATTGGCCAATTTTCTTGGATACAATGTACAATGAACAAATGAATGAAATGAAATTGGAACACATACAACATTACAAAAAATTGTTTGAAAGGAAGAAAAAAAAAGGATTTGGATTTTTTTTTTCACACACACACACACACATTACCATTAAACAAGGCCAGCGAAAAAAAAATTTTTTTTCTCTATTTCATTTGCATTGAAGCATTTTTGTTGTGTTTAAGAAGCAACAACAGCAACAACAACAACAACAATAGCAAAAAGGAAGTCAAGTATGTCACCGGTTTTTGATTTGAAATTGGAAAAAAAATTTGACAAGAGAGAAAAAAAAAATCAGCAGAGAGAAATAACAAACTCGATTTAGACTTTTTTTTTCTTCTTCTTCTTTTTCTTTTTTTGGACCATTGTGTTTATTATTTATTCATACATCGATTGTTATTTCGACAACAACAACTTTGAAGAATGTACAATACAATATTGTGTTCCATTGTGACCGATGATGAATTATTATTATTGATTGATGATGATGATGATGCTGTGATCAGTATGTGTCCATTGTGAAGAAAACAATAAAAAAAAAAATACAGGTAAGAAATCAGAAAAAAAGAGAGAGAAAAAAAATATTAAACACTACTTAACCGGACAATCACAACAAGTTTCTCGTTATCGTTCAATATCACACACATCAAAATACATTGCATTCATTCAATCATTCTTGTGTGAAACATTACTTGTACTACTATTACTTTCAACGTATAACCAGAAAAAAAATTCGAATATACAAAAATCATAAAGATATGGATAGTCCCGTGTTTTTTTTTTCTTCAAACAAACAAAACACCAAGTTGGTCGATTGAAATATATATGATAAGTGTGTGAATTTGGCCAGCAAAAAAAAAAGTACAATCCATATCAATTCGTACAGTTTGGATTGGTTTCAAATTTTATTTTTTCAATGTTTTTTTCTCTCCACAGTTTGTGATACTGCGATAATAATATATATATCTTCTGTGTTATATTTCGATATTTTATTATTCATCACAAGCCAAGCCAAGTCTTCACAACAATTTTTTTGATGTTTTGTGTGTAACAAATGTTCTCATCATCGATAATCAACATACAAAAATAAATAGAAATTTTTTTTTTTTTGATAGATTTCGAACATTCTGCTTGTGTATGCGTGGGTGTGTTTGTTGTGTTTTTTTGTGAATCTAATTATTTTCATTATCAGAAATTGATATGAAAATTTGTGACAAACAACGCAGTATACATAAACTGGCTATATAACAAAAACAAAACGAAAAATTTTTTTTTTGTCATTTTAATAACATAGTCCGATGGTATTTATGTGTGTTTGATTTTGGTACTTGAATTTTTAATTTCTTTTTCTTTTTTTTTTTGTCGAAGAAACTTTGAATAAAACGACGATAATACAACGATAATGGCTAATAAGCAAATAATTTTGGTTACCGGATCCAGTGGTTGTCTTGGCCAACATGTTGTTCGTCTATTGCATGAACAAGATGATTGTGTACAGGAAATTCGTTGCTATGATCAGAAACCATTTCCAAATAATCTAAGTAAGTGGATAATAATTGAAAATTTATTTGGATTACTGATTTTTGTTTTTTTTATTATTATTTACAACAACAACAAAAAAATAGAACACAAAATAACAAAAGAAATGCAAATCATAACCGGAGATATACGTAATGAAAAACAATTGACAAATGCAATGAATGGTGTCAATGTTATCATACATTGTGCTGCATTGATCGATATTAGTTTGACACCAAATGAAACGGAAATGCAATCAATAAATGTTGATGGTACACAAAAATTACTTGAAATGGCCATAGAAAATAATGTCGGATATTTTGTCCATGTTTCCGGTACTGAAGTAAATATTGGCAATGATCCAATATATTATAGTTCAGAGAATACAATTATTATACCGAAAAAACATTTATTGGATCCATATTCCAAAACAAAAGCCAATGCTGAAGAATTGGTACGTGAATTTAATGGCAAAAAATTGGCCAATGATAATGATCGATTAAAAACGGTAATATTACGTCCAAATATAATGTATGGTGAAGAAGATAATCATTTTGTAACGAAAATATTGGCCATCACTAAAGCCAATGGTGGCCAATTACGACGTTTGGACAATGTATTTACACGTATGCAACCGATATATGTGGGCAATGTTGCACATGCTTGTTTGAAAGCAAAAAATCGTATACAAATTGATCAGAAAATATCTGGTGAAGAATTCATTATAACGGATGATACAAAAATATTGGATCCATTTGAATTTGTTGAACCATTCATTAAGGCACGTGGATTTCAAATGACCAAACGTGTCTATCCATATTGGTTATTCATCATGGTATTCACATTATATTGTTGGCTATGTAAAAAAATTGGTAATATTTTACCATTACGAATACCGGCTAATATGACACCGGAAACAGTAAAATTTATTTGCAATACATATTTCTTCAATCGTACTAAAGCAACATTACGTCTAGATTATGATCCATTATATGATCATGATGAATCTGTTAGTCGTAGTTTGGAATTTTATAAAAAATGTCCACTTTAATATTATGTTCATTCATTCATGTTTGTGTTTGTTTATTGCAAAACAAGAAAAAAAATAAAATAAAATAAAAGTAGAAATTAAAAGTCAAAAAAAAAAAAAAAAATGTTTGCCACCACACGATTTCGTCTTTTGTGATTCTATTGATCATTGAATTGTAATTAATATTTTATCCTAATTTCTAATTTCAATTCTATTCTAATCTAAATCTTTATCTTTATCTTTATGTTGCTTGTTTGTCAGTAACTGCGATTTTTACACTCTGCAAGTGTTTGCATTGTATTAAACTCAGCACCGCAAAGCGATCCTGTAACAAAGCTCGTTTCTATTGCATCATCATCATCATTTTTTTAATTTCATTGTGAAAGTATCACATAATTGATTTCTTTGATATTTTTCGGTTAAAAATGACAAAAAAAATGACAAAAACACCGGCAATCGGAATTGATCTTGGTACAACATATTCATGTGTTGGTGTATTTCAACATGGTAAAGTCGAAATTATTGCTAATGAACAAGGTAATCGTGTCACACCATCGTATGTTGCATTTACCGATACTGAACGGTTGATTGGTGATGCTGCCAAAAGCCAAGTTGCTATGAACCCAACTAACACTGTGTTCGATGCAAAACGTTTGATTGGCCGACGATTTGATGATCTGACAGTACAGACAGATATGAAACATTGGCCATTTACTGTGGTCAATTATGGTGGAAAGCCCAAGATTCAGGTATGGTTGTTTTATGATTATTTTGGCTTTTCTATTGATTATTTGAAAAACAGGTTAAATATAAAGATAAAAGAAAGAAGTTCTTTCCAGAAGAGATCTCATCAATGATGTTGACCAAGATGAAGGAAATCGCCGAAGCTTATCTAGGAAAGACCGTCACTAATGCTGTAATCACAGTTCCGGCATATTTCAATGACTTACAACGTCAGGCCACCCAAGATGCCGGTACAATTGCTGGTTTGAATGTTTTTCGTGTCATTAGTGAGCCAACGGCTGCCGCAATTGCTTATGGTCTACACAAGAAAGTCAAAAAAGAACAAAAAGTATTGATTTTTGATCTTGGTGGTGGTACGTTCGATGTGTCCATCTTGATCATCAAGAACGGTATTTTCGAAGTGAAATCAACTGCTGGTGATACCCATTTAGGTGGAGAAGATTTCGATAACCGAATGGTCGATCACTTTGTTGAGGAATTCAAACGAAAACACAAAAAGGATTTGACCAGCAATAAACGTGCACTTCGTCGCCTCAAAACAGCTTGCGAACGAGCCAAACGAACTTTGTCTTCTTCAACACATGCCTCAATCGAAATTGATTCATTGTTCGAAAGCATTGATTTCTGTTCGACCATCACCCGTTCTCGCTTCCAAGAATTGTGTGCGGATTTATTCCTTTCGACATTGGACACAGTGGAGAAATCGCTTCGCGATGCCAAATTGGATAAATCGCAAATTAATGAAATCGTATTGGTTGGCGGCGCCACTCGTATTCCTAAAATTCAAAAATTGTTGCAAGACTTTTTCAACGGTAAAGAACTGAACAAATCAATCAATCTCGATGAAGCTGTAGCTTATGGAGCAGCTGTTCAGGCAGCCATCCTTAATGGTGATCAATCGAAAAATGTTAAAGGTCTTTCGCTTCTCGACGTTGCTCCTTTGTCATTGGGTATTGACACAAAAGGTGGTATCATGTCAACAATAATCGAACGTAACACTGCTATTCCGACTAAACGAACAAAAAGATCTTATACCGTTGGAGATGATCAGTCTAGGGTACCGATTCGGGTAAGTCATTGCTACTAAAATAAGAAAATTCACTAATTTTACATCTTGTAGGTCTATGAAGGCGAACGTCCCATGACCATAGATAATAATTTATTGGGCGAATTTACTTTGGCTGGTATTCCACCGGCTCCACGTAAAGTTGAAAAATTTGATGTTACATTTGATATTGATGCAAATGGTATTTTAAATGTATCGGCAATAAATCCAAGTACAGGCAGACAAAGTGCAATTACAATTACAAACAATATAGGTCGCTTATCACAAAACAATATCAATCGTATGATCAATGAAGCTAAATTTTATAAACAAGAAGATGATAAGAAACGTGAACGTATTGCAGCCAAGAATTCATTGAAAGATTATCTCTACAAATTGAAAAAGGAAGCATTTGAATCTATGATTCCGGAACATCGTAAAAAAATTATGAAAAAAATTAATGAAGTATGTAAATGGTTGGACGCTAATGCTTTGGCTGAAAAAGATGAATTGCATTGCAAACTTAAAGTTTTGGAAGATGAATACAATTTAATCATTAATAATCAAGAAAGTGAACAATCTTTAATGAATCAACAAGCTTTAACTGATGATGAATCAAGTGGATAACAATATTCTTTGGTTTTATTCATTGTATTAGCATTTTATTATTGGAATCAAATAGCGGAACAGAATATACCACGACAAAGTGAGGATTTTTGAAAAATCATTGGATAACCAAATGGACATTGCCATGATGTTTTTAATTTATTAGCTATAATAATTGCCACATTCATTTGGTTAATCATACGAAAATTAACAGCAAAATAAATTTCGATTTAAATGTTGTTTTTCTCTCAATTTCTTGATTTGAATCATGTTTAAATAAAATTGTTTCATGAGCTATTCATATAGATAATAACATTTCTTACCATCCTGTTTATACATATCAGCCGAAAAAAATTAAAATTTTTTGTTCTATCATCATCATCATCATCATATCTTTATGACGCTTGTCATCCATGTCGCTTGTTATCATTAAGTCGCTTGTTTGTCAGTAACTGCGATTTTTACATTCTGCAAGTGTTTACATTGTATTAAACTCAGCCTGTAACAAGCTCATTTCTATTTCATCATCATTTTTAATGTCACTGTGAAACGATCGCACTGGAAAATAATTAATTCGATTTGCATAATTGATTTCTTTTTTTTTTTGGTTTGAAATTCATTGTTACAAATTGAAATAATGGCAAAAACACCTGCAATTGGTATCGATTTGGGCACCACATATTCATGTGTTGGTGTATTTGAATATGGTAAAGTGGAAATTATCCCTAATGAACAAGGTAATCGTACCACACCATCATATGTTGGATTTACCGATACTGAGCGGTTGATTGGTGATGCGGCCAAAAGCCAAGTTGCTATGAATCCCAAGTAACACTGTGTTCGATGCAAAACGTTTGATTGGTCGACGATTTGATGATTCAACAGTGCAGGCAGATATGAAACATTGGCCATTTACTGTGGTCAATTATGGTGGAAAGCCCAAGATTCAGGTATGGTTGTTTTATGATTATTTTGGCTTTTCTATTGATTATTTGAAAAACAGGTTGAATATAAAGATGAAACAAAGATGTTCTTTCCAGAAGAGATCTCATCAATGGTGTTGACCAATATGAAGGAAATCGCCGAAGCTTATCTAGGAAAGACCGTCACTAGTGCTGTAATCACAGTTCCGGCATATTTCAATGACTTACAACGTCGGGCCACCAAAGATGCCGGTACAATTGCTGGTTTGAATGTTTTTCGTGTTATCAGTGAACCGACGGCTGCCGCAATTGCTTATGGTCTAGACAAGAAAGTCGAAGGAGAACAAAAAGTATTGATTTTTGATCTTGGTGGCGGTACGTTCGATGTGTCCATCTTGATCATCAAGAGCGGTAATTTCGAAGTGAAATCAACTGCTGGTGATACCCATTTAGGTGGCGAAGATTTTGATAACCGAATGGTCGATCACTTTGTCGAGGAATTTAAACGAAAACACAAGAAGGATTTGACCAGCAATAAACGTGCACTTCGTCGTCTCAAAACAGCTTGCGAACGAGCCAAACGAACTTTGTCTTCTTCAACACATGCCTCAATTGAAATTGATTCGTTGTTCGAAGGCATTGATTTCGGTTCGACCATCACCCGTGCTCGTTTCCAAGAATTGTGTGCGGATTTATTCCTTTCGACATTGGATCCAGTAGAGAAATCGCTTCGCGATGCCAAATTGGATAAATCACAAATCAATGAAATCGTATTGGTTGGTGGCTCCACTCGTATCCCGAAAATTCAGAACTTGTTGCAGGACTTTTTCAACGGTAAAGAATTGAACAAATCAATCAATCTCGATGAAGCTGTAGCTTATGGAGCAGCCGTGCAAGCAGCCATCCTTAATGGTGATCAATCGGAAAATGTTCAAGGTCTTTTGCTTCATGACGTTACTCCCCTGTCATTGGGTATCTCACTATTTAATGATGTCATGTCAACAATAATCAAACGTAACACTACAATTCCAACTAAACGAACAAAAGGATTTGAAACCAGTTCTGATAACCAGTCTAGTGTACCGATTCGGGTAAGTCATTGCTACTAGAATATGAAAATTCGCTAATTTTACATCTTGTAGGTCTATGAAGGCGAACGTCCCATGACCATAGATAATAATTTATTGGGCGAATTTACTTTGGCTGGTATTCCACCGGCTCCTCGTGGAGTTGAAAAATTGGATGTTACATTTGATATTGATGCAAATGGTATTTTAAATGTAACGGCAATAAATCAAAGTACCGGCAGACAAAGTGCAATTACAATTACAAACAATGTAGGTCGATTATCACAAAACGATATCAATCGTATGATCAATGAAGCTAAATTTTATAAACAAGAAGATGATAAAAACTTGAACGTATTGCAGCCAAAAATTCATTGGAAGATTATCTCTACAAATTGAAAAAGGAAGCATTTGAATCTATGATTCCGGAACATCGTAAAAAAATTATGAAAAAAATTAATGAAGTATATAAATGGTTGGACGCTAATGCTTTGGCTAAAAAAGTTGAATTTGAACATCAACTTAAAGTTTTGGAAGATGAATACAATTTAATCATTAATAATCAACAAAGTCAATCACAAAACGATATCAATTGTGTGAACGATGAAACTAAACTTCATGAAAAAGAAGATGATAAAAAACATGAACGTATTGCAGCCAAGAATTCATTGGAAAATTATGTTTACAAACTGAAAAAAGAAGCAATTAAAACTGATTGTCAAAAAATCCTGAACGAAATTGATAAAGTATGCAAATGGTTGGATGCTAATACTTTGGCAGAAAAAGATGAATATGTACATAAACTTAAAAAATTGAAAAGTAATCCGATTATCACTAAATTGTATCAACAAGCTGGTGGTTTTCCCGATGATGATGATTCTGGTAGTGCCGGCAGTGGTGATGACGTTAAATCTGGACCTATCATCGAAGAAGTCGATTAAATAGTTGGATTTTTTTTTGTAATTCGATTCTCATCTTTGTATTATGGTTTTTATTTCATCGTTTAATCATGGATCATCATTCACGTATGTAATTCTATGTACGACACAGCCATGATGTTTTTTCAATTTATTGTGTGCTATATTGCCACATTCATTTGGTTAATCATACGAAAATTAACAGCAAAATAAATTCCGTTTTAAACATTTTTTTTCTCTCAATTCCTTGATTTGAATCATGTTTAAATAAAATTGTTTCATGAGCTATTCATATAGATCAAATTGACTTGCAGAATTTCAGTCTATTTTAAGACTTGGAAAACCAATGTGTTGTGTGTCCAAAATGTCCAGCTTTATATTGGTTGATGGCCAAGAATCTTAGCTTCTCCCGCCAAAATGGTTGCTGTGGTTGTTATACTACTCTCAGCTTGCGTGATAAGCTTCGGTTTTGTCAACCTTGCATGACCAGCTTGGATTGCCATTCTTGTTGCTAGGCCCCAGGCAAATGGTCAGCATGGTCACCATGTGGTGACATTTTTTTTGGCTCATGGACGTTGATGAACAATAAATAATTCGGGGTTTACATTTTATACATAGCATATGTCAGGGAATTGTTTAGTTGCTCTCTTTCTCTCTCTCTCTCGATCAACATGATTTTGCATTAATGTTTTTTGGATTCAATTTCTCTATTCCTAAATTTTGTTCTCGTTTAATAAAATATAATTAATAATTAAAGACGTTCTTCATATCGGAAAAACATTAACAAAATGTTTGCTGTACATGCTATTAAAATTATGTAAGTTATTTAAAAATTCAATTCATAATTTCTAAACAAATTTTTAAATGATAAAATGTAGCCAAGAAATCAATGAACTGGAAGCAAAATTTGAACAATTGGAAAAAATTCGAAAAGATTTTGCAGATTTGAAAAAATCAACAGAAAAAAGAATTGATGATATGAATAAACAACATGAATCTCGAATGATTGAAGTTATTGGACAATTTAAAAAAAAACTCAATGAAGCTAATGGTCAAACTGTTTTATTGAATGCTAAATTGAAGCAATCAGAATTGGAAAAGAAGAATTATTCATCACTTTTTACAATCACATTGTTTATATTGTTGTTTTTGGGCGTTGTTTTTTATCAGAAAACGAAAACACATGAAAAAGAGATTCAACGAGAAAAAGAATTTCAACGTGAACTGATTGTAGAAAAATTTACAGAAAAAATAAATTATTTTGAAAAATTATTAAACAAAATAAGGGACGAATATAAACATATGACCAAGATAATTGAACATTTGCAACAATCAAAAAGTAAAAAAAAAAATATTTAACCAGCGCACAATTGGATTTCAAACATATCAATTTCATCAATGATGGGCATGATGTTTTTACTTTAATGACCATAATAATTATTACATTTATTGGGTTAATCATAAAAAATTAACAGAAAAATAAATTTCAATTCAAACATTTTTTTTCTCTTAATTTCTTGAATTTATTGGGCGAATTTAGATTGACTGGTATTCCAAAGGCTTCTCGTGGTGAGGAAAAAATGGATGTTACATTTGATATTGATGCAAATGGTATTTTAAATGTATCGGCAATAAATCCAAGTACCGGCAAACAAAGTGCAATTACAATTACAAACAATGTAGGTCGATTATCGAAATATGATATTGAACGTATGATCGATGAAGCTAAATTTTATAAAAAAGAAGATGATAAAAACGTGAACGTATTGCAGCCAAGAATTCATTGGAAGATTATGTCTACAAATTGAAAAAGGAAGCAATTAAAATTGATTGTGAAAAAATCCTGAACGAAATTGATAAAGTATGCAAATGGTTGGATGCTAATACTTTGGCAGAAAAAGATGAATTTGAACATCAACTTAAAAAATTAGAAAGTAATCCGATTATCACTAAATTGTATCAACAAGCTGGTGCTGCAGGTGATTTTTCCGGTGCTGATGGTTCTGGTGGTGCCGATGATGATGATGATGATAATAATGGTGGTGACGTTAAATCTGGACCTATCATCGAAGAAGTCGATTAAATAGTAGGATTTTTTTTGTAATTCGATTCTCATCTTTGTATTGCGGTTTTTATTTTATCGTTTAATCATGGATCATCATTCACGTATGTAATTCTACGTACGACACGGCCATGATGTTTTTCAATTTATTGAGTGCTATAATAATTGCCACATTCATTTGGTTAATCATACGAAAATTAACAGCAAAATAAATTCCGTTTTAAACATTGTTTTTTCTCTCTCAATTCCTTGATTGGAATCATGTTTAAATAAAATTGTTTCATGAGCTATTCAAATATATCAAATTGACTTGCAGAGTTTCAGTCTATTTTGTTTAAGACTTGGAAAACCAATGTGTTGTGTGTCCAAAATGTCCAGCTTTATATTGGTTGATGGCCAAGAATCTCAACTTCTCCCGCCAAAATGGTTGCTGTGGTTGTTATCCGCCCACTACTCTCATCTTGCGTGATAAGCTTCGGTTTTGTCAACCTTGCATGACCATTTTAGATTGCCATGCTTGTTGCTAGGCCCCAGGCAAATGGTCAGCATGGTCACCATGTGGTGATATTTTTCTTGGCTCACGGACGTTGATGAACAATAAATAATTCGGGGTTTACATTTTATACATAACATATGTCAGGGAATTGTTTAGTTGCTCTCTTTCTCTCTCTCGATCAACATGATTTTGCATTAATGTTTTTTGATTCAATTTCTATATTCCTAAATTTTGTTCTCGTTTAATAAAATATAATTAATAATTAAAGACGTTCTTCATATCCGAAAAACATTAACAAAATGTTTGCTGCACATGCTATTAAAATTATGTAAGTAATTTAAAAATTCAATTCATAATTTCTAAACAAATCTGTAAATGATAATGTAGCCAAGAAATCAATGAACTGGAAGCAAAATTTGAACAATTGGAAAAAATTCGAAAAGATTTTGCAGAATTGAAAAAATCAACAGAAAAACGAATTGATGAACTGAATAAACAACATGAATCTCGAATGATTGAAGTTACTGGACAATTTAAAAAAAAACTCAATGAAGCTAATGGTCAAAATGTTTTATTGAATGCTAAATTGAAGCAATCAGAATTGGAAAAGAAGAATTATTCATCACTTTTTACAATCACATTGTTTATATTGTTGTTTTTGGGCGTTGCTTTTTATCAGAAAACGAAAACACATGAAAATGCGATTCAACGAGAAAAAGAATTTCAACGTGAACTGATTGTAGAAAAATTTACAGAAAAAATAAGTTATCTTCAAAAATTATTAAACAAAATAAGGGACAAATATAAACATTTGACCAAGATAATTGAACCTTTGCAACAATCAAAAAGTAAAAAAAAAAATATTCAACCAGCTCACAATTGGATTTCAAACATACCAATTTCATCAATGATGGGCATGATGTTTTTTAATTTAATGACCATAATAATTGTTATTACATTTATTGGGTTAATCATAAAAAAATTAACAGGAAAATAAATTTCAATTTAAACATTGTTTTTTTTTCTCTCAATTCCTTGATTTGAATCATGTTTAAATAAAATTGTTTCATGAGCTATTCATATAGATAATATAACATTTCTTATCATCCGGTTTTTATACAAATCACCAGATGATGATGGATAAATTTACATCAACATCATTATCATCATCATCAAAAAAAAAAAAAAAATGCTAAACGACAACGATAGAATGGAAAAAAGAAAGAAAGAGAGAAAAAAATCTGTAAAACATCAAAAAAAAAAAATAAAGAGAAATGAAATGAATTGAAAGGAAATTAGGTCAAGAAATGCAAGCGGCCATCATCTCATCCATTATGCACTGTAGTGGTGGTGTAACAGGTTTTCATTTCGAATACAGAAAAAAAACTGAAATTTTGAAACAAAATAAACAGAACTGGAATCTAAATCCCCCCGGCGCTGATGCCATCATTGAAAACAATTTTGTGGCCCAAAATGGTCAAAATAGCAAAAAAAACGATTCGAAGAGAAACGAAAAATTTTCAAAGATTAAGGTTCAAAACAAAAAAACAACAAAAACAAGAGAGAGAGAAAAAAGAATTTAAAGAGAAAATCTTGTACATGTTTCTCGTTTTGATTTGATATTTTCAGAAAAATGTTCATCTTTAAGATTGTCATCGTCAGTGTTTTGTTTTGATTATGGTGGTAGGTGTGGCTCACACACACACACACACATTACCCGAAAAAAATGAAAATTTTTTTGTTTCATTTCCAAAAATGATGATTGATGGTGGTGGTGGTGGTTTGCAAATTCCATTCATTTTGATTCAACTTTTCTTCTGTTTTTGATTTTTTGAAAAGAAAAATAAATCTCTCACTTTTTCCATCAAGACAATCAACAGTAACAGTTACAACTATTCGTTTGTTCGCGTGGCAAAGTTTTTTTGTTGTTGTTGATCAAAAACTTTGACTTCTCACCTGCCTGATGGATATCCAAATATTCATACTGTAAATGTTGGTCAAGTGGATTCGTCTCTTTACGAAAAAAAAAAAAAATCTTGTCCATCTAGAAATTCAAGTCTATGCCTTATATATTCCGTTATTTGGCATTTTCAAGCAACAACATAAAAACAACGCTTAACAATTGAATGTTTTTTTTGTTGTTGTTGTTGTGATCCATATTATATAAAATCCAATTCGATTATCATCACCATCATCAAGTGAATATTATGAAAAATGAAATGAAGAAAAAAAATTCTCAAGGTAAACTTACGCCCATGTCGTTGTTGTTCTAATATGAATAAATGAATCAAAAAATTGAATATGAAAAATCAACAATTCAAAAGACAAACAAAACGCTCTATAATAAATTACCTTAATTAGTTAACGCGCACACTTATATTTCGTGACAAAAAAAAATTTTTTTTTCTCATCATAACATTATCATTTACCATTTGATTAAAAGATTGATTTTGAATAAAAAAAAATGACCAATCTAAATGATATTTATGATTATCAAAGGCTGAATGGCCATCATTACAATCATCATCAACAACAGCAACAACAGAATTTTCGAAATGATTCCAATTATTATGGTTCCCAACATCATCATCATCATCAACAACAAAATGCACAACATTCACATCATCATCAACGTCGTTCACATCATCAATTGCATCCACATCCACATCCACATCATCATCATCATTTTGCCAATAACGGTGATCTCGATAATGAATTCATTTCCGATAATGATGATAATGATAATGATGATGATAATAAAATGATCGGCACTGGTGGTGGTGGTGTTGGTGGCATTAATCCAATTGGTGGCAACATAAACGATATCTATAATCGTAGCGTTATTGAACCAACAAAAGGTTGGGATGTATTTGTTGTCACACCACCGGAAGATGAAGATGAAACACTTAGTTCAAAATGGATAGAGAAAATATTGAAATTTTTAAAATTAATCACATTTTTAATCACATTTATAATCGTATTGTTTTGTGCCGTTTTCTCCAAAAGTATCGTATTGTTTATGACATCAATGATACGATCAAATCGTACTGTACCGGTTTGTGCACAAGGTATACCCGGTTTAGAACGTGATAAAAAATATGTTGCCGTCTATCAACCAGATGATCCGGAACGTATTGGCTGGATTTGGAGCCTATTTTTAATACTTATATTTCCTGAATTTATGACATTATTTCGTAGTGTTCGTATCTGTACATTTAAATCATATCGAATACCATCGAAATCAATATTTTTTACTGTAAGTTTTTGCTTTTGTTTTTTTGATCAATTCTAATTTTATTAATCATTTTTTTTCAGGTATTTGCCATTGAAAGTATTCATACATTAGGATTGGTAATACTAATATTCATCATATTTCCATCATTAGATGTTGTTAAAGGTGCAATGCTTACAAATTGTCTTTGTTTCATACCATCTATATTGGCCATATTTTCTCGTCGTGAAGATGAATCAAAATATAAAACATTTTTAGATATAATCTCAATGATTATACAAGCAGCTGCATTCATTATATGGCCAATTATGATGCAAGAAGAACGTATACCAGCACCATATAATCCATTTTTAATACCAATAGTTTGTATTATGATCTCATTAGGTTGGTGGGAAAATTATTTGGATAAAAATTCAAATTTTAATTTCATCCAACAAATGGCCAAAATTAAACAAAAATTTCATCGTACACGTTATTTTATTTATATATTCATTTCAATTTGGAAAGTATTGCTCATATTTTTATCAATGTTTGCCTGTCTTTATTATATCGATGGTTCAACATCATTGGCCATTTTTGGTAAATTTCGTGAAGCATTTGGACAACATAAAATATTAATACAAAGAGATCGATCCGATCTATTGGAATTTGCTAATACCGATCAATTTGTTGGTGTTGAAGGTGAATCATTTGAAATTAATTCCCGTTCATTAGCATCATTATGGCTGGTTTTCATGCAAATTGTTGCCACTTGGCTTTGTTATGTTGTGGCAAAATTTACCTGTAAAATCTGTATTCAAGGATTTAGTTTTGCTTTTCCAATTAGCCTTACAGTGCCGGTCACCATTTCTGTATTGATCACATTCTGTGGAATTCATTTCGAAAATCGTTGTCCATTATCGGATTTTTGGATACCAAAATATCTATTCTGGTTTTGTCAAGAAGAACCATTCAGTGAATTTCTAATGAAACCACATGCATTTTTATGGGTTGCATGGCTACTATCACAGATTTGGATTTCCGTACACATCTGGAATCCTAAATGTGAACGTTTAGCAACGACAGAAAAAATTTTTGTACTACCAATGTATAATTCTGTATTGATTGATCAATCATTAGCAATGAATCGTCGTCGTGATGATGAAGAGATTATTAAAAGTGAAGATATTAATCTAGATAGTGATGGTACAACAATGCAAGATCCATCACAACATTATGAAACAATTTCTGATCAGGATGATAAAAAGAAAAAAGATAAAGAAACTTTTAGTGCCGATCAAATTATACGTATCTATGCAGTGGCTACAATGTGGCATGAAACAACAGAAGAAATGTTACAAATGCTAAAATCAGTAATGCGTATGGATGAAGATCAATGTGCACGACGTAATGCACAAAAATATCTTCGTATTATTGATCCAGATTATTATGAATTTGAGGTTCATATATTTTTCGATGATGCATTCGAATTGTGTGATGAAAATGATGAAGATATGGTTGTTAATCGTTTTGTTAAACAATTCGTACAAGTTATGGATACAGCCGCTAGTTATGTACATCAATGTAATATTAAATTAAAAGTGCCAAAAAAATATCCAACACCATATGGTGGCCGTTTAGAATGGATTATGCCTGGACAGAATAAATTAATTGCCCACCTCAAGGATAAGGTGAAAATTCGACATCGTAAACGTTGGAGTCAAGTTATGTATATGTATTATTTGTTGGGTCATAAAATTATGGAATTACCAATCGATGTTAATCGTAAGGCAATGATTGCTGAAAATACTTATTTACTTACATTGGATGGTGATATAAATTTTCGGCCACATGCTGTACAATTATTAGTGGATCTTATGAAAAAGAATAAAAATCTTGGCGCTGCCTGTGGTCGTATACATCCGGTTGGCACTGGATTCATGTATTGGTATCAGAAATTTGAATACGCTATTGGTCATTGGCTACAAAAAGCAACTGAACATATGATTGGCTGTGTACTTTGTTCACCGGGTTGTTTTTCATTATTTCGTGCAAAAGCATTGATGGATGATAATGTAATGCGTAAATATACGACAAAATCCGAAGAAGCATTACATTATGTTCAATATGATCAAGGTGAAGATCGTTGGCTTTGTACATTACTATTACAACGTGGTTATCGTGTTGAATATTCTGCTGCATCTGATGCCTATACACATTGTCCTGAAGGATTTGGAGAATTCTATACACAACGTCGTCGTTGGGCACCATCAACTATGGCCAATATAATGGATCTACTTTGTGATTATAAACGAACAGTTAAAGTTAATGATAATATCTCATTACCATACATCATATATCAGGGTATGTTAATGGTCGGTACGATTCTTGGACCTGGTACAATATTCTTGATGTTAGTCGGTGCTGTTAATGCCGTATTTCGTATATCTAATTGGGATTCATTCTTCTGGAATTTCGTACCGATCTTATTGTTTATAATTGTTTGTTTTTTGGCCAAAAATGATGCACAAATTTTTGTTGCACAAATACTTAGCGCTGCCTATTGTCTACTAATGATGGCTGTATTCGTTGGTCAAGCTATTCAGATGACTGAAGATGGTCTTGGTTCACCATCGGCAATATTTTTTCTATCATTAACCGGTAGTTTTATCGTTGCTGGTCTATTACATCCACAAGAGATTAGTTGTCTTGGACCATTGTTATTATATTTTCTAAGTATTCCATGCATGTATTTATTGCTTATTCTTTATTCATTGATCAATTTGAATGTTGTCACCTGGGGTACACGTGAAGTACAGTCAAAACGAAAAAGAACTGGAAGAAGAACGAAAAGCACAGGAAGAAATCAAAAAGAAAAGTTTGCTTGGATTTTTAAACATGACCAATGAAAATCAAGAAGAAGGTAGCATTACATTCAATTTGGCTAATCTATGTAAATGTATGCTATTTACGTATCCAAAACCGAATGAAGAAGCCATACATTTAATGAAAATTCAAGATCAATTAGAAGATATTAATAAAAAAGTTAACCAAATGGGTAAAACAATTGAACATCAACATAAACATCATCATCATCATCATCATGGTAAAGGATCACATCATCATCGTGCTCTTGGTACAGTAAATGAATGTTTCACTGATGAAGAAGATGCTGTGGCTGCCACTTCATTGTTGGATGATATTGTTAATGAAAATCGAAATCAATCAACCATAAAGAATGAAACCGGTAGCCATAAAGAAGATGATGATTCAAAATCATCAATGGATAGTAATTCACTTAGATTGGATGATGATGATCGAATCGAATTACGTAATGAACGTGATGAATCATTGAATCCATATTGGATTGAAGATAAAGATCTTAAAAATGGAGAAGTAGCCTATCTACATCCGGCTGAAATTCAATTCTGGAAAGATTTGATTGAAAAATATCTATTTCCAATCGAACAGAATAAAGATCATCAGGCTAGAGTTGCATCCGATTTGAAAGAACTTCGAAATCGAGTGTTTTTCGGTTTTTTCATGTTGAATGCATTGTTCGTATTGAGCGTTTTTCTGTTACAATTGAACAAAGAAATTCTACACGTTGATTGGCCACTTGGTGTACGTGAAAATATAACCATAAATCCGGATACGAATGAATTTATTGTTGAAAAAGAATATCTAGAATTGGAACCTATCGGTTTGGTTTTTGTCATTTTTTTCGGTTCAATTTTGATCATTCAATTTGTTGGAATGTTGTTTCATCGATTTGCAACTTTATCACATATTCTTGGTAATTATAATTTCATTCAATTCCTGTGTTTTTGAATTTTTTCATTCTAATTTCTTCATTTTTTTTCATAGCATCGGTTGAACTTTCATGGTGTTCACCAAAGATTGAAGATATGAGTGAAGATGCATTTATCGATAAGAATGCCGTACAGATAGCACGTCATTTACAACGATTACGTGGTATTGATGAAGATGATAAATCATCGGAAGAATCACCATATGGAAATCGTGTTGAAAAACGTAAAACAATTTATAATCTTGAAAAACGAATGAAAAAACCACGTACCATCGGTACATTGGATGTGGCATTCCGAAAACGATTTCTTAATATATCGAATAATATTAATGAAGGTAAATATAGCCAAAAAATTGTAAAAAAGAGACTAATTCATTTATTCGTTTATTCCCTTTTAGATACACCAATTTTAGGTGGAATACGATCAAAAGAACATTTTCTTGCATTACAACGTCGTAAAAATACATTAATCGATGATGATCAACCAATTGTTTCGAATAATAGAAATAACAATACAGGAATGCAAACATTGGGTGCAAAAAATGAATTTGTTCGTAATATACGACAAAGATCAACATTGGATACGAAACGACCATCAAAAGGACCGGCACCAAATCCACCACCACCACCACAATTACCACCATCATCAGCATTAATATCTACATCAAATCAATATGGTATACAGAATCCATCATTTAATAAAAATGAATCAGAAAATGACGATATTGATGATATTGATGGTGATGGAATGAATGTTGGTGGTCATACATCATCATCCCGTGCAATGAATCTTTCCATTTATGGTAGTAATAATCCAATAACAACAACAACCATTACAAATACTCGAAACAAACCACCAAATTTAAGGCAAAAAAATCGTAATAATGATTTAAATTCTGAACTATGAACAACAACAACAAAAAAAAAACTAGTGATAATCAAGTCAATATTTTTATTCAATGTATTAACATCATACACCAGAATACACACACACATACATAAAAAAAAAAAATTTTTTTTTTTTATTTTCTTCACAAATATTTCACACTCTTTTTTTTGGTCTTGTTTTACATGCGAATGGTATTTGTTGTTATGTGTAATATATACGAAACAAAAAAATTCAAATCTTTTTTTTTTTACATTCTGATTATCAAAATTTAGTGTATGTGAAGAAGAAGAAGAGATCATATATACGGAACAATAATAATATTCATCATCATCATCATCATAGATTTGTACTGATTCTTGTTGATTGGCCACTATTACTAGCCGATATCGATTGTTGTTGTTGTTGCTGCTGTTGATGATTCATGTTCAACGTTTCATATCGATTATAATTGGATACTTCTTTTGCTAATTCATCTAATGTGAATTTTTTTGTTTCATTATTATTATTATTATTGCTAGTATTAATTAGACCACAATCTGGTGATGATGATGATCCATGAATTATTGAATGATTGTTGTTTGTTTGTTGATTATTAACAGCTGTATATAATAATTGAAACCAACGTTCCAAAACCTGTGAAGATGGTCTGATTTTTATTTCAAAAGAAAAAAATTGATATTTTAACAAATTGTAATAATGAAAATCAATCAATCAATCAAACATACCGCATATCAGGATTTAATTCAGTGCAAAGAAAAGCAATCCTCCAGAATACTTCTGGACAGGATTTATTAACATATGTATCGAAAAAATATTTTTTATCCACACTAAAATCTCGATTTCGTTTTAAAACATCAGGATCGGCATTTACAGAGCCAATAATCTAATATATAAAGAAAAGAAAATCAATTAATCAGTGATTTTTCTCCACTTTCAATGAAAAATATTACCTCGAGTAAAATAATTCCAAATGAATAGATATCAACACGTTCATCATATTTATCTCGATGCATCATTTCTGGTGCCATCCAGAATGGATGGCCAACAATAGTATAACGTTTACGGCGATCACGACGACGATTTAATTTTTGTGTCTGTTTTTCACTGAATGATTCTTCGTTACTGTTATTATTATTATTATTGTTGGAAACGAGAAGTTGTTTGTCATCATTATTGTTGGTGGTGGTGGTGGTGATGGTGGTGGTGGTTTCATCATCATTCGTACAGGTTATTTTTGAAAGACCAAAATCAGCTACAACAACAGTTCCATCTTCACGTACTAGACAATTTTGTGAATTAAGATCACGATGTATTAGATTCATTGAATGTAAATAATTAACACCGGAAGCAATATCTCGAGCCCAACCAATTCGTTCGGGCCAATAAATTGAACGTTTCTCGTCTTGAATCAATTGTCGTAGTGTTCCTCCCGTTATATATTCAGTTATAAGATTTAATTTTTTTCCACGATACAAAATTCCAATAAAATGTAAAACATTTTTGTGATTCAAAGATTTCAGGATAGAAACTTCACGAACAAAATTCGTTTCAGCTTCACGATCATTATGATATAATTCTTTGATGACCATCTTTTCTTTGGTCACTTTATCGGTCACTTCAAATACTTCACCATAGAAACCTTTACCAAGTAAAGCTCCTTTGACTAGATCGGCAGCACGAAATATTCTATAACTTTTTGGTTCAACACGAAATGACTTAGTTCTTGATAATGGATTATTCAATCGAGATGCTAATGTTAAACCATTACGAGATGATGTAAAATATGATTGTGAATTTTGTTGATTATTTTTATTGGAAAAATTATTTGGAATAATAGTTGGCAAATTATCACAAGTATCGTTGCCGAGACCACCGCCGCCGCCGCTGCTACCAACACTAACAGTGGCCGTATTTCCATTATTACATTTACCACAATCTGAACTTAGGCTAATTGCTTCAAGTAAACGTGATAATGATGATGAACGTTCACGATTACGATATCGTTTATCCGATGATCTACTAATACTACTACTACTACTACTAGAAGATTGACCGGCTATTGAAAATATAATTAAAAATCAGCTGTTTCAAATCAAAAAATGACTTACCCGATGTAAATTTAGATTTATTCGTTATTTCATTCAAATTTGAACCAGAATCAATATTCGAAACGTGATCATTCGAACTACTGTCCAGTAAATTCGAACGTTGATGACATAGACTTTTCGGTCGATCAGGTGTCACATAATTTGATTTACTATTTGTACAATTTTTATTGTCTTTATCATTGTTTTTAGTGAATGACATGACATGATTTTTATTCTCAGTTGTCGACAAATTGACGACTAGTTTGCTCTGATTATCATCAAAGTCAATGACACCGTTCGTTGTCGTGGTTGTCGTCTTTGTTGTCTGGTCTGTAGAATCATATTCTAAACTTGGTGGTGTTTTCTCTCTTGTCATCGAATTTTGTGTTTTTTTATCATGATTAGGATTATGTTCAACATAAAGACGAATTATTTTATCGGAATATAAATCAAAGAGATTCTTAATATCTTCAGGCGTTGTACTATCACCAAGAAAGCTATCATTAATTTTTAGTATACGATCAGCAATATGAAACAGATGATTATCATCATAATTGACATCAATTTCTGATATGGCCACCAGTGAATCGGTTTTTCTCGAATTTCTAATTTAAAAAAAAATTGATTTTCAAGACAAAAAATCATATTAATTTAATTCAATCAGAAAATCATTTTATTATTTTCATATATATATACCGTTTATCCAAGGCGATGGAGGATGATGACCAATATAATGTATATGACTATGATGGCCATTCTGTTGTTGACAATCCTTGAATGCTAAACGAATTCGTCGTTTTTTACTATTGAACAATGGTGGAATATCAATCATTTGAATCACATTATTGCTATCATGTTTTTGTTGTAATAACTGGATTTGTTGTTGTTGTTGTTGTTGTTGTTCATCATTTATCAATGGCCTATTGACAATTGGATGATCAAATGATGTTTGTTTTTGAAAACAATTATTACAAAATAATTGCTGACAATCAACATATGCATATGATTCATCATCACCAATAATAGCATGACAACAATCACATTTGAAACATTCTGGATGAAATTTATATTCACCACCAATAACCATTACCGGTCCGGTCATGAAATGATGACAATGGCGACAACGTTCACCAAATTTATTATAATAATCTTCGGCACAATAAAGAATACCATCTTTTTCAAAATCCCAAGCAATCAATGATTGTTGACAAATATTACAGCTGTAAGAAAAAGAAAATAATTTTAAAAACTCAAATCAAAGCAAAACGAAAAAAAAATATATTTACCGAAAACATCGAAGATGACAAAATTTTTTCGTACGATTACTGATTGCTTCGACAATCTGATCATCATCATCAATATCTTCATTACAATTTGAGCATTTCATTATGGAAATTTTCAGTTAACGATAAACGAAAAAAACTGATGATTTGAAGAAAAAAGTAAATAAAGTTATCAAAAAAAAAAAAAAAAAAAATTAAAGATCTAAAGAATAGATTCTGTTTGGTAATGACATTTTTTTCTTTTTAGTGGAATCAGAAATAATAAATAAGTAAATAAAAAAATCGAATGGATCATTTAGGAATGAACACGATAATAAATGGATGGAATGATTGTTTTGTAAAATCAAAACAAAATTGAATTTATCATTATTCAATGATGATTGTTTTCATTTTGCAAATCGTTGAATTTTGACACGATAATATATGGTGGTGGTGGTGGTGATATTTTTCATGTAATGAAGAAAAAAAAAGAATTCAAAAAAAAGCAATACTGTTATTTTTTTTGTATTTGTTGTGAAAAAAATTTTCATTTTTTTTATGGCTCAGCCGCAAAACATCATCGTCATCAACATACAGACACACACACACACACCATTCATTCAAGATGTCAATACATTTTACCATTCAAGGATTTGTATGGCGTGTGTTGTTGTTGTTATTGTTGTTGGTCCATTGAATGATCACAATATATATTCCAGACGCACAGTCGTGGCAATAATAATAATATTTTTGTGGGCTCAAAGACTCGTTTTTTGGCCGATACCACCACCACCACCAACACAACGATGAACGGCGACTGCTACCATCATCAACATAATCATCATCACCATAAATAAATTTCCACAAACAACAAACTTCGAATCATAATAATAATAATATTGAAACCTGTCAGGTATGTCTATGTTGATTTTTTTTTCATTAATCTAAAAATCACTCTTTTTCAACACATCAACAACAGGGCAGATACCTTTTTTTGGTGGTTATATTCTGGTTAATATATCAGTTTTTTTTTGGAGATCGAGCTTTGACCATAAAGTCAGAGTTTATGAACCTAAATTTTGTCTGGTCGATAGATGGCAGATGAATTTTTTTTCTTTATCATTTCGTAACTCATCGAACATAATCCAGAGTTGTAAATTTTTCCAAATTTTTGTAAACTTTGAAATTTTATAATTGAATTTTTGTTTTTTTGTAAGTTGATAATATTGGAATATGAGAGTGTGGTTTTTCCAAAATAGCTTGAAAACAAGTTTTATAATTGTCGTCTCTTTTTTTTCTCTATTTCTCAATTGTCTCTCTCTTCTCTCTCTCTCTCTCTCTCAAATTTTGTGGAAACGAAACAAATGATTTTATGATGAATGAACTGAAACTTGATGACGTTCCAATTCTTAAACGTAGACAAAATAATAACAACAACAACAACAACAACCGAAAAAAAATTCATCCACCATTTGTTCATAAAGGATTCTTGCAATAATAATGGGTTCGAATCTATGTGAATATATTCAAGATACAATCAATATCCAATATTTAATACGACAATTATTACGTATGGCTAATGATCAAACTGATTGTTTGGCTGATGATTGTATGGATGATGGTATTAATAATAATAACAATAATAATCAAATTGAAAATAATCTACGACAAGTTGACCATGGTATTGGTTCAACATCATTAACATTTGGTTATCTAATGTTTACATTTTTACTTATTTGGATGGTATTACCACGTAATTATAATCCACAATCACAATCACAACAACAACAACAACAACGAAATCGTCGTAATAATCAATCATCAGATGAAATGAAGAAATCGAATCACAATAATGATCACAATGATAATGATCGTGGCGATCCAGGTCTTACATCTTGATTTTTTGTTTGTTTGTGTTTGATTTGAATTTAATTTATTTTGAAAAATTTTATGATTGTTTTTTATCTTGTTTTTTTAATTTTTAAAAATGAAAATATACATAAAAAATCTTTTTGTATAATGATTATTTTTTCGTAAAACGATTCCGTACCTTTTCAATTATATTTTTAATCTTATCCTTATATGCTCCAGTAGAAGTGGGTAAATTTTCAAAATGTAACAATTCACCCATACCGATTGACCATTTTTCTAATGAAGGTAATTTTGGACGTACTGTTTGTGGAACAGCTGTTCCATATGAAACGATTTTCATTTTCTTTTCAACCGTTGTTGTACTGATTTCGTTCGTTTCTTTTTCTTCTTCTTCATGATTCGATGATTGATTCGTAGAATTTTGTTCATCATTTGTATTTGTTTTGATTATCTCGTCTTGTTCTTCAGATTTTATCTTCACTTTTTCTTTTTCTGGTTGAAGCTCTTTAGAATTTTTTCGATCATCATTACTGTTTTCATCGTGATCAACATTATCTTCGGTTTTCACTAACACAACAGATTCAGATTTATTTGTATTCGATTCATTATTGTTGTCTGAATTCGTATTCGAATCATTGGTTGAATTAGAATCCTCATCCAATTTTGCACGTTTATAAGGTACAGGTTCAATGAATTGCATAGATTCAGCAGCAACATCAAGACGTTGATTTTGTTGATAAGGAGGCATTCCAAGAATAACCCAATCCTGGTTTCGACAAAAAAAAATTGAAATTCAATTTACGCTAAATTTGCAATCACACTTACATCTCGAACATTTTTTGGTACTGGTGCATTGAAGCCTGGATATTCAATTAATGTATCTTTATTATATTTAAGATTATCATTTAGTTCACCGTCTTCACCGTTAGCCAATGAACTAGATGGCCGATTTGATTTGGCTCCATCGTTCACAGCCAATGTTTTTGATTCAGCAGCTTGTAACCAAACAGGTGGATAACCTAATATTCGCATACGATAAATCCAAAATGGTAACATATCATGTTCAAGGCCTAATGCATGACGAAGGTTTGGACTTTGAATAGGAGAAAGTTTCAATAATAAAATTAGTCTCAACAATAACAAAAATTGGCGCAATTACCTTAATTTCCCGACGGTATATTTATCTTCGTTTACATCCGAAAAATAACGTTTGCTGTCGAATCAATCATTCAAAAATTATAATTCATGATTTTCATTCAAGATAAACTTACTTCTTTCTTGATGACATGATTTTTTTATATTGAAAAATTTATATCAAAATTGAAATTTTAGCCAAAAGAAAAACAATCAAATGTTTTTCCAATATTCGGCTATATCGACACGAGTTTGTCACCTAAATTGAATTGTTGAGAGCAATTCAAATTATAACAATGTAATTATTTTCAAACTTTTATCTTTTAAAATTTATTCGATAATTAATTTTAAAAGTGTAAAAATTTTCCAAAAGAAGAAATTTTTCTCATCGATATGAAATTATCAGGATTAAATGTTTTTTTAAAAAATGATTTTAAAAAATTAATCTCTTTTCGTAACATCATTGATGAACGGTTAAACTGTCAGTGTGTGTAATCCGGCTTGGCCTTTTTTTTCCATTGATGTTGGCATGCCTTTATTGAGGCTTGTTGATGCAAACATTTTTTTTCTCCATTTATTTTTTGAAATAAAATTTTTTTTTTTGTGAATTTTGATTTTTGATCATCGATTATGAGTGGAAAATTTTTCAAACATTTATCGGATACTGAATCCGAAAGTGAAGAATCCGAAGAAGAAGTATTAGCACCGACAAGGGCAGTACAAGCGTAAGTTTTGTTTTGTTTTTATTTTTTTTTGCACATAATTTCAAATCAATGTTTTTTCTGTTTTTATTTTTACCATTACCAATAGAAATTATTCATTCAGCGATGATGATGATGATGTTAAACGTGTGGTACGAAGTGCCAAAGAAAAACATTATGAAGAATTGAATAATACAATCAAATTGATACGAAATCATAAGAAAATCAAAGATGTAGCAAAATTATTGAGCGGATTTGAAGATCTTATTAAAGCCTATCAAAAAGCAAAATCATCGGTCATCGATAAAGAAGAAGGTGGTAAAGTGCCAAAATTCTACATAAAATGTTTGGTAGAATTGGATGATTTTGTACAAGAAAATTGGGAAGATCGAAAAAATATGAATAAAAATAATTCCAAATCATTAACAACATTGCGGCAAAAATTGCGAAAATATAATAAAGAATTTGAACAAGAAATCAATGATTATCGTGAAAATCCAGATGGTGATGATGAAGGAAAAGAATCAGATGACGAAAGTGAATCTGATGATGATGATGCCGGCTCTGTTGATGAACAAAGAGGAAAAACCAATGATTTTGAACGACAAAAAACGATGAGCACAACATCTAAAGATATAAGCGATGAAGATGGTGAAGATGATGATGAAAGTGATTGGGATATGTCATCGGATGAAGATGAATCATCTTCAGATGATGAAGATTATGGTGAAAATTTATTGGCTAAATTTTTGAAAAAAGATACCGACAAAGAAAAAGAGGTGAAAAAACGAGAGAAAAAAGTGAAAGAAGTTCGTAAGAAAAAAGATGATGAAGGTGAATGGACAAAAGTGGAAGGTACAGCAGCACCGGAAAAACCGAAAATGTTTGCCAAAGATGCTGAAATTAATCATGTGGTGATGGCAAAAAAATTGATCGAAGTTATGGCCATGCGTGGTAAAAAACGTGTCGATCGTATTGATCAAATAGATATGTTACATGAATTGTTGGCCATTTCACGGCAAAATAATTTTGGACCAGCATTGGAAGTGAAAATTCTACTCGGTCTTCAATCAGCATTGGCCGATTATGCTTCAGGTAATTCAATGAAATCGGAAATATGGAAAAAATATCTACAAAATATGGAAACAATTGTGGAGATTTTGGATAAAAATCCCGATTTAATCATACAGGAATCGATTCAAGAAGATCAAGAATCATTTCAAAATCCACCATATCTTGTACAAGGATGTGTCCTGACAATGTTGGAAAAAATGGATGAAGAATTTATTCGTTTATTACAAAATTGTGATCCACATTCACCTGATTATGTGGAAAAACTATGCGATGAAACACGATTGGTGGCTATTATTTCAAAAGTTCGTTCATATATTGAACATAATGGTCGTGGATCACCATCCGATCGATGCCGTATCTATATGTTGACCATTGATTATATTTATTATAAATTTGATCAAAAAATTATTGGTTCAGAAAACGATACGGCAGCTACATCGAAAATGATACGAAAACATCCTAAATTGATTCTCAGTGCAACGGAAAGCTCTAAACAACAATCACCCGAGATTGAATCTGAATTGAATAGTCAACAATTGATTGATCGTCTTTGCAAATATATTTATGTAAATGATGAAACTGGTCGTATTTGTAAAATGGCTGCATTATCACAGGTGTATCATTATGCATTACATGATCGTTGGTATGAAGCACGTGATCTAATGATTATGACCGGCTTACCAAACAGCATTCTCAATCATAAATCAGACATTCAATTACAAATTCTTTATAATCGATCATTAGTTCAACTTGGTTTGTGTGCATTCCGTCATGGATTCATTTTTGATGCACATTCATCATTGTTGGACATACTTTATAAAGGTCGTGTACGTGAACTTTTGGGTCAAGGTTCGAGCAGTAAGTATATCATTTTTTTAAATATTTGTGTTCATTTAATCTAGATGGATTTAATTTTAATTTTAACTTTTTCCAGGATCGAATATGAAAGCCGTTGAACGTTCACCAGAACAAGCAAAATTGGAGAAACGATGCCAGATACCGTTTCATAAGCATATTAATTTGGATCTAATCGAATGTGTGTATCTTGTATCGTCGATGTTGTTGGAAATTCCTGAAGTTGCTTCGAATGAATTTAGTGTTCGTAAAAAATTGATTAGCCGTTCATTTTTCAATCAGCTTCGTAAGAATGAAGAACAACCATTGGTTGGTGTACCTGAAGCAATGCGTGAACATGTGGTGGCTGCATCAAAAGCAATGCGTGTAGGTAATTGGAAACAATGTCAAGATTATATAATCAATGAAAAAATGAATGCTCGTGTTTGGAATTTTTTCTACAATGCCGATAAAGTACGAACAATGTTGGCGCAAAAAATTCGTGAAGAATCGTTGCGTACATATTTATTTACCTATAGTTTTGTCTATGATTCAATTGCAATCGATACATTGGCCGAAATGTTCGATTTGGAAGCAAACACTGTTCACAGTATCATAAGTAAAATGATCATCAATGAAGAATTGATGGCTTCATTGGATGAACCAACACGTACGGTTGTCATGCATCGAACTGAACCATCAAGGATTCAAAGTTTAGCACTACAATTGGCCGATAAAGTGAATACATTATTGGATTATAATGAACGATTATTGGAATTGAAATTAGTACCGATGGGACATTTTGGTCAAGGTGCTCGTTTTGATCGTAACTATCAGAATCGTCAAGGTAATCGCCAAGGACAGAATCGACAGAATAGACAACAAAATTATGATAGACAACATTATCGTGGTGGTGATCAGAATCGTGGAAATCGCGGTAATCGTGGTAACCGTGGTCATCGAGGTGGTGGTGATAGAGGCGGTGATCGTGGTGATCGTGAAAAACGAACCGAAAGACAGGAAAGCCGAGAATAGATTATTGGATGGATAAAATGATTCCTTTTTTTTTTCTCTCTTCTCTCTCTCTCTCTTTTTTAAACAAAAAAAAGTATAATTAATCAATATATTATTTGTAACAATCGAAAAAAACATACATTTTTTTAAATTTTTCAAAAAGTTGATTGATTCGCGAATAAAAACAAAAATTATTCTTGAAAAATTTTTCTTTTTTTTTTGACAGCTTTCCTCAATTTTGATTATTCGAAAGTGGCGCCAGCAAGTGATGGAAATCGGCACTATTTCATTTTAAAATTCTTCCAATCATATCATTTCGAATGTTTTTTCTTTTGTTTCGAACACTAGTGTGAATCAGTGAACGATGATTGCCGATTTAAAGATTTCGATGATGAATCAATCCGGAATTAAAAGAAAATTTTCAACAAATTCGTCGTCAATTAAACAAACAATTAGTGAAACAATCGAAACAGATATGATTGTGACAAATAATAATAAAAAAATTGCCTTATTGCCATATGAAATTCCATTGTATACTGGAATCAAAGATAATATCGATCGACCAGAATACGAAAATGATCAAAAACAGATTATCGGTTATTTTTGTCTATTACCTGAAGAAATAATGATAAAAATATTTCGTTTACTTTCAATCGAAGAACTTAGCCTGATGGCAATGACCAATTCAAAAATTCGGAATTTTATAATTCAATTTTTTCTTTTTAGTCATCCAGGATATGTTTTTCTTATCCGAGCAAGTCAATTCAATACTATTGATATATATGAACCACGATTCATATTTGAATCACAAAAACTATTCTCACGAATTGGTTTGTTGATCAAACGATCAACATTTTTGTTTCGCACCAACGATCGTATCGATATGATGATCCATATCATGGAATTCAGCTATGGTATACCATCGATTCGTTTGCTGTCCAATCATGATTATGCCCATTTCAAATTGACAATCAAATGTTATTCAAAATTAATGAATACTTTTATAAAAGGTTGGCGTGATTTTGAATGTGAAAAAATGTTTCAAAAATTGAAAGGTATGTTGTTTCAATCAAGTGATTTTGACTCATCAATTTTATTTCGAATTTTTCAGATGTATGTCAAATTGATTTACAAATTGGAAAGATCCTGAAAAATACCTTGGGATCAAAACAAAAACAAGAATTATTGGTGCGAAATTTTTTTCGTATGATTTTTGCCCATCCACATGATTCGTTGAATAATTTGAAGGAAAAAATTGGCTGGTTAATGAAAACTGTTAATGTTTATACATTGTCAGAAATGGCTCGTTTATTCATCGTCATTTTTGGCCCATTAGTAACGGTGAATAATAATTTTCACAATTTATCACTACCATACATTGCTTGGTGGGATTTGACTGAATCTAATTTTACCGAAAGAAGTTTTGAAGACTTGGGATTAACATTGTATTTCCTGTATTTGAAATCTGATGAATTTTCCTACAGTAAAGATTGTAAGTAATTGCTTAAATAATTAAATCAATCTTACTATGAGTTTGATTCGAATAGTTTTGATCGATTTGGTTGATCGTATTATAATGACACCGACTAGATGGACAGCTATGAATGTATCCGAAATGCTTTATTATGCCGGATACGAATTGACATTGACTTTTTTTGGTAAAAAAATCAAAGGTAATCAAAATTTGAGAAAACATAATCACAAATTAATTGATTTTTTTTATACACGACAATAGAAGGTTATATTGAAGATGTGGCCACACAATTATGTCATCTGAATGTGGTGACATATAAAAATACAAAAGATTTAACGACAATTGCAAAAATAATCGAAATACTTGTGAATGAAAATGGATTCGAATTGATACAAAAATTACCAGATGCATTTTCGGCTGCATTTTTTGACGTTGAAATAATGAGTGATGAAGATCAGATTGAGATTTATGAAATATCCGATATAATTGAATCACAATTAGAATTAATGAAAATTGCTCTATTGAAATGCAATCAAAATCATCATTAACTTTCTCATCATCTATACACTCATTCATTTTAATCTAGTTAATGAATTTCTCGATAATTAGTTATATAATTTATTTAATGATTGAATTAAAAATTTTCTAACATGCAAGTGTTCCGGGTGTGTTTGTGCAACGATGAAATATTGTTACAAATCATTGAAGAACTATCGATAATTGTTTTATCACTACAATCGATTATCGAATGTGTGTGTGATTTTTTTTTCTGAAAATTTTTTCGAATATTCACTTTGAGAGATTGATTTTTGTATTTAGTGTCTCAATAATCCAATAACTTTGACAACGATCATGAAGGTCATTATCGGTGATTTATTCAAGATGATTGATGCAGATTTTTTTTTCGTTTGTTTCCACCATTAAATATCACATCTATCAAAATGTAGGTATATATAAAAATGAATCCTTTTATCATAATCAATTGGATGGATGGTTTGATTGGCCATCAAATCATTGGTGAAAAATCTAATTTTTTTTCCTATTTTTCATGATCATTTATAATCAATTGATCGATATATTATAACCATTCAATAATTAATATTCGATATTGGCAATTGATCAATATATTTTTTTCCAACGATTGATTGATTGATTTGATTTGATTTGATTCGACTGTCCCTATGAACGTCACCGGGCGATGAAAAGAAAACGAAATTTTCATTTTCTTTCACATGCCTTTTCTCTCTCTCTCTCTGTTGCTATACGGATGATATGGATCATCATGGCGAAAAAAAGCAACAACAACAACGATATGGTATATGAGAAAAAAACGAAAAAAGTGCCAAAAAAAAAAAAAAAAAAAAAAGGAAAAATAGAAAATCTGCAACAAATGTGGAAATTGTTTTCAAACATTATCCTAAAACTTGGACAACTTTGGGATTTTTCAATCTTGTTTTTTTTCTGGTAAGAAAAAATTTTTTTTTGTTTTTTTTTGTTTAAAAATTTCCATTTCAGATCATCATCATCATCATCATCAATCCGGTTCAAGACCATTCGTTAGTTTATGTGTGTGTGTATATATGATAATCAACAATGATGATAATCATCATCATCGTAATCAACGATATGATATTTTTCAATGTTGTTTTTCTTTTCCATCCGTTGGTAACCATATATGAAGAAAAAAAAATGGAAAAATTTGAATGAAGAAACAAAAAATGAACCGGGTTTTTTTTTCTTGATCAATAATATTTACAATAATATGGCAAAAGGGCCACATCACCATCGATATTGGCCAAAAAATTATTCATAAAATCAATGACCACAATGCGATGTGTGTCTGTTTGTGTGCACGATGCACCAAATAGAATAGATATTGATCAAATTAAATTCAAAGAAAAGAAGAAGAAGAAGAAGAAATCAAGCTAAAGATAAGTAGTTTTTTTTCTTTTTTCTATCTATTGATGATCATCGGGAAGATATAATCTTTATGTACTAAAAATTTTTTTTTTCATTTTAGGTGATGATAAACGATTTATATTTTGCGAGAAGGGAAAAAAAGAATTTTTCCACCACCACCACCACCACCACCACGAATACCAGCACCAATTCTATCCGTTTGATGATGATGAAACATTTATATTTTTTTAAATCATTATTATATGCACAACAGAACAAAAAAAAAAATCAGCTATATAAAAATTGATTTGAAAAAAAATTTATCAATGATTATCGCAAATCATCAATTATATTAGAATAATAAGAAAAAATTTTTGGCCAACCAACCAACCAACCAATCGATGAGTAAAAATTAATAAATGAAAAATCAAATATAAATTATCGATTGAAATCAACATATCAAATATGCGAGATAGTGTGGGTGTGGGTGTTAGAGAAAGAAATCAAAACAAAAATCCAAAAAAAAAAAACGATAACACAAAACAACGATGATGATTAGATATATGGAAAGAAAAAAAAAAAAAAATTCGATACCAAAAAGTAACAGAAGCAAGAAACAAAAAAACAAAATGAAAAATCAAAACGATTATTTCATACCAATCGTCGTTCAACTCGATTTGTATAAATACAAATCTCATCAAATCAACCATAGTTAATAGTCATACGTAAATATACACACCCACAACAACATCATCATCATCATCATCGTTTTTTTTTCTTGGTTTCCAAGAAAATTATTCATATAATATTGATTGAATTACAATTCAGATCCATTTTGTATTGTTGTTGGTTTTGTTATTGTGTGTGTGTGTGTGTGTGTATATGTTACCTTGAAATTATAAAATTTGTAAAAAACAATAGAAAAACAAATATTTTTGTTAAATATGCAACAACAATTATTATTATCATCTCAAACATCTTTATCACCATCACAGCAGCCATTACCAATCACATCATCATCATCGTCATCATCTTCATCACCATCATCATCAACATTATTTACATTACAGCCATCATCACCGGAATCAATATTACGTTCAATGATTTCATATCCACAGGATAATAATACAGATCCTATACCATATCTACAGCAAGAATATATTCAACATTATCAACAACAACAGCAGAAACAACAACAACAACAACAGCAGCAGCAGCAGCAGCTGCAGCAGCAAAATGCAATGATACCGTTAACAACAACAATATCTTCATCACCGATGACAAAGACAATGACATCGACATTAAATTATTGTCATCCAAATATTAATTATCATCATTTATATAATAATGATCATCGTTTATTATCATATTCAGCACCATCAAGTCCATCTGGTATGATCATGCCATCATCATCATATTATCAAATTGAACCTGCAAATTTTAATGAAACATCTAATAATAATGGCCAATTCTATTCAAATGATATTAATAATAACAATAATACTACAACATCATCGTCATCATCATCATCATATCCATTGAATGTACAACAACCTATTGGCTATTTTCATCAAAATCATTCAGCATCATCATCATCATCATCGTCATTTGAAACAATTGATAATCAATATGATAATCAAACAATACTTGAAATGGATAATCCAATGGGAAATTTTTCAATACAAAATTCCAATCAATCAGATTATCAATTATCATTACTTTACAATAATAATAATAATGAATATAATGATGGAAATAATTTCTCAACCATCAGTAATAATAATAATAATAATAATTTTATACAAAACAATGATAATTTAATGATGAAAAAAGATGATTCATCAACAATCAATTTAATTGATCCATGTAATTCATCGATATTGAATGGTAATATTATCTATAAGGAAATTGGTCGAACAAAAAATTCATCTGCAACAACGACGACGACGAATAATAATAATGCAATGATGACACCGCCATCAAGTCCGGATAATGAAACATCAGCTTATCTAGCATATCAGAAAACAATGAACGGCAATAGTAATTCATTCGTTACACAGGAAATTCCCACCAATTCTGTTCGAGAATTTGCCAATTCAATTGAATTATTTGATAATCCAATTACATTGAATAATTATTCAGTTGCATCACTCATTACTGATAATGATTGTCATAAATTGATCGAAACAGAATTATCACCACCACCAGCACCAGTATCAATGACCAATACAAAATCTCCGCTTGCATCAATGATTATAACAACGAAAATCGCTGATCTTGGTTCCAATTCACGAACAACAACAACAACAACAATGGGCATAAAAAAGACAAGAGGAAAAAAATCGAATACAATCGGTTCATCATCTTCTTCTGTAACAGGTCGTATTGATGGTATCAAAGTTCATAAAATTACACCAACAGCAACAACATCATCATCATCATCATCATCATCATCGGAAATGGGTGGTGATAATAATAATAATAATCAACCAACAAATAAACAAACACAAAAACGTACTGCACATTTATCGGCTGAATTTCGTTATCGAACAAAATTGAATGAAAAAATAAACAAACTTAAATGTTTAGTATCGAAACAAAAACATAACCTTAGTAAATCGGCTGTATTAACACGTTCGATTGAAATGATTATGAATTTGAAAAAATTAGTTGTTCAATTACATCAGGCTAATATACAATTACAACAACAGCAACAACAACAACAACAACAGAATCAAAATTTACATGCAACATTACCAACAGCAACAGCAACATCATTATCATTGAAAGATGTAAAAACAATGACAAAAAATCTATCAACACAATTCATAAATGTAAATCATCTAACATCAATCAAACCGGAACAATTATCATCAACAGCAGCAGCAGCAGCAGCATCGTCAACAACGGATATAAAAAATGAACCAATAGATACAAATGAACAACAATTTTATTGAATAACAACAACAACAACAAAAAGAATTTGCCATTTGGATTTATTTTAGCTTTTAATTTCTATATATCTTTTCTATCTATTTTTTTTTTCTAAAATCGAATTGGATTTATTGATTAATTCTCATTGGATATATATAGATAATAATTGATTGATTTTATTTTTTTTATTGTAAATAAAATAAATATATATTTTGAAAAGAAGAAAAAAAATTGATGACTATTAGAAAATGAAAAAAAAAATTCATATTGTTGACTGTTGTTGACATTATCGATCTGTTATTATATCGAATCGATGACATAAAGATTTTGATCACAAGATTTTTTTCTTCAACAAAGAAAAAAAACAACAAAAACAAATATCATTTTCATTAAAATCAATCATAATCGATGATCATTTTGATAAATAACGGCCAATTGGTTCAAATTCCATTTTGTTGTGGTAAATTAGAAATTCCATTTATATAAACACACATATGAAAACAACATTGCCAAAAAAAAAAAAAAAACGATTTGACGATTTTTCGAGATGTTTTTTTTACTATTATCAATCAATCAATCAACTATTTCGACCTTTGTAATCGAACGTTTTTGATATTTTATTCAATTAATAATAAAAAAAAGCAAAACATCGAATGATGATGGTATTTTCCCGTGGAGAAAAAATAAATAACATTCGATTCGATTCGATTCAATTTTTTTTTCATTAAAAAACAAACAATTTTCATTGATTGATTTTTGACATGAAATCCATCCGTTTTCCATCCCATCATAATAATTCCTTTTATTTTTCTGTTTTGTGTGTGTGTGTTTTTTATCGTTGAAAAAAAAATTTCTTTGATAAACAAAATGAAAAAATAAATAAAATCAAAACAGGAAGAAAATTAATGATAATGATAATGATGATGATGATGATGATGATGATCTAATTGATATCAATCTAATCAGATCTGATGACATTGTGTCATGAGATGATGATGATGATGATGATGATGAATAGTGATTTTCAAATTCAATCAAATGTGTCATGTAATATGCGTATTGTTCTTGTTTTTAAATATTTTTTTTTTTTGACTTTGAATTTTTTTTTATGCCATTCCTTTTCTTTTTTTTCCAATCATCGTGATCATCATCATCATCATCCATAATCAGCATAAGAAGAAAAAAAACCAGACAATTTGTCTAGTTTTATGATCAAAGATAAAGTTTATTTTTTGCTATTGCAAAAGCAGAAGTAAAAAATCAAATATTTCGATTATCTCCATCCAAAATACACAGTCTATATTAAATGGAAAGTTTCATCGTCATCATCATCATCATCATTATCATCATCATCAATCTTTTATTGAAAATGTACTGAAATGAAATTTCTTATTTTTCTATATCTAATCAAAAATGAATTTTTTTTTTTTAATTCCATCAAACATAGTACAAATCCTATCCTATTGATTTAGATTGTATTTTTTTTTCATGATTTACACACCAATGGAGAAATCATCATCATCATCATCATTATCATGAAATATATGATGGCTAAATTCCAAATGAAATATTGTTGTTGAAAAACAACAATATTTCATTTCAACAAATTTCGATTGTATACAATCACAATCATCATACAAATAAAATTATCAACATTTTCGCATCCGAAACCAAAAAAAATTATTGATAATAGGAACAAAAATTTTCCGTTTAATCAATGATTTGTATGAAGAGAAAAAATTGGTTGGCAACAATAAAAAAAAAAACATTTGGATGACAAAATGTTCGAGGCAAAGGTCATCTAGAATATATGATCGCAAACGGGAAAATTACGAACCAGAAAATGAAAAATTTATGCCAATTATGAATCGGCTTAGCATCATCATCATCATACAATATATTGTCATTTTGAAGGCCATAGTGACATTTGTACATATTCACATTCACATTCATACTCAATATATATGAATCAACTCTTGGTCTTCGTCTGTTCTTTATACTATACCCATTTGATGGTCGTTTGATGATTGGTTGAGAAAGAAAGATTATTCATTCGTTCAAAATGCATGTCAATTTCAGAAAAATTTATCTTGTCAAACAAGTTTTTTTTTTCGATACATACATTCATTATGGTACTAAAAAAAAATATCGTATGATATGAGCCGATTTTTTTTTCCATTTCTGTTGTTATGAAACAAAACCAAATTGTGTTTTAAATCAAACACAAAGAAATACGAATCGAGCAACGAACAATTTTCTATTCATTTTCACTTAAAATTTCATCGTATCAACAACTATTGGACATCAAAAAAAGATTTTATTCTGTTTTGAAAAAAAAATTCACAATGAAAATGAAAATTGAAAAGATTCTCATCTCTGATCCAGTAGATGAAGCAGCTATACAGATTTTACGTGAACGTAATATTCATTGTGATTTACGGCCAGGTTTACCACAAAATGAATTGATCACCATTATAAAGGTAGTGTGGGGTTTGTTTACTCATTCAATATTTAACTTTTAATTTCAATTTATATAGGACTATGATGCATTAATTGTACGTAGTGGTACTCAAGTAACCAAAGAAGTGATTGAAGCTGGTCAAAATTTAAAATTGATTGGTCGTGCCGGTGTCGGTGTCGATAATATTGATTGTCGTGCAGCAACAAGTGCCGGTATTATTGTCATCAAGTATGTTTCAGTGTATATAATGAATGAATCGAATGGAAAATTCATTTTATTTTTATTTAATTAATAGTGCACCTGGTGGTAATACTATTTCGGCTGTTGAATTGACATGTACAATGATATTATCGACAGCACGTATGGTGCCACAAGCATGTCATTCACTTAAATCGGGTAAATGGGATCGTAAAACATTTGTTGGTAATGAAGTTAAAGATAAAACATTGGCAATCATTGGTCTTGGACGAATTGGTCGTGAAGTGGCTACACGAATGCAATCATTCGATATGAAAACAATTGGATTCGATCCATTGGTATCGGCCGAAGCGGCTCGTGAATTTGGCGTCGAATCATTAACGTTGGAAGAGATTTGGCCTAAAGCGGATTTCATAACTGTTCATACACCGCTTATACCACAAACAAAAAGTAAGATAAAATTTTTCTACTGATATTTGTTATATTGGTTACTAATAATTTGATTCAATATGTAATATATAGACATGATCAATGCACAAACATTACAAAAATGTAAAAAAGGTGTACGTATTATTAACGTAGCACGTGGTGGTATTATCGATGAGAATGATTTACTTGAAACATTAAAATCTGGTCATTGTGCTGGTGCAGGTCTAGATGTTTTCATGGAAGAACCGCCTAAAAATCGACAATTAATTGAACATCCACGTGTGGTTTGTACACCACATCTTGGCGCCAGTACCAAAGAGGCACAGAATAATGTAGCTAAAGAAATTGCTTTACAATTTTTGGATATTATGGATGGAAAATCTGTACCAGGTGTTGTGAATGCACCATTATTATCGGAAATGTTGAAACATCAGAATTTATTATGGACACGATTGGGTCGTAATCTTGGAACGATTGCCGCAATGGATTCATCATCAACACGATCATTAAAAGTGATCATCTCTGGTAATGAAGCACGTAAAGTGGCAAAATTGATACGAGAAACTGTTTTAGTTGGCTTCCTTACAATGATTACCGGCAAAGAAGTTAAACTGATTTCAGCATCCGATTTGGCCGCTAATATGAATATTGAAGCTAAATTAGAATTGGATGAATCATCGGGCCATTGTTGTTTCAGTAAGATTCGTTTACAAACCGATTCTGGTAATGAATATGTTGGCATACCACAAGGTCGTCGTTCATATCTTAATGAAATGAATGGTCATCGATTTGAGCCAGTAATTGCTATGGAAGGTCATATTACATTCATACAGATTAAAAATCCATCTGGATATGAAACATTGATGAAATCATTGTCTACAATATCATCAACGATTAAAGCCATAACTAGATCTGATGATCTTTTATTGATAGCTATACATTCAACTGGACCATTAGAAACATTGCCAAATGAAAATGTTGATTATGTTAAAGTGATTCGAATGAATTTCTAGATAGTATAGATCAATATCTAAGTTTGTGGTGTTTTTCTTTGCACGCAAATTTTTATATATCGAAATCAATCATTCGATTCTCATATATATTTTTTTTTTCTTTTGGTTGAACGAGCTTTTAATAACAATAAAACATTAAACAATCCAATTCAATTCCATTCTGTACATTATATCTGGATCATCATCATCATCATAATAATAAATCTGTAGCAAAGCGTTGAAAATGTGTGTTACAGCGATCATCACTGATGACAAAAAAAACAACAACAACAACTACTGCCTTGGTTGGTGCTTTTTTTTGGTGGTTTACAATTGTTGTGGATAAATGATTTTTTTGTTCTTTCGATGATGATGATGATGATGATGATGGCTAAACGGGTGATGGTCACGTAATTCATACGACCTAAATAATTAGAACCCTTGTACCCAACAATGACAACAACAACAACAACAACAATGATTTTTCAATGAATGACAATCATATGATAATCATCTCTCGATTTATAAATGAAAAATGAAAATTTGGAACACTAAAGCAATATCACCACCAAGAGGGTTACCAAGGATTCCAAAAAAAAAAAAAAATAACGAAAAAAAAAGAAATAGTGCAAAAAGAAGATCTGACTGAAAACCATCGAATGATACCCTCGTTTTTTTTTTTACTTGACATACAAATATATCAACGATTTAGGCCATATATTTCAAAATACATGTGAAATAATGTATGGATATAAAAAAAATTTGGATAAAATCCCATGTCACCTCGAGGTTATGAGGTCAATATATCAGAGAATATATCATCGATGGAATATATCGATGGGTGTGTGTGTTATTCAGTTGTTTATATGTTTAATTATCATTTTTTTTCTCTCATTCTATCTAGCTATCTTGTTGGATAAATCATCAACATGACAACACCATTTTGTTCCCAATGATGATAATGACGAAATCAACGGTTGACAGTATTGTAATTATTAACAAAAAAAAAAAAAAAAACAGCAATTCATTCAAAACGATTCCGATTTGATGAATATATATATCCAGCTAGAATCAGAGATTTGTATATAATTTTGATTATTGTCATGATGTTATATCATCATCATCATCATTGCCATCATTCAGGAAATGATCGTATGAATAACACACGCACACACACACACACACAACTTGTCTAGAAGCATTAGATATATGAAGAAAACGGTTGCGAAAAAAAAACCGAAACAAGATAATTTCCAACCATATGAACCGGAAAAAATTGTACTAAAAATCAGTAGACCACCACCACCACCATAAATAGTAAGAGGATTGGATAATTAAAAGTTGAATGGTAATATATAAAAAAAATGCTAGTGGTAATCAAAAAAAAAAAAAAAAAAAAAATGAATCATTTACCTGACTGACCAAAAAACCCGATAGAATGATGATGATGATGATGATGACCAGGTAGGTAGGGTTTATGATAATAATCACAACAACAGAATAACAGAATAAATGAAAAAAAATAAAACAAAACGAAATGGGTAATCATAATCAAGACAGAATAATATGTGTGTGTGTGTGTCTATGTGTAATCGAATGAATAAATGAACATAAAAGGTAAATTCTAACGAACGAAAAAAAAAAAAAAAAATTCAGCGGGTAGTAAAAACGACAAAGTGCTATCAATTTATATATTCAACATTCACCATCATCCTCCCTGAAGTCAAATGAAACTAAAAGTTGTTCAAAAGGATAGAAGTGAATGAATGAATGAATGAATGATGAAGAATTTATTAACCCAAATATTCCTAAAAAAAAAAAAAAAAATGAACCAGAATTTTTTCCTGGTCATAGGGGTATTTATGGATTAACAAACACAAAAAATAAAAACGAACGATAGAGATGAATATAATCCATGACGATATATCGGTTGCTTGGAACGGAACAAATCATCATAATCAACACAATATGTTATCTGGTCAAAGTAATAAGGTAGTAGCGACGATGTATGTAACATGATGAAATTTCGGTCAAAATTTATCGGTCGACAGTGTGTGTGTGTGTGTGTGTGTGTGTGTGTGTGTTGTGACAATTTCGGTCGGTTTTTTGTTCCATTCATTTGGTTAGTCATTTGAAATGATTTTTTTTCTGCTCTCCTGACTTCATATTGTTTAACCACACATACCAACAAATACAAAAAAAATTTTTTTTTTTCGTACTTCGAATTACATGTTGATGATGAAATGATCGTTGATTCACCTGATAATGTTGAAATAGAAAAAAAAAATTTAAATTCATAAATTCTATATTCTCTGTGCGTGTGTTTTTGTGTGTGTGTGTTTTTCTCACTATTCTAAAATTTTTCTTTTGTAATGTGACCAATTTTAAATTCAAAATTTTTTTATTATTTTTTTTTCATCGATAAATTCTTTGGATCAACACCATGGTGGTGGCCGAAGAACAAATCGGTGATGTTGATAATAACAACAACAATCAAAATAATGATAATGATGATGATGATAGAGAAACGAATCAAAATGATTTCAATCAACAACAAATGGATAATCAAAATTCAAATCATCTTTCTGTTGTTGATGAAAATAATAATAATAATAATCTAGATGTGAATCGATTATTTGATAATCCAAGTCCACAGATGCAACAAATTAATGGTTTAATCATTAATAATGAAACGAATGATTCGAATACGAACACAAATTCGAATCATTCGAATGGAATTGATACGAAAACAACACCATCAGCATCACCAACATTGAAAAAACAAGATTCAATCGATATAGTTGCCAAACCAATACCTGATGGTAAGTTTTAAACCTTGTTGTTTTTTTTTTTGGAATCATTCGATTTTTTTTATTATTATTATTTTTATTTCTTGTGATTCAAAAATTTGAAAAAAAATGAAGATAAACGAAAACGTTCACCAGTACCTAAAGATATTTATCCATCATCAGATAATAATGGTAAATCAAAACCCAGTGAAACTGGTCTACCTGAAAATGCTCAAATAAAACGGCTTAAAAATGTAAGCATACAGGAATTGAAAAAAGATCTAGAAAAATCTCGACAACAACAGCGACAAAAATTAGCACAACAAAAAAATGGTGTGATGATCAACGGTGATGCAACAATTATTGATATGGATTCAAAACAGCAGCGACCATCTAAATTGTCACAGAAAAAACTTCCTGTTGAAAAATTAGATATAACAGCTGCATTGGATGTTAGTTCGGTAGGATCGACACCTTCACCGCAACCACCACAACCACCATTATCAATATCACCACTTCCTGGTGATCAAACCGTAATGAAACCGTCAAAAATGAAAGCCGTTAGTAAACGATCACAAGGATCAATCGGTGGTATTAAATTAACTGAATTAGAAATGGCCAAATTAGGTAGACTTGGAATATCAGCTCAAGCGAGTGGACAACCCGATGGAACCAGTGTTGGTGTAAGAGGAAAAGCAGCTGTGGGAAGAAAATCACCATTACCTCCAGGTAAATTAACACCATCACCAAAACCAACCAGTAAATCACCACGACCATCACCACGTGAATCACCGATTCCAGGTAAAAAAGATATAACTGCTGCTCCGGATGGTGAAAGTGGTGACAATAAAAAAACTGCTGACCGTATGCCACGTAGTGAAATGCCAACTCGAAAAGAACGAATGCAACAACGAAAAGCAGCAGCTGCTGCTGCTTCAACCGCTACAACCGGTAAAGATGGAAAAAAACCTACGGAAATGGATGGCCAACAACCACCTAAAGAACATGGATCAAAATCATCATCATCAAGTTCTCGTTCACAATCACGTGAACGTGTTGGACCAGGTGGCCGTACATTATCAAGAGAAATGTCTAAAGATGTACAAGGACGTGGATCAAGAAAACAATCGCTTCTGGATCAATCACCATCATCACGAACAACAAAAAATATTAGTGATTATGGCCATAAATTGGTAGCATTATGTCGTAAAGGTGATTGGGTCGGTGTTGATACTATCATCAAATATATAAACAAATATAATGTCGAATTTGATAAAACGGCCGTATCAGAAACGACCGGCTGGTCACCATTAATGTTTGCCGTACGTGATAATCGTATACAAATATCCGAACAATTGATCGATCTAGGCATACCTATCAATACCAAAGCAAAGGTAAGAAATGAACCAAATTATCTTATTCTTTATTTGGTTTTGATATAAATTTTTTTTTCTTGTTGCTCATATTGTGTTGATGATGATGATGATGATGATGTTGTCCAGAATATTCTTGGGTTCAATGGACCTGTACTGGAACTAACTAGACAGACTATAGTATGCTAGTCTAGTTTTATATGTTGAATGAATATTTGCCTTCATTATGAACAATAATAATATGATGATGATGATGATGATACTTTTTTTTCATGTTCCTACTATATGAGAAAATGTAATTAATGATTGTTTGGCCACGACCATGGATTAGCTTACCTTTTTTTTCATATATATCCAGTTTAACATATTTATATAGATAGAATGAGAAAGGTTTGTTGTATGTGGTGTGTGTGTGTGTGTGTGTAATAAAATTATTATTATCCAAAACTTGAAACCAGGAACCAATATGAGAAAGAAAATATAATGAGACAGATAGGTAAAAGATAGATTAAAAGTAACAAAAAAAAAAGATAGATTACCAGAACAAAATGAAATCTAATCTTTGAACAAATGTTTGTAATAATATAGCTGAATTTGTTTTTCTTTTCGATGTGTACAAATTATTGATGTGAACAGAGAGAATAAAAATTAAAATGAGAAATGAAGCTATTTTATTGACAACATAAACAGAATCATCACATAGATGGAAATGGTTGGTGGCAGTAGAATTTTATTTACTTTTGTAAAAAAAAATTTAAGAATTACAAGACAGAAAAAATAATTCTTTAATTTTTTTTTTTAGGATGGAATAACAGCCTTACATTTAGCATGTGCATATGCACGTGAAGATACGATACGATTATTGTTGACAAATAAAGCTGACGCAATGATACCTGGTGGTGTAAGTACATTATTCAATTTCAAATCGAATCATAATAATTGATTGATTGATTGAATGATTAATGAAAAAAAAAATTTTTTTAGGAAAAAAATCAATTACCCATACATGTTTTAGCACAAAAAGCAACCGGTGCTGCACTTGTACCATTACAGCTATTATTGAAATCAAGTCCAAAAGAAGCACGTTTAGCTGCAGATAAAGATGGAAATTTGCCATTATTTTTAGCCCTTGAAAATGGTAATCATGGTGTTTGTCGGGAATTATTGAAAGAATCGGCTAAAGAACAAATTAATATGCATAAACCGGAAACGGGTGAAACCGGTATACATATTGCTATTAGGAAAAAAGATACCGATATGTTACGATTAATGGTTGATAATGGTGGTGATGTTGATCAACAAAATGTAAGTTTTTTTTTAAATTCGCATTTCATTTTATTGTTCTCTGTACGATATTCGATATCGAACAGAAAGATGGACAAACTGCATTACATATGGCAGCAATAATGGGTGATGAAGGATTGATAAAATTTTTACATATGGTTGGTGCTAAACCAAATATTGTCGATAAACAAGAACGTACACCATTACATTTGGCAACGGAAAATGGTCATATGAAAACTGTTGATTTTCTAACAGAAAAATTTCGTGCATCCGTTCATGAACGTACAAAAGATGGTAGTACATTGATGCATTTAGCATCAGCTGCCGGTCATCCTGGTACAGCTATGGTTTTCATGAAAAAAGGTGTTGCATTACATATGCCAAATAAAGCCGGTGCTAAACCTATTCATATGGCTGCTAGCCGTGGCCATACTGAAGTGGTTAAAGCAATTGTTCAAAAAGGTGAATCTGTTGATTCAAAAACAAATGTAAGTTTAATAAATTTTTTTCATCAAAATTTTGATTTTTTTTCAATAATTCTACATTATTGTAGGAAGGATATACTGCCTTACATATAGCTGTACAATCTGGCCATGCACAAGTTGTTGAAGCATTGATTGGTATGGGTGCAGCCGTTCAACAGGAAGCTGGAAAAAATGGTGAAACACCATTACATACAGCAGCAAGAATTGAAAATGGTAAAGCATGTGTAGAAATGTTGGTAAAAAGTGGTGCCAAAATTAATGCCATCGATGCGGTAAGTACCATATAATTTGATGATTTTATTGATTTTAATTTTGAAATATTATTGTTGTTGTTGTTGTTGTTAGAATGGTGAAACGCCTTTACATTTTGCTGCTAGAGAAGGATTCCTTGAAACGGTCAATATGTTATTGGAGGATCAAGCTGATCCATCTATGGTGAATATTAAAGGTGAAAATGTATTGCATATTGCAGCCAAAGAATCACATTATCCAATCGCAAAAAGAATGATTGAATATACAATTGAAATGAAAAGTAAAAAAGCTTGTACCGATTTGGTTAATAAACCGAACATGGTAGGTTTCAATTATCAATCCAAAAAAAAAAATTCGAATGAAATTTTCAATTTCTAATTCATTTTTCTCTGAAACAAAAAAAACAATAGAATGGTGAAAGTTCTGTACATTATGCAGCAAATTTAACAGAAAAAAATCGTCATTATGACAATGAAGATCGTGATATAATGCGTTTATTATTGGAAAATGGTGGCAATGTTTTTCTGGAAACAATTGAAAAAACCGAAACACCTGTACATTATTGTAGTAAATCGGGCAATACAAATGCATTGCAAGAGATTATTAGTTTTTTACCACCAGTTGATGCTCAATTAGCCTGTAATAAAACGGCCAAAGTATTTTTAAATTTATTCAAAATTCTTACTTTTTATTAATTAAATTATTATCGTTCAACAGTCAGGATGGACGCCATTATTCTATGCCTGTTCACGTGGCCATGCCGATACGATACGAATGTTATTGAATCAGAATGCACGTGTCGATATATTTGATGAGGTTTGACATTTTATATTTGATTCTGTTTCTTCAAAAAAAAAAATTATTTATTAATCAATTTAGCGTGGACAAGCAGCATTACATATTGCAGCAGAAATTGGTCAAGAAGAAGTGGTAGAAATTCTACTTGAATCAAATGCATTTGTTAATGTTCGTAATAAGAATGGCATGACACCGTTACATTTAGCTGCACGTAAAGGCTATAATAATATGGTTCGTCGTTTGGTCACCGAACATAGTGCCTTGTTGGATGCCAATACATTGGTAAGACAAAGAATCGATAATTTTTTTTTTTTTTTTTTTGACAAAAAATAATCTCTTGATTCGTCGTTACGTCAATCAACAGACTAAACAAACACCATTACATTTAGCTGCTGAAGCTGGCCAATTAGCCGTTTGTGAAACATTATTAGGATTGAAAGCCGATGCATTGGCTATCGATAATGTAAGTGGGATTTTATGTTTTTTTTTTTTTTTTGAAAAAATTTTTCATAATGATTGTGATTTTTCTTTTTATCAAATAGCATTCACAAACACCACTACATTTAGCCGCTGAACATGATCATTCTGAAGTTGTACAACTATTTCTAAAACATAAACCAGATCTATTATCGGTACCAAATAAAAATGGTTATACTTGTGCTCATATAGCTGCAGCTAAAGGTTCAGTGGCCGTAGTTAAAGAATTAATGCGTCTAAATCAAGAATCAGTGATCAATGCACGAATTTCGGTAATTAATATTATTAAATTAAATATTCTAATAGTTTTAATTCATTTTATATTTATTTACAAATTATTAATAGAAAACAAAATCAACAACATTACATTTAGCCGCTGAAGGTGGCCACGTTGAAGTTGTCCGAACATTATTACAGGCCGGTGCTAAAGCAACAGATGAAAATGTTGAAGGTTATACGGCATTACATTTAGCCGGTAAAAAAGGTCATGTAAATGTTTTACGTGCATTGAAAGAACAATCCACTGCATATTGGAAAGTTTGTAGTCGTCGTGTAAGTATATCTTTTCATGAAATTTCATTATCATTTCATTTTTGTTTTTGTCCAAAAATTCTAATCATACACATTTATTGATTAGATTGGACTTACTGCATTACATGTTGCCGCTGCATTTGGTCAAACCGAATGTGTAAGTGAAATGTTACCCATAGTACCGGCTACAATTAAAAGTGAACGTCCATTAATTGATCCAAGTGGTGATGTATGTGAATCATCCATGATTATTGTTTTGATTATTTTATTTTGATTTTTTTTTTGTTTTAAATAAATATATAGTATGGCATAACACCGTTACATTTGGCATCACAAAGTGGCCATGAAAATGTTGTACGATTATTGTTGAATAGTAAAGGTGTTCAGGTTGAAGCACCAACCGAAGTAGTCGGTACAATACCGATGCATATGGCAGCACAAGGTGGTCATTTACTTGTTGCTGGTCTTCTCATTAGCCGTACTAGTGAACAATTACATCGTGCTGATAAATATGGTCGTACTCCATTACATTTAGCTGCATCATTTGGTCATCGTGATATGGTTTCATTATTGTTGGGACAAGGTGCCAATATTAATTCACAAGATAATGTAAGCTATTTAAATAAAACAAAAAAAAAAAAAATTCCATCCCCACCCATTCAAAGCTATAATTATTATTTTTGACTTTTCCATCATTAGAGAGGATGGTCACCATTACATTATGCAGCAAGACATGGTTTTCTTGATGTTGTACAACTTTTAGTTGATTCTGGTGCCGATCCAGATCTACATTCAAAAGATGGCCGCGTACCAATGTGTTGTGCTGCTGGTGCTGGCCATTATCAGGTTTTAAGTTATTTATTTAAAAAAGAACATGATACATTAAATTTAATGGAAGATCGTGATGTAAGTTTTTTTTTGATTTTACTCATTGGATTTTAACTCTTTTTTATCTCCCCAATTCTCATCATCAGTTTTTACTTGATCTAATGGTCTGTTCTAAACAACATGAAAATAAACCAATTCAAGAATTCATTCTTGTTTCGTCGGCACCAATCGATACGGCTGTAAAATTGGCAAAAAGTTATGAAAATTTAGCACAAAAAGAAAAAGATCGTACACGTGATCTAGAAGCTGTTTATCAATATTGTGATCAAATTGCCACCGATCTATTATCGATAACGGCAACAACAAATAATGCTGGCCGATTATTACGTGCAATCGATTATAAAGGAACCGAATTTTTGGATGTACTTATTGAATTAGAACGTAAAGAAGTTGTTGCACAACATGCCGTACAACAATATCTGACCAATGTTTGGATGGGTACAATGAAATGGGCAGGATGGAAATTTATTCTATTATTCTTTTCAATGTTGGTATGTCCATTCGTTTGGGTATTAATATCATGTCCATTTGGTCATCGTCTAAGTAAAATGCCCATCATTAAATTTACACTCTACCTCGTATCACATATATTTTTTATTGTCATATTAACAATAACAACTGTTAATCCATGGTTACCAATCTATATGAATGATGGACAATGGCCATATTGGCATGAATGGCTATTACTTGTTTGGGTATTGGGCATATTTTTAGCCGAAGTTACAAATCCAGCTGATCGTGATGGCCTAGGCGGTATTAAAGTGGTTGTCGTTTCCGTTTGTTTTATGGCTGTTATTGTACATATTTTAACGGTTATTACCGGTTATTTTGAATATTTTGAAGAAGTCACAAGATTAGTTATGCTCTATTTACGTAATCAATTATTGGCCGTTGCATTATTGTTGTCCTTTTTGGAATTTCTTAATTTTCTAACATTTCATCATTTATTTGGCCCATGGGCAGTTATTATTCGTGATCTAATCAAAGATTTGCTCAGATTTTTGGCCATTTTATTGATATTTATGGTTGGATTTTCTTTACACATTTGTGCCATTTATCAGCCAGTATTTGAACCACCAGATACAGTTAATGGAACATTACCAAGTTATGGACAAGAATTTCAGAATCCATTGGATACATTCGAAATGTTATTCTTTGCTTTGTTTGGTCTTGTTGAACCGGATTATATGCCACCAATGCATCTAAGTCCACCGGTTGCAAAGATTATAATGAAATTAGTATTTGGCGTTTATATGATGGTCACTGTTATTGTATTGATTAATCTATTGATCGCTATGATGTCCAATACATATCAACGTATACAAGCACAATCGGATACAGAATGGAAATTTGGTCGTGCTAAATTGATTCGAAATATGACACTAACATCACCGACACCATCACCAATTAATATATTTGTTGGTCTGCCATTTCAAATTATGCAGAAATTAATCAATCTTCGTCAAGATCGAAAAAAAGGAATGCATATAACAGCAGCATTAGCACATCGTCCATCTGTTGTTGCCACACAGAAATGGCTACAAAGTGGAGCCGGTACTGGAGCTATTACCGGTGGTACAGCCGGATTTACTGCTGGTGGTCGTCGTGCATCACGTGCAACCAGTCATATTAGTCGTACATTTGGCCAAACATATGCCGATGATACGGAAGCACAGAAACCGATTACCGAAGTGATTAATTGGCCAATAATTGTGAAAAAATATCTAGAATATATTGGTGCAATTGGTGCCGACCAAGGTGGTGAAGAAGATGATAAAGATGAAGGAACAATGTTAATGGATTCACCAACCGAAACTAGTCGACCTATGAGCTGAGCTGAGTTAATTGAAAATTGTTTTTATTTGCATTTTTTTTTAAATCTATTTATCAAATTTCAATCATGATTATTAAAAAAAAAAATTAAAATTTTCAAAAAAAAAAAATTTTTTTCAAACCAACTCGATTCTAATTGTTGATAATAGATGGCGTTGTGATCGCATGCTCAGAATGCTGTGATGATAATGAAATTATTCATGGCAGCTTTTTTCATACTCACACACACACACACAATGGCCTCGTTTATTATATTACGCATCACACATATTCATATACAACAGCAGACAGGCAGCTCTTTCTATTGCCAAAATGAATGGTGGCGCCACATTGTGATCAAAGTGAGAACTAAATAAACAGTCTTATTAGGATTTATTTTTTCAATTTTATAATTAATCATCATCAAATCAAATCAAATTAAATCAAATCGAAAAAAAAACATACAATCGGTTATAATCATACAAATATTATTGGAATCATCAATTCTTTTTGAAATTTGCAAATAGGTAAAAAGCGCGCCAAAAAAAAATTATTTCAAATTTCATCATTCGAGCATGTAAAAGCCGCCGGGATACACTCTCATATATGAATGTTCATTGTTCTGCGCTTGCTCTATTCGAAGCCGTTTGATTTTGACAAAAATTTTTTCTAATGCATATAACAACCACATTCGAACTTTCAAGTTTTTATTTATTTGTTGTTTTTTTTCATAGTTAAGTTCATTTGCGAAAAAATAAAAAAAAAACTAAAATCAATTTCAATTTGCTTATTACAAACAAGTCGCGTATATTTGAGAGTGTAAAATCTTGAATTTCATCATCATCATCATTTTATTATATTTGGTTTTCATTTTGGAAATACACAAAAATTCTAATCATCCATTCAATTAACAATCATTTTGGGTGAGTGTTGTTTCTAAATTCTAATTTTGATTGTTTTTTCTTTTTACAAAATTTAAATTTTTTTTCTCTCGACAATAATAAGTTCATTGATTCAGGATTTATGTCGTGTTTGATATGAATATGATGATTTTCTTCCGCTTTTTCAATTTCTTTGTTGTGTATGCATGTGTTTATTATGTATATTTGATAGATATCATTTCATAATGATAATGATATTCATTCATTTTGGTTTATCTCTATTTATTTGTTTATTTTCTTAGTATGTGATGATAATAGAAAAAAAACATTGATGACAGTGATTCTTTGTGATAGAGGTATTACATCATTGATATTTACTTTTCAGATCATCATTATATTATATTCTCATATTATCCGACAAAATTTACTCAGGAAAAAGTTTTTCCCCTAATTTTTTTTTATTCTAAAATAATTATGTAGCATTCAATGATTTTCGAAAATAAAGTTTTGAAATGACGCGTGCGCGGAATTTTATCTTACCGCCAAAAATACATTTCATACATCTATCTTCCAATAACCAAAAAAAAAGATAAATGACTCAATTGTTTTTCATCTAAGAATTTATACGTTTTTTCATTTTTTTGTTCTTTCATCTCAATTGATTCTATTTGATCTTAAATAATATTCTACCCCCAATTGATGCTTGTTTTTTTTTTCTTAAGATTGATGCACCATTTTCTTTTCATTCCACATAACACACACACACACACACCTTGCTATTATATATAAAAGCAAAAATGTATTAGAAAAAAAATTGGCTGTATGTTTTCTTGCCTAAATATCTCCCCAATAGCTTCGTCGCCATTGGATTGAGTGTATATTTGCCATTTTACCATTGCAAATAATATTTTGTTGTATTATTATTAAGGGAACTGTCATGGCTGCCAATGGAAAGTCTATGGTGATGGTGATGATTTCTTGGTTTTGCTTTGCTGTGTTGTGTGTTTTTTCTATGTGTGTATGTAATGATGATGGTGGACACACAATAAACCGGCGGCAGTGTATGTTCACATGCCAATCGCGTATAGCGAAGGCAGCCATTTGCTTATACGGCCTGTGTTTGGTTTCAGTTTTTATTTTGTTCAGTGGCGCTGCATATTATACATATATTGCCATTGCTATTTCGATTGCCTGCCTGCATTGAATGTCTATCGTAGTTTTTTCTGCATGTAAAGTCTATGACGATGATGAGATTACAATGGGATGGATGGATGGATAGAAAGAAGAAGCACATATATGCTATGTAAGTTTGGTGAATCGTTGAATATTTCGTATGGCAATGGCGGGTCTATTGGATTGAACATGGATATAATGTGTATGCGTGTTTTGTATGTGAGATTTTTCTTGATGGTGAACGAAAAAAAACCAATAGAACAAACCAAAACGAAGAGTTTCTATGTGTGTTTTAATGGTAATAGACTCTAACCAGCAGCAGCAGCAAAAAAGCAGTACAAGACAAAAAAACAAGGCAGGCTGCCTCTTTTTTAACCATTGCCATTGCCTATGCTTATTTCTATGCCTATCGACATAATATAACAACGAAGAGAATAACCGTTTGGATAAAAAATATATTTTTTGTTCTCTTTGTCGTCGAAATCAAATATTCGTATTCGTGTCGTTTTCGTTGTCGTTGCTGTTTATATTATCTTGTGATTCCGATTGTTCATCGGATATTACAAACCAAGAAAACCTTCAACGTCAACGGAAGAAAATTCCAGACTGTAATAATTGTTTGAATATTCGATTTTTTGACTTTTTAAATTTGTAATTGAATTTTTCCTAAATTTTTGACAGATCAATCGCCATCAGTTTGCAGAATCAGATCTCCGTTGTCATTCAATCAATTTTTGTCACCATCACATCATCAATTTCGTGTCATTTTTTCATTTCATCACTCTAATTGATAATGGGAAAAGATAATAAACCTCGTGGTCGCATGTCGGCCTATGCTTATTTTGTGCAAACTTGCCGTGAAGAACATAAACAAAAACATCCAAATGAGAACGTAGTGTTTGCAGAATTTTCGAAAAAGTGTTCTGAACGTTGGAAGGTATGTTTTTTTTGTACCTGTCTAGTTGGACTTGTGCATCATCATTTTATTTGATATTACAGCATATGAGCGATAAAGAAAAAAATCGTTTCCATGTAATGGCCGAAAAGGACAAAAAACGTTATGAAGGTGAAATGACTCGTTACAAGGCTACCAATAAAGGTGCCGATAAAGGCCGCAGGAAGAAGCGCGCCAAGGATCCTGATGCACCAAAACGATCATTATCGGCATTCTTCTGGTTCTGTAATGATGAACGATCGAAAGTAAAGGCACAAAATCCGGAAGCTACCGTTGGTGAAGTAGCCAAAGAATTGGGCCGTCGTTGGAATGCATGTACTGAAGATCAAAAAGCTAAATATGAAGCATTGGCACTCAAAGATAAGGCTCGATATGAAAAGGTATGTCAACATATTTCTACAACAATTCTAGCTGAATCTAACCACATTCTGTTTATATCCCATTAGGAAATGAAAGCCTATAAAGGCGGAAAAGGTGGTGGCGGTAAAAGCACTGGAAAAGGTGGTTCATCCAAATCGAAAAAAGAATCATCCGAAGAAGAAGAAGAAGAAGAGGAGGAAGAGGAAGAAGAAGAGGAGGAGGATGAAGATAGCGATTAGATTAATTATAAACATAAATCGAAGAATTGTATCGCTTCAGACCATCATCCATCTCAAGATTCTCATTTTACACATCCACCACTCTTTATCCATAAATTTATCATTTCAATTCAAAACCACACAAATTGTCATTCAAAACATTCAAATAATTGAAAACAACATCATACACACACACCTTTTCATTCATGTTCCGTATAATCGGATTTTATTCAACTTTTTTTTCGGGCTTAATTAATAATTCTTGATTTTCCCTTTTCATACACACACACACACACACACATACATACAATTTGTAATTGAATTGACCTAATTATAATCAGAAGAAAAAAAATGATAGCCTCATTTATTATACTCATGAAAAATTTTCATTTTGTAATGTAATAATCATTCAAAAATCACGCAATAAAGGAACAAGCTTTATTTCAAAATCACAAATATGTCTTTATTCAACCACATTCAAAAAGCAACTTAATAATTAAACAGTACAACACTTCACGTGTTGATTCAATACTCGCCGTCGATGGCGCCACACGCCATTAACCATTACACCCCCTTACGAGGGCGGCCACGCTTTCGAATTTTCGATAGAACGCCCTCGATCTCAGTCGGCGCGATTTGATCCCGATGAACATTTAACAGTTCACCATCGCCATCCTTGACCTGATACGTATTCGGTGACAATTGTTCAGCAACCACAAAAGGACCTTTGTTAACCGGCAATAACTTTTGACAATGTCGGTTCTGAATAGTAGGATGTTTCACCAACACTTTTGTTCCAATCGCAATCGGTTGATCATTTACTTTTTTACGTTCATCGTAATTTCCTTTCATTCGCTCGATATATTTCGATATTTTTAAATTATCGGCCACTCTAGGTTGAACACGCGTAGGAAACATATTATCCACTTCGATTACCGGAGGACGGTTGAACAAAGCTTCAAACGGAGATATTCCAAGCGCAGCATGAACAGTATTTCGATAAACACCTAGAACAGAAGGCAAATGAACATCCCAATCGTTGTGAGAATCAGCCACAACCACACGTAACAAATTCCATATTGTACGATGTACCCGCTCTACCATGCCATTTGACTGGTGGTGATAAGGTGTTGTTCGATGATGTTCAATACCCATACGAGCACAATAATCGATGAACTCTCTACTTTCAAATTGAGACCCACGGTCCGATATCAATATTTTTGGTTTGCCAAACCTATTCCATACTTCCTCGAGCCAATCAATTATTCTTTCGGTTGACGAATCAACAGAAGCTTTAGCTTCAATCCACTTAGATCGATAATCTTGAAGTGTGAATAAATAACGATTGCCCGATTCAGATGTTGATAACGTCATAATATCAATTGCAACTTTTTCAAACGGATTGAGATTCAATATATCAGTTGCACACATAGGTTGTTTTGCAGGTCGAGGATCATTATCTTTTTTCACATTACAGGCACATTTTCGAATCCATTGTTTCACGTCATTACGCCATTTTGGCCAGTAGAAACGACAAAATACAATATCTAAACATTTGTGTTGACCAATATGGTTCATTTTATCATGGCACAATTGTAAAATTTCTTTTACACGCGATTGAGGAATGCACAATCTATCACGACCAGCATGACGAAAATACCACAAATGATTGATTTGAATAAATGAATTCGGATCCTTGTTACGAGCCAATAATAATAATTGATCAGATTCTTGCTCAGATGACAATTCGTCGAATTGTATCGCGGAAATTTCAATTCTTGATAATGCATCAGCATCACAATTATCTTTACCTTTCACATGACTGATTTCAAATTCATATTCAGCCAATTCGATTGCCATTCTTGCCAACTTATTGTTACGATTAACCATGGATTTAATCCATACCAACGGACGATGATCAGTTTCTAATTTGAAACTTTTGCCTTTTAGATATGTTGACCATTTATCAATCGCCGTTTTGAGAGCAGTAGCCTCTTTTTCAATAGTGGCATAACGACTTTGACAATCTGTGAATTTCTTCGAAAAATATTCAACAACGTATCTATTGCCATTGTCATCAACTTGTTGTAACACGCCCGCCATAGCTTTATCACTTGCATCAGTGCGAACAATAAACTCACGGTTTAAGTCGGCTATTCTGACTATAGGCTGTGATGACATCAATACTTTTAAATCTTCAAATGTACGTTGATGATTGTTTTTCCACTGAAAACGATTCTTTTGTTTCAACAATTCATATAAATCGAATGATTTTTCAGCATAATTTGGAACCAATGAACGATAAGAATTAACCAAACCAAGAAATGATCTGAGATCTTTTCTACATTTCGGAACTGGAAATTCATGAATACATTTAGTTTTATTAAAAGATGGTTGAATTGATCCACCTTGAATAACAAAGCCCAAATATTCAATACGTTGTTTAGCAAATTCACATTTCTTTCTGTTCAACGTTAAATTAGCTGATTTCAAAATTTCAAAAACCTGTTTAAGGTGATTCACGTGTTCGTCCATGTCTTTCGAGAAAACAATAACATCATCAATGTAAATTTTGACGAACGGTAGTTGAAACAATATATTTCCAAGACGAGAAAAAGTTTGTGCAGCGGTTGATAGCCCAAATGGCATAACCAAAAAATGATATAACGTGTTTTCAAAACGAAACGCTGTTTTTTCCTGATCTGATCTGCGAAGCGGTACCTGATAATACCCAGATTTGAAATCCAATTTTGAAAATATTTTCGCTTTATCGAGACCAAACAGAATTTCTTGAACTTTCGGTGTTGGTTGTGCGTCAAATTTCGAGATAGCATTCAGCTTTCTATAATCAATTGCCAACCGTAACGAACCATCTTTCTTTTTTACCACCAACAATGGACTACAAAACTCGGAATGAGATTTAACAATAATGTTATTTTGCTCCATTTCAACCAACATTCGACGGACTTCATCACGATATGCATATGGCACAGGATAAGGTTTGACATTGATCACCTTATTTGTTTTTAATTCGATAGAATGCTCTACCAAATTTGTACGTCCGATACCTTCGAACACATCCATGTACCGATTGATTAATGCATTCACCACACCCGATTGTTCAGATTCACCACAAACATTTTCATTGTCCGCATCATCATCCACAGTAAGATGTTCGACCGCCAGTGCACAGACTTCTGCATCCGTTAGATCGTGATCATTGACATTGTCGATTTGATCTTCCGAAATCAGATTAACACGACGACGATTGCCCATCCACGTAAAATACATAATATCGTCATACGTAATCGTAGCTGAAATTTTCTTGATGAAATCGCGACCCAGTGTCGGTTTAGTAACATTTCCAATCAAAACAGTGTGCTCAATAACACAACTATCGATGTTCATTTTAACAATCGATTCACCCTTCACTAACATTTTCGAACCATTTGCAGTATGAAGGACAGATTGACCAAATTTTTCAACAGGCCAAGATGATGGAAATACCGATACTTTTGATCCACTATCAATTAAACAATAGACAGTTTTTCGATTGATCTTAGATCTTAAAAATTGTCGCGGAATGATACGATTAGATTCATCACAAATTGATGCAATTTCTTTTGGAATTGTCTGGTTAGATGCAGTTTTTGATGACGATGATGATGATGATGACTTATTTGATGATAATTCCGATGAATTATTCTTCTTTGCTGCATTCTTTTTTAACCGACAATCAGCTGCAATATGACCCATTCTGTTGCAATTGTGACAACGTTTACCGTACCATTGAATCACGTAACGGTTTACTTGATTCTTTAAGTTGCTTATCATCACACTAAATGATGTTTTCATCCGGCCTTCATTATACTCATGAAAAATTTTCATTTTCAAATTTACTCATCATCATTCTCATTTATTCATTTTTCATTCAATTCCATCTTGATATTCATTCAATGATGATGATGATGAATGATGACAACAACATTGATAACTTACATCCCTATCTATTATTATACTACTAAAATTGAAAAAAAAATCTACATCATCATATGTTTTCCATTCAATGATCATATTGGAATATAAGAAAAAAAAATTGACCATAATTAAAAATTTTATAAAATAAACTTAACATAAAACAAAACAAAAAACTGGTTGGTTTTTGTCATCAAAACGATCAATGTATTGATTGATGATTTGAAATTCAAATTATTTCCATTGATTTATCATCATCATTCATGTTTTATGTGGTAATTATATGTGTAACAATTATGGCGCGTATAAATTGGCTGGAATTTTTCAAAATTTTATCAATCCATTTCCGATTTTAATGCCATCTATCCGTCGGTTATATTCAATTATCAATAGTCTTCATCACCTTCATGAAGGTGCATGCCGTTTTTGTTATTGTTGTTGTTGTTATTGTTGTCGGATTAATCTGTGAGTTTTTTCTTCTGATTCTTTAATGATAAATTAGTTTCTGATTTTTATTTCAATTTAGAAAAATATCTTTCCAATATGAGTGATATAGTTGAACGAACTAGAGAATTTATACCGAACGATATTATCGAACCATCATTAGCAGAACGAGAAAAATTACTTGATTCTCGTATTGAAGAATTACGACAGAAACGTGAATCATTTGATCCGAATACCCAATTTGTTGGTATACGACGATTAGGATCAAGCTATACGGTTGCTGAACCATTTGCATATTTCGATGGACCAAGTGAACAACAACTTCGTTTTGATCATGTTACATTTATTGGTTTGTCCGCATTTATATTTGCTGGTGCTGCAGTTTTTGTTGGCCAAATGAAAAATCTTCCCCATGTTGTCAGTTTATTTCGTGGTACATTAGCGGCAATACCGGGTGGATATTTTGGTCATAAATTTTATGATTTTCGTCGACAACTTGGCCGTAAAAAGAATAATACTTATTTTGCTTATGCACTTTTACATGAAAAAGATTTTCCAAAAATTGGTAATGTTTAATTGATGTGAATCACTTTTAAATTAATCAATTATTTTGTATTTGATAAATTTTAGAAAGAAAAAAATTCAACGATATTACCCGTGATTTTACTGCCCATCGATCATTGAATATATCCGTACTTGGATTGAGATGGTGAATTTGAAAATCGAATCGAACCATTTATTAAAAAAAATTGAATTGTCATCAATAGCGAATTTGAATTGATTTGCTTGTGTAGTTATATTAAAATGATGGAATAAATCATTTCGAAAAAAAATTTTATCAATAAGAATTTTTATTAATTTTTTATTTGTTTGAAAGAAAGCAAAATTCTTTTTTTATTCATTCATTATCAATTTTGTATTCATAAATTACAAAATGTTCAATTTTCGTTCCATAACCATATGTGGTGGTAGATTAACTTCACAATATTCATTCGGTTGATCAAATATATTTTCCGGCATAATCAACTCATCATGACCCATTAATACATCGGACATTAGATTTGAACTTCGAAGGAATGGTAATCGGCCAACATTCGATGCTGCTTTACGTTCACTTAATTGACGAAGTGGTGCCTGAATTCCTTGTACAGAACGTAATATCTGTAAATCACGATATTCTTCACGTGCGAGTCGTGTTTTTTCCATTTGTTCCAATGGATGGCCACCATAATTCGATTGACGAATCGATGATGGACTAAATATGAATGGAATTTTTTTAAATTTAAAATCAATTTGATATTAAATGAACATACCCATGAATAAATGTAGATTTTAAAGGATTTTTAAGTCGATCAAATTCATGCTTATTAGCATGATGGCCATATTGAATCATTTGTTCATGAAGATTATTTCTATCCATGATATTATTATTTTTTGGATGATAATGATAATTTTTGTTGAAATTATTATTCGAAACTGTCAAATTATGATTCAATGTAAAAAAAATGAATAAATGAAAATTTGCTTTGTCACCAGCCGTTTAGCAAATGTTCTCAATATGTGGCCATTCATAAATGTGATGATCGAAAATTATTTATCTTTGAACAATTTTCATTCAAAATTAAATTATTTTGGTTTTCAAGATTAATTTTTTTATCATATAAAATCTTTATTTATTCATCATTTTTTTGCAATTTTTCATCTGCTTTTCGTTGTTTTTTCGGTAATATACCCATAAGATTGCAAATGATGCCCAACATAATTTCATCGGTACCACCTGCAATTGACATGGCTCGATTATCTCGATACGCACGGCCAATAAGTAAATCTTCAGTGAAACCCATGCCGCCGTAATATTGCAGACATGAATCAATAACTTCGCGGGAAAGACGTCCAGCTTTTAGTTTGGCAATAGATGCTAAATACGTTACATTTTCACCGTTCATCATTTCATCGACAGCACGATAATTAAGCGATTTTAAACATTCAACTTCGGACTGTAATTCGGCTAAACGAAAATGAATATATTGATTATTGATCAATGGCTGATCGAATGTCATCCGTTGTCGACAGTAATCAATAGTTTCTTGGATGGCGCGAAACATACCACTTGTCGTACTGATTGATGCACAAATACGTTCATCTTGAAATTGCAACATTTGATACATAAATCCTAGCCCTTCTTCACCGATTATATTACGATATGGAACACGAACATTATCGAAATAAATTTCTGCCGTATCTGAACAACGTAAACCGATTTTGTTGATTTTTTTCGCCACCGTTACACCGGGACTTTTCAACGGTACACATACTAATGATTTATTTTTATGAACCGGTCCATGACTTGTATTGACCAACATGCACATCCAATCGGCTTGGGCACCATTTGTGATCCACATTTTACTACCATTTATGATTAAATCATCACCATCACGACGTGCATTCGAACGTAATGCAGCTACATCGGAACCACCAGATGGTTCGGAAACACCAACACAGGCAACATAATCACCGGTTAATGATGGTGCAAGAAATTCACGTTTTAATTCATCCGATCCATAATTAACAAGAGCTGGTAAGGCCATATCTGTATGTACCATCAATGCTGTTGGTATACCACCACAATTTATATTGGCCAATTCTTCGAAAAATGCAACCGAAAATGAATAATCCAATCCTTGTCCATTATATTCTTTATATTATGATTGAAAATAATCAGAAACACCATTAATAGTATGTTTTCATTTTCATCATTATTTTTAGTTACTCACCTGGATCACGAGTTATGCCAAATAATCCGGCATTAGCAAATTTTTTAAACACTTCATGTGCTGGAAACATACCACGAGCTTCCCATTCATCCACAAATGGATTTACATCTTTTTCAATTATACGATTACATGTTTTACGTAATTCATCATGTTCAGCTGAAAATGTCAATGTACGTATCGATAATAATGGATTAATAATCGTTTTAGAATGATTTTTAATCCATAATGAATTATTAATTGTTAATTTTAGTAATGTTTTAAACATTGTTTATTATTTTTGTTTGAAAAAAATTTGAAGATCAAGAATTCATCAAAATAAAAATAAACTGACACACACACACATGACGAAAAAATTCTTTTTTCAACTATTTTGTATGGGTACAGGTTTTCCCAATAAAAATATCATACAAGGGTACATTAATATCGAACATCGTTTTATCTCTTTAGATTATTATTGTTTATTGTTTATTATGAAAAATTTCCAACAAATATTTTGACCCAAAAATCCATGAATTTTTTTAAATGTGTAAATAAAAAGTTTCGTCCTTTGTGAATTGATGGATCACTTGTTGATTTTTGAATTTGAATTTTTTTATTTATTTTTTTTTTTTGTCACAATTTTGGCACATATTTTCTCGATTCATTGTCTTTTGTTTCGCATTTTATTCAATTCCTTTTCAATTTGATCGATGACATCAGCTTGAATCTGTTCAATATTCCTGTTTATCATATCATCATCATCATCATCAATATTCATTGTATCGTCATCGTAATTTTGGTGTTCAAAATCATTATCATTCTGATGGATGACATGACGATTTTTTGCTTCTGTCATTTTATCTGATTTATGACGACGATTTCGTAGCATTTGTATTTCTTGTTCTCGTTGTTTAATGATTTCAAGGAATTTTTGTTCTTTATGATAATGTTTATCATTCCTTATGAGTCCAGTAAGTTGTGCAAATTTATTTTCAATCTCAATTTGTCGTCGTGTATCCTGTTGCATTTGGTTTGTTTGATTCCAATAATAAAATGCTAATCCAATGAATAAAACAGAAAATATTGTTGCCCACATTCGAAATGTCTGTTCATTTGATTGTAGCTGCCGAATATATTGTCGATCAATACGCTGATCTTCATGTAAATTATCATTATCATGTATAAATTGATCATTTATGCGATTCAAGTTTTTAATCTCTCCATCTTGAACCATTGCTAGTGATCCAGCAGCCAGATTTTGTCTTACTAATGATGCGTTTTGCTGCTGTTCATTATATAATCGTTCATCTAATATTCGAATCCTTTCAGCATTTTCATTATTATCATTGTTATTACCAAAAAATTGTGCTGCAAATGGAATCAAATGGAGTAATTCTTTGATTTGAGCCATTTGATTGTTCGGATTGTTATTCTGAAAACGATTTCGATGATTGTTTCTATTATTTCGATTGCCAATTGGTGATCGGTTTGATTTAACGATTTTCTGTGATGTTGATCCAGATGATGATCCTGATGAATTTGTTGACATTTTATTATTATAATAATAATAAAAGCAAAATTACACTGAATTTATATAATCGAAATTATTAAAAAAAAAATTCAGAGCAGAAAATTTTGATGATGGTAAAAAAGATTGTCGCTAAGTAAAAACATAATCCATCAAAATAAATGACGATGTAGTCGATTGCCACAGAAAAGTAACGTCTAGTGTCGTCCTTTTTCTGTTTTGCATGTTGCATGATTCATGATTTGTCATAACAACACATGATTGTGTGCACAGACAAATTACTCAATTGCTCCTTATTCATGATGATGGTATGGTGGTTATTATTATCATTACAAACACAGAATCAAAAGTATGGAGGCTAATCGCTTCCATCAGTGATATTATGGTCCCACACCACGGCATTTTCTTTGTCACTTCATCTTGTTCGTTTATTTGCTGCATTACGGTCGTGTTAGTTCTATTTATATAACGACAAATTTTTCTTGATTTTGAATTCTGAACTGTTCGTGTTAATATTTTTGGCCCAATAATTTTACCACAAGATTTTCTTATTCTGTAGTACATCGGTCATTGTTGCTACAGTCATTTGGTACATTAAAAAACGGCCAAAATCATCAATAGCTGAGACAGATGAAAACGATAATAATCATGAAATAACAACAACAATGAATGAACAACAATTGACAACAATGGCCATTACTAATATAAATGATTCAGAAGATGATTTTGAACATGTTGATTGTAATAATGGTGCCTTATCGATAGCTGATCCATCGGCATCAAATTTTTCCTTGAATCCATTTAAAATAGTGAAAAATGTTTTGCAAAATTCATCAAAAAAACGATCCGATAAACAATTGGATAGAATTCGAAAACAAAATCAACAAATGAAGGATGAATATGAGAAATGTCGTCAAGAATTGGATGAAATATTCAACCGTGGTCATCAGGAAAGTCGTCAAATTTTAAAATCAGTTGCCAATGGTTTTCGTGAACGTAATCCACATCTATTACAACCAAATTGTAATAATTGTGAACAAAATACCGAAATAGAGTTGGCATTCGATGCAAGTGAAACAATGTTTATCGATTCTGACAAGAAAAATCATTGAATTGAATTGAGACTAAAATTTCAGAAAAAAAACAAATTGGTTCGAATCATCAAAGTAAATTATAAAACAGTGATATACAGTGATGGATAAATTTAAAAAAAAAAAATTTTTTTCACAAAATTTATCTAAACAATAAATTGATTTATCTTTATTGTGTTGTATGTGTTATCAATATTTTTTTCGGTAATAAAATTCTTGTTTTTTTTATAATAATAAAAAAAATCCTAAAAAACAAGCACGAGTCTAGATTCAATTATCTTTTTCCATCTTTTTCCATTATAAATTCTAAGACGAGTACAAATCTTTGAAATCATAGCATTGTTTTTCGATAATGGTCATGGGAAATATTTTGGAACGCCAACATTCAAAATCATCATCAACATCAACATCGAAATCGGCTGATACGATCAAAATGGAAATGGATTCGAAATCGATTCCAGCGATGATCACAACAACAACAACGAAATCGAATACAAAACGTTCAATGAGTCATGATAGTGAACGAATGGATAATAATATGAATATGAAACAATTAATTTGAATTCAAATGAACATCATCAATATGAACGACAAGCTGTTGAAAAATTTCAGAAAGAAATTGATGAATTACAAAGACAATTTGATCGTCTAAATCGCTTGGAAAATAAACAACGACAACAACGACGACGACGAAATTCATTGCCAGCGAATCGTTATCGAAATGAATATTCATCACAATTATTCTATGAAATGGCCGATCATTCAAATACTAATAATAATAATTTCAATGAATTTCAATGTCAAATCAATGAATTGGAAAAACAATTGAACATGTTGGACGCGATAAAATAATTAATTAGAATGTATAATCAAGAAATTAAGAGAAAAAAAAAACAATGTTTGAATTGAAATTTATTTTTCTGTTAATTTTCTTATTATTAGCCAAATAAATGTGGCAATTATTATGGTCATTAAATTAAAAAACATCATGCCCATCATTGATGAAATTGGGATGTTTGAAATCGAATCGTGCACTGATTGAATATTTTTTTCTTCACTTTTTGATTGTCGCAAATGTTCAATTATCTTGGTCAGTTGTTTATTTTCGTCCATTTTATTGGTTAATAATTTTTGAAAATAACTCATTTTTTCTGTAAATTTTTCTACAATCACTTCACGTTGAAATTCGTTTAATTCTTTTTCTCGTTGAATGTCATTTTCATGTGTTTTCGTTTTCTGATAAAAAACAACGCCCAAAAACAACAATATAAATAATGTGATTGCAAAAAGTGATGAATAATTCTTCTTTTCTATTTCTGATTGTTTTAATTTAGCATCCAATAAAACAGCTCGATCATTAACTTGATTGAGTGTATTTTCAAATTGTTCAGTAATTTTAGTTATTCGAGATTCATGTTGTTTATTCATATCATCAATTCTTTTTTCTGTTGATTTTTTCAAATCCTCAAAATCATTTCGATATTTTTCCAATGTTTCTTGCTGTTCTTTGATTATTTCTTTGCTACATTATTATTTACAAAATTGTTTAGAAATTATGAATTGAATTTTAAAATTACTTACGAATTTCCACCACCCATTTTCTTGATTCTTTTGGTAAGGTCAACGTAGTTTTCAAAAACCAAAAAACAAACAATATACATGTACACTCATAGACAGAACACAGACACACACACACAATTATGCATATGAAACCAATATTGGCAGATATTTTTTTTTTTTTTTTTTTTGCATAAAAAGACGTAATCTTAATTTTTGGTAAAGTTTTTTCTCCAATCATCACATATTATTTAAGAAAAAATTCCAATCAATTTTAATCAGTTTTATTACAAACTCATGATCGATATAATTTTGATATAATACAATCTTGATTTCCATTATGCTAATGTGTGATGTGATTTGATTCAATCATGTCTACCATTTACTCATCAAGAGAATATAAAAATATACAAAGATTTTGAATGAATTATAAAGTCGGAAAAAAATCAAAAATCATGATGATTATCCTTATCGAATTCGGGAAAAGATTATTTTTTTCATAATCGATCGGATTCATCGATTCTAGCAGATTATTTAGATCATTAAGCGCATCATTTAATTCAAAACGTTGAATAAATCGACATCCACGGCGTTCATCAATAATCAATGATAATAATTGAATGGCAGCTATTGTCAGATTCATACGATCCAGATCATTCAATTTGTAAAGGTTTATACATTTGAACAGAATTTTTTGCCATCCATTAAAACCGATAATCGAATCGATCGTATCGGGAACTTGATCACTAGAATTTGTTTGAGAAAATAAAGATATAAAAGATTAAATTAGTTTATTATTATTATAATGAACGGATTGGAAACTATTCGTTTAATTAAAGAAAATAAACTAACCAAATACTTGATAGAAGATTAAAAGCATCGATAAAAATGGCCAAAGTGGAAACTTTACGATTTTTACCACTCATTTGATCCACGTTTAATGGTAATAAAAATTTATTAAAAAAATCAAGAATAGCTTCGGGAATTCGAATATCCGATGTGGCCATTTGTTTGATGATTGATTCATTTAATGTGCTTAGATGACAGAGAGCATCGATCGTACTGAATCGAACATTTTCCACTCGATCACATATCATTGTTCGTAGCTGTTGAAGAAGTTTACGAAATTCATTGGTTTCATTGAATTTTTCCAATGATATACGTTCATTTGTCATATATGTGATTACCATATCGGTACCGAATGATCGTTCAGTTGGCCGATCAGTATGTAATTGTTCCAGAATATTGTTCAATAATTCTTTGTTTCGTAATTCCGATGATGATTCAATAACATTTCTAGTTGGCCGTGAATATGGTGCAATAAGATGTGCACGATTGAAACGTTTTGTAACAATTTTTGACATATTTTTTCACCATGGAAAATGTGTGTATCAACAAAATTAAATCGAAAAAAATAAAAAAAAATCCACGTGCACATAACATCACAACACAGAAAAGAAAGTGGTGTCCAGCGAGTACTCGCGATTTTGGGTGGTTCCCAAATCTCGCCAAAATCGCGAGTACTCGCAAACGGCATACGACTAGCCGACTAACTATCGATATATCGATAGTCTACTCGCAATTTTCGCGAGTACTCGCGATTTTCGCGACCACCCGACTAACCGATTGTTTTTTCGATATATCGAAATCATCGATGGTGTCGCTCACCGATTGTTGCAGCAATTTTGACCCCCCTTTCATTCCTTTTACCCCTCATATTAATTTAATTGATATATATTGAAATTTAATTGATTTTATTGAAATATTAATTCATTAAAAATTTTAAATAATAAAATACATCCATATTTCACATCCAAATTGCGCCATAAAACGTTAATTGTCCCGTTTGACATAAATAAATCCATAATCGCGGTCCATGTTCCAAGACAATGTCCAAATTCTATCCGTGGTTCGAGATTCAATTTCCCAATTGTTCGCCTGCGATCCTAAGTAAAAATAAATATTAATTGTTTGTTCAATTAATCTATTCATTTGCTTACCATGATCATTTTCAAGTATGTGTTCCATCCCATGAATCTTCGACTTATAATCATGTTTTCGATCGCTTCATTGATTCCAAAGATTCAATCAGCATCAAATTCAATAGGAAATAATTCAGACCATGTTCCTAAGCCTAATCTAACCCTAGCCTAATCTGATATCATGTGTTGAACATGGTCAAACTATTCTTGAATTGGATGCTGATGAACAATGGAACCACCGAATTGATCTCGAACATAATCATCAATCGAATTTCAATTTGATGATTGTAAAATTTCAGGAACGAACCTAATAAAAAAAGATAGACCAATCTTTATCAATCTTTAGATATGAAGAATATGTCGACTTACCGAATAAGTTGTTCCGACAATTCAATGCAGGCATGTTCTGAATAGACTTTTGAGAAATGTAAGTGTTAGAATTATTGATTGATAACGAAATTCCAAAGTTACCTGATGACGAACATAATGTTTCGTTGGACATCGTACCATGTTAGTGACCAGATATCCACCAATAAATTTGTAATGCTCGGCATCATTACCATGATCGTTTTTCTAAAGACGGCACCAATTATATGTCTAATGATCATTGATCATCAATGAAAATTTTATGCTTCAAAAGACAAGGAAAATTGTTAGCATTTTCAATCAAAGGCAAAATGTAAATTACCTCATTGACCATGTTTTCATATATTAATCCGAATTCCAATTATCATACATCAATTATAATAATGGACTCTGAAAAAAGAAAACTTGAAAAGGATGTGATTGAATACAATTTGATGAAAAACAAAATGTCATAAATACATTTGAAAGTCACCGAAAATGGGATTTGTTCGCCAACTTGAATCATAATTACATGATGACCGAACCAAACGATCTTCATCGATTTCGGGGCCAATTTTTGATCTTAGACCGCAATATGTTTTAACAACGATAATCTTGAATCGATTAATTTCTTTGTTCCAAAATTTACTGCAAAAATCCACGATTAAAATAGAAAAAAATGAAAAAATATCACGACATGATCACGAAAAATAGCTCGAAGTGAGGACAACCGTCTTCGACGACCGTTGAGTTCGAATGTTCGATTTTCCAACGATCAAATTCAAATTTGTATGGAGAATAGAAGGGGAAAAGAAGCGCGCGACATTTGCATTGAAAATAGTTAGCTGCACTACCACTATTTGACTATGCGCAGTTGCCCATTAGTTGTACTTTGAGTTGAAATTTTTGGCGGCAAAATGAATGCATTATTTTTGCTGTAGACTTAGCATGAAAAATGAATAAAAAAATCCACTCATGATATGATAGATATTATCATATCAGATGCATAATTGATGAAAAAAATTATGTAATTTCAATGGAACGTAAAAATTGTTCTTTATCACATGTTGATGATTAGTGATTTGAGCAAAAGAATTTTCGCCACTGTTTGATAAATTGGTGTCAATTTGTCAGGATTAATTGATTGATGGACAGTTATTTCATTCAAAGTCGAGCTATTTATTTATTTATTCAATAAAAACCCCTATACCTCAAAAATGGGGGGAAGAAAATAAATTATAAATTTTTAAAATCATATTTAAAGAATTATAGCCAAATACATAAATTCTCTTCATGTCGATCTTGTAGATTTACATCACATTGATTTTCAATTAAAGTTCGTTCCGCACAAATAAACAAATCAGATGAATAGAACTTTGAGCAGTATTACCACAAAAACAAGACGTCTTATAACGATAGCCAATTTAGCCAATGCAGGTAAACATTGAATTTTACATGTCCCGATAAAAATTGAGTGAACACAAAATGTAGATCAATAACAATTATTTTACGACCATATACAGATGGAAAAATTTTTTAGTAACTTTGCCATCTTCACTCATTATCCATTTTATATTATAAATCATGATCATGATATTTTTCAAAAGATATAATGAAATGAATGAGAATGAGATTGTACCCAGTGAAAACAAATATATCGATTCTGAAAAATGTTTGGTTTTTATGAGACCGAAATAATGACCAACAAAATTGAATCAAAGTTGAATTATATGTGTGATGTTGAAATCTATCCAGTGACAATCGAGAAAATGACAAATCCAACCTAACACGAACAGTTCAGAATTCAAAATCAAGAAAATGACAAATTCCCAAACTAACACGACCAGTTCAGAATTCAAAATTCAAAATCGAGAAAATGGCAAATGTCCAAACTAACACGACCAGTTTAGAATTGTGAAAATGACAAATCACCAGCAGCAGTAATAAACGAACAAGATGAAGTGACAAAAGAAAATGCCGTGGTGTGGGACCATAATATCACTGTGGACAGCGATGAGCAAATCGAAACCACTACAATCATTGGGAAAGTAATCAATAAAGCATCGCCAACCAATTCTGAACTGGTCGTGTTAGGTTGGACTTGCTATTTTCTCGATTTTGAATTTTGAATTCTGAACTGGTCGTGTTAGATTGGATTCGCCATTTTCTCGATTCTGAACTGGTCGTGTTAGTTTGGAAATTTGTCATTGAGTATTTCGGCTATTTTTATTTATTTCTTGGTGACTATTTATGTGGATATAGTCGGAGTACAAGCGAAAATTGCGCACTTTTTTTCTGTGTAGTGAAAAAGAAATCCACTTTTATGAACATCCACGTGAAGTAACATACAACGATTACATCAGCAAAGATTTCTTTCATTGCCACAAAATGAACAATGAATGTACGATACCATCGTTGGTGGATGGATTTCAACCTATACAAAGCAAAGTAATCTATACTTGTTTTAAAAGTAATGATGATAAACATGAAATATATGTGTCAGATTTAGCCGTATCGGTCGCATTATCGACTGCGTATAATCATGATCTAAAACATTTGAATTCAACAATTGTCGAATTGGCACAGAACTTTGTAGGTAGTAATAACATCAATTTTCTCCAACCACTTGGTCAATTTGGTACTAGACTTGAAGGTATTAAAGTTGCTGGTTGTTCTTGTTGTATTTCCACAATGTTAAGTCCATTGACAAGAAAATTGTTTCCACCGTTGGATGATCCATTATTGGCTTATCAATATGATAATAATCAACGAATTGAACCCAAATACTATGTTCCAATCATTCCAATGGTTTTAGTTAACGGTGCAGAAGGAATTGATTCCAATTGCAAAACTAAGATTCCTAGATATAATCCACGAGATATCGTTGAAAATATTAAACGAATGCTTCGTAATGAAGAACCTTTGAATATGAATCCATGGTATAAAGATTTCAAAGGTACCGTGGTGAAAGTGGAACCAATGCAATATGTAATTTATGGTGAAGTTGCCAAATTGGATGAACAAACAATTGAAATTACGGAATTGCCAATTGGCACCTGGACTAAGGTCTATGAACAAACAATTTTGAAACCAATGTTACATGGTACGAAAACAAGTCCCCCACTCATTAATGATTATAAATCATATTATACCACTACCAATGTCAAGTATGTGTTTGATTCAATTCTTTTCTTGTTGAGCTTCAATTCTAAAATTTTTTTGTTTTGTTTTTGTTTAATAGATTTATAGTTAAAATGAATGAAAATTCATTGGAAAAAGTAATTCAAAATGGCATACATAAAGAATTTAAGTTACAAACTTCAATGCCAATTTCATCGATGTTTTTGATTGATAAAAATGGTGTTATTCGACAATATAAATCCTCTTTGGATATTTTGCGAGAATTTTTCCATATTCGTTTGGATTTCTATGTTCGACGTAAGAAATACCATGAAGGAATGCTTGAAGCTGAAATATTAAAACTTAAAAATCAATCTCGATATATTTTAGCAATAAAGAATGAAAAAATCATCATGGAAAATGTAAAGAATAAAGAAGAATTTATCAAGCTTTTGATTGAACTAAAATTTGATTCGGATCCTGTGAAAGCATGGCTTAAAAAATTTAATATCGAACAAAATGAACCCGACACCACGTCGAATAATGAAAATGAAGATGATGATAAAATTCCTGAAACGGAAGAGGAGAAAAAATATGATTTTGATTATCTCGCCGAAATGCCAATGCGAGCAATGTTAGAAGAAAATGTTCAAGAATTATCGAAAAAACGTGATGCAAAAAAAACTGAACTAGAAGAACTTAAACGTTCTACGCCAAAAATGCTTTGGGAAAAAGATTTGGATGCATTCCTTGAAGAATATGAACTTATCGAAAAAAAAGAACGTGAAAATGCAATGAAATGGTTGGAAATTTCCAAATGGGCCAAACCAAGTGAACATGCTAAACGTATTGAACCGAATAGATTTCAAAAATTTTCAGCCGCAAAAAGAACAGGTAAAAAAATCAAATAATAATGATTTTTCAATTTTTTAATGACCTGTTTTTTCTTTTTGTTGTGTAGGATACAAATGAATCTGATGATGAAATTGTTGTTGGCAAATGAAAAACAAAAATATGAAATTGATGATTGAAAATTTTCATTTTTATTATTAACTATAATCCACCCATTAATTTACTACTTATTCATTCAATTCATTCTCTCATAAAATAAATATTTCATTTTTCAAAAAAAGTGGCTTATTTGTTGATTATTTGTTCATGTTGTCCAGCATCGTTTGAATTGGAATGTAATAACATTATTCAATGCCATCAACTTTAGCGGTTATTTCATCAACAATAATTCGGCCATCATCATGAAGTTTCGATTGTTTCTGATCATCACTACTACTAATTGATGATGATGGTGATAAATCAGCAGTTGATGTTGTTGTTGATTTCGTCATTTCCGTATGTTATCTGAAAGAAAGAAAGATGGGATAAAATGATCCAGGATGATGATGATGAGGATAATGAATAATTCTTTTAGTCGGAATTGCTGCATATGATTCATCGTGGGCAACTGATCCAACATAGACTTGTCTAATAATGAAAACAATAAGTGAGAATTGATGTTATAATCGATTCAGCAGACTACTTACGGATGAAAAGATTTCAAATGCTACCACATTCTCGATTCACTTTTGAATTTTTTTTTGTCGATCGCACATTCTTCTTCCTCTTTAGATCCAGATTTGAAGCGTTTCATTGCCACAATCAATGGATGTTCTTTCAGAAAAACACTGGTAGTTTTTTTTATAACCGTTCAATTACCCTTACATAACATCATTCACATGAATACATAATGGAACATTTGGCTCTATCTAGTGTGAAAAAAAATTGTTTCAATTTTGCACCAGAAAAAATTGATAAATCGATAAAGATGTCGATTGATTTGTATAATGCAAAAAGAATGAGTGTGCCTGCCAGGTTTCGATCCTGGGACTTTCTGTGTACTACGAAAGCAAATTTGAGAATTGCTGATTCTCGAAAATTCCTTATCTCCAAATTCTTGGTTCGAAGAAACCAAATTCAGAAATACCGGAAGTTTTGTTAGACAGATATGATACCACTACATCACAGGCACAACAACAACTTCCGCATTATCAGTTTCACTGAACCAGTTCTAAACTGAATAAATGATATAGGTTGATTTTCAATTCTAAAATAACAACAACAATAATTTTCAATTAAAATATACAAATATTATCATTCGAAAATTAAAAACCTGTTTATCAGCAATAAAAAAAAGCGAAAGGATGAACAAGTTGATAACATTTTGTTTTTGTTTTGGATCAACATTTAACCTAGTTATCATGGATAATATAAGAAATCAATTCAATAAAATAAAACACTGGACATAATATGAAAAATTGTTCAAAAAAAAAAAAAATCGAATTACGCAGACGCAATACGAAAATATTGGATTTGTTGTTCTGTTTGTGTGTGTGTGTGTGTGTGTGTGTTGCTGTTGATGGCGTATCATCATCGTCAGCAATCACACACAAACATCATTTGTTGTTTATACACTGATTTACATTGATTTTGCAAATTCGTCGACAATCGGTTTGGTCCAAATCCTTGTGAATAATTAATTTTGATCAAACCAAAAAAAAAAAAAAAAAAATTAATCTTTTGCTTTCAATCAATCTAAATCAATATCGTCGACTGTGTTTATCAATTTGATATTGATTGGAATTGATTTTTTTTTTGCTTCCTCGTAATCATCATATAAATATACTAGTCAAATTGAATTGAATTCAATCATGTTACTATTGATAATTGCTATAGCTTTATTATCAATAATATTAATCTTAACCATATTGTTTGCATTACAATATTTTGGTCTATTTGATACAATTATTGTATCTAGTGGACAATCACCATATCAATATGGTGGCCGTTCAATTGTTTATCGTATTGATTATGGAAAATATTCCGATAGTTCAACATTATTTACTGAAATTTGTTCAATATTTCCATCAGAATTTCGTACAAAATATTCAACATTTGGTATTTATATAAAACGTGATCAATTAAATGAAAATGATCGTAAAAAATTAATTACTGCTGAACGTTATGATTCATGTGAATGGATTTTTATGATTGGTGCAATTATATCCAATGATGATCAAGATCAAGATATTATTATTAAACATCCAATAATACAATCAATGTTAATGGAAAAAGGTTATCGTTATGCTCAATTACCTGAACAAGTTGATCATGTTGTTTATGTAAAATTTCCTTATCGTGGTATAATGTCTGTTGTTATTGGTAGTCGTCGTGTTTATTCAGCCATCGATACTTATATTCAGGTTTGTATTTTTTTTGTTGTTGTTGTCATTGACTGATTATTGAAATATTTCCATTTTTTTTCATTGTCTTTTAAATAAAATTAGGAAAATCGTCTTTCTGCATATCCTAAAATTGAAATCTATAATGGCGATGATATCTATTATATATTACCATTATCAAAACAAGATGATTTTGTTAAATTGATCTCGATGAAATTTGCTGAACAATTACAATTATCATCATCATCGTTAACAGAATCGGATAATATAGAAATTGTTGAAGAAATTAATGAAGAAGAAATTGTTGGTGAAGATTCTTCGTCACATGAATCAAGTGGCGGTGAACGTCATTCAGATTCATCATATGAATTGGTCGATTAATAGTGATGAATAGAACGGAATTTTTTTTCTTAGAGCCAATCAACGACAACAAAAATGATTGTGAAAAATATACATTATTAGGCCAGAACTTAACAATTGAAAAATGCAATATGTGTGTATGTAGGTGTGTGTGTCAATCCAACTGACCAATATCATTTTTTTTTTTTCAATTTTGTTCATTTTCTCTTTTCCCGACAGATAATATAACGTGTTTATTTTGTTGATTTAATCGGATAATTGAATATATATCGTTTACGTACATTTTTTTTTTTTTTTGTATAATTTTGTTTGTTGATTTTGTCACAAATACACACACACTCGCATACGAATACCTACCGAAATTTATAAAAATGAAATTAAAAAGAAAAAAAAATTTCAATTTTCAATTTTTAAATATATTTCGATCACGTGATGGTTTTTTCCAAACATTCAACATGTCCTAATGTTTATGAACAACCCAAAGGTGTGTGTGTGTGTGTGTGTGCAATTTTTCAATTGTTCTCGCAAACCGGCGTGTTTTTCTGTCTCAATATTTTATACACACAAATTCAATTCAATTCAATCAAATCGGATTGTTATTAAATTTTTTCTTTTTGTTTATCTTCAAATTTCAATAAAACTACATTTTCAGATCAAAAAATGATGCGTTTAATGGTAAATTAATGAATCTTTTATTATTATCCATTTTTTTCTTGTTTCTCATATCAATCAGACAATAATGAATTTTATTTTACAATATAGAATCCACCAATCATTCTTTTGAAAGATGGTACTGAAAATACTCAAGGTAAACAACAGGTTATTAGTAATATTAATGCCTGTCAAGCGGTTGCTGAAGCTGTACGTACAACACTTGGTCCACGTGGTATGGATAAAATGATAGTCGATCAAAAAGGTGAAATGACCATTTCAAATGATGGTGCAACCATATTGAAAAAATTGGATATTGTTCATCCGGGTGCAAAAACATTGGTCGATATTGCTAGATCACAAGATGATGAAGTTGGTGATGGTACAACATCGGTTGCATTGATTGCAGCCGAATTTCTTAAACAAGTAAAACCATTTGTTGAAGAAGGTGTCCATCCACAGGTGATCATACGATCATTTCGTAAAGGTTTACAAATTATTCTCAAACAATTTCATGAATTATCGATGAAATTTTCTGAAAATGATCCACAACGTAAACGTGAATTGTTGGAAAAATGTGCCATGACAACATTGTCATCGAAAATTGTTGCACATCAAAAGAATTTTTTCGCCAAAATGGTTGTCGATGCCGTAATGCAATTGGATGAACTTTTACCAATGAATATGATTGGTATTAAAAAAGAAAAAGGTGGTGCACTTGAAGAAAGTCTATTGGTTGCCGGTGTTGCATTTAAGAAAACATTTTCTTATGCCGGTTTCGAAATGCAACCGAAAACATATGAAAATCCTAAAATTGCTCTGTTGAATATTGAATTAGAATTGAAAGCGGAAAAAGATAATGCCGAAATTCGTGTAGATTCAGTGGAAGAATATCAACGTGTTGTTGATGCTGAATGGCAAATTCTTTATGATAAATTGGAAAAAATTTGGAAATCTGGCGCTAAAGTTGTTTTATCAAAATTACCAATTGGTGATGTTGCTACCCAATATTTTGCTGATCGTGATTTGTTTTGTGCTGGCCGTGTACAGGATGAAGATCTTCGACGTACAATGCAAGCCTGTGGTGGTGCTATACTTACAACCGTTTCTGATCTTGGTGATGGAAATCTTGGCCAATGTGAACATTTTGAAGAACGACAAATCGGTAAAGAACGTTATAATTTTTTCACTGGTTGTTCAAATTCCAAAACTGTGACAATCATTCTACGTGGTGGTGCTGAACAATTTATCGAAGAAACAGAACGTTCATTACATGATGCTATTATGATTGTAAGACGTGCATTGAAAAATGATTCAATTGTTGCCGGTGGTGGTGCCATTGAAATGGAATTATCACGTATATTACGTGATTATTCACGTACGGTTGCTGGTAAAGAACAATTAATTATTGCAGCAATGGCTAAATCATTAGAGGTTATACCTAGACAGCTATGTGATAATGCCGGTTTTGATGCTACCGATCTATTGAATCGTTTACGTAAACGACATGCTGAACCTGATGGTAAATGGTTTGGTATCGATGTACGACATGAAGATATTTCCGATAATTATAAAGCATGTGTTTGGGAACCAAGTGTTGTTAAACGTAATGCAATGATTGCCGCTTCGGAAGCAACATGTTTAATATTATCTGTTGATGAAACGATTAAGGCACCAAGATCACAACAGGAACAAACAGCAGCAGCACAATCTATGGGAATGGCAATGTAATAATGATAATGAACATCATTATTATTATCATATTTACATTCTGAAAAAAACAAATCCATCATGGTTGAACACACACACGTTGAATGTGTGTGTGTGTGTGTGGAACGAACGGCTTTAATATTCAAAAATATTCTCGGATTTTATTAATTATATCACAGAGAAATTGAAATGTGAACGAAAAAAATGAAACAATTTTGTATAAACAAAAATTCTTTTTTTCAAAATTGAATAAAAAATTTTCAAATCAAATGTTGATGTTTAGATCGATAATGATCCAAACGTTTTTGATTACTACGGAAAGATCGATTACAATATTTACAACGATATTGATGTTTTCCTTGATAAAATCGTTGTCTTTTGATGCAGGATCTATTTCCATTTCTATTTGGCCTATCGCTATTATCAGGTTGGTGATCCGTGATGGCCAATGGCGAAGGAGGTGGCGAATCCATTTGTACAATAGGATTCGATTCGACTATTTCTATCGTTGTGGTCAGTGGTGGAGCAGATGGATTTGGTGTGATTTGCGTTTCCGATTCTTGACCATCGATGGTGGTGGTGGTGGACATTGTCGATGTTTCATTATCAATAGTAAAATTAGAACTTTTATATTTTTGTTTCAAAAAGCGTATAATCTTTTTCCGTACTAATTTATCCATTTGACAGTTTTGCATTGTTAATCGTATTTTTTCATCTGAATCATCAATATCGAGATTCAATTTTTCAATTATTTTATCTAAATGTTTTTTTTTGCATTTTGAAATGAAATAAATCTCATTAAAATTCGAATCCATTTTTAAAAGAAAAATTTACTCACCTAACATCGATAATGATTCTATTTGTTCACCATTTTTTAATTGTTCATCAAGTTCATCGATTTTCGATTGAAATTCATGCAAAAAAAGCTCTAAACCATCATATGATGGATCCAAACAAGATAATCGATATGTATTCCATAAACCTTGTAGTTGATCAATTTTACTCCAATCATTAATCCGTTGTTGACTTAATACTAATAATTGTTCAAATAATTGTATGACAACTGATTCCATTTTTGTTTGGAATTCAAAATCAAAATGATCAATGAACGAAAACGAAAAAAAAATGTAAATATAACTAAATATGCAATCAAAAAAAAAAAAAAACCAAACCAAACAAAATAGAAAATCAAATTAATACAAATGTGTAATAATGGATTGAGCATCGATGGCAAAAATCGATATATCGATTCGTTTTTTTTTTTTTTGATCATTTGCAAATATTTTCCTAATCCTGTTATTTTGTTTTTCGTTAGTAATTTCAATGCCAAAATTGAATTTTTGTTTTCAATTTTTTATCATTAATTTTGAATAAAATTTTAATACAAATATAATTATTCGATGATAATTGATTAAATTGTGGTGATCCATCAAATATGAATAAATGATGATGATCATCATCATAGTGATTGTTGGTTATTAAAAAAAAAAAAATCAATAAACCCATCATTAATGGAATTTCATTTCTTTCTGTTCAATCATCAATGTTCTCTTTCAATACATCATGTGATTTTTGGTATTATCTTTTTTTGAAATTCTTTTTCGATGAATATGATGAACGAAAAAAAAAATTGTTGCCTCTTTTTTTTCAATCAAAGAAAATTACATGATACCATGTTCATCATACAAATCACGAATGTACAAAATAACTTTAATGATGACATAACAACAACCAATAATCATCATCAACAACAACAAAATGAATTTTACAATTAAAAAAAAAATTATGTATTTTTTTCATCTTTCAATTCATCTTTTGGTTGCGATAATTACAACTTACAATAAAAGTGTATTTGTGTGTGTGTGTGTGTGTGTTGTGTTAGTTTGTGTTGATGTTTAACAAAAAAAAAATGAAATTTAAATTAAATAATATCCATTGTGATGGTGATAATCAAAAAAATAATCATCATCATTAATTAACGGAATTGCTTGTATAATATAACATCATTTATGAACGGTGATTGTTTTTTTCTGTTTTGGTTGTAATTATTCCGTTAAATTTTTTTTTTCTTCTTTCATATCAAAACAATAAAATAACAGGTCAATTTCGAAATGAAAGAAAAAAATTCATATTTTTTCCAATTAACCAGGTTCGTATAAATCCATAATACATACATACATACATCATAACCATCTGTCCAGGATATTTAATGTTCAATTTTCAATGAACCGAAAACATTCATTCAAATAGCTGGAATTGTACATCGACATCGATCAATATGTATATGTGTCCCTTATCATTAAAAAAATGATCATTTCCATAAAAAAAACTTCTGTTAGATGATTATGATGTGATGTCTGTCGGTGTATAGGTTGTAATAATAATAACCTCATCATAACAAGTTTCAAAACATCATACACTTAATAGCCATAGACATGGACATTCTCTCTATAAAATGTTTTTTTTTTGTTGTTTCTACGAATCTCAAATATCTTCAAACAAACATTAATGCAACTATTGTGAATCTAGTGAAATTCATTATTAATTTTTTTTTTGATTCATATCAATTCTTTTGTGATGTGTGTGTGTGTGTGTGTGTGTGTGTCTGTAGAATTTTTCAATCGTATAAAAATTATGTGATCAACTTCTTTTTTTTCCAATAATAATCACGGGTACATTTCATACACACACACACACACACATGTATCAATCTGACCAATCAGTTTATGGTTAAAAGAAAATAATCAATCAATAACAATTTATTTTTATCATCAACATTCAAGGTATTTATGCCTTTGGCTATTTTTATTTTTATTTTTATTTTTTAATTAAGAATTTTCCTTTAAATTTGATGATGATAATGATGAATTCTTTATTATTTTTTGTTTGTTTTTTTTCATTGGAAAAAAAGAGCTAATTTCATCATCATCATTTATTTTTATTATTAAATCTCTATTTCTATGGTTTCCATAATAATGTTTGTTTTGTTTTGTTTATTTCTTGGAAACTTTGAATTCGTGATTAACGATGATTATCAATATTTTTTTTTATTGCAATCTAATTATTTTTTCTTTTTCGTCTTCGAATCATTACAACCGACCAATCATAACAAGTAGATAGACATAATATACAGAATTATACACACACACACACAATCATTCGAATGATTTGGATCGAAAATCATACATTATCAGCCTATCTACATTTTTATCTTTATTTTGTTTGATTAATTATTATATTTTCGGTGCTTTTCCCGGTTTATTCATGTGAATCCCCGTGTGTGTGTGTGTAAATCGATAAAATTTCAATGACAAAAAATAGGTATCGATAAAGTATAAGAAGAAGAAGAAGAAGACGAAAAAGAAAACCTATCATAATCATATCTTATCGATTTATACATTTGTTTGGCAATTAAAATGCAACAAAAAAAAGAACAAACGAATCAAAATAAAAATCTCGAATGTTCGATTATAAATAACAATTATCATTGAAGACAATTCATTGAAAATCATTCCATTTCATCTACTTTATTTCGTCAATGATAATAAACAAGAAAAGAAAGAAAAAAAACAATAAAAAAAACAATCGTAAGAAAAACAAAATTAATGACAACAACCGACCATCAAATCAAAATGATATATTTGGGTTTGTATTATCGAAAACAACAACAACAACTGCAAAAACATAAAACATTCGAATTCGAATCGTCGAATCATTCAATTCAATCGATTATCATCAATATTCAATTGTTTTTTTTTTGCAATTAATCATTTCCTCTTAATCATATCATCATCGTCATTTTTTTTGAAAAATTTGATTTTTATTTCACCAATTGATGACTAATTGTGAATTTTTTAATTTTGTTTTGACTATCAATCAATCAATCAATTAATTGATGTGTCATCACATTTATTATTATTGGTCACCGCATAATTATAAACATAAACATTGATGATTGATCAATGAAAAAAAAACCAAATAAAATTTTTTGGAAATTCCATCCCCATTCTCATACAAATTCTTTTATATTGCATTTCCCTTTATTATTTTCAACGACAACAACAAAAAAAAAATCATCATCGATTTGATTGACTCATCATCATCATCATCATCATTGAACGAATGAATGAATCAAAATCTCCACTTGTTTAATATCAAAAAATCACCACCATAAACTTGGCTGTAAACAACAAATTAGTGTGTATGTGTCTGTCTGTTTGTTTATTGTTATTTTATTTTTGCTTTGACATCGACCAAACAACATTACACTAATATATACTAACAAAAATAATAATAATAATACAGAGAAACAGATATAGAAAAAAACCAAAAAAATTAAACAAGTTTCATCTGAAACATTAATTCGTCATTTCCTCTATTTTCATTTTTTGTTTTTGTTTTTGTTTTTGTTTCATATTTTGAAGTGTGTGTGTATGCATGCTTGGATGCATGTACACAGACACACACATGTTTATTGTTTTCTCATTATATATGATGTTTATATATGTCATTCATTCATTTTCAAATTCAATAAGTGAATGAAAAAAAAAAAAAATTTTTTCTGTTCTTTAAACGATTTTCACCATTAATATTCAAAAAAAAAAAAAAAAAAATTTTTCCTGATTGAATACATGTGTTGTTGTCCTTATTGAATTGATTATATTGTCATTGAATTTTTTTTTTTTTTTTGGTTTTGTTTCGTTTTTTTTTTTGAATAATTTTTGAATTTTTTCATTCATTCATTCATTATCAATATCAAAGACAATTTTTTTAAAAAAAATGGACAATCGATTATCATCATCAACGCCGGGTATTATTCAAATTGAAATGGATACATCATATACGATGTCTAATTATAGTAGTAATAGTTCAATTATAAATCGTTCATCACCATCACAACGTTCATCATCATCATCATCATCATCAACATCGACATCGGAATCATCGGCAATGAATAATGGTAATACAAATAACAATGATGGACGTATTACAGAAACATCATTGCTTTATTCATCGGCAACAAATACGACAATCGAAAATAATGGTTCAACAAACAATCATAATGATTTGGATAATAATAATAAAATGAAGAATAAACTTGAAGAACAACAGGAAAAAGAAGAGATGTTAGCCGAACAACAACAAGAGATCAATGGAAATCCTATTGATCCATATCGTACAATATTCAAACAAAGTAAACAACATCATACAAGACAAAAATCAGATTCTTCATCTAATAAGATTGGCCGTTTTACTGTACGTACATTTGATCAACTAAATCCATCACAGAATTTTGATGACCAATCACCATATTCAACAACGACAAATTGTTTTGATACAATCACTAGCCTAATACCGACATCTAATTTTGAAGAAACTGAATATGAAAGCGATAGTCAAGATGTTGGCCTTATTATGGATCATGGCCATGATCCTGATGATGAAGAAATGGCCATTGGTAATGATCATAATGCAAATAGACAATTGATTATTCCACATACCGAAGTACTTATATCAAGGTTACGTAATGAAGTGGTTAAACCGAAAAATTTTAACAATGAAGTACGTGCCGGTCGTGATGTGAAATCATTTTTGGCCAATCCATGCGTTCTACTTGATCTCGAAGGTGATTCTGTTGAAGAAATTATTGATCAAATGTTGACGGTAAATGAAATATATTATAAAATTATTCTTTTTTTTGCTCTCACTAAAAAAATCAATTTTTCTCTCCACTATTACCAGGCCATCAACAATGATCTTGATGGTACACTATTATCCGAAGCTCGTTCATCATTATATGATGCAAAAAATGCCTTTCAATTAAGCGATTTTCTTCAAGGTATCTATCATACTGAGACTGGTGAATATCTACATGATCCTACATGGTTATGTACATTGTAAGTGATTTAAAAAAGCCATTAGCAATTTATTGTTTTTTTTCCTGATTTTAATTGTCAATTAAAACAGTGCAACAGTAAACAATCTTTCCGCTCGACGAATCGTAATTGCACGATTAGATCGTCCAAGTAATTTTGGACCTACATTACGACATGTTCAATTCATTGTATTAGTTTTAGTGCCATCCAAAGAGGTTTGTTTATCTTTTCGGTTGTTTTGTTTTTCATAAAAAAAATCACTGTTTGAATGACTAGAAAACATCAAAATCAGCATTTGAAATTGCACGAACATTTGCATCATTATTTGCAGATTCAACATTGCGAATGTCACTTTTACAATGTGAGAGCCAAGTCGAATTTTGTCAACAGATTTCCGATCGTGTTGCTTTTCTAAAAAGGAGACAATCATCAAAAAAATTTAAATCATTTTCATTGGACAAATTGGAAAATCATCCGGATCATCTTGCTAAACAGGTTGGAAATTTTCAATGGAAAGTTTTTTATTAATTATTTTTTTCAATTATTAGAAACAAAGTTTTGGTTTCGGTAAAGGTTTAGTCAATGATTTTCGTCGTCGAATTAAATATTATCCTAGTGATTTTATTGATGGTAAATAATGTTTTCTGTTTTTCTAATAAATTTTATGCTAACAATTTTCTCATTAGGAATCGTTGGAAAGAATACCATATCAAAAGTATCGGCAGCCGTATTGTCTATATTTTTTGCCTGTATTCTGCCACCAATTGCTTTCGGTGTTGTCAATGAACATAATACACATGGTTTGATAGGACCGAAACAAGGATTAATTGGCCAAGCAATCGGTGGACTCATATTTGCATTGACTAGTGGCCAACCATTGGTTATCATTGCCACAACGGCACCATTAACATTATATGTTAAAATTGTCTATCAAGCTTCTCAGGATTGGCATGTCGATTTCCTTGATCTATTTGCAGCTGTTGGTTGTTTCTGTGCATTCTATCTTATCCTTTATGCTCTGTTAAATGTATCGAATCTGATGCGTTACGTCACCCGTAGTACGGAAGAGACATTCGCTACATTTGTATTTGTTGCATTTACAGCTGCCGCATTTACAGAATGTCACGAAAGTTTCCGTAAACATTATTGTTTTGATAATCTAACTGGTTATTCAAATTTAACAACAACAATCATTGATTTGAATGATAAAATCGATATGGATGATTTGCCCATTCGAGATTGTCTTCCAGCTAAAAGTATTTTATTTCTATTTCTTATGCTTGGTACTGTTGCTATGGCTGTTTTACTTTATAATTTCAGTTCTACGTAAGTACCGAATTTTTGATTATTATTTCTCATAAATTAATCGATTTGATTTGTTTAATTCGTTCCATATATAGACCATATTTAAATTCGATTCTACGTAATACATTAGCTGATTATGCTTTACCACTATCAGTAATTTCATTCAGTTTGATCGGATCAGTTTTGTTTCGTGATGTACACAGTAAGTAAAAAAAATTTCCATTTATTGATTGGATGATAATTATTATTCTTTCCTCATTTAGCTGATTCATTTATTATTAATGCCGATTTTCAATGGCGTCTTGCTACATTTCGAACACTTACACCGACAACAATTGGATTAGCTGCATTTCTTGGTTTTTTCTTATCGATGTTATTCTTCATCGCTCAATCGGTTTGTGCTTCGATTGTTGGATCACCATCGAATCATCTGAAAAAAGGCAGTGCTTTTCATTGGGATCTATTCGTATTGGGATCATTGAATGCTGTACTATCAATGATTGGCTTACCATGGATTTATGGCATACTTCCACATTCACCATTACATGCCAGATTATTAGCCGATGTTGTACCGGCTACGGATTCGCAACATAATTCAACTAAATCTTATGTGGTTGTACGTGTTCGTGAAACACGTGTTACGGGTGTACTTGTACATTTGATGATCGGTTCGATCGTATTAGTAATACCAAATTCATTGTCCAACATTCCGGTTGCTGTACTCTGTGGTCTTTTCTTATATTGTGCTATTTCAACTTTACGAAATAATTCCATACATGATCGAGTAGTCCTTGTTCTTACTGAACAGGTAGGCTCTTATATCTTTGGATTGTTTAATGAATATAATTTTGTCTCTAATTTTATAGCATTCATATCCACCCACATCATATCTACGTCATGTTCCACAACGTACCGTACATTGTTTTACAGCCACACAATTGGCATTACTTGCATTGATAACATTCGTTGGTTTTTGTCCATGGAAAAGTTTTCGATTATTTTTTCCATTCATGATTGCTTTAATGATACCAATCAGGTTTGTCGAAATTGAAACAATTTTCAATTAAAAAATATTCCAATTTTATTTTTTTTTTTTTTTTTTCTTTTAATTATTTTAGACGATATATTTTACCATTGGTATTTGAAGAAAAACATTTAAAAATCATTGATAGTAAACATTATTAGCATCACAAACAATACATTGTTCTATTGATACACCTAAACATTATTTTTTTTTTTTTTTTTGTTATTCTTGTGAAACTATATTTTTTCTGTCCATTTCTGGATTCTTTGATTTTCTGTTTGATATTTTTTTTTTTTATAGATGGATTAATAGATTTGTTTTTGTTTGTTTTGTTTGTTAATAATTTTTTTTGTTTCGTTCACACAGATTGATTTGTTGTTGATTAACCCATTAATGCCCATGATCCTATATATAGGATATTTATTTTAAAGACAAATAATTTCAAATCTATCCATGATCAAATGATAATATTTGTATATTTTAATTGAAAATTATTGTTGTTGTTATTTTAGAATTGAAAATCAACCTCCATCATTTATCCAGTTTAGAACTGGTTCAGTGAAGCTGATAATTTGTTGTTGTGCCTGTGATGTAGTGGTATCATATCTGTCTAACAAAACTTCCGGTATTTCCGAATTTGGTGTCTTCGAACCAAGAATTTGGAGATAAGGAATTTTCGAGAATCAGCAATTTGCGAATTTTGCTGTCGTAGTACACAGAAAGTCCCAGGATCGAAACCTGGCAGGCACACTCATTCTTTTTGCATTATACAAATCAATCGACATCTTTATCGATTTATCAATTTTTTCTGATGCAAAATTGAAACAATTTTTATTCACACTAGATGGAGTTAAATGTTCTATTATGTATTCATGTGAATGATATGTGCACGTAGATTTTTTATTTTTATTTCATTTCGATTTGATTTTGTCTAACACGTGGAACAACAAATTTTAAAACGGTTTCAAATGTTCATTTTGTCATAAAATTGGACATAAAGTTGAAGATTGCTTGTATAAACAAAAATGTACGTCTCAAAAATCAAATAATAAAAAAGAGAAGAAGGTGGCAAAACCAACAAAGTCAGCAAATTCTTCGTTATTGGCAGAAATTCAATGAGTCATAAATGACAGACCATTATTTAGAAATTCTGATGGAACGTTCATCACACCGTATCATTAAATTTTTGGAAATGGACGTTCAACGTTGTTTTCATCGATCAATATCTTACAGAATTGAAAATATTTAAATTAGAAAAAGAAATCACGCCACGAATTGACGATCTGACTTTCGTCAGAACCGAATTTAACGAAACCGGAAGAACTGCCAAAGTTGAATTAAATTAAAAAGACATCCTGAATCAAAGCATGTTTCAAATGAATGTCAATAAACCAAAAGAATATTTTGAAAGACTGTATATTTGAATCTTTAAATAAAGAAAAAAAAATCTTTTGAAAAATTTATGACCGTTAATGAAAAAAATATTTACTAGCGTCATATGAAGTTTCATACTGTATTACAAAAAAAAAAAAAAAATAAAATAAAAATCATTGGATATCATCCATTAACAGATATAATTATTGGACGATTACATTAAATTCATTGAACATCTTAACAACTATGTAAATCAAAAAAAAAAAAAAAATCAATTATGATGGCAATCGCTATCCGAATACATTGAAAATCAAATTCCAACATCTGAACACAACTGGGAGAGTTACAGTCTATATCAAAAAATTCTTACGCCAACAAAATTATTATTATTAATCATATTTGTAAATTTATTTTCCAGTATTTGTGAAAACGGTTGTAAAAAACTACTGGTGTTTTTCTGGAAAACCATCCATTGATTGTGGCAATGAAACGCTTCAAATCTGGATCTAAAGACGAAGAAGAATATGCGATCTACAACAAAAAAAAAATTCAAAAGTGAATCGAGAATGTGGTAGCATTTGAAATCTTTTCATCCGTAAGTAGTCTGTTGAATCGATTATAACATCAATTCTCACTTATTGTTTTCATTAGTGATGATACCATGGTATGATGAATTTACTGGAACCATTAAACGACTTGACAAACAACTATTCATGATATATGGCGATATGGCGAAGCTGCTATATTAGATGAAGAAACATTCGAAATAACTGAATTACCTATTGGTGTTTCTACTCAATCATATAAAAAAACGATATTAGAGCCAATGTTGAAAAATAATCCACCATACATAAAGAATTTCAAAGAATATCATACGAATGCATCAGTAAAGTTCGTCATTACAATGTCTAAAGAAAATCTACAGCAATCATTGAACAATGGTATTCACAAAACATTTAAAATTCAAAGATCAATGTCAACAACAACTATGATGCTTTTTGATTATAATGGGAATCTAAAAAAAGATATAAAAACTGCAGAGGAAATTCTGACAGAATATTATCCAATTCGTTTAAAATATTATAAAAAACGTATAGAATACTATAATGAATTCTTTAAAGTGGAATTAAAGAAACTTAATAATCAACTTAGATTTATTTCGGATAACGATAACATTCCAAACATAAACAAAACGTGTAAAAAAGATTTGATTGCAATACTTGTTAAAAGAAATTGATTGATTTCTCTATCGATTTATTTATCAGTTTTTGTTGTAAAATTAATGTTCAAATATTTTAAAACTTAAAAAGTTCATTTCTTTTTCGAATAATAAAATTTAAAAATCATAATTATCATCATCATCATCATTTATTTTTATTTTGGATTAAATTATCAAAAACAACAACAAAATAATACAAACAAAACGAAACAAAAAAAAAATTTCTACATTTTAAGATCATCAGATTGATTTGTTCTATTTCCAATATCATCACCATTATTATTACCATCATTGAAAGTGTGTAGATTTTCATTATTATTATTATTTGAATCACCTGTCACTATAAGATCATCATCATCATCGATTGGTATCGGTATTTTATCCGATGAATTATCATTATTACCAATCTGTAATGGTCTTGTATATGCATTTAGTGCAAGAAAACCATTCGCTGTTTTCTGTTGTTGTTGTTGATTATGATTATTATTCATTGAATGCATTTGTTCATGTAATGGATTCTGATTTAATGGTGGCGATTGAATATTCATCGATACATTTGTTGTTGATGATTTTTGTTTATTTTTATCATCTCGTTGTTGTTGTTGTTGTTTAATATTATTATTGCTACTACTATCAATTAGATTAGTTGTCGATACCGATGTCATTGTTGATGATTCTTCTGGACCATCAATACCCAATATTCTTGCACGTAAACGACGATTTTCTTTTCGTGTTCTACACCAAAAACAAGTAACACAACAACACCACATTATAATTAGATACATGGATACAATACCAATTACAATCAATAATATTAATATAATCCATAAACGTGTACAAGCTGATGAACCTTCTGGATATGGATCACAACTTAAATCTGGATCACCTAATACTGATCGTACCATTTGATTATAAATAAGATCACCATTTATATATTGATCGAATATTTGTTTTGCACCATCCGGTCTTTCACAATATTCTTCAGCAGATGATTTTATAAACCATTTTACTATCCAAAGACCACAGCAAGACATTTGATTATTATGATATTTGGCCATCTGTATCAAAGATATTTTCATTGCACATTTCAATGCATCCCATGTTGCATCGAATGTTTGCATCATCATCGGTATTGATGAGGCAGATTGTTGTTGTTGTTGTTGGGCATTTATCATTCCCATCATTATCGATATAATAATTAAATTTTGTATCGATATTGTTGTGGCCATAAATGATGATGATGATGATGATGATGCTAATATCATCAATGATGGCATTATTTTTTTTGTGAATAAAATCAAAGAATGGGGAAAAAATTAGAAAAATATTAAGGATGTCAATTGTTTTTTCAATCAATCAATCAATCAATTAATTTAACACATCACACAACAATGATTGCTTCGGTGATGGTTAGCCATCATCAATCGAATCTAGGTGGACAAAAAAAAATTGGATTGAAAATTTTTCTTTCGTTTTTGTTTTCAAATTTCACATTAAAATTTTTAAGAAAAAAAATATAATATGAACCGCACTAGACTATGATCAACTACAACTACAAATGTACATATTATACATACAAACCAATTTAGATGATGAATGATTTAATGGTGGGTGCGTATAGAAAAGTCATTTTCATTTTTTTTTCGGTTTTTTCTTACGAATTGAATTATCAAACAGAAACAAGACAATGTCTTGGAAACCATGGCAGGTAAAACGAAAAAAAAAAAACACGCCGACCAACAAACGAACTATTTTTTTTTTTATTTCTTGAAAAAAATTGAAATTTCAGTTCTAAATTTTTTTTTCATAAAAGTTTCGTTGTCAATGTCGATGAAGTCATCTATCATCTTGTGTGTGTGTGTGTGTTGAAGAAAAAAAAACAAACCAAATTATATTTGTACCGTTTCTTTGTTGTTTTCATTTCTAACGATGATGATTATATCATCAAATAAATGGGTATATCGTGCTTACCTGGGAAAAAAAACCAACACCAAACACATTCATTCATTCATTCATTCAATGTCATATATCAATGTAAACCCCCAACTACAGTCAAACAATACAATGATCGACAAAAGCATAGACATTTGATCGATAATTTTACATTTTCATTTCGTTTTCATTTTCTCAATTGACATGAATGTTGAAAATGTTAAGATCGATTCAATGTTGATGATAACGATGATAATTGTTACAAGAATGATGACAATGAAAATAAAGAAAAAAAAATTGTTATTATTATGATTATCTTTTAACCGGCAAAATCTAGTATCGATCATTTTTTGTTTCATTTTATTCTTAAAATCATAAGATTGTTGAAATCATAAGATTTTACAACATTGACCTTGTTTGTTTATCCTATTTTTTTTATAACAATTAGGAGAACAAACTATTCATTTTTTTAGGCTTCCATTTTCAACATTTCAATTTCTTTGATTATTTCATCCAATTTTTCGATTTTACCAAGTTGATTCTTTTCAAGCTGTTTACCTTCATCTTGTAATTTCTTTAAATGTTCAATCTGTTGTAGTTTTTTGTTTAGATTTTTCAATTTTTTTGCTTTTATAGCTTGTGGATCTTTATCGGCCACTGTTTTTGATTGTTGATGCAATGATTTTATTGATGGTTTTGGCGGTGGTGGCTTGATCAATCTTGAGGATTGTGATTGTTTGTTACGCAAGCTTGGTGGAACGTATTTATGGACCGGTTCTTCACAGAGAATTTTGCCTTTGATACCTGCCTGTAATGATGGTTCATCGAATCGACCGGCAGGATCGAATGGAAAAATTCGATAAAGCTGAATTTGGCTATCATCAACACAATCTTGTTGATGGATCATTGAACCAAGATAATTCCAAACTTTGAAACCATTGGCCACTTTTAATCGATCATAATGCGTGGCAGTAATCATATGGATGCCATCGGCTAGCCAGCTATAACATGTTGTATCGACAGCTTTGAAATTCGAAATCAATGATTTTGTTTTTAGATTCCAAACATAAACATTTCCGGAAAGATTCCCAAATCCGGTTAAAGCCAGTAATGTACCGAATAAATTCACTTGTATACCGTTGACGGGTAATTCACCAAATGAAAACATTGGTTCAGCACGATTTGAATACCAAGTTACAAGAGCAGGCATTTTACCCTGGATGACGATGAATCCATCATTGTTTGGTAACCATTCAGCCGCTGATACAGTACCCTCTTTTTTCCCAACGATGGTCGATGTTTCACCACGAAGATCCATGAAATGCAGCATAGTTTCACCATAATAACTTTGACCACTGGAATCATAATCGGTCGAAGTCATGGCCAAAATAGCATCACCTGAATATTGAAATTTTTTTACACCAAAGATTAAAAATAAAATTTACTTTTGAATAATCAAACCTTTTGGATTCCATTTAATATCGACCGTATCGACTTTGTAGAAACTTTTCGAAACAATAGCATTATCCAAATGTGGAAATCCATGAATTCGTATCATACTTGGCGAACCTTTTTGGCCTTTTATGTAAATGGCAACAAAACTACAGCCAGCTTTGTTTGTTGTAAAGCCATATGTAGTTAATTTTGGTTCTGAAATTTTTTGCACACAACGATTGAAATCATTATTCTCGAAGAATAGGATTTCCGATCCACATTGACGATGGGCAATAGATTCATCGGCAGACCATTGAACTAATTCACGTTTTTTCGTTGTCCATTCTAAATTTATGATATGATAAATTATTAAAAAAAAATTTCATTCAAACAAATTGAAAACAATGATGGAATATACCATGATTTAATTGGCCATTTTTTGTCAGATCAAACACTTTTAGATTGGGCGATGGATTCTGTTGAGCCAACGGAGCAAACAACATGATCATTGTCGATTTGGGCGAGAATTCAACATGTTTAACATTTTCAATCATGAATTCCAATGTTGGTTTATCCATTTGATCGTGAACAAAAACACGTACACAATCCTTGAATATGATGGCCAAATATTGGCCATCTGGTGATGGCAGTAGATTCAATGGTTTTTGACCACCAGTATCTAATGTTTTCAATAAATCAGCGCTTTCATTTGGACCATCGGTCGACCAAACATGAAGGCCATTAGAATCGTGTACAATAAATTTGGCCGCAACAGCCATATTTTTTTTTTTTTTAATTGGTCAGATTTCGTTAGAGTATGATGATTTGACAAATATCACAATTTTAATGAAAAGCAATTGACAAGGAACTAAAAGTTCCAAAATTAACGTTGGAATGGATCCATTTGGTGATCCAATCAGATAAATAATAACCTTTCGATCCTTTACAAATAAACAAAACAACCGACCAACACGAATCCAATCCAATGATTGAATGAATTCATTCGATAAAATCAAATACGTGATGACGATGCTGCATGCCACACCACACATGTGTTCGAAATTACCGTACATAAAGTACGTTTCGTATTTGATACCGCGAAATTCTCATTCATTTCAGCATTTGTCTCATGAGGTCACATGTTATTCAAGTCGAACAGTAAACTACAAAATTATCAAAAACAAACTGTTTGAATACATTGATTGTTTGTTCATCTTATTATCAATATACATCAAGCAACATGGCTGATTATCGACGAAATAATAAATCATCATCATCTAGATCATTTGGCAGAGTTATCGACATTAATCGTATTGACGATCATCATCATTCAATTAAACAAACAAATTTAAATCTTAAACAATCGATTGTTATCAATAACAAAAACAATGACGAAAATCATGGCCATGATGATGATCATGAGGATAGCAACAACAAAATGTTTAAAACAACAACATTGAAAAATGATGAACAAACTTCGAATCAAAATCATGATAAAGAAAATGGTCAAAATGCGAAAATCAAAAAATCAACGACTGCTGTTAATGAAAAACGAAAATCATCAACATCCAATACTACTGTTGTTATTCACGATGATAATAGTGATGATCATCATAATAATGTTGACGATAATAAATCTAATGATGATGATGATGATGATGAGTTCCATAAATCCAAAATGTTAAAATGGATGACAGTATCGAATTTGGAATTTGAAAATAATGATCAAGATCGATACCATTATCATATGATTGAATTACGAACCACATTTGAAACATTGATACAAATGGATGAAAAGAATAAACGATTACAAACAAAAATTGAAAATATTCGTAAAGAAAATGAACAATTGGAATTGATGAAAGATGAAATTGATCAAATTTATGCCAGTTTTATTACAACAGAATAATAATATCTACATCACAATTCTCTTCTTTTCCCATAAATTTCTAAATCTTTTTTCTTTTGATAATAATCGATTTAAAATTTTTGTAATTCTTATCCATTAGTGATTAGATTGTGAAATAAAATAAAATATTCTTGATGATATCCATATGGTCACGTGACCATTGGATTCCAACATATATTATGTGCGCGTTTAGCTCATATCGATGTATGGAGGCAGCGGTAAGCATTAATGTTGAAGCCGAATGATTAGCTTTAATACTTAGCTAATAGCCAAAGAAAAGGAATGAAATAAAAAAGGTAACATTGTAATGCGGATTTTTTTGCGAGCAACTACGGTTAACGTAAAACGACGGTTGCATGTGTTTCTGATGTGCTTACTCATTTCGTTTCATTACGCTTACAAGCATATTGGATTTTTTTTTTCATTGAATGTGTTACATCATCATTTGTCTTTTTTTTTCATTTATTATTATTCATCAGAATCCTTATTGATTTCATAAATGGAACAACAACAAAAAACGATAAAAGAAGAAATTCTCGATTCGGATGCAAACAAATCATCTGATTCATCGATGAATACGAAGAAAAAACGTAAAAAATCCAAATTGAATAGTGATGAAACTGATGATAACTCGATGGCAACATTAGCGAATTGTAAATCGGATAATAATGATGATAATGATGAAATGTCTATGATGATGATGATTATGAATGATGGTGTTAATAATGGTGTTGTTGAAACTGAATTGCTTGAATTGTCAAATGATACTGTCATTACTGGTAATTATATTTTCTTGTTTGGTTTTTTTGTATCTATGTTCAAATTTTTTACTTTTACTTTGATCATTTTATTTACAGATAATTTTGATAATCGTTGGTCAACAAATGATTTGAAAACTTTATTGGAAAATATAAAAAAATGTTTACCACAAAATGATTTGACAAAATATTCAACAACATTGGAAAAGACAATCAATTGGGATCAAATAAAATTCAAACATTTCGATGCAAATGAATGTAAAGAATGTGCAGTGAATATTATAAATGGATTACGAAAATATCGAACATTAACCGAAATGCTTGGCGATGCATTCGAATGGACAAATAAACGACATTTAAATCATCCTAATCGACCGAAAAAACCATGTTCATTATTTTTACGATATTTTTTAGAAAAACGTCCAAAACTACAACAACAATATCCGAATAAATCTGTGGCTGAATTGGCGAAAATTTTATCCACAAAATTTGCCAAATTATCCGATAAAAAACGAGCCAAATATCGTCGTGATTATGAAGAAGATCTTATTAAATATCGTGAACAAATGATACAATTTCGTACAAAATATCCGGAATTGTTTTCTCAACGTATGCGAACTGGTGAGAAAATTGGCCCGGAAAAACCACGTACACCATTTCAATTGTATCGATTATCTAAGATGAAGAAAATACCAACAGATACGGATGAAGATCCAAAAGCCATACAGGATCGAATACGTGAACAATGGAATAATATAAGTGAAAAAAAACATTATAAATTTATTAAAAAATCACTTAAAGATCAAGAACGTTATAATCAAGAATTGGAGGAATTTATGGCTGCTAATCCAACATATACAGCACCGGTCATAATGAAACCATTATTGACAAAAAATGAACAAGAATTACGACGTCGTTATCAAGGAATGCCAATGAGGCCACCAAATTCTGGTTATATGCTATTCTCACAGATAATGCTTAAAGAATTCAAAGATGTTCCATCTAAAGAAAAAATGGTACTTGTTGCTAAACGATGGAAAGAGATGACCATTGAGGAACGATCAAAATATAATGAAGATGCACAGAATATGATGAGTGAATATATAAGAAAATTTGATGAATACGTCCATACATTACCGGATGATGAGAAAAAACAGCTACTTATTGAACAAGGACATTTTAAATTACCAAGTGAAAAGAATATTTTTTCATCGAATAAACAATTTATGCCAACATCATCGATTGTATCGTTAGCCAAAGAAATGCAGAAAAAAACTGCTGCTATCGATCAGACAGCAATGATTGCATATCAAATGAATGAAATGCAACGGTTAAAACCAATTTATAGCGATAAAACGAATGCTGAATTAATGGATATGATAAATGAACAATGGTCATCAATGCCAGCAATACAAAAAACTGAATATCTTGAAGTAGCTGAATCAATGCAAGATTTTTTACCATCAAATACGAAGACAAAAAAATCATCAACAACAACAACGACAGCAACAAGAAGAAAAGAATCATCAAAAGATATTAAATTTAAAGATGTTAAAGAATCGGAATTTTTTCTACAAACTGGCCTTCGTAAACCACGTCGTTGTGGTTTTACAACATATTGTAGTTCAATATTATCAACAATGATTAATAAAACAACACAGGAACGAATGCGTTATGCATCCGAACAATGGAAACAAATGTCAGTGGAACAGAAACAATATTATTTACAATTACAATCAAGTAAATGTGAAATGTTTGAAAAATTATTTAATCGTTTTAAAAAGGTTTGTTGTTTAATGTTTCAATTCATAATTATCTATTAATTATTATAATTATTAATTATCAAAAAAAAAAAGGATGGAACCTTACCAAGTAAAAAAGAGATGAAAGAATTTAATAAAGCTGGAACAATAACTGCTACTACCGATGAAATGTTGGAATTGTCAGAAATCAAGAATGAAAAAGAAATGAAAAAAGTGAAAAAAAGAAAATTGGATAATAATAATGATGATGATGATTCACGTAAAACAATCGAATGGAATGAGAATCAAACTTTATCATCATCATCATCATCATCATCACCATCATTGACATTATCATCAACGTTAAAATCACTGAAAAAAGCCTCAGCATTATCATCATCATCATCATCGACAACAACAACAACAACGATTACACCAATTGAATCATTTTCATCAACAACAAAATCAAAGAAAAAATTTTCCAATTGTTTATACGATGATTCATCATCATCAAGTGAAAATGATGATGATGTGATGGATTAATTTTCTCAGTCAATTTAAAGATTGAAGATATGTCAACATTTTTTTTTTAATGAAAATTTCAAATGAAATAAAGTATTATTTTGTTTTTTTTTGACTAAAAAACATTTAAAGTTTTTATGATTTATGATTACGAATTTCAATTGATTATGATTGTTGTAATGTATAATGATCGAAAAAATATTCACCAATTCCAGTACCACCACAACGTTCCAAATTGGTTATGAATGTAGATAATTTTTTAATCACTTCAACTTGTTCATCGAGATAATGTGATTCAATAAAATCGGCAAAATGTGGATCATTATGTTTTGATGCTAAACTATGTAGATCCAACAATGATTGATTCATTGTTTTTTCCAATTCCATTGCTGCATTCATTGCTTCCAATCCGGATGACCAACGATGTTCAATTGGTTTTTGTATATCATCCAAAACAATATGGCCACCACGTTGATTTTGTAATTGTATAAAATGTTCATAATGTTTACGATGTTGTTGGGATGATTCATTGAAAAATTTTTCAAATCCCAATAATGCTACATCATCACGATTAAAATGATTGGCCATTTGTTGATATGTATAGGATGTATACAATTCTATATTCATCGGGATCAATCAATCGAATTAAATAATGATGATATGATATATAAATATGTGGTGTTATATTATCAACTTACCAAGATTGATCAATCTATTAATACCATTTTCACAATCTTGATGAAAATTCATTCGAATTTTTGATGATTGGCCAGCCATCGTGTTTTGTTCGAAGTTTTGTTTTTTCTCTTCAGTGTTGTAAATTTTTAAAATAAAAAAAAAACTAATCGTTCAAATCCAAACTGGTATTTATACAAAACTTTTTCATTTATAATTATCATTTGTAAATGAATGAATATCGTTCGTTGATACTACTGTATGGGTCATCATATATTGAACAAGAGCAATACACATCACAATCAAACACACAACATTGCCAAATGTGTCTGTGTTTAGAGATGATAATAATAAAATATAATTTCCTGATAACTTGACGATGACTTAGTGACAATTACAATTGATGATGATGATGATGATGATCTCCGTTTTTTATTTTCTATGCATGAGGGAAAAAATTTTTAATCTAATGTTTGCAAATCAATAATCGATGATTGTGTTTTGATGGAAAATTTCTTTTAATATGAAAAAAAAAATTTTTTTTGAATTTGAATAAAAAACATATATTTATTTATTTGTTATATAAAAATAATAAAATCTATCGATTGTTTCGTCCAACAATCGATTATTCATTTATATTCGAATCATCATTTCCTACTATATGCTAAGAAATTGTTTCAAAATTTTTCGCTGTTCATCACGTTGATTCATATTATTCAATTGTGATTCCGGTAAATCACGTATAATCGGAAATTTTTTATGACGACGATTATTAAGAATCCACCGTAAACGTTGTTGATGATTTTTATGATTCCTTTTGAATAATGATCTGGTTCTAATTCGTGATGTTGTTGTTGTTGTTGTTGTTGTTGCTGTTGTTGGCCGTTCCGGTATTCGACCCAATGTTTTACAGATGAGTAGAAAACATTCACGTTCCCAATGGGTAGAAAATTTTACAATCAATTTATCATCCATATCAATGGTAAGATCAAATTTAATAATCAATGATCGACGTGATAATTTCCGTATCGAATGTATCACTTTCCAATGATAATGTAATTTACGGCCATCACGAACAATATGTATCATAAGACTTTGTATTGTTGGCCATAATTGAATCCATGATGATAATTGTAATGATTTTACATGAAAATATGGAAAACATTTACGTATAAATGATCGATATTGTTTATTTTCAATCAATGAATGTTGTTGACGAATAAAACGGTGTTGTTGTTGTCGTCGTCGTCGTCGTCGTGGATTCAGATATCGTTTACCAACGGTCATTAAAAGATCGATGGCCGTACGTAATATGGTTGGCATTTTTATTTTGTTTTTTTTTGGTTAATATTTTGAAAATAAATAAAAACGAGAAACAAAAACTAAAAACAATGAAAAACAAAAATGAAAATGAAAATGTCAACAAAAATCAATGAAAAAAAAAATTGAAATGACAAAATCGATCGATTCAAGTTATTTATAAAGTGAATCAACCAAAACAAAAAAAAAGAAGAAGAAAGATGATTATGACCACTGTGAATGTTGTTTATTTGTTATCGATCATCATCATCATCATCATCATCAACAACGAAAAACAAATTCAAGTTCAATTACCGATTGTTGATCAAGAGAAAAAAAAATCATCATCATTGAAAGTATATGAAACTTTAATTTGTTTTGGGTTTTATTTTTCACAATTTCCATCATCATGAATTTTTATATATTGGGCGTATTTCATTTCATTTCATTTCATTTTTTTTTTTTCGTGCATGCGTTCGTGTAGGAAGGTGAATGACTAGGCGTAGGTAGTAGTTTTTTTTTCGTTGTTGTCATTGAATAATGATAATTTGAAAGAAAAAAAATTTTTTAAATTGAAATTTTCGATAGATGGCGGCACTAGTGGCATTAATAATAATAATAATAATTATTATTCGAATTCAAAACACAAAACAAAAAAAAATCATCACATGAATAAATCAGAATCCGTATACTTTTTTTTTTTTTTCTTTAATGAAAAATGGTAAATAAATTATTATTGCATGTTCATATAAAATGATGATGATGATGATGAATTTTTTTTTACGATTCTTTGGAATAATAGTTGGCAATTATTGTTGTTGTTGTTGGCAATCAATGATACCAATCGAATGATGGTTGTTTGGCCAATCATCAATCGTTTTGTTTCTATTAACAGGAATTGAATATATATTCATTCCTATGTTGTAAAATATGAAGAAGAAGAAAAAAAAAAAGGAAAATATGTAGAAAATTTCAAATGAAAAATTGTAAATTACAGCAGTAGTTGTATAGTCATCAATAATCAATAATAATAACGGTGATGATTTTGTATGTGTGTATAAGTGATGGCCATCGAAATTTTTTTTTTTTTTATTATTTATTGTTTTTGATTTATGTTTCAGATAAAATTCATCATCTTCATGGAAATGATAATGATAATGAGATAGTGATCGAAATGTTTATTTTTATTTCATCTTTTTTTTTGACGTAATTTGCAATAATGATAACAACAACAACAACAACAACAACAAGTGAATCAATTCGAGGCCCACGTACACACACACACACACACACACACATGATGTGTATTATATCAACATATCGAATCGTTATGGAGAACCGGAAATTCACACTTTTTTTTACATAAACAAACAAACAAATATGGAAGAAAACACAAAAAAAATTCAAACATTTCGATCGTGATCGAATATATTCGAATTCTTTTGGGGACATACACAGATGATGGTGGACATATTAATGCAGAGAGAGAGAGAGAGAGAGAGAGAATTCATGAATTTTAAATTTTTTTATTTATGATTCTTTTTCATGTTTCAAATTTCATCATCATCATCATCATCATCATATCATTATCATTTTTAATGACGACAATGGCCATTTTAGTAGTAGAGCCCATTTTTTTTTTTTGTTGCAATCCAAATTTAACTACCAACCAACATTCGATTGTGTATGTATTTTTGTAATTCAATTTTTTTTTTAATGTTTTTCTCATTCATTTCATTCAGATGATATTCATTCATTGCATACAGAAAATCATCATCAATATGAATTATCTAATCATCCATCGTTTATATATTATTTATTTATATATGCAACATATTAGACAGATGTGTGCAACAAACAACAACAACAACAACAACAACAACAACAACAACAACAACAACAACGTCATAATCATCAATTTGGGTATATATAATAAAATTTATAATGACCGATTTCGAATTTGTTATATTATTTGTTTATTTTGTTTCGAATTCCAAAGAATTTTCCTTTTCCAATTTAATTAATTTTTTTTTTTTTTTGTTCCTACTTTTTAGAATTCGAATATTTGCTGTTTTTATCCTTGTTTTCTGATGATGATGGTCATGATAAGAAGAAAACACACACACACACACACACACACATACAAATCAAATGATTTTACGTGAACCTGAAAATATTATCATCGTCATCGTTATTTTTTTTTTTTATTCATGAGAATTTTGCTTAGCTTTGCTATAATTTTTTTTTTCTTCTTTTTTTCATCATCATAAACATTTTGATGATGATTTTCACTTTCATTTCGAAATTCATAATTTCATCCTTGTCATCATCATCATCATCATCATCATGATCAAGAGGTTTATTCGTTTTATTTATTCAACCCAAAAACCATTCATTTTAAGACCACTCATTTTTAATCATCATCAATGTTTATATATATGTCTGTATGATTGTTTATTTTTTCTTATATTAGTTTGATTAACTGAAAAAAAAACAAAATTTATATATCTATGTCAACGTCGTTGACATTTTTTTTTTATTCAGTGAAAATGTTTTAGTGAAGAATTAAGTTCAGTTCGATTTTCATGAAATACAAATGATTTTAATTTGAAAAAAAAACAACAACAAAAAATAACAATAACGGTGGCGCCCATCTGTATATTTTTCAACAACAACAACAACAACACACACACACACACAGAGACACAAAAAAGAAAAACAAAATTCTGTTTTCCCTCCACATATGTACGAAATTTATTTTTTTTTTCATTTTGTGTTTCCTGTGAATTTCAAATTTTTTTTTCTCTTTCAAACAAAAAAACAACAACAACAACAACAACAACAACAACAACAATTCCTTTGAATTGTCTACAATTTTTTTTTTGTGTGTGTGTGTGTGGAATTTAAATCCAGTGCAATAAAAAAGAAAAAATTCAACGTACAGATTTTTTTGACAACTAAAAAAAAAGAATCGCATAAACGTCGCATATGTGTACGTGTAAGTATTTGGATCTTGATGATCATCATCATCATGATTACTTTGAATGGATTAGAGAATGACGAGGAGGGATAAGAGAATTTGTTTTTTTTTGTGTGTGTGTGTGTGTGTGTCTTTTTCCAAATTCCAAACAACAACAATCAACAAAAATATAATAACCATTTGTAATGTTTATTTATAGTTAGTTGTGTGTAAATTTTATTTTTTTTGTTTAATTACATTTATAAATACAAATCCAATATAAAATTTAGATAGATCAGATGTTTATAAGTGTTGTTTGTCAATGGTTTTGTTTTTTTTTTTGTTTGTTTGTTTGTTGGCAAAGATCAAAACACAGTTGGTGGTGGTGGTGATGGTGATGGTGATGGTGATGGTGATGGTGGTGATGGTTGTGGTTGTGGTTGTGATTGGTAGAAAATTACAAGTCTCCTTGAATTTTTTTTTTTTTGCCATTTAAATTTGTTGACGTCAAATAACCTTGATATATATGGCTTATCCTGATAATGATCAGTAAATGGTGGTGGTGGTGGTGGTGGTTTTTATTATGTATATTTGTATCGTCACACATACACACACACACCTATACTATGACAAGCGCGAAAAAAAACCAGAAAAACAGATCAACAGAAATTTATAATTCTAGGAAATTTGTGACATAAGAAATTGATGCAAAAAAAACCCGTTCATATTATCGATAATCATTATTAAGGCAATAGCAACAAAATTTCATTTTGATTCTTTGTTGTTGTCATGAGAATCACATATATGTGAACAAGAAAATTTATTGACTTGTTTTTTCCTTCTTGTCAATCTGAAAATTTATATTTAAAATGATAAAAAAAGTTTATAATCCGAATTGATGATGATGGCCATGAATTTTTTCAATTTCAATTTAATTCTTGGTGCAAAACAACAGCCAAGAATCTAAATCTTTATACACACACACACACATACAAGAAAGAATTTGTCGTTTTTTTATAAATATTTTCTTCATAACAAGAATCCAAAAAAAAAATCCTACTAATGTTTTCACCTTTGAAGATCTTCACACACACAAAGACGGAAATTAATTTCATCATCATCATCATCATCATAATGCGGAAACATATTTTGTCAGACAAACAAACCAACCAAGAAAAAAAATGAAAGAATCAACAACAACAACAACAACAACAACAACAGCAGCAGCAAACAAAAAACAAAACAAAGCAAAAAATCTTTTGATTTCACATCTCAATGGAAAAAAAAGTCAACATTATGAATGAATGAAAATGAAAATGAAAATGAAGAGTGAAAAAAAACAAATTCAGCTTAATGTATATTTGCAACAAAGAACAACAACAAAGAAAAAGAAGAAGCCAAACATATTCACCCCCAATATATATGAATCAAAATCAATTCCATTTTAATAAGAGATTCCTGTTTTTCATTTCGTTTCATTGTTGAATTCCGACAAATTCAACAATGAAATATTCTTGCTGGTGGTGGTGGGGAAAAAAAAATATTGATTACATATTGTTTGCGATGATAAATATGAATTTTGTCTTAGAAATGAAAAAAAAAGTTTGTCCAAAAAAAAAGAACCAGAAAAAAAATGAAATTGACAGTGATGAATAATAGATATTTACACGCCATCATAAATAAATCTTCTGGTACACGCGTTACCAGATGATGATGATGATGATGGAGACAAGACAATGAACTATTTAAAAAAAAAAATTCCAAAGAAAATATGATCGCGCCCAATTTCTGATTGTGTTTGTGTGTGTGTGTGTGTGTACACAGGGTAACCAAAGATACTACCTACCAGAAAAATAAACCAACGATAAACCAACTATAACATTCATTATGACCACCACCACCACTAACACCAACATCACTGATGTCTATGATCATCATCATCATCATTTTGATATAAACACATAAAGTCAATGTACACACACACACACACACATTCAATAAAAATAAAGTCTATAGAATTGAATTTGAATTGAATAAAATAAAAAAAAAAATATAGAGAAATAGATAGATATAGAGGATCCTAGCCTAGCTTGCTTATTACTAGCTTTGTCCGATATAGACCAGATGTTGAACACAACATTGGTGTGTGTGTGGTGCCTCTGAAATTTTTTTTTTTTGGTTAGTAAGCAACAAATTTGGATCCTATTTCTAACAACAACAACAACAACAACAAAAAAAAAACAAGCATGCTTTTTGAAAACCTGGAATATATCATCATCATCATCATCATTCATTATTTTATATCTGAACATGCCGAAACATACACACACACAAACACAAACATACATTTAATAATACCACCATGCCAATAGCCATACCACACTAAATGATACCACGCACATTAAACATGCTTTTTTTGTTGTGTATGTATCATCATCATCATCATCATCATAGGCACATTATAACCAACAACAACAACAACAACAACAACAATTTATAAATCCAGTTTTTCAATCTTCTTTTTTCGTTTGTTTCAAAACTGAACAACGACAACGATCTGTGTGTGTGTGTGTATGCTATGTAATATGGTTTATTCAATTTCAATCTTCCCTCTCTTTTTCACTAAAAAAAACACACATGCCAATCATTATGCTATTTGTCTGTGTCTGTTGTGTGTGTGTGCAAAGGATGGATGTATGTGATGGCAATGGCAATGGCAATGAATTTTTTTTTTTTTTTTTTTGAATATATTTGAATGAATCGAAGTTCAATGCTGTTTGACTGTCTATGTCGTTTATTTTTATATACATTTTTCTTATTGTGTTTTTTTTGTGTGTGTGTGTGTGTGTGTGTAATAAGAGTCTTATTTTTTTTTCATTTTTTTTCATTCAAACAAAATTCGTGTTTGGTTTATTATCATCATATAATAATCATCACATCGTCTTAATCCATCCACCAATTTTATCAACATCATCATCGGGTTAATGATTTTTTTTTTTTTTTTTTTTGAATAATCCTGATTTATTAATTTTTTTTTTTCTTTATCATCATCAATGAATTTTGAATATCTGTAGAATTCGATTCTCATCAGTGTTTTCAGGTAGGTGTGTAGATTGTTTAACATTTTTTTTTTCGTTTGTTTGTTTGTTTGTTGTTGTGTTTGACATTTGAAACCAGTATTTTTTTTTCTTCAAAAAAAATTCATCTGGTTTTTTTTTCACTGATTTTTTTTTCTATACGTATCTATAAACCCATCTCTAGATGTTTGTGTATGTGTTGTTTTTGTTGTTGTTGTTTATTTGTTAGTTGTTTTTCGAATGATGGTTGTTGTTGTTGTTGTTATCGGTCTTCGTTAATGATGATGATGATGATGATGGTAGTTTTTACCTTTTTTATTTTTATTTGCTTTCGATTTCAAATTTCAATCAATTTTCCCATGTATCTTGTTCTGATTTTTGTATATTTTTTTCCTGCTGCCTGTCTCTCCCTCTCTCTCCCCGTCTTGGTGTGTCTTTGGTTTTTTTCTTGATAAAAATTTACTCATCACCATCATCATCATCATTATTTTTATTTTCGTTGTTTTGTCTAAGTCTGTTTGTGTGTGTGTGTGTGAATATGTGCGCGCTGATCCATTTGGCCATCATCCATTTAAATCTGTGTGTGTGTCGTGAATTTTCTTTTCTCTCTCACTCTCTCTTCCGTTCTTTGAATTGAATCAAAATAATAAGTGAAAATGGATGAATGAATGAAGAGTTAACCTTCGAAATAAGCATTTTTGTTGTTGTTGTTATTGTCGTTTTCTTCTTTATATTTTAGTCTCATCATCATCATCATCAGCAAAAAAAAAAAATAAATGCGTCTGTCATTTTTGTTTTCAATAGAAACAAAAATGTGGGTAATGGTTTGTAAAATGCGTGTATATGTGTTTTAGTGTGCAAAAAAAAACATCATCCGATCCAAGACACACACACACACACATACATACATAATGATTGGTGGTACATACAGAGAATGTGTGCATTGTTGTTGTTTTGAATTCAAATGGTTCAAGGTTGTGTTCTTGTTTTTATTGCTTGCTTGCTTGCTTGCTTTCCTGTTTTTCAAACAATTTGCCTATTTTTATAATTTCAATTCATCATCATCATCATTATAATGATGATGGCCACTAATGAAGCACGTGTTTTGAATATTCTTTGTTTGAAAATAATTTTTTTTTTTCATTTTTTTTCTATAGAATCAGCATCATTGAAACGATATCATTTTTTTTTATTCAATAAAGTAAAATTGGAAACATTAATCGATCGATCGATTATTATTATTATTTTATCATCGTCAACAACAACAAAATATTGATTGCTATGTTTGTGTGAATGTGAAATATCATCATTTGTGTGATTGAAACAACAACAGCATCAAAACAAAAAACAAAATCAATAACCAGGAACTGTGTGTATGTGTGAAATGTGATTTTTTTCATCATTATCATCATCATCGAATAGAATAGAAAATAGAATATAGGACACAGAAATACAAAACCAAAACAAAATCATCCATTTCAAATAATAATAATGGCATTAAATGAAGGCGGCAAACATCCTCATTGTTATTGGATGAGGAAATTATTATTATTATTATCATCATACAATTATGGTGGTTCACATCGAGGAAAAATTCCACGATCAACATCATCAACATTATTATTATCATTGAAATTATATTACATTCGAATTGTATCCACATGGATATTGTTGTTGTTATTATTATCAACATTGATTGATGGCCATCAATCCATAGAAACATTATCATCATCATTAACAGCAACAACAACAGCGACAACAACAACAGCCGCAACAGAAACAGAAACAATAATGATGATGAACATTAGTAATGATGATGATGATAATACAACATCAACAATTATTACAACTATTGGATTATTTTTCCAGATGAAAATAATAATGATGATGATCAGAAAATGGAAACAACAACAATGAATAATGTTCCAAATTTGTCCATTGTAAATGAAAATAATTTATTGCCATCAGAAACGGTAACAACATCATCATCAACAACAACAACAACAACAACATTGATGACGACAATTAAATCGAATCTGATTGTTAATCAATCAAAAATTATTGTTGATAGTGATGAAAACAATGATTGTTTTAACTATGAACAAATTGTCAAAGAATATCCACGTGATCAGAGTAAGTTCATTATTATTATTATTATTTTTTTCATGAAATGAAATTTTTTATTTTGATTTTTAATCCATAAATTTTCATGAATTTTTTCTTTTCTTTTTTCAATTCAAATCAAATCTGTTGTTTGTGTATTGTGTAGATTGCCAAATAAATATCGATATTGATGGACGTCGTTTTAATAAAAAATTGCCAAATAACAATAATGATGACAATTTTACTAAAATAATAAGCCAATATGAACATTGCCACATTATTACCGGTTTTGTTTCATTACGGCATTTTTATTTTGACAAAAATGATTCATTATTATTCAACAATCTAGTCTTTCCAAATATTGAATATGTTCGAGATTTTTTACTTGTACATAATTTTCGTTCATTTAATGAAGATAATGATGATGATGATGAAAATGTAAATATAACATTGGGACATATATTTCCACGTTTACGTCGTATTTATGGCTATCGTCGTATTGATAATATTGCATTAAGCATATCAGATTTTTGGACAAGTGATCATATTTCATTTGATTCATTGCAACAAGTATGTGGTACAATCAAAGTACTATCATCACGTCCATATTTTCGTCATTCACCAACATATTGGCATCTAGTGGATAAATATCGTAATCGACGATTATTTACAAATATGACTAGATTTCAATCAGATTATGTCATACCTGTACGATCAATTATTGATAATCATAATGAATCAAATTTCATTGGTATTGAATCACAATTACGTTTTGATAAACTTATATCAACAAATAAACGTCGTATTTATAAAATATTACATGTATCAATATATGAGATTGATCCAACATTTTATTCATTTGTTGAAACCGGTATTGAACCATTATCATCATCGGAAACATTTTTCTGTAATACATCATCACGTATTGTTATATTATCCGATTTAGATTATTCGGATAAACAATTTTTATTCCCATATCATACAAATTCATTTGATCAGGAACGTTTTCCATATTGGAAAATGAATGATGTTTATTATCAATATAGAAATGAATCACATTTACATCCAGAACATTTTCTTTATAATAATCGTATAGATAATATTGATATTTGTAGATTACATAATATCTATTATGATGATAATAATAATAATGGTGATAATGATAATGATAATAATCAATCAATGATGATTACGAATGAAACATATCCATTTCAATTTAAACATTATTATGTAATCAAATTGGAATTATGTATAGAAAGAAGACATGAAAAATGTATTGTACATCAACGTTATATATTTAATCCAAAATTTGAAGATTTTGAACAAATTTTATTGAAATTTTCCGAAAAACAACAACAACAACAACCATTGGATGGACAATGGATTTTTTCAACCATTTTGATTATTGTCATTATCGTAATAATTATAATGTTATCAATTATTGGCCTATTCATCTGTTGCATACGTTATATACGGCCATATCAATTGTTTCGTTTGAAATCATTTGTCAATATGGATGTTGTATCAGTGAATCCAGATTATGGTATTGTATCCAATCATCATAATGATAATAATAATATTGATCAATTGAATCATTTTTGGTCATCAACAACATTTCATTATAATAATAATGATAATAATCAACCATTATCATCATCATCATCATCATCGATTAATAATGATAATATTGTTACATGTGAAATTAATCGTCAAAGTTTAATACTTTATCAACAAAAAATGATTGGTAAAGGTGAATTTGGATTCGTATTTGAAGGTAGATTATTATTAGATCATGATCTTAATTGTTCATATCATTATTTGGCTGGAAAGAATAATAACATGATGGAAGAAACATCAACATTGTCATCATGTAATTGTTCTATGATTCAATCAAGTCCTAATAATAATGGCAATGGTAGTAATGATAGTATTCCATCGATTCGTGTGGCCATTAAACAATTAAAAGATAGTGGTTTCACCGGTAATGGTGTTACAATAAATAAAGAAAAATTCATTCAAGAAGCAAAATTTATGAAAACATTTAATTCAAATTTTTTGGTTAAATTGTTGGGCATTTCAACGGTGGAAGAACCTATACTTGTTGTAATGGAATATATGGAACATGGTGACCTGAAACGTTTCTTACGAACTCGATATCAAGATTATCTGAAATGTCGAAATAATGATCTATTACCATCGTTTGATCAATTGGCACGTATGGCCATTCAGATTGCTGATGGTATGCATTATTTACATTCAAAAAATGTTATACATCGTGATCTAGCTGCACGTAATTGTATGGTTGCAGCTGATTTAACAGTGAAAATTGGTGATTTTGGTCTTACACGTGATCTTTATGAAAAAGATTATTATCGGTATGTGTTTCTGTTCTGTTCTTTTTTGTTGTTTGTTTTTTTTACTATTTTTTTTCTATTCGTTTGTATTGTAAAAAAAAGATTATCCGAAGAAGCACCAATGCCATTACGATGGATGGCACCAGAATCCATACGTGAAATGATTTTCACACCATATTCAGATGTATGGTCATACGGAATAGTATTATGGGAGATAATGTCTTTTGGTGAACAACCATATCGTGGTCGATCAGATATGGAAGTGAAACAACAACTATTGACCCGTAATGCACAGCTTTCAAGGCCAATTTATTATTTTGAACCATTGTAAGTTTTGAATTTTTTTCAATTTCATTTAAAAATTAAAAAAAAATGTCATTATCAACATTCGATTATAGATGGGAAATTGCTCAACTATGTTGTCGTAAACGGCCAAATCGACGACCAAATTTTGGTGAAATAATCGAAATGCTTTATCCACATTTATCGACCAATCGCCATCAATTCGATAATCTATCTTATTATGTATCTAGTCGTATGGGAAGCTATGTTAAATACTCTACATTTGGTATTATGATTAATCATTGTTTATCATTCGTATGGAATGTATGTTTATCAAATAAATCATCATCATCATCATCGTCATCATTATCATCACGGAAAAGGAAATCATCAATGTTTATATCATCATCAACATCGGCTGCATCAACATCAACATCACAATCAACAAGGCCATTATTATCAAATAATCAGGATCAACAACAACAACAACAAAGACGTGATACAAATTCATCACAACAATCGGCATCAACAATTGTTGATTGTGGTTGTACAAAATTGCCATTAACATTCCAGAAGAAAAAATCAAACCAATTGAAACGTTTACAAAGACAATTTTCAACGTGTTCATCATCAACGACAACAACAACAGCAACTAATAATAATAATATGGATCAAATGATTATGATGAATGTGGTTTATCCATCACCACCACCACCACCACCACCACCAGCACCACCATCCGGACAATCACAACAACCCCCACTATCATCATTGATTACATGTTCATCACAAACATCACAATCTTCTCATCCACCACTATCTAATCTATGGAATAATAATCATCAAATGTCTAATAATCCAACAACATTTTTACCAATTACACAATCATCTACTGCTACTATTCCTTATGGATCATGGATTCAAATGAATTCTAATAATAATCATTCCAATTTTTTTCCAATAATAGCTCAACAACAACATCATAATAATAATCATCATCATTACAAATATCTAATTCATCATACCGATGTACAAACAGAAATAACTACATTAACATCTGGTCATCATCATCATTATCATCATCATCATCATCATCATCATCATCCACATAATCAGTTATTCCATAATATCTAAAACGTATTTGATCATTATCATCATCATTATCAATATCCACATCAACAACAATATGATGAACAATTACAAATGGATGATGATGATGATTCTATCATTTATCTGACCATGAGATTATGTCAGCTGGTGTTGGTTTTAATTGATTTGGATCATCATCAACAACAAACAACAGTATTCAAGTATTGAAAGTTTATCTAATTCATCAAATACCGATGTACAAACAGAAATAACTACATTAACATCTGGTCATCATCATCATTATCATCATCCTCATCATCATCATCATCATCCACATAATCAGTTATTCCATAATAATTATCATTATCAACATCATCATCATCAATATCCACATCAACAACAATATGATGAACAATTACAAATGGATGATGATGATGATTGTCATTATGAGATTATGTCAGCTGGTGTTGGTTTGGATCGTACTGTTGTAAATACTAATAATAGTGATGATGATACTGATACTGATACTGATAATGATGATGATGATATGATTTCAAAAGAGAAGAATAATCAAGAATCATCAACTACAAAGCCTTTGATTTAATTAATAATATTTTTTATATGTAAATTTTGTTGTTCTCTTGTTTTTTATATATATATATTAATTGTGATGATGATGATTTTTGCACAAACGAGCTCAAGCAAACGTGTGTATTTAAAAAATGATTTTTATTAAAATTTGAAAATTTTGGTTAAATAAAATCGAAGCAATTTTTTTTTTAAAAAAAAGATTCACATTCACCGTTTTTTCACTGGTTTTTTATTTGTTTTCTTTGTTTGTACGACATTATTTATTTTAGTTGCACGGGATTTTCCTCGACGATTTTTTGATGATTCGCTGTTAGTGGCGGTGGTGGTGGATGGAAATACAAATGGATCATCATCATCATCATCATCATTATCATCATTCATTTTGGCTATTGGAACGGATTTTTTTTGTTGTTGTTGTTTGTTTTTCGATGGTTTTTTGCCACCAACTTTGTTATCCGTCGATGAATTGGGCAATTTATTCACCTGAGGTGTTGATGATGATGATGATGATGGTTTTGATTGCTGTGTTTTTGTTTTAGAATAAATATCATTATTTTGTTTATGACGAAAGAATCGATAATTACTTCGATCCATTGATTTATTCATTATATTTTGTTCTTGTTCTTCTTCTTCCTCATTATCCGATATGATAAATGAACGTTGTGGTTCAATAAACAATGATTCATGATTATCATCATCATCATTCAATTGTTGTCGAATTTTTTCAATTGAATCATTTCGATTAATCATAACATCTGTATCATTGAATGTATGCATAGAATTACCAATTGATTGTAATGTACGACTTGTATCATCAATCAAAATTGTTGTACTATTCATTCTTGATGGTGATGATCCATCCATGAATAAACCAAGATTATTAGTTAAATATTGTAATGATAATGCCATTGTATTTATTGTATCGGTCATATTCTGTAGATGTTCAGCCATTTCTGTTGTTTGATCGGTCAAACGTTTTAATTTATTATGAAATGATTGAAAAAACTAATGCAAAGATAAAATTTTAATTTTAGATTAAAAAAAAAAAATTTCCAAACAATCAAACCTCATCATTTCGAACAAATTGACGATGATGGTCATGATGATCATGATGATGATAGTCATAAAAATTATCACCACCACCACCACCACCACCACCACCATCATCTAATTCAATACGGCTAATGGATTTAAAACTTGGACGATAATTTCTTGGCATAATTTTTGGCAAAATTTGTAATATGAAATATGAAATATTTTAAAATTTTCAATGGCAAAAAAAACAAATGAAAAAGAAAAAATTTACCATTTTTATTAGATTAGAAAACATTTTTTTCAAACACTAATCTCTCATCGATATATATCGATTATAATCGCCATCTGTTGTGTGAATGTTGAGTAACAAGTGGAAAAAAATTTTTTTTAATTCAAACAAGTTTTTTTTTTTTTCAAGAAATTGGCTATTTACAAATCAAAAAATGAATGAGTGATGGGAATTACATTATTATTATTATTATTGTTGGACTAATTAATGAACTGGGACCAAGGAACTAGGTGGTGGTTCGGATATATATGTTTTGTGGGTGTGTGTGTGTGGACAATGAGTTTCTGTGTTTACTAATATAATAATAATTATTATTATTCGAATCCAGTCCAGCAGAGATTCAATAAATGTTTTTTTTGTGTTTTTTTTTCAATTTTGATGGAAATATTATGATGTTTAATAGGAAATATCATAATCATCATTATAGGCACCACCATCATCACCACCATCATAACCACCGCCATATTCACCTGGTCCACGATAATCACGTGAACGTGATGGATAACCATGTTCAATACCACCATATTTATCACCACCGGATGCAGCTGAATAAGAATCATATGGTTCATATTTAGAAGATTTATATGGAACTGGTACTGGATATGGTTCTTTCACTGGAACTTCATATGGAACTTTGACAACTTTTTTCACGACAACCGGTTCTTTTTTAATAACTTTTTTTGTTCTTTCAAAGATCCTGTGTGATGGTGATTTGTAGTTGTTGTTGTTGTTGTTGTGATTGTGGTCACGAAAAATAAAAATTTCAAATATTTTAGATCAAAAATTAAAAACAACAAGAAAAAAAATAAATAAATGCAAACTTACGGTATTGGAAGTGGTAATGGCAATGGCAATGGTAAGATGAGTTTTTTCTTTGGTATTTTCGATAAAAGAATCAATGCAATTAATTCTTTCTTTTTTAATTTTTTTCCCTCCACCTGTTGATTGACATAGATGATGGCCACAATGACCACAGTGGCCAATAATAATTGAAACCAACGCATTATTGATGATGATTAAAATGAAACCAAAAAAAAAAAAAAAAAAAATGTTCACAGTATGTCGTTTGTTCGTTCGTTCGTTTGAATGATGATACAATTCGTTTATGATTTCGATAGCATCCGTATTGATCGGTTTTTATAGTGGGCAAAATAAAGCAGATAATAATTGTCATTTCATCAAGACTCTTTACAGATAAAAACAACAGTAACAACAACAAACAAGATCATTTTTCTTCATTATTTATTTTTTGGACCTAACAAATACGAAAAAGAGTCATTTGAACTTTAACTGGATTTTGGCCCTTCCAAAAAAAAAATGAATTGATATTTCAGTTTTTTTTTCTTTTTGAAAACACGGAAATTTCGTTTACAATTTTTATTTATCGTGTTTTGTCGGTTCACATTACATATAGCTTATCATCTTTAAACATCTTCAGTATGGAAATTTTTTTTTCTTGTTTGCTTGTTTGAATATGGGGAAAAAAAACAACAAACTTGTCCTCGAATGTTTTTTTTTCAATGTCCAATATGGTTTGTTGTTCGTGGTGTATCGATCAAAAAAAAAAAACTTTTCGTCATTGATTATGGTAATGATTATGATGATGATGATGATGATGATAATGAGATAATCTTAAAACGTTCGAATTTTCGAACATACGTTCCGTTTTGTTTGTGTACAAATTTTCTATACAATCGATATATCGAAATCAAATATTCAAATGATGATGATGAATCTAGTTTTTTTTTTTTTGAACACATGAGAAGAGAGATGAAAAAAAAGTTCAACCATTTGAAACATGGAATCAATCATGATCAAAAGGCTGATAATGTGTGTGTGTGTGTGTGTCTTGAACATATTTTTTTTTTTTTTTGTTTCACCATTCATATCATCATGATCATCATCATCATGATCATTTCTTTTCATTAATCAATTTTCAAACTTCAAATGTATGTCCCAAATGAACAGATTGAGAAAATAAGTAAATAGTTCAGCAATTAAAAATCAAACATCATTCAAGACTACCTGTGTGTGTGTGTGTGTGTGTGTGTGTGTTCCATTTTATTTTCACACATACACACATTACATATAGAAATGGTCATCATTGCTTCGAATAACGGATTTTGTCAAGTTTATTAACACACACACACACACACACACACACACACACACACCTGTTGTAGATGATTAGATTTTGAAGATAATTTTCAATTTACTGTTTTTCATGAATCGTATTGTATCAATATATATTATTATTTGATGATGATCCTTGTATGTGATGAATATTATTATTGGCTGTAGATAAAATAAATGGTGTATGTGTGTGTGTGTGTACACAATTTTCAAGAACCACTTGATAGATTAATAATGGATATGGAATTTTCCGTATTTATGATTTAAAATTAAAAAAAATAATAATAAAAAAAACTTGTTGATTTATCAACATTGAGTACATTGTTGACACATCATGTTGAAAATAAATAAAATCAATCAATCAATCAATCAATCAATCGATTGGTATAAATATAAAAATGATAATTAAACAACAACAACAACGGCAACGGCAAATCCTGGATTAAAGACAAAAAAAATTTCTCGAAGTAATAAATCAATTGATCAAGAAGAAAATGAAATCAATATTTTTATTTGTATCATTATTTCTGATTATTGGTGGTGGTGGTAAGTATTTTTTTTTTTTTTTGATTTGATTGAAAAAAAATTTTTTATGGCAATAGATGCATTACCATCATCACCATCATCGTCATCATCAGCATCATCAATTTCGGCAGGAAAACGACAATTATTAATACAAATCATACAATCATTGGCACATAAAGCAAATGAATCTGGTCTTACCGGTGATCAGACAATATTCGAAACAGCAGCACAATTATTACAAACAAAAGGTGCCACAGATGATGATGAGACACAGATTTTATCATTTTTACAATTACAATTAATGGGACAAATGTTGAAAAAACCGAGTAAACTTTTTAAATGAAAATAAAGAAAAAAATTTTTGGTTTTACCTTAGTGATCATGGAATGAATGATTGATTGATCCTATTTGTTAATCCTTTGTTATAAAATATCGAGAAATCGATGCTATAAAAATGAATTGATTTCAGCTTGTTTTTGTATTACAATTTTTTTTCTGTTTTGAACCATCGAAACTATACATCACAAAATGATGAAAATTCTTTTCCTTTTAATTTGTTTTGTGCCGATAATTCTTTCGTTGCCTATCGATCAATCTTTTGATCATTATTCATTAACAAATGTTGACGATTCACCTGATTCGACTATTAGTTTTTATCCGTCATTATACAATGTTTTATACAAGATGGCGGAAATATCAGCCAAACAAGCCAGTACTGCTGGTTGTAATGATGTGGAAACAATATTGAAACAATTCCATGATGTTAAAATGGATATTTATAATGATACAGCATTTCACGTTGCATTAAACTTACTTGAATCGATACGAAAAATGTGCAAAAATATTGGATGATAACCGATGGGGATTTTATCCACGATGAATCGGATATATGGATCAGATGTGCTTGATTTTTTTTTCATCGATGCTCACCTTGAATTTGTATATTTTGATAATTATTTTACTGTTTTTCAATGAAATAAAAATGATGATGATGATGATGATAATAATTTTTCAATCGATTGCCAATCAATAAAGTTATAATCAATCTATTAATTTAAAGTGGTAAGAAAAAAAAGGTCATTTTTTTGTTGATTAGATAAAAATTCCAAGAATATTGTTTTTGTGATAGATGATGAATGATGAATGACAAGTGGTTTGCACTTGATCTTTGTGCGACAAGTGTTTGTTTGTTTGTTTGGTTTTGTTCCAACTATAAAAGAATATGTTTTCTAAAAGAAATCTAAGCACATTTCTAATCGAGAAAAAAAAATTTTTTTCGTTTTCGATTAAATAAATAAAAAAACATGAAATTCATTACCGCTTCATTGTTGTTGTTGTTGTTGTCGATGGCGATGGTGGTGATCATGACGACGATCGTTTCCGGTATGAATTAATTTGTTCTTGTTGTTTTGTTTGATTTGTTTTCATTTTTTTCAACAAAAAATCAAAATAGCCGACATTGAAATCGATAAAACCGAAGTAGTACTTATGGAAATTGTGGAAGAAATGATTCGACAAGCAAGACAATCCAGTACTGATTCAACAATAATTTCTATTGGTAATAAAATCAAAACATTAGTACTTACATCTGGTCTAAGTAATCGTGGTGATTTACAATTGATGATTGATTTAATTCGATTAACAATCGATGTTGGTAAAAATCAACAACCAAATCATTGATGATTATTGTCAACAATAGAATCTTAATAAGATTATTATTATTATTTTTTTTTTACTTATTTGTTTGTTGAAAAATTTTTTTTTTTTTTTTGGATAATAAATTCCATTCGAATTGTGAAAATATTCGATTCGAAAAGCTCAATATATGGCTGCTGCTATTATATGATAATAATTGCAGCAGCCATTTTGATTGTATTTACCATTCTAACCGGTTATAATAGCCACAATGAGATTCTGTCCACATTCGATTTGTTGTTGTCATCGTCGTCGTGGTCGTCGTCGTCGTTCGATTACTGAATCCATAGATGATGAATCTCAATCACCATCATTATCGATTAACAATGAACAATCATCATCATCATTAATATCCAAAGCTAAATTAGTAGATCCTAATATTCTCAATTCTAAATCAAACGATAAAAATGTGAAAAACATTTTGATGATGGAATCGAACACGAATATATCTAATAATAATAAAAGTAATCATCATCATCAAAATCAAAATGATAATACCGATCCAATGCATATGGCAATGATTAATGCAAGAATACGTTCAATATCATTATATTTGGCAAAAATTCAACAATCTGTACGACGAAAATAGTGGAAGAAAACAATAACAAGAATTAGTAATAAAAAGAAATTGAAATAATAATAAAATAAATCGGATCATCATCAAAGAATTAAAATAAAAAAAATTCCTATTAAAATAAAATTCAAATCTTTGATAAAAGATGGCATTACAGAATCGGCGTTGCCGCATCATTAAATCTGTACATGATAAAAAAAAAAAAAAAAATAGTAGTGGTATGGAATTTGATCATTTTGCAATTCCACTACCTCATATTTCATCAAAATACGGTCAATTTCTCATATTACAAAATGATGCGAGCATGATGTATTTACTTTGTTCCAATGATATGTAAATTGTGTGTGTGTGTGTGTGTGTAAACATCATCTACAAAGAAATCGAGAATATCCGGTATTTTTTTGGTTGGTGCTGCTAATGGTCATCATCATCATCATCATCATCATCATTTGTTTTTGTTCGTGTTATTGGTGTGAATTCTTAATAAATTCTTTAATTTGATTTGATTTTTGTTTTTGTTAGAAATTTTTTTGTTTGTTTGTTTTGTAAAATTGTTGTGAAGAATGCTTTGTGGTTTGATAGAATCTTATTAAACATTGATAAACAAAAAAAAAATGATAACAATCATGAATGCAAATAGTGGAAAAAATCATCACAATAATCGTCGAAAACGACGAAATAAAACAAAATCAACAACAACAACAACAACAACGAAAACAACAACGGGAAAAAATGAAATTATTGTTAAAAATGATAATAATAAATCTATGATTAAGGAACATTCATCGAATGAACAACAACAACAACAACAACAAAAGCAGCGGAAAAATTTGAATGATCATCATAATAACATTATCGATGATAATAATATTATGTCAATGGAAAATTATAACATAAAACTTGATATGATCAATGATGATGATGATGATGATAATGAACAACAACGGAATAATAATGATAATGATGATGCTGATAATTATAATTATAAATATAATTTATCATTAGTAGAACGTTTATCAATGTTAACATTTGAATTACATTCAGATTTGATACAATTCTATGAATTATATGAACAACATTTGGAACCAATGTTATCTGATCCATTATTAATATCATCATCACAATCATCATCAACAATAACAAATGATTCATTAGAATCTATACGACAGCGACAATCAATGATTGTTGAACGTTTTAAAGAATGGCTTGCTATGGATGATGATGATGATGATGATGATGATGATGACGACGGTGATGGTCAATCCAATGTTGACGAAGATGATGATGATGATGATCTAATCGATGAATCATTAGTATTGACATCATCAGGACAATTAGATGATGAAAATGATGAAGAACGAATTAATAAAAGAAAAATTCGTAAACGAATAATTATGAATAATTTAGCAGCTCGTTCACGTAAACATGCATATAAAGTGCTACAATTTTGTTTACAAATCTATCTTGATCTTTATTTGTTACGGCAATTTTTTCGTGATATACGTGAAACATTATTGGTAGAACGTTCCGGTTATGAACAACAATTGATTGAATCATATCGTCAAGAATTAGATCTTTGTATTGAACATTTATTAACAAAAGAATATGTTGAAATGAAATGTTTAATTGGTAATGTTTGATTGATTTTTTTTTTGGTTAATTTTTACATATCTTAATTATTTGTTTATTTATTTTTATACAGAGGAATATTATAAATTTCGTAATCATCAACCAATATTACCATATCATCATTTTTCAATAAAAATGATTGAATGTGATCAAATAATGAAAACAAAATCAATATTAGCCGAATTAGATAAAGATGAACAGATACGATTTAAATTTATTGATCATTTAATTGAAGATTCAAAAACATTTACATTGGAAACAATGAATACCGATGTACTTAAAGATTGTTGTTCATTCATTTATTCAACAATGGAAAATAGTAGTAGTAGTAATACTAATGCTGATGCTGATGTTGATGATCATATCATAATGATAATCTACAACCGTCAACAAATGATTCAAATGAATTACGAACAAAAGAACGATCGAAAAGATCGTCAAAATCGGCTACCAAATTGTCATCATCAGATGTACCGGTTAATCGTGAATTACTTGATGAGTTTGTTTTTCAAATGTATTATAAATATGTAATTGAAGCAATGGCAACGACAAATGTTCTTGATGATAATAATGGTGATGGAAAAAAATTACGTCTGGACACAGCATTAGCTAAAAGTTTGAAAATTCGTAAAGATAAAAGTATTGAATGTCAACTATGTATTGAACCTGTTCGATTTGAATCAATGCTTGAATTAAATTTACATATGAATGATTGTCATCCACCACCGCCAACATCGTTACCATTACCACCGATATCAACAACAGCAACATCAACAACGACTGTTATTCAAAATCAACAATCTACGGTAACGAAAAATAAAATCACAAATCGTCATTCACGTAAGAAAGGCAAGTTTTATTTTGAAATTTCAAAATTAAAATTGACAAATTTATCATTAATTGTCTTATATAGGATCGAAAAAGAAAATATCGAATCAAACAAATGGCTCATCAAATCATGATGATAATGTCAATGTTCAGGATGGTGATCGCGATAAAGATGGTCCAGCCAATTTGTTTATTCAATCTATGATTATCGAACAAGGTATAATATTAAGCCGAATATCAGGATAAATAATAAACTCTTTAAAATTGTTTTCATTGTAGTGAAAAAAATGGCTGCAAAACAAAAATCTCGTAATAAGAAAAATCAACAAACCGATGATAGTGATGGAAATCAAATGAATGACGTTGATAAACAAGTGAATTGTATGAAAAAATCCTCCAACGACAATGAATGCTCTGCTTATGATCAACAACAAAAATTGCTTGAAACTTGTATGTTTGATCCGGAAGAAGGATCTTTTGTTTTACCTGTTGAAATTATTCAACACCTTATGAATACGGATAATCCAAATTATTCATGGGAACAATTGGTCGTCGATATACAATCGGGTAATCTTAATTTTAATAATTCTTTGGAAAAAGTGTTTGATGATGATGGTGAATGTGTCGATTTGCCGGATGATTTCATTGATAATGATGATGAAAAATTGAAATTAGAAGAAACGTTACATCAAACCGATAAAATATCTGGTACGATTAATGGTCATCATCCGAATCAAACGGTTCAAATCGATTCGATGGTTAACATTGATGAGCAAACATTAAAACAATCAAAAATTCAACGACAACATCAACGAAATCATCGTCGATTATTACGAAAATTTGAACGTAAAATTTCGCGTCTTTTAACTGAAAAGGGTGATTGGAAAAATGAATCTGTGTGGTTGACGTTAAGAAATCGTGTTCGTGATGATTTCATTGAATTGATTCGAAAATCGGCAAATGGATTTAATGCCAATACTAGTACTATTACTACCACTACCACTTCTTCTGTTGCAACTAATGATGATCCAATTGTTACATCCTCAATTCAACCTTCATTATCATCATCACGACTGCCAGAGATTCGAACCGAATCAAATAATGATGGAAATCGAATCTTATCATCATCATCATCATCGTTGATATATAATGATCATCATAATGATAATCATCATGATCAATGTCGACGACGACAAGATTCATCAACGACATCATCATCACCACCACCACCATCATCGCTAGTACCACGACAAACGCAATCATCAGCATCGAAACAATTGAAAAATGATATGGTCAAATCATTTTATAATGAAAATGATAATATACCACAGATTTTATGTCGCCGTTGTCAGAATCGTAATTCAAATGCTATAATATGTGAACATATTTCTAAAATGGTACATCGAATTTTGAATAATCCAGTTTGAATATTTTAAAACTATATAAAATATACATATTCGAATAATGTATTTGTATGCATGCCTATATTATTATTATGATGATGATGATAAATAAAAATTTGGATTGAATAAATTTGTTGTTGCATTCCTTTTCCGGGTTGTTTTTTCAGTTTTATCGATTTTAACCAATTTTTTTTCATTCATTCTATTCATTCGATGTTCATCTGATGATTTTATTTAAATTAATTATAATCGATCATTTTTCGGATGTTTTTTTTATTTGGTTTCCTTCGAATAATTTAATTTTTTTTTCTAAAAGTAAATTAGAAATACATCATTGATGTGGTGTGATTTATGATTTGTGACAATTAATTAATTTTTTTTTTTTTTTTTTGATGATTAATGGCCAATTTAATTGCGTATCAATTGTTTTTCATCATCATCATATGTTTTGTTGTGTTAGCAACAGCAGTAAATGATTATAATCAAACAAATAATCATGATGATGATGATGATGATCAATCAATATGTGAATGTAATGAATCACATTCAATTGAAGTATTCCATTATCTGAATAATCTTTATGAACAGAATAAAAATGAACCAATTGTTAAACATGTTGATAGTTTCAATGATACAATGGCCATTGTTGATCATTTAGTGAAAATTGTTGGAAAAATTATCAATCTTGAAGTTGATCAACAACAAATGATGATATTGGCCGATATTGTTATCAATACAAATATTAGCAATGAATGTTTATGGTCATTGGCTAAAATTTCATCCGGTGTATTTGATCGTCAAATTTGGGCATTAAAATGTAAGCTTTTTTTCATTTTTATTTAATTGATTATAATGGATTTTTATTATTATTATAAAATAGTTTTGGATGCATTTGGAAAATTTCCTACCGGCATTGCTGAAGGTTCATTTTCACATTTTGGTGAATATGATGAATGTTTAGAAATTGAACATCATCATCATCATAATAATGATGATGATCATTCGAATACAATTTATGGCCGTTATTGTTTAGCAAAAATTATTATTCCATATCCGCCTACATTCAATCCAATGTATCAACCATCAATAGATACATTATATGTTCGTCATCATTTTGAATATTTTATCAATTTTCTTCGATTATATAATCTAGATAATTATCTAACAATGCGTAAAGTAGTGGAAAAATTGAATAATCAACATGGTACATGGTTACGTCTCGGTGTTTGTTTTCCTACTGCATGTCAATCAAATGAATTTGAATTATTATTGAATGAAAGTATGTTTTTATTCCATTTTCATATTGAATGTTGATTTGAATTTAAATTTCATTTTCATTTCAGTTTTTTATCCAGTATTCAAACTTCCAATTGAATTGGAACCAGATTGTTATGATCGCCAAACATATGCACGAAAATCATATGATAATTATGAATTCTATGCATTGTAAGTGGATTTTTATTGAAACAAACGAAAAAAAAATTCTACAATTCTATTCCATTCGATATATAGAATAATATTATCAACCATCATTATTGTAAATCTCATATGTACAGCATGTCATTTCGGTTGTATTGCTTTCTGTTGTCAACCAATGACTGAATCAAATGATTCTACACCAATTCAAAAATTATTCTTTCGACTATCAAAATCTCAATTATTCAAATGGATCATATGTTTTTCCATTATAGCCAATACTGAAGCTTTATTCGATTTTCATTGTTATGATGATCCAATGATCAAACAACAAATGATGACTACAAATAATGATGATGATGATGATGATGATAAAAAATCAACAAAACAAAAAAATCATCATCATCATCATCATAAAACTATTGATCGATTTAAATGTATAGATGTTGTACGACTTTTTCTGGTCATCAATGTATGTGTGGATCATATGTTTTTGTTTCCACCATTTATGGCATTCATGTCATTCAAACGAATATTGAATTCAGTCATAACTAAAGCATATGATTATAATCGTTATTTTTTTGCCCGTAATATACTTATTATTGATACAATGTTTTTGATCAGGTAAAATTTCGTTTTTTTTTTTATTACCTTGTTGTTTACATTTAATTTTTGTTGTTGTTGTAATAGTGGCCTATTACTATCATATAGTTTATTACGAAAATTAGCCATCAATCGTGGTCGTTTTAATTATATTGTATTCACTATACGTCTTTGGTTGAAATATTCAATACCAATGTTTTTTATCGTTCAATTATTTTGGCTATTACCGCTTAGTGGTGATGGACCATTATGGAATATGGGCATGAAAATGTTGGTCAATACATGTAAAGAATCGGATAGTTTATTATCTAGTTTTACATATTTAAGCAATTATCGTATACGTAGTAATCAAAATGTATTTAATTTTGATCAAAAATTTGCATTGGTTAGTTGGTTGCATTTGAATTGATAATATATAATTGAGATAATCAAATTGGATTTTTTTTTCACCAATAAATATACTGTATATAGTGTAATCCACCTACATGGTTCTTATCGGCATTATTTCAATTACAAATCATTGGTCCATTGTTTATTTTGGCCATTTATCATTATCAAAGATTTGGATTAGGTTTGAATATTTTTATGGTTTTATTCGGCTGCTATACAAGCATATTACCTGATCATTTATTTGGTCAACTAACCTATATGGATGGACCATCATTTTCATCATTAGAAGAATTAACACATTCATTTGTTGCCTATCATATGGGCATTAATCAATATTTGATTAGTTTTTTTCTCGGCATCATAATTGGTTTTTTAATTATACAACGACAAATTCAAATGAATCCAAATCAATCAATCAATAATGATGATCGGAAAAAGATTATTGTAGAAAAATTATGGCTAAAACGAATATTGTGGATAATGGCCATTGCTGGATTAATCATATCAATATATTGGTTCATGACATTGCATACGATGAATGTGGCACCATCACGTACATCAATATTATTATGGTTTTCTATTGGTAAATTAATTGGCTGTTTATCGATTGCATGGATGTTGTATGAACTTTGTATTGGACAAGCTAGTAAGTGGTGGATTTTATTTTTTTGAAAAATTTAAATTTTTCTTTCTATTTTTATTTTTTTAGTTATAATCGAAAAAATTTTCTCCATTCGTTTATTTCAATTTCTATCACGATTAACATTCGGTATTTATTTGCTACATTTTCTTCCATTAGCACATCGATTATTCACAGTACGTGATTCCTATGTGATGACGGATAAACTTTTGGTAATTTTTTTTCCCCGTTTTGGGTTTTTTTCCATTGAAATGATTGATTGATTGATTGATTTTTTTTTTTTTTGGTGTTCATCAAGTTTGAATTCATTTTGATCGATTTCATACAAACATCTATAATGGCTGCCATATTCTATGTGATAATTGAACGTCCATTCAATAATTTTACCACTATGATTGTTCTCAATGTTTGTTGATTCAATTTTTGTTTTTTTTTTTACTCTTTGATTGAATTTTAAATTCTCATTTTGTTGTTGTTGTTGTTGTTTTCTCACAATTCCAATATATATTAGATTGCAACAATGACAAACAAATCTCATTGTAACGACAATATCATTGATCGAATCATCGATAACCATAACGAATGCATCGATTCTGCCGATATCAAGGATGATGATGATGGTGATGGGAACAAGAGAAAATTTTCTCAATATCATCAAAATGGCCATGACGAAATGACGAATGATAGCCATCAAAAACAACAATATCAATATCAATATCAATCACAGCATGCATCATCATCATCGATGGATCAGAATAATAATAATAATTCATTATCATTGTCACATCAAGTGATTAAAATTGAGATACAGGATCTAAAATTATCATTACCACAAGTGAATCTATTTACAGCCAATTGTGGTGATCGTACTTAATCAACAACGAACAAATTCTCATAATCCTCATCAATACGAAAAAAAGGATTGAAACGAAAAAAAAACATTGAATTTCAAAATCATTTGAGCCATTGAAACCAAATGTTTGCCATGTATGAATCACATTGTTCAATGATGATCATCATTGCCACCAAAAAAAAAAAAAAAAAAATTAACAATTTATTACACACCATTTACGAATGAATAAATGAAAGGAAAAAAAACGATTTTTTTGAATTTGATCCAATTTTTTTTCTCAATTTTCTTTCTTTCTCTCTCTCAAAAAAAAACAAATTATTTTCGTTTTGTTTGTGAAACGAACAAAGAAATCAATGTCAAAGTCAAATATCCCGATCATTATGTCATCATCATCATCATCATGATCAGTTTTGTTCGTTCGTTCGTTCGTTTTTTTTTTTTTTTTTTTTTTTTTCATTCATCTGTAATCATCTTTCGTTTTTTTTTCTTGTTGATTTCAATTATTTTTGTTTTGTTTTGTTTTGAATTGCCCAAATTTTCAAGTTTAAAAAAAACTTGACAACAACAACAACAAAAAAACAATGAACACATGAGAAAAATGAAAAATTCAAACAAAAAAAATTTTTTTTTCAAGGTCAACTTATTCATGTTTTTATTCCAGATATTTTTATAATTGCACGTTAAAATGACTGGACGATAAGGGCAAAAAGAGAAGGGTTAAACTCAAAACAACAACAACGACGACAACAACAACAACAACAATAACTGTTGACAGTAAATCTGAATGTGAAACAGAAAAAAATTTTTTTTTTTTTAAGAATTCAGAAGAAAAAAAAACTTGAAAATTAATCATCATTGAATTGAATTTATTTTTTTCGAATAAATCATCATAAATCATTCGATGATGATGATGATTGCATCCTGAATTCGACATTTGTACACATTCCTTTGTGTATATCTGTGCGCGCACGTAATTGTTTATGCAAAAAAATGTCAATCATCAATCAATAAATTTTTTTTTTTTTTTGTTGCCATTTTTATTATTCTCATGAATAATTCCATGTTTCCATTTTTATCTTTTCTGGTTGGTAAGTTTTCTCTCACTTCAACCAATAATTAAAAATGTACAGTAGTCAACAACAACAACAACAACAACAAATTCAATCGTGTTTATGTTGTTTTGCGTTTCAAATTGTTGGTTTCAATCGTGTTTATGTTGTTTTGCGTTTCAAATTGTTGGTTTTTCAACCAAAAAAAAAACAACAACAACAACAATAACAAACAACCGAAACGCAAAACGAAACGAGAAGAATGGAAACAAAAAGAGATGATTGATGATTGATAATAGTCTGGGTTTTTTTTTCATTCATTCATTCATTGCTATTTGTTGATCATGAATCGAGGAAATTTTTTTTTTCTATTATTTTTATTAAATCGGATTAACTTTGACGATGTGTTCTTTCTTTGTCTCTATGATCGAGTGTTGATTACAAAATTATTCATTGCAAATTGATCAATCAATCGATTGGTCGATCGATCAATTGTTTATTCAAACGTTGTCATCGGAAATTTTTTTTAGAAATAGGTCCCATAATGTTTTGAAAAAAAACAACAAAGATTAAATGATCAATCAAAATTGGGAAAAAAAAAAAAAATGAAAAATTGAAATCAATCAACGGAAAAAAAAACATTCTAAAAAAAATGAAAAGAAAAACAAAAACAAACGAATCCATTCACAATAATTCATCATCATCATCATCAAGCGATGGTCATCATACCTACTAAATAAATGGTCAGCATACCTTATGTTCAAACACCGAAAAAAAATTTCTAGAATAACTGATGCCTATGTGATCAATGACGATATCTTGTGATTTTTCTTATTTTGTCAAATGATTCTCTCTCTGCATACACAATCATCACACTTTCTCTATTAGGGAAAATGTCGATGATGATGATGATAAAAATATTGGTTCGATTGCACTCACATAACAATGGTTGCCCCCTCCCCAACAAAAAAAATCCTGAAAACAAAAGAGTTTTATTCTAGTAGTCGTTAAAAGAAAAATGGATGATGATGATCGAAAAAAAAAAACGAATTTGGAAATGAATGAATGAATGAAGAAAAAAAATTTAAATTAAAAAAAAAAATACGAAATTCAAATAAACAAAAAAAAACGTTTAAAAATCATTTAAAGAAAAGAGAAAAGTCTGATAGATGAATGAATGGATCGATCCAAGCTATCCACACAAAACGACAATAGCAACAAGTTTTGTGCCCATTCGCATCAAATTTTCTCTCAAATTTCAACATTGGTTGTTCTTGAAAATTTTTTTTTTTTAGATTGGCAAAAAAAATTACAAATCAAATTTTAGAAAGTAAAAAAAAAAAAAAAAAATGCCCGCCATAATTTCAAAATCAAAATGATATTCAAACGATATGAAAAGAGACTGATGCTGATGGCAATGAATTTTTTCTCTCTCTCTCTCTCTCTCTTTCTCTTTATATCTTATTTTCTGCTGCTGTTGTTGTCATCATTGTTGTCCACATTCACATTTTATCTATCTTTCTATCTATCTATCTATCTCTTTCTACATATCATCCATCTCTTGATATTTTTCATTTCACAGTAGTTTTGTTTGTTTGTTTGTTTTATTCATCAATTTTGCAAAAAAAGGATTTTTTCCTATTTTTCTTTTTGCTCGATATATATATTTTTTTCAAGTTATTTAAAATTGACTTTGTTTGTGTGATAGTGTGTGTGTGTGTGTCTAAAAAAATGGCAGTTATTTTCGGGACATTTTTTTTCCCCACCATTATTTACAATAAAAAAAATTTCACTAATATATTTATCGATTGATTGACATTGAACTTGGATATATTCAACATATATGTGTGTGTGTGTTGTGTTGTTTTTTTTTCGTGAAACAACGACAAACTATACAAACGAAACAATCAATGATGATGATATAATCCAGTGAAATTTGAATGAATAAGAATTTTTTTTTTCGTAGAAAAAGATGATTATGGTGATTTGATTCATCAATTTTGTTTTCCATTCAATCATCTGTTCATTGGTAATTGATTAATTATTGTGTGTGTGTGTATATATGTGCTGCAATCTTGTTGTGCATTAGAATTTATATATATTATAAAATCAATGTATTTTTGTGATTATGATGATGATGATGATGAAATGAAAAAATTACGTGCAATAAAAAAAAATCAGCATTTGAATGAACTAAGGAAAAACAAAGTTGAATTGGTAATGTAATAAAATTTTCAAAAGAAAAAAAATAACAAATAAATAAATTCTTACATCTGAATGATCGAGAATCTGATAAAATGAAATAAAATTCTATTCAATCGTTTCCATGTACAATGAAAAAATTTCATAATAATCAATCAATCAATAAATTTTTTTCATCATTGTTTTTTTCCGTCGTTAGTGTTAATGAATAATGTGTATTTTTTTTTCTCAAAAAAAAAAAAAAGAAAATTCCAACCAAAAAAAAAAAGATTTGATAGATTCAATCATCATCATCATCATCAATGATAACACATCAAAGAATAAGCAATGAAATAACCTGTTTTTTGTGTTTGAACATGGAAAAAAAACAAAAAATTGAAAAATCTGTGCAATATAAATACCTGGTAATAAAGGATATATGGGGTGTTAGCTTTTTTTTTGTATGATGTGTGTGTTCATAATCTTTGCATCAATTTTTTTTTTTTTTTTTTTTTTGGTGGTGGTGAAAATTATTCATCAGTAATTAAGACACCGATATCAGATAATTGATAATTGAGTTGTCGTCATTGGGCTGGTAGTGGTCACCACCATAATCATCATCATCATCATCATCATCATGATCACGATGTTGTCACGATGATGGTGAAAACAAAATCATCATTTGATATATAAATTTAGTGTGTTTTGAAATGTGATTAATTTTTTTTTCTTTCATTTTCATTTTCTTCATTGTCATATGAATGAACAATTTGGAAAACCTTAATATTTTCAAAAACGACGATGGTTGCCATCTTAATATTGGCTGAATAATTGTAGATAAATTGTATTTTGTATATTATAATCTTCATAATAAATAACACTATAGTGTAGTGTGTGTGTGTGTGTGTTTTTTCTTCATTACAAATGGATTTGGTTACTTTGAATGGATTGATGATGATGATGTGTTGTTTGGATGAAAATTTTTATATTTTCGACACTTGTTGAATTATTATTATTATTATAGATTCAGCAACTATCGTATTTTTCTTGTTGTTGTTGTTGTTGTTGTTCAAGGTTCTCTCATCATCGTTATCATCAACATCATCAGCATCAACAGTGGTGGTGGTGGTGTTGTTGTTGTAATAATCTACGAGAAAAAAAAATATGAATAAATTCATACTACATACAGGCTACAGGTATAAACTAGAAGAAAGAAAAAAATAAATATAAATATAACGTTTTTGCAAATGAAAAATTCATCATAGTAATGAAATAGTCAGATTGGACAAACATACCTGTTTGTTGATTCAATTTAGTTTAGTTTTGTTATATTTTTTTTTTGTTGTTGTTGATTTGATTTGTTTCTTAAAATATATTTATATTTATATGTTGCTTCACATTCACATTTTTCATGAATGGATTGAAAATTTTTTTTCTGTTATCTTTTTCATTTGAATTTAGATTGTAAAAAAAAATAAATGAAAATATTTCATCATTCATTAAGTTTTAAACGACAAAATTTTCACCACAATTCACCCATATCATGAATTTGGGTATCGAAACATCGCCACAAAACAAATCGATATTCGATTCAATGATGAATGAAATGAATTCGATTCTATTTCAACAACGTTATGTAAACAAAGGAAATAGCCATCGAATTGATCCATACATCAATTTGGATCAAGATAAAATCATCATCGATCATAATCACAGCCATATTAATGACAATGTCGATTACAACAACAGAAATAATAATAATGATGATGATGATGATAATAATAATAATCCAACAACAACTAGATCAAAAATTTCGAATGTCGCCGAATTTATTGATATGAAAAAAATGTCAAGGTTAACGACTATTATGAATAATTGGCAACATCAATCTTTCAATAATAATCATCAACATTGGATACAATCCAAATCACACTCATCATCATCATCATCATCATCAAAATCAATTTTGAACAATTATTTTATTGATAATCGAATCAAATATTCATCAATGATATCAACAACATTGACATTCTCATCATCATCAACCATTTTATTATTATTATTTGCTCTCATTCCGTTGACATCGACATTGATCCAAATGCAACATGTGTCACAGCCATTATCAACAATACAACAACAAAATGATTCGAATTTAATTTCCTCATCTTTATTAACCTCATCATTATCATCATTGAATATATCAACGATATTAAATAATAATAATACTGAGAATCAATTACTCAAAACGAATCGATCAATTGGTATCGATGATAATTCAATGACAACGACAACAGTGATTGTTGATTACCACGATTCGACTATATCGACACAAACAGCTGGATTGAATCAATCAAATATCGATTTAGAAACAAGTACTTTGTCATTGGACAAGGATGATATTCATGATCATGATGATGATGATGATGAGGATGATAATAATAAAGACGAGGATAGTGGCAAAAAATCTCACATTAATGGCGACAACAATGATGATGGTAAGTGGTCCAAAATATCTTTTTTTCCCCCTGTTATTGTGTGTATGTATTACATCATAACAGCTTTCAATTTTTTTTTGAAATTGTCATTCATTCATTCCAAGAAAATTTGTCGAAATTTTTGATGACAATCTATATTGCTTCAAAATATCTTCAAATCATCATTTCATTTTCCAAACGAATGATTTCAAAAATTCACATTTTTCGTTTTCATTTTTGATGATGTTTTTCTATTTTATCATCCGAATAGAAGCCGATATTGAAACGACAACAAAAGCCGAATCTATTACGGTCGTTGAAAAAGAATCAACAATGATCAATGAAACGACAACTACAGAATCAGTTCCGATATCGGTATTACGTAAACGTAAACTTGATGGCCATAATGATGAAAAAATTACTAACGATCAAGATACCGATGATGATGATGATACAATCGATTTTAGTAAAAGAATTATGAGAATTGAAAAACCAAAATGGTTGAAAAAGAATCCAAACAATAATGATAATGGAGGAAAAAAGAACAAAAATGATGATGATGATTATGATGACGACGACGACGACGACGACGACGATGATGATAATGATGATGATAATAGTGATGAAGAACCATATGAATCTAATCCAAATAGCATCTGTACGGCAAGCTATTTTTTTGATCGTATCATACCGGATGATTATCCACATGAAATAAGTAAAGATGTTAAACATATCAATGAAACGATTGAACGTTTGAATAGGTAAGTTTCATTTTAGGGGCTTTGTTTATTTAACTGTAGATTTGATTTATTTTGTTTTGTTTTGTTTGTTTATGAAAATCAAAAAAGAATGTATACATTTACAAACAAAATGTTGGAACGATTGAATCCATTTCTACGTGAAATGGTATCACGTATGACCGATTATCTTTATGAATCACAATTAGATTCTGAATGTTTAGGTGCATTATTTCGTGTATTTCGTGCAATTAATCAACGAGAAACATGGGCAATGAATTGTATGTAATTTTTTATTTTTGGCTGATTAATTTTTGTATAATAATTTTTGTTTTGTTTTTTTTTGTATAGTTTTGGATGCATCCGGTTCGGTATTGGTCGGTGGCTTCCAACAAGGAATGTTTGTTTCATTGGGTGAATTTGATCAATGTTTAGAAATTGAATCGGATCCAACGGAAAATCCTAATATCATATATGGACAATATTGTCTACTTAAACCTGTTGTACCATTACCGGAAAATTTTAATCAAGATGAACCAATCGCTGAAACACGTATGCCACGTGTAAGAAAATTTTTAAATGATGAATATATCGATACATATATGGGTCTTTATAAATTTATGCAACGTACATTTTTACGTGTTGGACTTTGTTTACCACATAAATGTGAACGACAAAGTGTAGAAAATGCAATCAATAGAAGTAAGTTATTATTAGTATCTCTGGGTTAACTTGATTATTCATTCATTTTTGTATGATAGTTTTGGTACGAAAAACCGGCATGAGCGTACAGGTTGGACCAGAATGTGTAAAAGCAACGGATGATCCACAATTTAACCTCTATCAGATCATATTTTTGTAAGTTTGATATTCATATTAAAATATTCTCGAAATGAAGTTACAGAATTTTCTAAATTTATTTATTTATAGATCATTATTTCTATTATTACTTATATTGGTCATATTGAGTACCGCTTATGAGATTATATATCGACATTTATTTGAAAATCGAAATACAATTCCACATTCAGGATCAGTTTTTGCTACCCATCATCATCATCATCATCATCATCATCATACATATGGTGGCCATCATCATCATCATCAAACAACATATGATCGTTCCGTATCACAAGAATCACGTATATCAAAATTATATTTCGGTAAACCGGCATTGGTACAGGTGTTGACATCATTTTCAATCATAAGAAATACAAGACATTTATTCGATAATCCAGGACCTAATCGTTATCCACAATTGGATACAATGCGTCTTTTATTGATCATTTTCTTTTTCATCACCAATGTTTATTATTATACAATGTTATTTGCACCGATGATCATCAAACGTTTCTATGTTCAAGGTCCATTACAATTTATTTCGGAGAAAAAATATTTTTTCATTCGTATGTATTATCTTATCGATGTTTTCGTTGTTTTCAGGTATGTGTGTGTGTTTTTTTTAGAATTTGTTTGCTTGTGAATATGAAATAATTTTTTTTTTGTTTTGTTTATTTAAAATAGTGGAATTGCTTTGGCCGTTTCGTTTAAACCAAAATCATTCATCTATGTACATTATCTGATAAGAAATTATATTCGCTATACATTACCGATAATCGTATCGATAGGATTGATTTATGTAGTACCATTATTCGGTTCAGGACCATTATGGCATCTATTTGATCAGACAATGACACAACCATGTAAAGATAATATTTGGTCAGCATTATTTTTCACCAATAATTTTCAGAATAATATTGAAGATATGGTAAATCTTTTCATTGAGTTGTTTAGTAAAAAAAATTTCTCATTTTTATTCACTTTTTTTTATTATCATTAGTGTAATTTACCTACGGTATTTGTTTCGATGATTTTTCAGCTAAAATTATTGGCACCAGTTATTCTATTGATCAATTCATATTTAAATTCACGTAGTGGTAACATTTTTCATGGCTGTCTACTGATAATGGCTACGATTGGAAATCTTGTTTATCGTTTTTATTTTAATTTTAAAGTACCATATGAACATCGAAAAATGAAATCATTTATGGAAATCAAACAATCAGTAATGTTTTATCTGTTCAATCCGTTTCCACATTTACAGCCATTGATTATTGGCCTATGGGTTGGCCATCTTATCATTACACGACCATCGGTTTCGGCCAAATTAACAGCAGGCAATAATCGAAATGGATCAATGCGTAATGCAATAATTGGATGTTTAGCATTAGCCGGATTTTTTACCTGTTTTTTCTTCATTGAAAACATGAATTTATCGAATCCGAATCTTACTACATTTAAATTGACAATGATGTTAACATTTGGTCGACCAATGTTGGTTGGTCTTCATGCATGGATCATTTATTCCTGTATAAAAGGACATATCAGTAAGTGATGATTGATTTTTGAAGATTTTCGAATAAGAAAAATTTGCTAATTCCTATCTTTTTTAAAATTTAGCAATTGTAAATCGATTCCTATCATCCATTGCATTTCGTCCAATTTCGAAATTGTCCTATGGATTCTTTTTAACCAGTATCATTGTTACCTGTTATCGTTTGTTTTCAATTCGACAGACTATCATTCTATCTGCACAGACTATGGTAATTTTATATATCTCTCTATTTATGTTGAAAATTAACTTGAGTTTTATATATTTAAATTAGTTTCGTTCAATTGTATCCGATGCTGTTATATCATTCTTTTTTGCCTATTATATGCACATTATGGTGCAACAACCAATTCGTAATTTTCTACAAATTGAAATCTTTTCAAGTAGAATATTTCCAATAACAAAAAGTCTTTCATCATTATCAAATACAAGTGAACATATGGGAACATATTATATTCGACGATGTTCATCGGTATTTACTGGCGATACACTTGATACTCATCACCATCATCATCATCATCCTCATGATGATGATGATGATGATGAACCAGAATTTAAAAAATCATCATCGAATGAAAAAAATGAAATAAAATTTGCTCATCAAAATAATGGTTTCATCAATGATGATGATACTATTGATTCTTATGAAATAGATAAAAATAATAAAAAATCATCCATCATGCTTGATCTATCACCACCACCACCACCATCATCATCATCATCATCATCATCATCACCTTCATTAATCATAGCAACAGATTCGATTGATATAAAAAAATCAATGGATTTAAATCATAATTCAATTAATGAAAATGAAAGTTCAAAATTTTGATCAAATTTTGTAGTGATTAGTGATTTATATTATTATTATTATTATTATTGTTTTATTTTATCGAATTATTATTTTTTGTATTGTTTTTTTTTTATTCAAAAATGAACAATTTTTTTCCTATCGATCATCAATCATCAATCATCAATCATCATCATTAATCAATGTTCATCCTTTTCATAGCAATGTTTCCACATATCAGCCAAACATACTGAACAATGGAATCGATAGAATAACATTAATGGTAGACATGTATCCAATATAATCATCCATACAAATTTTCCATATTTTGCACCCATTGAATGATATTTATCAACAGATTTCATTTCAAATGTTATTAATATCCAAAGGGTAATATTGATGATTATGTTGAACGTGATCAATTGTTTACCCGGTTTTTTATAACGTAAACGTCGTTCATTTGAACATCTACGTATACCATCAATAATGAATGGTGTTTGCCATGTGACCTGTATAATATTTAAAATATAACAAATTGCCATAAATGTACTGTTCAATGTAAATTGTAACATTTCTGAATAGATACAAAGTAAATGATGTATAAAATAGAATGGCAATGGAATAACAAGCAGAAAATCATCCATTATTGATTGTGGTGAATCCAAATGTTTGGCTACATTCAATTTACTGGTACGTCGAAATGCCAATGGTACGGTTATTGCACAACAAATGGTTAAAAATGTTAATTGAGTTGTGAATACAGCAATACCTATTGTTTTATATTGATCATGTTTGATTGTAGTGAAAAATATAATTATCGTCACTAATGTTACAAGTAGTGAGAAAAATCCACTAAACATTCCAAGATTTGATGCATGACAATCAGCCGAAATAGTCACATTTGAACGATAAACAATATCAATTTTACCAGTATGACGATCTTCATTCAATTCTTCATTCATTGAATGCATCTCTGAATTTGAATCATTATTTCCAATATTTGTCCAAACAACATACCATACTGATGCAAGAATGATATTGAATTCAACCGAAAATGGATATAATAATGGTATTGCATCAATTGATTCAAAATCGACTAATGTTTTGTTCAAACATTGAATATAATGATTATATGCATCATGTAAGAATACAGTATTAGACATAACATAGTTGCTATTTTCTTCATTCATTGCCTTGATTTTTTCCATATAACCATGTACAGCTTCTTCAATGATGGTCGATACCCAAAATGATAATGATGATCCAACAAGATGCATTAGGCCAAAACGAACTATCCATTGATTACGATTTATGATCAACTAATGAAATGAAATGAAAAAATATTAATTATTGTTGATTAAATATAAATTTAAATTTACATCCACACATACGTTGGAATATTTGAATGCAATATATAATTGATAAAATGCCGAAATACATCGTAAAAGATAAACTGATAATGATATACCATTACGACATTCAATAACATTTGTACTGAAATAATGTATTTGAAATGACAGATTAATTCCTTGATGAATGATACTTCCCATACAGAATACTGGTAAAAAAAAACAATCACTATTTATATACATGGAATGATGATTAAAATGATCAACTTACATGTCATTCCAATTTTGAGGAAAAAACTTCCAGAATGTTTACCAGTTAAAAATCGATAACCATTCAATGTTTGACGAGTTTCATCATCCATATCAACCAAACGATTTTGACCATCATTCATTTGATAAACACGATTAAATATGACGGCTGTTGTTACGGATACTGAATCACAGTCTTTACCATCAATACCATTGTCAACATTCAAATCCATATTCAATGCTGTATTACCATTATTATTATTATCATCATCATTATCATTTTTATCATTATTGGATTTAAGCAATGGAGATTCAATCAATTCTTTACGACGTTGTTGCCATCGTAAAACAAAACGTTTATGACGTTGAACATCAACATGAATGAATAAAAGAAATGCAATACCAATGGCAGTGATAAATATTGAATAAAGATGATCTCTATCATTGGTTACTTTTTCCATATCACCAATTGTTATTATAGCACCAACGACAATCAATAATAATGCATACATGATCGATAATAATTTGATTAATCGTGAACGCATTAATTGATCTTGTTGATCATTTAATTTCGGTTGTTGATTGTTATTTTGTTGATGTTCCCTTGAATGGCCAATAGAACATTCACCAATCGATGCCATATCACTACCATATGGATTACTGGATAAATGTAACTGTGGTGGCAGCTGATCTGATGATATCGGCGGTGATGATGGAGGTTTTAATATCGATTTTGATCGTGGAACTTAAATAAATAGCAAGAATATGGATAAATGAGATTTTAAAATTTTATTCCAGAATTTCAAAAAAAAACCTACCAATAATGTTCGATATGGAATCATCAAATTGTCGAAGACGATTTTGTTGATGTATTATAAGTTTACCGCCACCATTCGGTTGTTGTTGATGAGAATATCGACTTTTTTCATACAAACGTTTCGACGGCCGATCATTATCATTATTCAAATGTTCGGGTCGAATTATAATTTCCTTATTTATCGATGTCATTTGTACCTGTTGCTGATGATGTGATTGTTCATCATAATCCTTATTATCTGAATCCTCCGTATCTTCCGGATCATTTTGGCCATAAACAATGGAACGAATTTTCAGGTCAGCATCGGAAAATTTCCTGGATAAACGACGTTCGATTGGACTCCGTCTTGGCCGTACTATTGATGTAAGTGATGATGATGATGAAGATTCATTGTCTGCTGTTGTTGTGGTTTGTCGCCGTTTAATTGATGGGCGATAATTTTCAAAACGATTCGACTTTGTTTTTATATCTTGTTTATCAGATTCATTAGCAACATTCTCATTTTGTATTTGTTCAGCTTTAGCTTCTTCTTCCGGTTCTTCTTCGATATCGATAGTCGATATATTCGAATTATATGAACGTCTTCGTTGTGATTGTTGTAAAAATTTCTAGCCATACAATAAAAAAAAAATGAAAAATTTAAGTTCAGAATTAAAATTAAAATTATTACCGATGTTTCCGAAGTTAATGTAACAATCGATAACGATGGTGGCCGAAAATATCTTGGTAAATTATTATCAATATAATAATAATCACCATCTTGATCGATTTTACGGTGTAGTTTTTGATGAGGGTCATCCCGGTGATAAATTCGATTCATAATGTCAACAATGTAGCATTATAATGATTCAATGTTCAATGTGATTGCCAATGTATCAATTGATCAATCAATTGAATGATTGATTGATTGATTGTTGGAAAAACGATCGGAAAGGTATGAAAAAAAGAAAAAAATTGAATATCTTTGTCGTTAACAACCACAACCCACCCACCATATCATTGATTGATTATAATGGACCAAGTTCACCGTCGTCAAGACAGTCATCATACATCTCATGATGATAATATTTAATCCATGTATGAGGAATTTTTTGAAAAAATCATTTTTATTGGATTGCAACAAAAAAAATAATCAGTTTTAGCCTTGATTGATTGATCGATTATAATGAATTCATCCACATACAATCGATAGTCATCGATTGTCAAACTTGATATTCGAATTCAAATTTCCGATCATGATATGTTAACCTTCGGGGAAAGTTTTCCAATTTTTTTCCATCTTTTATTTTATTCATTTTGATTTTGATTTTGATTTTTTTTTTGTTAATCAATATAAGTAGATTTTATTATTTTCCTTGCACATTAATCGGTCATCATGATCAACACAATGGCAATGATAATGATAATGACCATCCCTTTTGATTGTGATGATGATCATCATCATCATATCATCAGCATGTCACCTATATATAATGTGTTTATCAAGTTTTTTTTGCAAAATTGAATGAATTTCCAATTTAAATTTGAATGAAATCATTGTGTGCCTGTGTGTGTGTGTGTGTGTTTGATTGTTGTTTGTGGTGACATTTCAGATTTTCTTTTTCCACTTCTATTGTTATTATTGTTGTTGATGACAATTTCTTAAGCGATAAAAAAAATTTGATTATTGACATAGGAAATGACAGTGATGGTTGGGGACAATATTATCGTCTGTGTGTGTGTGTATGTTTGTTGATTTGTTTGTAACAGATATCGATTTAATTATTTTTGATATTCGATTTCAGGTCCATATGCATTCGATGATGGTGATGCGGAAGCATTTTCAAGTGATGATGATTGTTGATCATCATTCGAATCATTGTCATCAGATTCATCCATTGTTGATGATGTATTAATGGGCTTAGCATCGGCTGTATCAGCATTGGTTTCACCATCGGCTGAACGTCCCAATGTATATTGAACACCGGCTTTAGCTGGATTTCTACTAAATTGCTGTTGTGGTGAATAGAATTGTGGCACCATTGATGATCGTCGTTGAAACATCATTGGCATTGGTTGCATATTAGTTGATTGTTGCCGTTGCTGTGATGAATAGAAACCACGTTGTAATTGTAAATTTGGTGGATAGAATCCACTTGAATAGCCATCACCACCTGGATGAAATTGTGGAACGAATTCCGGCTGAATAATACGAGATTGTGGTACGAGTAAAAAAGTTCGTGTTGTTGGTGGTCGTATATTCAATGTCATTTCAGAATGACTTACAGGTATTTGCGGTATATCGACAGCCGATGTTGATGAGGGTGACGATGGTGGCCATTGTGGCTGCGATTGTCGTGGATGATATTGATGTATAACATGTGGCATCGGTGGTGGTGATGGTTGTTGTTGTTGGGATTGTTGATTTGATGGCATCAATGGTGATGATGGTTGTAATCGACCCTCTTTCCAATCATCCATCAATTGTGTTATATTGAATATTTGATGATTTTCAACAGCACGTTTCAGATCACGAACACTTCCCAATAAATCTTCCATATCATTCTTTTCGGTTACATTATCTTCTTTTTCAATCATTGGTTCAATCTCGGATTCAAATTTATTTAATTGATTATGAAGTAAATCCTGAAAAAATTGTCGTTTTTTCTGTTGATCACTATATTGACCAAGTGGATCAAAACGTCCAAGATCTTCTTCTGTTGGTTGTGATTCATCTTGTGGTGGTGGCGAATTCTGTGATGATTGTGCTGGCATTCGTGAACCATATGGATAATTTGGATTATGAAATTCTTGTGGCAAATTGTCGAAATTATTTTGATTATTCCGTGCAACTGATTGAGGAACCGGTTGTAATCGATTCATAAAATCTGCATATGATGACGGTAATGGTAACGATGGTGATGGTGATGGACCATTATTATAATGATGATGAATTATGAAAACTTTTGGTTGTTGTTGGCTATCGGCACCATCTGGTTGTTCATTATCATTTCCACCTTGATTGTTGTTGGATCCAACCACATCATCATCATTTGTGGATTGTTCTGATGGTGGTGTAGATGTATCTGTATCAGAATCGGATCCATCTTGAACCGGTTGTGGAGTGGTTGCATCAATAGGTAATGACGATGATTCGGTTACATTTGATGGTGCAATAGTTGTTGTCGTTTCTTGAGCTTGAATTGATTACAAACAGAAAAACAATTTAAAATGGAAAAATAAAAATCATTGGCAAAAAAACAAACATACCTAAACAAGTGGTAATAGTCAAACATAATAATAACAATGATGATGATGATCCAATTATCATCATTATCGGTGATAATTGATGATGAAAATTCTTTCTCATAATTATATCGATTTGGGGTTTCACACTAATGATGATGATGATTACGATCAGATTCAAATGAATTCAGAAAAAAAGTAAAGATTTTTTTTCACCACTTTTCAATTGCTTAATTTTATTGTTTATCAAAATGAATCCAACAACTTGTCATTCATTCACGAATAATAATAATGTATAAACACATATACGTGTAAAGGTGTGTGTCCAAACGCAAAGAAAAAGTTGTTTAATTTTTTTTTCCACCATTCACCATTTAAACATCACCATCTTCTTCATTTGCTAGTTTCTCTCATATATCGACATATCGATATCTTAATAATGATAATGGCGGCAGCGACGGCGATCATCATCATCATCATTCTTTTTGTGGCTTCCATTTTGCTTGTCCATTATTTTTTATTATTACATACATATTTAGGATGATGGTGGTGGTTAGCCACCAATATAATCGTTTTGTTTCATCATATAAAAAAAAACCAATAAAAGAATTTTGAAAATAGAGACGATTGTGGTGAAAAAAACAGAAAAGAGAAAACATGACAGATGATGATGATGATGATGTTGAATGAATATCGCCTTGGATGTTTCAAATTCAAATACAAATAAAATAAATATAAATAAAAAATGAGAGGCGAACCTACCATGATAATATTGTGGTATGAAGAGAAAAAAAAACTTGAAACTTTTCACATTTTGATTCATCATACACAATATACACAATCATTCAATCCATTCGTTCCATTGAAGAAGAAAAAGAAGAAGAAAAATAAAAAGCGAAACATTGATATAAAGATTTCTATTTTACACATACACACACACACACACCATAGGTAAATTGAGTCGATAAATTTTTTTTTTCTGCTTTTTTCTTGTTGTTTCTTGTAAATGATCCGGCCATCAAAATTTTACATTTCACATAATAATCCGATATAAACGTTTCTCTTTTTTTTCTATTTTTCATTATCTTCATCTTCTTTTTGTTGTTTTTATGGTTGCTGTGAAAAGAAAATGTTTTTTTTTAATCTCATAATTATGAAATGAAAATGAAAATAATACTTTGATTACTAAACAAACAGCAAAAATCGATGTCAAATGTCCAAATGTCCGAAATAGAATCCAATGCCAATTTAATGATTTTTTTGGAATAAAAAATTTTTACTCACACAAAAAATCCACAGGTGGTGACATCAGTTTTGTAAACGGGTGACATTTCCGATGTGAATGATCTCGCTATTTTTTTATATATATAAAAACAAAACGAGAAAAAAAAATTATTAAGCGTCATAATGAATAGGAAATTAATCTACATCTTACGTGGAAATAAAAAAAAAAAATTTCCGTTGATGTTTGATCACGGTTGTACCATCATTGTTCGATTTGTTTGTTTACGTGGGATCTTATTTGTTGATTTATGGCGACGACTTACTGATGATTGACTGTTGATGATGGTGATGATGATGATGATGATGGTTACTATTTGCATACAGATCCTAATATTTGTTACAAATATGGGTGTGGATGATCTCCATATATTTTTTTTTTAAGTTTTACCAAGAATTGTTTGTTTGCATTTATATGTATTGACAATACGATTGCAACCAACAATTATTATCGACAATGTTGGTGTTCTTTTTTCAATTGGATTTTTACTATCAAAATAAATGATCTATATTTATTAACATCGACATATCGTCGGCAGTATATTCTTATTGATCTTTCATGATATCTTAAAGAATAAAAAGAAGCAAAAATTTTCTCATTTATAGCCAACTTTATGAGCAGATTATTTGGTTTGTAAATCGGATAGATTTTTTTTTCGATTGAAAAAATCCACCATCATCTCCACAAGTGAAGAGTGTTTATTGTTCAATGCTTCAATTTTTTGTGTTCTTGTTTGTTCAATTAATTCGGCTTGTTCATTCATTAATTTTGTTTCATTCAATCAAATCACACAATCATCATGGTACTATTAGAAACATTTGGTCATTTGAAAAAATTTCTTTCACCACCTAAAGCGGTGATTGATAATATTGTACATGTTATGCATTATCGTTGGACAACAATGTTATTTATGGCCAGCTGTACATTAGTTTCATTAAGTCAATTTTTTGGCAATCCAATACAATGTATAACGAATGATGAAGTGAAACCATTTACGGAAAAATTTATCAATACATATTGTTGGATTCAATCAACATTTAGTGTTAAAACGGCATGGAACAAAACAATCGGCGTTGATATACCATATCCTGGTATTGATAAACATTTAAATGATGAACAAATTGTTTATCATGCATATTATCAATGGGTTGGAATCATATTATTCATACAAGGCGTTACATTCTATTTACCACATGCATTATGGAAACAAAAAGAATCTGGACGAATTGCTAAATTAAAATTGAATTTGGATAAAATATTTTTCAATAATGAAAATGAACGTCGTGAACAGCTTAAATCGGTGGCCGAATATTTTCTTAACCATCAGAATCGTTTTTATTTCACGGATTGGCCATTAAATTGGTTTATTGTGGCCGAAATTGGACAATTCGTGAATATTATTGTTCAAATATGTTTGATTGATAAATTTTTGGGCGGTTATTTTCATCAATACGGTCCGGATATTTATCGTTTTATTACAGATTATAATAATGAACATATGAATCCAATGGTACGGGTATTTCCACGTGTAACAAAATGTACATTTCGTATGTTTGGCAGTTCTGGTACTTTGGAACGACATGATACAATGTGCATTCTATCTATCAATATTGTTAATGAAAAAATTTATGTTTGTCTTTGGTTTTGGCTTTATTTATTGGCAATCATTACCGGTTTATCATTAATATATCGTTTATTAATATTATTTAATCAAAATTTTCGTTCCAAACGTATACAGAAACAAATTAATTTTGATGATTCTTTACCACATTATCGTATTGATTTTATTATTCAACATTTGACCATTGATCAATGGTTTACATTGAATTTATTATTGAAAAATATTGATCCAATTAATGGTTATGAATTATTATTGATGATGGAAAAAATTTTAAAAACATCATCTAATCATCATCATCATCATATGAATGGTCATGATTTTCATTCAAAAATTTCACAATCATCATATGATCAAATGGAAATGGATTCTGGAAATGTGGATGATGAAAAAATGAAAATCACATAACACACCACCACATCAAATCGTTTCATATTATTTTTCAGTCAAAAAATATTGTAAAAATTGTATCCAAGAAAGAAATTATTACGTCTTTATAATTCTTTTTTTTTATGATTAAATTTCTCGTTTTTTGTTTTCATCAAATTATTTTCATTTTCATATATATATAAATTTATTATCACAATTAATTGTGGCAATTTCAGTGGAATTTTTTTTTTTTTTTTTTTTTTTTGATTATCAACATTTTAGCAACAAAGAGGAAAAAACCATTCCAGATTATATCAATAGAGTTTTTTGCTTTTTAATCTACTGCCATATCAATCTTACTCACAATGCAAACAAAATCACAAATGGAATGATTGATTAGATTCGATCACATACACATACAAATCAATAGTGATCAAAATTTGATCTTTTTTGGAACATTATTATCCATATATGTGTTATATGGAAATAATAGAGTGGTACATTTTTGTTTTATTTTCATCAAAGTGAATTTGTATTTGTTTTTTTTTTAAATTTTCAATCAATTATTATCGATTTTTCTTTTCGAACCATTGTTTTGTTGTTTTGTTGTTGTTGCTGTAAAAAATGAATTCATCATTTATAATAATTATATTATTATTACTTTCATCATCATCATCATCAATGATGGTATGGGCAGAATTTGATGATTATGATTATTATTATGATTTAATTACAACTTCCAAAACTACTGATCAATCGACAATGACAACAATGGCCATTACAACAGTGACCAATACAGTAATTTCAACAATAGATGATGAAACAACAACTGAAGAAACAATATCAACTTCAACAGCAACAACAACAACATTTGATAATCAATCAACAACAGCAACAACAACATTTGATAATCAATCAACAACAGCAACAACAACATTTGATAATCAATCGACAACAACAACAACAACAACAACCACCGAAAAGCCAACTTCGATGATTACGACGACCACCAATCCAATCGAAACAACAACATTGGATTATTATACACATTGGCCTAAAACATTACCACCATTTACATGGACATATAGACCCATTACTAATGTTCCAGATATAAATCATCAAACAAAAAATAATGAAAATTCTTTATTTATTATTATAGTGATTATTGTAATTGTGATAATTATCATCATAAGTTTTATCGTTTGTCGCCGCTATAGACGACAATATGCAAAACAAAAATTGTTACGATCCATGCAAATTTCACAGCAACAAGCATCACAATCTATAACGACAGCGCCATCAACAGTATCCGGTAATAGATATGTGAATTTTTCAATGCCAACGACGAGGACGACGACGACGACGACAGCAACAGCAGCAGCAGCAGCAATTAATCATGAAATGTTGTTTCGACTTGCTGCCACTACGATAAATGAACATTCATCATCATTTATGAATCAACAACGATTATATCCAGATTTATGTCCAAATGAAAATTTCCATACAAATTGTGAACCATCGGCACCGCCAATATATGAATATCGGCCACCGGTACCGCCAAAGCCTAAAAATATTTTTTGAACAACAACAACAACAAAACAACAAAAAATATTGCAACGGCATCGAATTTAATCTGTTATATTTTGTTTTCGATTAATTTATTTTGTTCAAAGTATCGAATAAAATAAAAAATAGATATAATTATGATATGTAAATTCCCGTTTATACCTGATTAGTACGATCATCATCATCATTCATTCATATGTAATTCATTTAGATTTGTATGAAATTTTCTTATTTCTTCATCAACTTGTTCATCAAGTTGTTTATCATTATGATCATAATGTTTACCATTAATGTTGTTGGTTTTTTGTCGTCGTTCCATTAGTTTTTTCAATGAATCAATCATTTCATCAAGTTTTGTCCACATTTTTCTTATGGATTCTTTATTAGAATTATTACGTGCACGCCTTACATGATTGCCAAGAAACTCTAAATAACGTATATTTGAACGTGTTTGTCTTCGTTCACGTTTTTCTTGATGTCTTTCATGTCGTTCTTGTTTTTTTCGTTCACGCCGTTGTCTATGTCGTTCACGCCGCTGTCTACGTCGTTCACGACGTTCAGCACGTCGTTCTGAATGTGTTTTATGATTTCGTTGTTTTTGTTTTTGTTCGATTTTTTTATCCACTTTTTCTTGTTCTTTATCAATGTTACGATTATCATCATCATCATCATCATCTGGATCATCTTTATCACTTTCATAACCGGAATCAATAATAAGTGGTTTTATTTTTGTTTTTCTCAATGCTGATTTTGATAATGCTGTAGTTGTAGCAATGGCTTCAAGATCTTTAACATCTGGATCATTATCATCATCATCATCATCATCATGATCATTGTTATTGCGGATATTAGCTAAAATAGTAGATATTCTTTGATCTATATCTTGTTGTTGTTTTATTGTTGTTGATAATGGTAACAAATCTTTTTTCAATTCCATCGATAATTGATGATGATGGTGAATCATTCACAATTGATGCAGCTTTTTTATGAATAAAAAAAAATAATTAATTATTAAAAAGAAAGAAAATGAAAATAAAAATTTCATACCATGACAAACATTTATAATGAAAATTGTGATAAGAATTGTGACAATCTTCATGGTCATTTTGGATGAGAAAAAAAAACAGTGACAAGAAACTTATATAATAGCTTGTGATATAATAATTATAATGATTTTTTTTTTTTTTTTTTCTTAATGAATGAATGAATGAAAACAAAGGCGTATGGATATTAATAAGCAGAAAGATATAAATCTGAAAATAGAAAAAAAAATTTTTGACAAATTGATTCGACCTACGTCTATTATGATAATGATGATGATTGACAGAATGAATCGAATGAAAACAAATTCAATCAAAAACTTGAAAAAAATTGGACACACACACATATTGATGACGTTCGATAGTTTTTACACCCTTTTTTTCATCTTTTCATTCATCATCATTTGATGATTGGCCAGTTTATCGTCGACAAAAATAATGATGATGGTACAATGGTCAAACCAAGCATGATAATGATGATTGCTCATTCTAAAAAAAATTATTTCCAATCAAGGTTGATTAGCATGATTTCTTTGAATCTTTTTTTTGTAGGAAAAAAAACCCGATTACTTTGTAATAATGCTACGACGTAGTTGGAAAAAAAACCAAATTTAATGATGATGATCATCATTATCATATTTGCAAAACTATTGAATCTCTCTCTCTCTTTTTTTTTGGTTGCAATGTTTTTTTTTCTAGTGAAAAAAAAACATTTTATGACACACACAGATATGGATGGAGAATTTGGAATATAAATGGAATTTTTTTTTTTATTTTAAACTACATTTCGTCATCAATGAATAGGAATCACAAAAAAAATTGAGAGCATAAAAAGAATTCGAACGTTTAAAAGTGGAATGATTCGAATGTTTTGTTGTTGTTGTTGTTGGTGGTGGTAAAAAATTCATTACAAAAAAAATTGTGGGTGTGAAAAATTGCAAAAAAATGAAAATTTTTGTTTTGTTTTTGTTTAATGTGTGTGTGTGTATGTGTGTCATAGACAATTGTACATTATTCTTTGGTTTCATGTGAATTGATCATTCATTTGGTTGATGTTTTACGATATAGAATATAATAAGCAAATGTACGTAATATAAACATATAGATTGCCATTAAAATTAGATTAAACCATAATGTATAATCATTATAATCAAATGAATTCAATGCTAATGATGATGATGTTGTATTCAATGTGGTTAAAAATTTTTCATTATATGCATCAATCATATAGGTAACATTTTCCGGTGCTGTTGGTGATATATCCGAAAGACAAACATACATGTCCATAATATTGTCACCAAACTCACCTTTAAGATATTGATATGTAATCGGTTCGACTGGTTCACAACGATCCAAACCATATAATGTAACTAATAATGCTTCGAAACCAAGACGAAAATATGATAGATATGTAAATGGTTGAAAATATGATGGCATTGTGGATATTTTTATCAATAATCCAGTGAATAAAAATAATGGTATATTAATCGTACCGCCAACAACAGTGGATGTTGTTACATCTTTAACAAAAAAAGCTGATACAATAAAACCTAAGCCTTGTGCTAATGCCGATACAATGATTAATATAGCTTGAAACATTATAAAACGATACCATTCAAATAGCTGTTGTGTAATGAAATATGATAAACATCCATATAATAATGGAAAGAATAACATTGGTGGTAAATCAGCCAAATTACGTGCAATATAATAAGATTTTAATGAATACCAACCATTAAAATTTTCTTTCATAAACACCGATACGGCCAATGGAAATGTTAATAATGTTGGTAATATTGATACGAATACCATAAGCATTACGGAAAAGAATATGAAACCAAAATTTGCATAATAAACATTTTCATATTTAAACATTTCAAATGTTTGTATCTTTTCCACTGTATCACGTGTTGGCCGTAATGCACAACCATCTAATTGTCCAATTGGATTATCACGATATAATATTGATATCAATACAAGTATCGTTACAATTGTTGCCAATCGTACATAATAGATATTAAAATCTCTTGATGAAATCAATAATGTTCGCCGTAATAATACCCAAATGGCTAATATTTGTCCCAATAATGAATGTTTTTTTGTATATTGAACTAATTTATGTATAGATAATGATTTCATTGTTTCCATACCATTTTGATCTAAACATTCAGATGTTTGTTCTTGACATATTTGACGAAAATGATTTTCCATGCCCATAATGACATCTTGTCCAAAATCACCAGTAGCAACTTCAATAACAAAATCAGCTGGATTATGATATTGTGGACAATGTAAACCGAATGATGAAAGTTTTGTTACCAAATCTTTGGTTGGACCATTATAGATACAATAACCATTATATGATATGATATATAGATTGTCAAAATATGACATAATTTTAGCCGTTGGTTGATGAATAGATGTTGCAATCATCATTGGTGATCGTGGATTTTTAACCAATTTTTTCAACATTTGAATACATTGTAATGAACTTAATGAATCAAGGCCACTTGTTGGTTCATCGAGCAACAATATTTTTGGTGAAAAAATCAATTCCAATGCAATGGATAGACGTCTTTTTTGGCCACCTGAACAACGGCCAACATGATTTTTAAAACATTTATCCAAATGTAATTCATCCACAACACGTTGTATGATTAAATCATTTTCATCTTTCATTTTCATTTTTGATGATTTATTATTTCCATTATTATTATTATTGGAAGCCATCATCATCATTTGTGCTTTACCACTTTTCTGTAATTCATCATCATCATCAATCATTGAATCACAGGTAAGTAGACAACATTTAGATAATTCACCATCAGAATTTTTATCCGTACCAAAACCAAAATATTTACCAAATCGTTGACAATTTCGTAATCTTAATGCATATTTTAATGATTCTTCTACGGTTAATAATTGATCCAGTGAATCATTTTGACTATAATAAGATATTTTTATCGATGATTTTGATATTCTATATATACATTTGAATGGAAAAAAATTGATTTAATTGAAAAAACAAAACAAAAACCAATCATACACACATACCCATTATATTTAACACTAATATCGCCTTTAACACCATTTATTCGACGGCCAGCAAGACATTCGATTAGTGTTGTTTTACCTGCACCGGATGGTCCAATAATAGCCGTCAATTGGCCATCATGTATTGAACCATTTAGATTTTTAATCAATGAACGTTTATTTGATGATTTTTTAAAACAATTTTGTATGCCATCACCATTTTCTTTGATAACATATGATAGATTATGCCATACAAGACGTACATCTTGTTTATTATCTGTTGCTGTTGTTGTTGTTATTGGTATTATTGTGTTAATTTTATTTCCATCATTAACCATCTGTGTTGAAATGGTTGTTTTATTATATGATGATGTTGTTAATGTTGGTATCGATGATGGAATAATAGTTGTCATTGATGATTGATTTGTATGGAATTTTATTATACATGGATGATGTTGTTGTTGTTGTTGCTGTTGATTAGTTGTATTATTATCATGATGATCACTATGATCTTCATGATGGTCATCATCCAATAGATTAATACGACAATCTTGATCGGTTTTATTATTACTTGTAGCCATTATGGTCATCAACTACTACTACTACTACTATTTTTTTTGTGGACCAATTATAGATTGATAGCCAATGATAGATTTTCTATTGTTGGATTATGAAATGGAGAGAGAAAAAAAAAAACATGAAAAAAATTACATAATCATTGATTGATTTATTTAAATAACAAAATTAACCACAAAAACACACACACACACAGACCATTAACATTGAAAAATCAGAACTGATCAAATGATGATGATCATGACAAAATTTATTGGTTGTGATGACGGAAAAAAAATGACAATCACGACTGACGATGATGGATTCTAAATTTTTTTTCCCCATACACAATGAATTGACAAGAAATTCATTTTTTTTTTTTTTTTGTTATTGTTATTGTCGAGGAAAATCTAGTGATGAGTTTCCACGATTCCAGCACACACATAGAAATTGATGATCAAACATGATCAAACATTCGATACAACACAACACAATATTATCAATTGTCAATCGTCATCGATTTGATTTGCATGAATTGACAATCAATAAATATTTCCTGTTGTTCTTCTTGTGTCAACTGTTTGTCATCAATCAATCAATCAATCATTTAGTGGTTCATTCAATTTTTTTTTACCTCATATATATCAACATCGATGTCATTGGTATGTTTTTTTTCACACTCAAATATTTACATAGAAAGACACTATCAATAAGTCAATAAGTGAAAAAAAAAAAAACCGAAGATGAAATGAAATTGGAAAAAAAATTTACACATCCACATTAGTTTCATCGTTTTTAAAGGCCAATATAATAATAAAAAAACCAAACAAACACGGATAGATAGATATAGAATAAATTAATTTTCAAATGGATGAGAAAAAAAAATTCTCTTTCACCATAATCATAGTGAATAGTGAATGTGATTTATATATTTACCAACCTTAACGGATGTGTGAATAGAAAAAGAGAGTTTATGATGATGACGATGATGATGATGGTGTGATAATTAATACCGTTATATACGATTGTAATGTTTTTTTCTGAAAAAAATTATTGAATGGGATCCTCATCACACGACTGATTTTTTTTTTTTTTTGTTCAATGTAGTGGTGATGATATTTATTTTTTTTTCATTTCATTCAAATGAAAAAATTCAATCACTTGTCACACACACACACACATGATGATGATGATGAAGATTTAAAGTATTTGATTTGAAATGGCAAAAAGAAAATATTGCCTGATGACCATGATCATGACCATCATCATCATCATCGATTCATTACCCTTTTTATATGGTTTTTTTTTGGAAAAATTTTTTCAGATATCAAAGTGGATAAGATGCGAAATCATTGTATAACCTGTTTGTTTATCATCAACTGTATATGGAATGTAATACAAGGACAATAAACCACAAGGACCAGTTTTTTTCCTAAAAATAAAAAACAAAAACAAATTCCAAGCCCATTTCTTGGATATCTAAATGTTGTTTTTGATTGGGTCGAGATTTTCTTCAATCATCAATTGTCTTAAACACACACACACACACACACACACACACTTTAATCATCTAAATTAAGATTAAGTGAAGAATAAGTGGTAAGTGGAAATTCGAGAATATAATAATCATCTCATGGCCATTATAATTATAAATAAATATATATGGATTTCAATGATAAATTGAAATCAACAAATTAAAAAAAGAAACAAAATTTTGGAGAAATTATTAATTCAAATTCAAGGCTCCACATTCATTCATTCATTTCAATCGATCGATGATGATGATGAATCATATGAAAATGGAATGGTTTTTTTTCAAGAATAAATCACAATGTCACAAATTCTTCACACACAACAATGTGGTGGTAAACAATAACGACAATAAAAAAAACCCATCACCCGAAAAAACAAATGCATCACAAGAGAAATTTTTTTGTTTTGTTTTTCATTCATCAATCGATAATGGTTGATGGTTGTGATCACTGAAAATCATATGCAAAAAAACAAAACAAAATATGAAAAAAAACAACATCACAAATGCTTCTCCCCCATCATTCATTCATCAATCAATCAATCACACAATCTTCAGAATGTAAAAATAGTATGATGATGATGATAATGATAATGATGACTAACCTTGGTAGGTTAAAATAGTTTGATGGTAAGGTAGAAGAAATATTAAAACGGCAGTGTGTTTTCTCATTCGATATCGCGATTGATCGATGATGATGATGATGAGAAAAGGAAATTAAAAAAATCTTATCGATTATCGATTGTTTTATTATTATTATTGTGTTTTTTTTCACGTTGATCCAAATCTTATGATGATGATCATATTAGATGGTCAGTTTGGCTTAGAATTAGAATTAAAAAATAAATAACAGCAACAAAAGCAAATCTCCGAAAAGATAACCGAAGAGTAAAAAAACACAAAAATACCAAAATCAAATAAGAAAATCAACGTTCACACCAGGCAAATTGAAAAAAATAGAAAAGAAACCATAGAGATAACCGGATTGTCAAGACAACCAGTTTGTCTCTGTATATGTGTGTGTGTGTGTTTGAGCCCAATTTTTTTTCACCTGAAAACAAATTATGGGTGACCTCAAAACGAATAGAAATTATCCATGTAAAAAAAAAAGAGTCAATCGAAATTGTGTAACCCTAAATTTAGCAAGCGAAAAAAAAATTGTTGCTGTTGTGGTGGATTTGAAAAACCAAAAAAAAAGATTTTTTTTCTGTTTTTTTGATTCTGTCATACATATTTGAAATCAATCGTCAATCAATAGCCACACACACACACACACGCAATACAAATGGCCATGGCCCCGTATCATGATCGTTTTTTTTCTGAAAATATAAATTTCTTTCAATTACAGGATGCAAACTTTTTGTTTTTGACATTCGATTTTCTTTGCAAAAAAAAAATTAATGATAATGATAATGATATTCGATGATAAAAATCGAAAAAAAAAAAAAAAACAGCCCATTGGTAACCAAAATGAAAAAAAAAGATTCGAATCTATTACGATCCAAACTTACCTTTGTGTGTATGTTTGTTGTTGATGTAGTCGTTTTTCTGTTTCGAAATGAATTCGAATCGGTTATCTTTTTTTTTTATTCGAATGTTTTTTTTCCAATGAAGATGATGATATATTTTATATATTACACAACAAGCAACGATGGAATGTTTTTTTTAAAAAATTCCATTCTCAATCATCTGTACAATCAGCAAATAATGATGATAAAAATTTCAATATTAATTGATTCACAATCAAGAATATCATATGATGAGCAGCAAAAAAAAAATTTGGACGATCGTTTTCGTTTCACGAATGATAATAAATTGATATATGAAGATATGAAGACGACGAAAAAAATATTACATTTTTTTTTAAATTTTCACCCCTGTATATGTGTGTAGGTCGTGAATTTTTTACCAAAAAGTCACGTCAACCAAAAAAAAATTTGGAAGCATGAACCATAATAATATGTAGTGGCTGTTGATTGGTCGCTAGGTATTTTGACCAATAATAATAACCTGTTGTTCTGGGCCGGCCAAAATAAATCCATCAAGACCATTTTGTATGGTTTGTCGATAACAACAGCAGCAGCATATGAACAAACAAAACAAAAAAAAAAAACAAACAAACAAACAAAAACCTGTTCACATTTGCAACATTAAAGTTGGTCAAAATTTTTTTTTTATGGTGGTAGTGAGTTAGGGTCTGATAAATATCGATATGATTGCTAGGTCGTGTGTAATATGAAATAATGACCTTCATATCGAAAATCACGTACACCAATTATTATTGTTGTTGATAAAGGTGTTTTGCTTTGTTTTGTATGCCTAATAATTACCATGGACTTGAATTGCAGTGATTTTCAATTGCATTTTACAATTTTTATTTCGCGCGTAAAATAAGGGAAAAAATTTGAAAAAGAAAAAAATTTTCGAGAAATTTCTGGGAAATTTGAATTTAACGAAATCTTTCCGGGAAAATAAATGCAAATTGTTTTGATTATTTTTTGTGTGCAACGTGGATTTCATATTTTTATTTCTATTTAGATTCCTGGCATAGAGATTAAAATTCCAAAAAAATATCACAATGGCTCGACGTCCAAAACAGCAGCAACAACAACAACAAGTAAATCAACAGCAACCAGCAGCAGCCCCAGTGGCTATGGTACCACCACCCGGTATGATGATGTCCGCACAACATCAACAAATAATGATGCAGGCATTAAAATCGAATGTGCCAAATTTAGATCCAAATGAAACAAAACAATGGCATACAATATATCCACAATATATTAATTCCAATCTAACTGTTGATCGTGGTCGTCGTATTGGTCGTTCGAAATGTATCGCTGATCCAATGGCCGAAGAAATATTCAATGTATTGGCTGCCAATCCACAACAATTTCAAGTACAATTAAACATGTATAAATGTTATTGTCGTGAATTGGATAAGGAAAATATTCGTTTACGTGGCTATGTAAAATATCGTATCATTAATAATGAACAACAGCAACAATTTAAGAATAAAAGACAAGTATTGCAATATGTTGCATCGATGATACCAAAATTGAAATCACGACAAAATCCACAAAAATCTCAACAACAGCAAACATCCGGTAGTGGTGGTGGTGGTGGTCAACAATCTGAACAAACGATAAAAACTCAACAACCATCACAACGACAGCAGCAGCCACAACCACAAGGTGGAGGTGGAAAGAAAAAGAATCGACGAAAATAATTGACAGAATGGTGGAATTAAAATCAAATTTTCATTCATGAAGCTGATTGTGTTCGAATTTTTTTTTTCGTATAAAAATAAACTTTCGAACAAATTAAAAAATCCCTCGATGTTTATTTTGTTTGTTTTTTTCGTTCATTCAATTCTGTATTTGTCAATGTATGCATGGTTAAAGTAAAAAATTTTTAAATAAAAAAAAATTTCAAATTGATAAATTATAAATGTTGGATATTCTGGGTACAATCATTGTCATTATAATCGGTTCATTCACAACAATTGGTTGTTGTGCTCATCAAGGGTATGTTTGTGTGTTGAATATTCATTGTTATCGGTTATATATGATGATATCTTTTATAGTAATTATCTGGGAGATCGTCGACGATTAGAACAATTTTTACATCAATATCAACAAGATGTTCATCATAATCATCAACTGTATGGACACGAACATTCTATACAACAACCAAAATTTTATAAAGTAGTCAAATTTGTTAAATATGGTGATCGTATTGTACCATTGGTGGCAATACCAAAAACACAATTACGTTCGAAAGGATCATTTCAATTTACACGACCAGATTTTTATAATGATGATGATGATGATGATGATGATGATTATTATTCCACGTGTTCATCATCATCGCCGTCATCATCATCTGCATGTTCAGCAATGACTAATGCAGCATCATCAGCATCATCTGGTCTATGTTCTTCATCTGGATCATCATCGGCTGCTCAGTCTACTTCCACGGCTATATCAACATCTACATTTTCTAGTAAATGTTCAAGCCATTTATCAGGTAGTAATGCTGATAATTCGGCTTCTAGTTCTTCGAAATCAGCATCAGTAGCAGACGAAGCAGCTATACCGAATTCATCGCCACCAATCAAATCAAAAACAAAACGAAAATCAAAATCATCATCTAGTAAACGAATTAAAACGAGTCTTAAAAATTGGAAGAAGAAAAATGAAAAATTATTGAAAATCAAAAATAAAGATTCTTCATCATCATCATCAACAACAAAGGCTGATGATACAAGCAATAATCAACATCAATCGATGGATTTAAAAACAACCAAACCATCTCCAGAACGAATAAATGAATCATCATCATTATCATCATCAACATATGATTCAAATAGTAGTTATTCACATAAATCAATGGATTCAGAAATCACTTCATGTTCCACTTGTCCGCCATCAAAATCATCATCATCATCACCACCACCACCATCATCATCATCGTCGTCATCATCATCATCATCTTCAAGTGATAAAAAATCCAAATATAAACCATCAAAAGCTAATGATGATAAACGTAAATTTTCTAAAGCATTAAAATTGAAATTAAAAACCAAAATTCTATCCCAACAACAGGATGATGAACCACAACAACAACAATCGAATAGAAAGGATAAAAAAAGTAAAAGTCAATCACAAAAGTCAAAACAAATGGATAATAATGAAACAATTGATACGATTGGTGTACAAACATATCCTGATGGAATGTTTGATGCAAAAACATCATCCATTTGCTTGAATGATACATTGGATGAAAAAATGGGTGAACAATTTTATCAACAACAAAAACATCAACATGGATCCGATGTAAATGCCATATCGGATTATTTTAATCATGATAATGTTATTAATCATCATCAACATAAATGATAACATTGATCAACAAAGAAAAGAAAAAAAATGAAATCAAAAATAAATACGAATTTGATTTTTTTTATTGATGAAAATTATTCTTTGAAATGTTGTTGCTGCTGCTGCTGCTGCTGCTGTCAACATTATCATTATTACCGGTGGAAAAATTTTCCGTTTGCAATAGTATGACAATATAATTCAATACGAAACCTAACATTGCCAATATTGATGATTGTCGTACTGTATACATCGAGAATATTGATACAATAAATTCTTTACGTAAACGTTTCAATTCCATAAAACACATCCATTCATGGAGGCTCCAATGTTCCAGATTTTCATATACAGTACGTATAAGATCACGACAAATATTTGTCGGTAGATTACCAAAACTGGCAACAATAATTAAACGTATGAATGAAAATATACCCAGATTCAATACAAATGAAATGTATAGATTAGCATTGGTTGAATTGTTGATCATCAGAAAACAAGCCGAACTTATTGTGATGAATACACTGGATGATAATGTCACTGTCAATGGTACAGAAAACCAAGGTATTATCTCTTTATATTGGTCATTTAGATCGGATAATTTTGTTTTCAATTTCACCATGTTTGTTTCATCCAATTTATTTGCTAATTGTGAGTAAAAATTATACGAATGTTAATAAAACAAAATTACTAATTTTTTTAATATTTGCAAAAACATACCAATCGCATAGGTATCCATCAATTGTTGGATAGCAAAACGAAACAACATCATCGTATAGATGAACATTATGGGTACAAGACAAAGAAAAATTAATCCTAAAATCATTACGAATAATTCAGAAATTCGATGTATTTTTGTCATCATTTCAATGTTTGGATCATTAATCTGTTTGATTATATTGCCACGAAATAATATATAACCGGTTGAACTAATCACTGTTGATATAATGATCGTAATGCCCAATGAACAATATGCAAATCGATGTGAATGATCAAAATCATAGATATATGGAATTTTCATCAATAATCGTATGATATGACCACCTGAAGTTACAATATAGAATAATAGGGTCATCATATCAAAAAATGTTACGACCATAAGTAATTTAATTATATTTCTTAGAATTGTTTTCAATTTTGCCGTTTCAATATAATCTTCATCACTATTGCCCAGGAAACATAATTGTAATAAATGATACATTGAATTTGTTTGGTCATCATCATCTCCATGATTTTTCAGCCATCGATGAAATAATGATGATGATGATGATGATGATGTATCATTTATCTTCATAAAAATCACGGAATCAATCGTTGATTGATGTATATCCATTAAATATTCACGATATAAATTTGCCAACAATGCAATCAAATATGATAGAATATTTGACCAACCATGAATAATGTAGAGATAATGTTTAGAAATTAGCCAACAATTATAATTATCATCATCATTATGATGACGATGGCTGTTATTGTTGTTGTTGTTGTTTCCATCCGATACAAATACAACGCCAGAGAATGATAATGATAAAATTCTATACAATTTTAAACATTTTAAAAATGATAAAATCTGAAAAAAACACCACCGATAAAAAATACAAATACAAACCGATAAAATTTAACTAAAAACATTAATGATGGTGGACAATTATAAATAATCCATTTAGGTCGTTTACTTGAATTTGATCGTCTCATCATCATCGATGTTGTTGTTGTTGTTGTTGTCGGCATTGTAATCATCATTTGATGATTATCATCATCATCATCATCAGTGTTATTATCCATTTTTTTTAACAATTTCAAAAAATTTTATTCGAAATTCGTTGTTTTACATACATCATCAATGAGAATCTTTCGATGAATTTGTGTGTGTTCGATTGAATGGATGGATCAGTTGATAACTCGTCGATTATCGGTATTCAAATGATGATGATCCATGAAACTGACTGCAAATGAACGAAATGTTAAATGAAAAATTTCATTTAATAAATTATTAATTAATATAACAAAATTAGTGTTTATTCAATAATATCCGGAGTGTTTGATGTGGATAAAAAGAAACTGTCATAGTCAAGTCATGTCAATGAAAATTGTTGTTTGATTTGTTTCTACTATTGTGTATTATTATTGAAATTCATCAATAATGTATCATCATCATCATTATCGTTATTAAAATTAGTATCATTTTGTTTGGAATATGATGAAATGATGGATGAATAAGAAGATGAATTAGTGGAAGAAAAATTTTCCGTCTGTAATAATATGACAATATAATTTAATGCAAAACCTAACATTGACAATATTGATGATTGTCGTACAGTATACATTGATGATATGTTGACAACAAATTCTTTTTGTAGCCGTTTTAGTTCCATAAAACACATCCATTCATTTAGTTGCCATTGTTGTAGATTTTCATAAACAATACGTACTAGATCACGACAACAATTGCTTGGTAGATTACCAAAACTAGCAACAACAATTAAACGCATGAATGCAAGTAAACCTATATTGAATACGAATGCAATATAATAATTGCCTCTTGATGAATTATTGATCATCAAAAAACAGGATGAACTTATAATGATGAATATACTTGTAGCAAACAATCCGGTCAATGGAAACGAGAAACAAGGTATAATTTCTTTGAATTGATCATTCAAATCGGATAATTGTGTACGTAATTGAATCATTTTTACTTCGTCCAAATTGTCCACTAATAATGGATTAATAATCAGTATTAGTATCAGTATAATAATCAGTATAGCGATTCTTACCCATTGCATAAGTGTTGATTAATCGTTGAATACAAAATCGGAACAACATCATTGTATAGATAAACAATAATGGTGTTATGAGTTTGAATGAGAATCCGGACACCATTCCAAACATTTGAATGATTTTAATAGTTCTAGTATATGCTGAAATTTGTGGATCCAGAATTTTGTCAAAATTTTCTTTATTGAATACAATATATCCAGCACTAACAATTATAGCCATAAATAGATAAACAATAGCCAATGATCGATATGCAAAACGTTTTGAATGATCAAATTCATTGACAAATGGTATGGACATTAATTTTCGAATAATACGCAAACCAGAAATCATTGAATAATTAAGTAATATTTGTGAATCAGTAACATGAACCACAAGCAATAATTTGATTATATTCCGTAAAATTGTTTTCAACTTTTCCGTTTCGATTATATCATCATCGTTATGGAACCAATTATAAAGTATTTTCATTATTTGTTGAAATGATAAATCGTTTGTTTCACCATCAATTATTGTTCGATTCATTGGTGATGAAGAATAATCGATTGTTACGATGTTGAATGATTCGTTCGTCATCATTGTTTCATTCGAATTCATTAATTGTGATGAAGATGATAATGATATTGGATGGATCGTATTTTGAAAATATCCTTGATATAATTCAACAAATAAAATCATAAATAGACCCACTATTGCAAATAGAGTGTACAACACAAGCAAATAATGTTTAAACCAAATCCAATATCGATTCTTCAATTCTTGTTGCCGATTATGATTGTCAATGAATATAGCACCATTGAATGTGACTGAAGTCCATCTAAATGAATGAATAAGAAGCTAAATTTCATTGATACAAGAATTAGTATTTAATTTACCTGAAAAATTGAATAAAGAACTTCAATGATGGCGGACAATCTAAAATGATCCAATCGGGTATTGTTTTTTGATGATTGTTGTTTTCTGTTTTCAAATTTTTAGCCATTGTTGATGATGATTGTTGATGATGAGTATTATCATGACTAACTGATCCATAATCATTATAACCGACAAACATTGTTGATTTTTCCAGATAATCAAAAACAATTAAATTATTATGGTCAATCGATTTATTATTTGAATTATTATAAATTTGATGATTTTCATTGCCATTGTTTGCCATCCATCGATAACGATCATCATCATCATCATCATCACGATAGGAATCTACGACGTTCGATATGGATGAAAACATTTTGTCTTCTAAATCTACATCTCTATATTTGTGTATGATGAACTGTTCCAAAGAAAAGTGGAACAAAATTTTTTCTAGCACAAACTTGTCAAACGATAATCAAACAGCAGGCTTGATAAAAAACAATTAATTAATTGACACTTTTATATATAATAAATTAATTAATTTGTGTCAAATTAATCATTTACAACATCAACAACAACAACAAATACTGAATCGATATATTCATCATTTTAATTGAATAATTCCATTAATAACAAGAATAATTGCATAATGTCAAGGTCAATATATGATGGTGAGTGGATAATCTAACTAGAATATTTAAAGTAATTTCTCTCTCTCTAAAATGAAAGTGCAAATAAAGCAGTTGTGGTGGCGTGGTAGAATTAAATTCAATTAAACCATTCAAATAATTGATTTGTATCGAATATCGGTTCACTATGATGATCAGATTCGATAAGCATTTGTTTGGTTAGATTTCCATCCACATTTGTATCGTTCATCATCAATGCCGTATCGTTTGTTATATTTGATGCCAATGTGGAATTGTCCACCTGTGCAGATGGATAATTTTCCGTTTGTAATAGTATGACAATATAATTCAATGCAAAACCTAACATTGCCAATATTGATGATTGCCGTACTGTATACATCGAGAATATGGATACAGTAAATTCTTTACGTAATCGTTTCAATTCCATAAAACACATCCATTCATTTAGGCTCCATTGTTCCAGGTTTTCATATACAGTACGTATAAGATCACGACAAATATTTGTAGGCAGATTACCATAACAAGCAACAATAATTAAACGTAGAAATGAAAATATACCCAAACTAAATATGAATGCTGTATTTGTTGTACCTTCTGGGCCAAGATCAATCATTAGATAACATGCTGAACTGATTATAATGAATATGTTTGTTGCAAAATGTATTGTCAATGGTAATGCAAATTTCGGTATAATATCTTTGAATTGATCATTTAGATCACCAAGTTTTGTCTTCAATTTTAGCATCAATATTTCATCCAAATTAACCACAGCGTATGTGTTCAATAATTTTTCAATAACAAATCTAAATAACATCATTGTATAGATGAACATTATCGGTATAACCGATAAATATACGAATAGAAATGTATTGAATATTGGTGCAACCAATGTAAATAATCGTGAACCAAAATCACTATCCGGGTCCATAAAAATCTGTTTAGATGTTTGATTAAATGAAATGAAACCAATTATATTGATGAATAATGCTGTCATAAATGCAATGATTAATGAACGATAAGCAAATCGTTTACAATGATCAAATTGATCAATAAATGGAATTCTAACCAATAGGCTAATTAGTCGACGTCCACGTATCAATAGATAAATGATTGGTACCAATTCATCTAGAACGACAATTATATAAAGGAAATCAATTATATTCGATAGAATCGGTTTCAAACTACGTATCTGATCATGACTTTCACTTAGATTGATTGATTGAAAAAAATCATCCCAAATATTTGTTGATTTGTTCAATGTTTCATTATTAAATTCGGGTAATTTTTCAATCAATTCGGTGCCATTCAATTCGGATCCAATCGTTTCATTACTGTTCATCATTCCAAGTGTTTGATTACGATTATTCATTCGATTTAAATATTTATCATTAACTAATCGACCTAATACAAGAAGAAATATAATCAACATTGTTATATTCAATCCAATAAAGAAATAACGTTGCATTCGTAGACCAAAACGTTCTTCATCATTATCATGAAATTTTTTATTCATCATTGATTGTTGTTGTTGCTGTTGCTGTAGTTGACGATGATGATGTGATTTTGAATGATTTTGATGATAATTGTTATTATAATTGTACATTGAACTTGAATAGATTTTTGTTGTAGATGATTTACCCATCATCATTGTATGATTTGTTGTTGTTTTTTGTAATCCAAAATGATCATCATTAATAAATATAATACCAGTGAATGATATACCGAAACAACGATAGAATTTTACTAATAATTGTAATGATGGTGGACAATCACGTATAATCCATGATGATGATAATGTTGACAATGATGATGTTGATGATATTGTTGACATTTGTTCCTGTAATGATGATGTTTTCGATGTATTCAATATATCCGGTTGATCAATAAATGATCCAGTACCATGACTTTCATCACTTACGGGACCACCACCACCACCACCACTATCCAACATTGATAGAAAATCTTGACCATTACCAGTTGGTGAACTTAAATTATCAATTAAATTTACTCTCGATTGAAACAATGATTTATGGTTACCATCCATATCGAATCGATGTCTATGATGATGATTAGAAGCGGCCAACATTTTCATCCATTGTTTAGCTGCAGCTGTAGTTAAACGACCACCACCACCACCACCAACACCATTGTCATCATTCATGTACATGTCATTTGCGTATGATACCGTAGTCATCGAATGTTCTAATATAAATGATTGGCCGTGAATTATTATTAGTCGACATGTTTGAAGAAAATCGATATTAACAAAATCCACTAATCCCGTTATTTGTTTGTATTATTCATTTTTAATATCCATATAAATTTTAATTAAAAATTCCATATCCATATTCATGATGATGATGATGATAATAGCAACAACAAAGTAATAGAGCGAGATAGAGAGAAAGAAAGAAAAAATCGATTGATTTTATTGATAGATATCTTGGCATTGTCAACATTTAATATTCATTTCCATTATTATCATCATTATTATTATTAATGAGAATTGATCAATTTATGTTAAATTATTAACATTAAAAAAATATGTTTACCAATATGTAATTTGTTTTTTTTTATATTCTTTTGATCATATGATGACATTATATATAATCTATTTTTTTTTTTGTTTTGTTTACTAAGCAACAATTATAATATTTTCAGTAATTTGTAAACGTATTGTAGCCAAATCTCTTAGATACATGAATAATAGAATAAGAAACAATAGATTCGACATAATCTTTCCAAATAATTCCGGTGCCCATGTCCAAACATAGATCATAATGCTTGATGCCAATGAAAAACAACCAAACCATGCATAAATAGTTGTAAGGAAATAATTTTCCCGTAATACGCCAATCAAACCAATTAGACATACAATATAAGCGAAAAAGTTGGCCATTACTTGAGCTAATAACTATAGATTGAAGAAAACGTCCATTATCATCATCATCAAACAGACAAAATCATCAAAAACAAACCTTTGGACGTTGATAGATACGATGTTCAAACATTTCAAACCAAATAGGATGTTCGGATTCTGATGATATTGATGAATTTGTATGATCATTATTTGAATTTTTAAATTGTTCATGATGATAATGATATCGATCATAATCAATTTGATCATCATCATCATCATCATCATTATTCGATGTTAATGCATCAAATGTATCCGTTTCCGTCGATATAGTTGTTGTTGTAGTCGTCGTCATCATTGTCGTAGGATTTTCAACATCAAATGCTAATGTAGGAAAAAGATTGAATGGATTAATAGCTGATGCAGCCTGCGTTGGTTTCATCTCCATTATCAATGATGTTTGATTTATCCATTTATTATCATCATCATCATCATCATTATTATTACCATCAGAATCGTAAAGATTTTTATGAATCAACAATGTACTACCATGTATATGATGATTATGATATAATTCGGAATAATAATTATTTCCAGTTATATCATTCGAATTATTTTCCAATATTTGTAGACGGCCTATTAATGCAAATGTTGTATAGAATATTATCATTAAATCCAATGATATTATTATGATAAGTGACCATTTTCGAAATAGAAAAGAAGCCGGATAAATGATTGTTGTGTTTGATTGCATGATGATGGCTTTTGGTTCATGAACGAATCGACGATAAATTTCAACTATTATCTGGAGCAAATGAAAAAAAAAAATAAAAAACTGATTGTAAGACAATCGTACGTTTTTTTACCGTTTTTGTTCAGGTTGCTGTCGTTACGAAGAACAAATCATTAACGAATTTAAAAGTAAAAATTTTTTTTTTAAATCATTAAAAGTTTGTTTTTTTTAAATAAACACATTCGTTTCCTATAATCTTGTTGTGGTCTAGCAGGTATCCATGACAATCGAATCGATCCAAATTTTGAATCGATAAAATTCCGATTGAACAAACAAACACACACACACACATTGGCAAATGAATAAATTCATAATTTTATCTTTTCATTTTTTCTTGAATCGATAAAATTCCGATGAACGAAAAAATTTATTCCAATAAAACAGACACAAACAAACACACACACACACACACAAAAATAAATGAATAAATTCATAATTTTATCTTTTCATTTTTTTCTTGCATTTAAATTCTTTTTTCTTTCTCGATTGTTCCAAAAACAAAAATTATGGAATGATGACGATAAAGGAATCAATACCAAAAAAAAAAATTATTGAACAGTAAATCGATGACAACAACAACAACAAAAAATTCGAATACAAGTTTGTAGGCGCGCGTGCCATCTAGTGTCGGTTGAAAAACAAAAAATGAGATTTTTTTTTTGAAAATTTATTCGAATTGATAAAAAAAAACATTCATTTCATTTCATCGGCAAAGATGTTGTTGTTGTTGTTGTTGTTGTGATTATCAATAAAAACGATATGATTTATTCACACAGCCGTTTTATTTAATTGATATTTGTTCTGTTTTTCCATTGATGATGATGTCGATGATTTTGTATCAAATGACATTGTTTTTGGTGTTGATAATGTTGCCATTGTTGTCATCGATGATGATGATGATAATGATGTTAGATCATCATCTTTTATTGATTCAATTTGTCGTAATTTTATTTGATTAAAATCCTTATCATCGGTTGTTGTTGTCGTTGTTGTTTGTGATGGTGATGTAATTGCCGGTGATCGACCAGCATTTTTATTAATATTCGTATTTGTTGTATTTTTAAACATATGTTTTAATCGATTACCAACAACAGCTGCACCGAATGCATCACCTAATACATTGACAACGGTACGAAAACGATCTAACATAAAATCAACGACCATTACTAATGCTGCATCTTCTAATGATAAACCGATTGAATTTAATACAACCACAGTTGTAATCATACCGGCTTGTGGTATACCAGCTGCACCAATACTGACCAATATGGATGTCATTGCAATAGTTACTAATTGACCAAAATTCAATGATTTTCTTCGATACTGTGCAACAAATATAGCAGCAACCGATTCATATAATGCAGCACCATCCATATTAACTGTGGATCCAAATGGAATGACAAATCTTACAATTGATGGTTCAATACCTGCATTCTGTTCTAAACATTGCATTGTGACCGACATTGTGGCTGAACTGGAACTAGTAGCGAATGCTGTAGATATAGCTGGAAACATATTGGTCAGAAATTTATATGGATTATGTCGTACCAATAATAAATAGATTAATGATAATATCACTAGACAATGTACTGCTAATGATAATAATACGGTTAATGTAAACCAACCAACCAAACGAAACATTTCACCAATATCATCAACGATCAATATTTGTGGTATGATTAGAAAAACCGTACAAACCGGTGCTGTCTGTACAACGGCCAATGTAATCATCATCATAATTGTATTGGTTGTTTCAATTATTTCGGCAATCAATCGGCCACCACGTGTACGTATCATATTTACAGACAATCCAATCAATAGGCCAACAACAACAACGGACATTACGTTTGCACCACGTTCTTGTGTAGATTCGATTCGCCAATTCTCTATATTTGGATCATTTGGACTATCATCTGGTGGTATTAATTTCGTATGATATGTATCGATCCATGAACCAAAAAGACTATCGGTGAAAATATTACGACAAATATCCAATATTGTATCTTCGATTGTAACGGTCAATAATGTTTTTGTTGAATTATCTTGTTGTTGTTGTTGTTGCTGTAGATCTTTATTATCAGTTTTAATTACTTTTTTGCTTGTATGATAACCAGGTTTTAATGCTGTGACCATAATTAAACCTTCAATAGCTGCAAAACCGGTTGTAGTCAGATAATAAACAATAACTTCCGACATAATACGACCAGATGATTCAGGATCAAATCCAGTACATGCATATGCAATCGATGTACCAATCAATGGTACAATTAAACTGAGTAATACACGTATAAATATTTCACCAACAAATGATAAACGTAATAATCGACGTTGTGTCCATGGTTTTCCAGGTATCAATGTATTACGTAATAATATAGCAATGAATATTGATAATATAATCATCATTAATGTAGAAATAGCCAATAGATTTTTATTTACAAAATATAATACTTTTCCTGTAAATGAGTATGTGATTTAAAATTAGAATTTTTTTTAAATAAATTTAAAAAAAAACAAACAAATTCTACTTACCATATCTAGAACGTTTTGCAGCTTTATCCAATGATCTACTACCACTATTAGGAGCATTCTCTTTTTCTTCTAATTCGGCTGGTCGACGGCCAAAATCCATATGGCAATCAATGCTATCATCATAATGATAAAGAAATGCTTTGAATGTATATATTAATGAAATATAAAGATGAATAATCTGTATAACTAATGACCAAACAAATTGTTGATAAGTAATAATTGAACCGGATATAAATAGAAATATACAGATCAATAGAAAATATTTTGAATGTATGAATAAATGGAAACGGTCCTGATATCGAATACCATAACTATAGCTATATATTAACATGAATAATGCAAATGATAGACGAACAGCTGCAATCAAACAATATACGAATGAACGTATCGATTCTTCATGGAATAATAATGATGATGATGATGATATTAATAACGTTGAATTCAATGATAACGGCGATGATGATGATGATGATGATGATCGATCTGGTAGACCACTACCATGATTCCAAACGGTAATAATCAAAACGATTGAATCAATTGTTGTCATTAAAAGGCTTGCCATTAGAAATAAATGATAAACGGCTATTTTAACACTGGTTGTCATTATTTTTTTTTCTCGCTGTCAATACCACCTTTTTTTGAAAAAAAAATCACTTATTATTCGGATTGATGAAACAAATTAACCAACAAACAACGACGAAAACACCGAAAAAGAAAGGGGCCAGAAACCAGTCAGGTTTATTAAATTTTGAAGTCAAATAAATCCATTTTGTTTGGTTATTTATAAGCTTAATGAAATTATTATTAATGAAACACAAAAATTCGATAATTTCATTGAATTTTCTTTGTCTGTTGAATCATGAATTTGTGGTTTGTATAATCAATATACAAAATGTAAGTATGAAACAAAACATGTGCAATAATAAAGAAAAATTTGCATTGAAAATTTGTATAATTTTCATTTGAAAATATTCATTATAAATATCAGCCATTTCAATCAAACGTATTTGTATCGATCGTTTACGATGATCAACAATGTTCATTATTTGCCATCTACGATGATCATTATTTAGATATTTTTGTATTTGATTAATAATTTTTTGAATACAATAATTTAAATATAAAACATAAACAAGATGTATGATAACGGATGAATGATAGGTAATATTATCTAATATTTGATTTTGATTACGTTGAAAATTGGTGAAAAAAACAACACAATCAATAATGTTGCCAATGAATGGTATAAAAAAATTAAATGAATTCATTTGATCTAAATGATGATTAATCATTGCTAATGATTGTACTGTTTGGATTAATTTTTCACCACTATCCAAATCTAACGATGATGATGATGATGATGATGATGATTGTAGTTGAAATAATTGAAAATTTTTAAACAGATGAAATTTTGTTGCATATTTTACATAATGATAAATCATTATCGGTAAAAATTGATGTACATACAGTGTATAATAGGCAAATATCAATGGTATATTTGTTGTCCAATTTTCTATTATTTGATCAAAATGTAAAATGTCTTTATGAAATCGAATGAAACTAAAATTAATCCATAACATTAATATGATGAATATTATTTGTGATTGACGATTGGATTTATGATAATGGTTACCATTATAAACTTGTGCGATTAAATCATCATTAAGAATTGAATAAATTTGTGCACCATAAATGAAAAAATAAATTGTAACAATACAATAGGATAGATTATATAGTTGATCATAGATCATATAGAAACAAGCTAAAAATGCATTATTATGATAATTTTCATCTAGATATGTGAATGATACAGATGATCCAGAATATAATACATGGATGAACAATATGAATATTGTAAGACGATATAATAAACCGAAAATAATCCATGGTTTTTGCCAATCCAGCCTTGTTAATTGTATGCCTAAACATCTTTTTTTTTGTTGAGCAATAAAACAAACAAATGAAAAATTTTCCACAATCAAGTAAATTGATTATTAATTTTCTTACCCTAAAAAATTGAACATGAATCGAAGAATGAATGGTTGATGATTTTTTCGATTCATGTTTTAAAACAAAACAAAAAAAAATGTTCGACGATACAATCGATAGTGATGATGATGATGATGAAACTGATATATCAGTAATCATCATAAACGAATTTTTTTTTATTGAAAAATGATAATTATTAGCCAATTTATTATTATTGTCATGACAACAACAACAAAAAAATAATAAAAAACAATGTAATTACAGAAAAAAAAAGACAAAGAATAAATTCTTGATATTTTAATTTCGTTATATATATCGATTTTTGTTTTATATATTCATTAAACAAAATGAACAAAAAAACAACATTTACGTTTGTAATGATAATATAATGAAGGTCAATATGAAAACACAGAAATCAAGTAAAAATTTACAATCAATTAAACTTAATTCATAAAGTTTTAAATGAAAATCATGACGATATAATTGATAAAATTCATGACAACAAATATTGTGACTACAAAACAATGATGTTTTCAATGATGATTTGATTTTGAAATTAAATTTTTTTCTATTATTATTCGGTGAATAACAATGACCACAACAATGAAATCGATCACCATCGATCATTGTTTCGATAATTGTTCGTAATATTCGATCAATATCATGGTCCATTAGAATTAAATGTAATAGATAACACCAAGCTATAAATGACCAAATTAGATAGCTAATAAATTGTAAATCCGTTTGATACCAATAAAATATTGTAATTATATCAAGATTATATGCAATCAGACTTGATAATAATAATGGTGATAATAAACGTGCAAATGTTTTATTCAATAGTGCTAATTGTCGTATTTGTTCAAATATAATGGTCTGTTGTTGTTGTTGTTGTTGATTTTTTGGTCTCTGGCCACGAATCGTTGTCTTTCGTTGTCTTTTCAATATAATTCGATGATCAATCTGAAATGATTTCAATCTTTGTATGGTTGCATATTTAACATATGTATGAACAAACAATGGAAATGTATATGATTGATCCAAACAAAAGGCGATAAAATTAACAAATAAAAATTTTCTAATACTATCAGCATCGTTGAATTTATCATCATGAAATTCACCAATAAAAATCGCTATAATCGTTATGAATATAATAATCATTATGATTGATGAATGTTTTCGTGAACTATAAACAATCATAAATGGTTTTGGCCATTAATTGGCCAATCATTGGTCCATAATAATATTGATAAATTAAGTTGAATATCCATAATACTTGTGAATAAATTTCACAAAAATTTTTCAAAAAATTTTCCAAATATTTTCCCTGTTTCAATTCAATTGTTGATATTGAATCTGAATTCATTTCCAGTGATGATGATGATGATGATGATGATAATGACTGCCATGGTAATTGATTTTCTATAAATAATCCATAAATGACGATAAAATTTACAATCAAATTGATCATTATATTTCGCCAATTTAATAGCCGTATTTGTTGTAATTGAATGCCAAAATTTCTAATTTCAAAAGAATCGTTAATTGTTTTTTTGGTCAAAAATTAAAAAAAAAATTTCTTCTTACCCACATATAATATGGATACAGTTGAGAAGATGATTCTTTTCCATAAAGTTATCATTATTATCCATCATCACTATTATCAATCTTGTATGACTTGTGATCTATTTGAAATGTGGCCATGTTCTTTGTAATGGAAATCTGTAGCCAAAAAAAAAAAAAAATTCATTTGTCTGGCGTTTTGTTGCTGTAGGTATCGATTTCGTAAAATGTAAATGTGAATTGAATAAAATCGATAATTGTACTGGAAAAATTCACAATGTTTGTAATGATAATATTATAAATGATATGGTGAATAAACATGAATCGAATAGAAATACAAAATCAATACGGCAAATATTGAATAGATTAATATGAAAATCATCAAAATATTGATAATAGAATTCAATCGAACGTACATTTCGACTACAATAAAAACTTTTCATTAATCCACTATTCGAAAAATGCTGACAATTAATCTGTCGATATTGATGACAATGGCCACAACATTTTAATTGACTATTGTTAATATTTTTGATAATATTTTCCAATAATTCATCGATTCTTTTATCCAGATATAAAACAAAAGCAAGATAATTCCAAAATGATGACAATAATAAAAATTCTAGTAGAAATTTTTTTCGTTTTTTCACCAAAAAAAACAATGTTATAATATCCAAATTGAATGATATTACACAGAATAATAATAATGGTGATAACATTTGTGAAAAATAACGATTAATCGTGGCCAATTGTTTTATTTTCATACATTCATTCCAATTCATATTGATTTGATTCGTGATGGATTTCAATGATACAATTGTTGCATATTTAACATAGGTCATTATTATCAATGGCATCAAAAATGAATGATTAATACAATAGGCAATGAATGCGAAACAAAAATTTTCAAATATATTCAATCTGGATCCAAAAAATATTATAGAAAATTCTTGTAATGATGCTGGTGCCATTATTGTCAACGTTATTCCATAAACAATAAATAAATGACGTTTATGATGATAAATAGTAGTGAATATCGATGATGACATTGATCGTACAATTGAACGCATATAAATATATTGATAGATTGTAATCAATAACCATAATACTTGTTCATAATGATCAGAAAATATGAAAATAAATTTAATTAAACTTTTATAATCATTATTATTGAATGAATTTGTACTATTTTGCCATGTTAATTGATTATTCAAGAAAAATATAAAGAATATGATTCCATTAATGATCAAATTGATTATTACATTGATTATTGATGGCCAATTGGACCATCGTAATGGTTTCATTTGTGTGCCGGTATATCTATCGATGAAAAATTGTTTTTAATTTGAGTTTAAAAAAAACATTTAAATTCACACATACCCAAGATTAATGAATAACCATTCGAGAAGGTAATTTTTTTCTTCATTTATTTCAATCATTTTTTCTCTTTGCTGGTTTGTGCCATTCAACATACGAATACGAATTTGCCAAAAATAAAATTGATCGATCCATTTATATGGAGAATTTCATCTAGTTAAAAGTAATGTCATTGATAAAAGTCGAAATAATTGAAATTAATTATGTTTATATTATTATATCTACAAATACACATGGTTTCGATGGAGAAAAGACAGAAAATGTATTCGTCATTATGTTGTTTTAATCAAATTCATAGCACTAATAACATTTGTGCATTTTAATTTGGTTTGTATTTTTATTATATAAATATAAATAAGAGTAGAGTTTAATCAATTTGTTACGAAATATTAAAAAAAATGGATGTAAATATTGAACAAAAATTAATCGATTGGTTCAATAATAAAATCGATCATTTCGAACATCATGATGATGAGTACCATAGGCAACTATTTCGATCCAATACATTTCAACATAAATGTGAAAAGATTTGGAATCAATTGAATAAATTACGAACGATTGTTGATGATACATTGAAAGTACAAAATAATAAACATCCATTATCATCATCATCATTGTTGGAATGGATTAAAATAGTATTGATACCGAATTATCGTTCATTATGGTTGAAAATTTTATTCAAATCATTTCTTCACTATCATGGTCATTATGATTATCACCATGATGATACTGATAATAATAATAATAATGGTGGTGAAAATTTAATACAAAAAATTTCCATCATATTTGATGATAATAGACAAAGATGTTCAAATTTGATTACAATGATTTATTGGCTTGATCACGCTCGATTAGAATTGACCGAAATGATTATTCATCCATGTCTATTTCGGCAATGGCCACAAAGTTCAGAAAAAATTCTTGAACAATTTGCACGTATTACATTATATCCGGAACAATGGCAAAGGCTTAAATTTCGTTTAAAACAATTAGATTTTAAATTGGTACATTATGAACAACAATTTCATCATTTAGATTTTCATATCAAACAATTATCGATTGATCTAGCCAATGGTGTTCGATTGGCACGTATTGTCCAGCTATTATTTCCGGAACGATTTTCAATAACATTATTATCACAAATGAAACCAGGTAAAGATGTGGCCAATGTCCGTTTATTATTTAAACAATGTCAACCTATTTTCAATCATTATGATAAGAAATTTGAATGGAATGCGGAAAATGCCGTTGCCATTGCCGGGAATTATCGACAACAAACATTGGAAACATTACAATCATTGATGCGTATCGAATTTAATTTATTAATCGAACAAAGATATTGTTATCATTTGAAAAAGATTGTCTTCATTCAACGATATATCCGTGGTAGAAATGAAACTCGAAAATTACGTGACGAATTTTTAAGTTTACGTCAAGCGGCTATTGTTGTTCAACGTCGTTATCGTGCAAAAATAGCCGCCAGGAAACAACGTTCGAATTATATCAGAATACGTGAGGCCACAATCACAATACAACGATGGTTTCGATGTCGTCGTAATATAATGATTTGTCGAAATTATATTAATAGATTCTTGAGCCGCCGACAACAAGCTGCTCAAAACATACAACGATTTTGGCGTGGTTATCGTTGTCGAAAACAAATTTATGATGAATATCCATTGCTTGGAATCATTTCAATCAATCTAAGCAATTTTAATCTCAAAACATTGATGACAATCGGTACAAAAACCGAAAAGATATTGAAACGAATGGAAAAATTGGCAAAAAATTCACTGATAACCAATCATCAAGGTATAGTTAAAATGATTTCCGATCAATTAATTGGAGATCTTATCGAACTATGCCATTACACGGATTGGTCATTGGAAATTCGTAATTCTCTTTGCAACGATGGCAAAACATTATTCAATGGTGGATTGATCTACTCATACGAATGAATCGTAGTGAACAACATAAAATGTCTGCCATTTACATTGTTTCTATTCTTTTAAATCTTCAAAAAACTTCATCATCATTGACATACATAAAATCATCTGATCAATTAATGTCGGCATTAATTCATATAATGTATAATCATTTTAATCATCCATCATTATTGGCTGATTGTTTGCATTTAATCAATGGATTAATGGATTATAGCCACGATTTAGTGAAAAAATTATCAACCGATCCAAAATGGAAACGATTAACACAACGTATTGAAAGTCGTTATCTGCAGCCATTAAAAATGAACAACATTCTTGGGCAACAACAAACAACAACAATGATGGATATGGAACAATGTGATCAATGTCGAACAATACAGGCAATAATCAAAACAATAATGGGTAGATTATTATAATTTTAATTTCAAAAAAAAACAATACAAAATGCAACAATTTGAAAATAATGATGATGATGATGACATCTGGTGATTACGTATTGAACAATTGATTGATTTGAACTTTTTTCTCTTCTACTTTTTCATGAATTTGGCGTTCAAGATATGGTGGTAGCTATAAGAATTTTTGAGAAAAAAAAATTAGAACAGAACAACAGAACAAACGAAATAAACATTACATGAAATAGAATTGGCTGAAGATTAATCAATAATTTCAATACAAATAATGAATTCTGTGTACGTTCCAGCTGTGTAGCCATTTCCATTGAGATCTCATTCACCAATTGACTAGAAACAGATGTCCGATGATGATCAATCGATGATTGTTTTGGTGATCCACCAACACCAACACCACCACCACCTGCTCCTTGTATTGGTGAACCAATCATCATCGATTCGATTGTTGTTGTTGTTGCTGTCGATATACTTGGCCGTTTTTGATTAACACCATTCATTGCTGGTGATGTTTGATTAGGATTGTTACGATTGTATGATAATGAACCACAATCAAAAAGATTGGCAGCCAATAATGTAGCAATACCATCCAAACTAATTAGATTATAATTCATAAATCTTACAACTTTATTCGAAAGTATCAATAATGCATTCAAACTATTTCGATGTGTATCATTCAATGTAAGCATTAATAGATTTAAAATCTTAATACTGACAAATATATTCGGAATTTTTGGTACCATTAGAAATATATCCATTAATTCATTTGTCAACAATGGTGGTGATAATCGTCTTATAAATAGCTTCAATAATGATGCAACATCATGAACATTATATCGTTCGAATATGGTATTGATTTCTTTGGAATTATCCGGTTTATTTAATTTATAATAATTCATATAAAGATCGGTTAATTCTTCTTCCAATTTCTTTTGATTTTATCATCACAATTGATGATACCATGGTTATGTCAAAATAGAATAATATAAAATCATTATAATGATGAAAATAGAATCGAATGTTTTTTTTTTTTTTTGTCTTGTTTAGCTACTACTTACATTCAAACGATTTTTTGTTCCTGGAACACGAAATATTCCCTCCTCTTGTACACCATTATCACCAAGATAATCAATCATCTAAGAAATGAAAAATGAAAATAACATCATAAAAATACATATTATTATTATTATACTTACATGTTTCAAAATGGATGGTACATCAAGATCTTTTTTATTTCGTTCATTATCTCTTACATGTAATGTAGTAAGATTACCACCAAATATAATAATTGAACGATTTTCATTTTTACTTATTAATGATGGAAATGTTTTACGATTTTTTGAAAAATTTGGCATCGGTATAATATATGACGAGCTGTTGGTATCAGCGACAATATTTATTGATTCACAATTCATCGATAATGGTGATAATCGAAATAATTGTTGTTGCAATCGATTGACATCGGTTTGTAATACACGTAATGCTAATTCTTGTACAGTACCGGCAAGATTTTTAGTAAAATCTTCACAATATGTAAGACTTTGTTGTTGTTGAAATGCCAATTCCTATATGATCAGAATGAAAATGAAAAAAAAACAATGAAAAGAGATTTAAAAAAAGAGAAACTAAAGAAAAAATCCAGGATCCTTTTAGCCCAAAGAGGTAATATTTTGTTGTTTATTTTAAAAATTATAATTAATCGACCCATTCGATTGGAACAGGACAGGATTTGGAATCAACACTTATCGATCAACCGAAACAGACTGAGAGCTGTGTACCAGCGGTTGGTTTGCCGATCGATCAATAATAATTGTGATGATAATCAGAAAAAGGGAATACAAGAAAATAATATTACCTCTCACTCTCGTTACCAAATGATTCGTATCAAAATCATCATCAATGTGTGTGTGTGTGTGTGTGTGTGTGTTTATGTTACAATATTATCCCTTCCCTCTTCTTTGTCAAAATTTAAAAAAGTTTTCAGAACAACAATTAATTCATTGAAAACAAATCAAATCATCAAATGTAAATAGTAGTATAGCGTTGTTTGGTCTGAATGTAAGATCATTCACACACACACAAACACCTGTTAACAATTTATCTCACCAAATAATAATGATGATGATGATGATCTAATCGAATCGAAATATAACTACAAGTTGATTCACCTCGTCGTTTAATGAAGATGAATATTTTTCATTGATTATAAACTTATGAAAAATTCATTTATCGATTCAATGATGTGAACAACATATGCTATGTGTGCATGTGTGTGTGTGTGTGTGTGTTTAGCATTCAATCAATTTTCACTTCAATAATTCATTTTTTATATGTTTATCATGAATAATAATATTTGGCTATTTCGATTCTCCATAATATTTCTTTTATATACAATATTCTTATCATCAATTCATTTTGACATTATCAATGACGACAATCATCATCATCATCATCACCAACAACAACAACAACAACAACGTAGCCGAGAATATTTTCTTCTACCTACCGCTCAGGCTATGAAAAGTGATGAAATTCTTGTTGCAATATTAGCGGCTAAATTTCTTGGCCTTTTTCATAAAGATGGTGATTATAAACCTAAACCACCACCACCGCCACCACCACCGCCACCACCTCCGCCATTGTTTGCTCCACCCATTATTATTGGGTAAGTCTATTCCGTTTTGATTGTTTTATGTAATTTCTTGTTATCTCTATCCATTATTCACATCAAATAGTGGCCGTAAACGTTGTAAACCGAAAAAATGTTGCCGAAATCGTTTGCCAAAATTTTTAACCGAATCCTATACAATTGATGATGGTGATGATCTGGATGGATATGAAACCGATTTTGATGATAATTATGATGATGGTGACGATGGCGGTGGTGGTTATGAAGATATTGGTGTTGATATTAATGTTAGTGGCGGTGGTGGTGCTGCTGCTGCTATTGGTGGCTATGATGAATCATATGGAAAAAATTTTGGACAACCAAAATATCATCAAGTTCCAATAACCGATACGAATGAATATCGTTCACTTGAAATTAATAATGGAAATGCAAATCATCCACATGGTATGAGTGGAAATAATCATGGCCATAATAATAATCATGGCCATAATAATAATCATGGTCATAATAATAATTATGGACAACCACAACAACAAAAACGACAACAAATACAAGTGTATGCATCAGATGATCAACAATTATCATCACCTGGTAATGGTGAAGAATATAATACCGTTATGGAAAATGGTGGTGGAGTTTCCATGGTTGAAGAAGAAATACAACCAACATTTGATGATGATCCACAATTATCATTAGCAAGTAAAGATATAATAACAACAGCAAATGATAAGAAACGAAAAACATTTGGTGGATATTTAAAATCGAAATTTCGTGGCACGAAAAACACCATACTTGGAACAAACAGTAATTCTGATGATACAATTAAAATGGGAAAATCACGAATTAATGAGATTAATCAAAAGAAAAAATCAAAACAACCAAAACTTCGTCAACGAAAACAAAAATCTAAAAGTAGGAGCCGACATCGTCGTCGCCGACGAAGACAACGACAACGAAAAAAATCTAAATCTCGACGAAAACCAATTGAAGATGATAATGAACAAAAAATTATTCATTTAGGTGAGAAACCATCATCAAATCTAAATGATATGGAATATGGTGATGGCCAACAACAACAGGAAAATAGTGAAATTGACGAAGAAACCGAAACAGAAATGCCAACTAGTGATGATCAGATGAATGATGAAATTGATGATGCTGAACAACAACAACATATGGTTATGTCATTGGCTGATAATGATGAAACAACAATAACAACGACGACTGAAACGACACCATCGACAACGGAATTAGAAACAACATCAGATGAAAAAGTAGTTATGAATTTTACTTATAATTCATTTGTACCAATGGATTCAACACAATGGAATCAACAAACGACACAAGGACAATTTCAACAACAACAACAACAATCAAAGCAACAACAAGAACGAAAATTAATGCCCGAAAATATTCGAAAATATCTTGATAGAATACGATTATGGAATAAACGAAAATTGAGTGAAAAACAAAAACCACCTCTTCAAAAAGAACATAACAAACAAGTACAACCACAAACATTTCCACTTCCAGTGCCAATGATACGGCCTATGAACATGTATCCAACAATGCAAAGACCACCTTATCCTCCTAATCTGGTTTTTCCTCCAATGCCACCACCACTTCCACCACCTCCACCACCACCGTTGATGATGATGAGACCACCACATTCAATGATTCCACATCCTTCACAACCATTAATACCACCACCACCACCACCACCACCAATGATATTGAATCCAGGACAAATTGTCGGTGAACAACATATTGTCTATCCGTTGTTAAGAAAATCCGATCATCAACCACAATCATCATCATCATCATCATCATCATCAATGCCACAACAATCACAGCAATCAAATTGAAAATCATTAACAAAATTCAACGAGAATATAATCCAAGGTAATCGTATTTTGTTTCGCCATGTTTTATGTGAGAACAACAAAACTAAAAAAAAAACATTTTAACTAAAAAGAGAAAACATCCTTAATTCACAATTCAATCGATTGTAATTGTCATTTTTTTTTTTGAAATCAAATCATTCGTTTGATTCAAGTGAAAAAAAAACATTTCAAACATTTGAATCTGATTCAATTTCGAAAATCAAAATATTCATCAATCGATTAATAAATGATGTGAGAATTATAAATTGAATTTTCTCTATCAAAAACTAAAAAAAATCAAGTTTTAAAATAGAATTTTTGACTCAAAGATAGACAGAAAGAGAGAGAAAAAAATAAGATGTAAGATTAAATTTCGGTCAATCGATCAATCGACAAATCATTTATTATATCAAATATAAGGTCATAATGATGATGAGAGGTTACAACCTAACTTCATCGAAATATAACCAATAATGATGATAATGTATCAACTACCATCATTCAATACTTTTGTGACAATGGTCATTGTTATCACTATCCACAATGACATTATATTATTCTGGTCAAATTCTGATCATCATATCAACACCATCACCAATATACAAGCATTTCCATTGAAAAAATTATTAAAATTTCAATTAAAACAAATAAAAGAACAGAATAAAGCAAAAAAATTTGGTTTAAAAAAAGTGAAATATTTAAATGTTGAAGAACATCATCAACATATCTATTTGAATGATTATATTCTACCTAAACAACCACGGCCATCACAATATAAGCCAAAACTACCGGAAAAGAAAACAACGACGACGACCACGACACCTAAACCAACGACGCCAAAATATGTTCAACCAATAGCAGCTATACCGGTATATGTTCCACAGCAACTACATTATCCAACAGATTATTATGGCGATCACAAATCAACATATGAACATCCATATGGATCTATTTATTCAAATTATGATTATGATGATGACGATGATGATGATGATGATTATCATCATAATAATTGTAACATGAATGAATATGGTAAACATTATGATGATAATCATGGTGGTGTAAATCATGGTGGTAATGCTTATGATCAACATTATAAATTACATGACATGTATGATGGAATAGTACCACCATCATCGATTCGACGACAATATTCAACAAATCCATATGACAACCATATGACCAATATCAGATATCATCCATCAATACATCGTTGTTATCGTTTATCATTATCACCATTATGGCATTATTTTCATGGTAAAAAATGATGATTAAAATATAAAAAGAAATTCGACAAAAAAAAAGAAAGAAATTGTCAACTCTGTTGAAAAGCAATTGAATTAGATGATGATGAATATTTGATTGGTTGATTAAATAATTGAAAAGATAGAGAAAAAAACAAAAAAAAAATTTAATTAATTAATTATATTGTCTACCACTTTCAATCATCATCATCATCATTTTTTAATTGAATAAAATTATTGTTATCACTGTTTTTTTGTTTGTTTGTTTTGTGTGATAAACACTTCCGCATGTGTGTGCGTAAAAGAAATTTTGCTTGAAAAACATTGATATCGATCTTCATCTGAAAAATTCTATTCATTATTTCTGATCAAAACAAAAAAAAAAAAAACAAATTTGAAAGCAAGCTAGCCAGCCAGTCAGTTTCATTCATGTTTTTTTTTATTTTGTTCATTTCATTGTTGTTGTCAATGTTGTTTTTCGTATGGGAATTTTCTCTCTTTGTAATAGACAATTACATTCAAAAACAACAACAACAACAACAATGACAACAACAACAACAATGACAACAACAACAACAACAACACGACAAAAACAATATCGAAAATGATTTGCTCTGAAAATGATATAAGAATGCAAATAAAAAAACTAAAGAGGTAATACTGTATTATGCGTGTGTGTATAGATTGTTGACAATTAGTTATGGAAATGATAAATTGATGAAGAGAACAAAAACTCGTGTGATCTGTTAATAAAAACAAAAACACATCGATTGATTGGTCGGTCAATCGATGTGTGTGTGTGTGTTTGTATGTAGACCACATCACATCATCATCATTTATTATCATTGGGACCATTTACCACAGACAATTATAATTTTTTTTTTTAAACGAAATGAAATGAATGAAAAAAAAATTTCCCCTGAAATCAAATATTGACATTTTTTACTAACACTTGTTGTTGTTGTTGTTGTTTGAAATTTAAAGATTCGGTTGACAAATTTGGCACTTTTTTTCAGCACGCGTATATGTGTGTGTGTGCGTGTTTTACGTTATAGGAACAAAAAAAAGATGAACCAAAATGTGACATCTTTATATATTGATGTGTGTGTGTGGTGTGTCGATGGATCATTCGATTCGATTCGATTCAGGTCAATCAAACATTGGCTCTTCTTCTTAATTTTGACCACCGGACAATCCTTCTATCTCTATTCCGATTGTGGAAATGTTGATTTTGTTTTTTTTTTTTGGTCTGGATCGATTGGTCAATCACAAAATTCATTCCGGGTATATAAAAAGACGCATGATTACAACAAAAATTCAAAACCAGAAGTTTAGTTCAATGATTGTGATATTCTTCCATTATCATCAACATTCATCATCAATGGATTTTTGGGAAATGTAGATCATCTTGAATCAATCAATAATAAAATCAGTGATCAATCGTATACATCGATTACAAAAAAAAGTGTTTATTCAAAGTTACCATTATATTAGCCACCTTATATTAGCCATGACATCTATACGTCCATTATTCTTTCTATTCATCAACATTATCATCATCATATTATTATTGAGCCATATAATTCCACAATCAAATCATTTAGTTGATGCAAAATTGGCTAAATTGAAAGTGATGAAAAAATTATTGAAAGCAAAATTGATAATAAAACCATTGATTAAATCGGGTGTTATACGTGCACCAATGTTTCATTTTGTAATGCCAATGATGATGTCATCGGCATTAAAATCATGGAGTCAGGCTGCTACATCCGGTGTTATGGCTGCTAGTAGTAGTGGTGGTGGTGGTGGTGGTGGTGGTGGTGGTGCTGCTGCTGCTGGTATTTCCAGTAGTTTAAGTGAAATCGGAAGTTCTTTAGGCCTTGGTTCATCAGGCGGTAATAAATTTTTAACTAATTTACAAAAAATTCCATTCTTAAGAGGAAAAGGTAGTGCAAAAGCTTCAAGTGGTAATGGTGGCGGTGGTGGTAATGGTGGTGGCGGTGGCGGTGGTAGTGGGGAAGTCTCCCCACAATACATTGTTGATATGAATCAATTTTCCAAAAATATGGCCAACTTACCTGAAACGTATGGACGTTTTTTAAAAAATCTTATTGTACAAAATGAAGATGGAAATGTTGGTACTGGTGGTGGTGGTGGTGGTAATAGTGATGAAAACGGAAATGGCGGTATTATGTCTGCAAAATTGCAACAAATGTTTAATAATTGTCTTCAACAACAATTACAACAACAACAGCAACAACCACAACAACAACAAAAACAATCGCAGAACATATTCCGTAAATATATGGCCAAACAACAATCGAACAATCGTAAAAATCGATTATTGAATAATCAATGTGTGTATCCGGCAACGCCCACCGTACAGTACGTATTATTTGAATAGTTATTCTATTTACAATGAATCGAATGATTTGAATTTATTATTATTTTATTTAGATGTCGAACATCAAATGAATGTATACCATCATCATCAATGTCGAATTTAGTACCACATGAAACGGAAACAGAAATGGCTATTATTGATGCACCGGTTATTGTTGATAATGATGATAATGCTGCTGTTGCAACAGCAGCAGAATTGTTTAGTAATAATAATAATATTCCACAAAATCAATACATTGATTTTGTTGGTAATAATGGTGAAATATTAACGCAACAATTACCATCTCAATATGAAGAAATATCATCAGTTATGACCGGAGGTGGTAATGGTGTTGGATCATTGAATGAAATAGAAATTCTATCACCACCATTGTCTCAACAATCTCGATCATATCAATATTCAAATAAACAACAACACAGTGGTTATCATTATCCTCATCATCATCATCATCATCATCATCATAATCAACAAGAATCACCAATTATTCAACCGGAACGATATGAGGTATCTGATCGAATTACAACATCAAGAAATGAACAACATCATCATAGTAATAATTATTATGATGCTAATAATCAAAAACAAAGTCATCGAAAATTATTAGAATCACAACAAAAACAAAATATGAATTCAAATAATCATCATCATTACAGTAGTAGCAGTAATAATAATAGCTACAATGAAAATCATCATCAGCCATTAATATCTGGACAATTACAATCATCAAGGCTGTCATCGGAAAATCGTAATTATTGAAATAAATCAATCAATCAAAAAAAAAAAACAAACACCAATATTGAATCAATGATTATCACGGTATCATCAATTTGAATTTGTTTCAAATTCTTGTCATTCAAAAAAAAATAATCATCCATTTTCTTGCAAATAATAATCTCATAATCATCTTAATAATATGGTCATCATATGTATTGTCATCCTCTTTCATCATTGCTCATCTCATACATCATCATCTTTAAGTTCTTTAATTGTCTACTACTACTACTACATTGTCTCCAAATGTGTCATTAGTCATTATCATCATCATCATCATCATCATCATAAAATCGTCGTTCCAAAAAAAAAAATCCAAATTCAATTAATCTCTCTTTGTCTTTGCGTTTTTCATAATTATTATGTCATTTTAAATTGGTCAAATCCATTGAAATATGTATTATGTAAATTTTAACATTTCAATGTTTTTTTTCTACTTTTTTTTCGCAATTTTTTTTTTGAAAAAAATCATGTCATCATTATCACACCCATATATTTAAAATTTAAAAAAAATATGTGTCAAACTTACAATTAAATATTTATGATTACGATTAATAAATTGAACGCCAAAATCTTCATATATCAATGATGCTTGTTCCATTAAAAATTGATTTGTCGGCATTTTGGATGATTTTGATTGATCAATTTTTTGTTGATGGCCATGGTTGTTGTTGTTGTTGTTGTTGTTGTTGTTGATATTGATGATCGATGATGGAAATTCTTCCTTACGTACTGGTATTGGTTCCAATAATTGATAAATAATTGGTTGCCGATGTTTACCACGTTGTGCTTTACGATATGATGCATTGTATTTAAAATATTTTATACGTACTGAACGACCATCATTATTGGAAACATGATTAGAAATTGATGATGATCGAGGTCCATTACCAATGAAAAAACGTCTTAAACGATCTTGAAAACGATGTTTAAATTTTGTCTTGTTATTATTATTATTATTTTCATTATTCAAATTCATTGATGATGATGATGATGATCCACAATCAATTGCATCCAATATATTTGGTGTTGATCGTGATAATAATGATGCATTTTTTAGTTGCATCGGTGATAATCGATTGTCTCGTTCATCATCATCATCTGTATCATCAGTATCATTATTATTATTATTTTCAAATTGGCCACTATCATCATTGATTAATTGTCGTTGTTTTCGTTGTCGTGATGAATTAATTTTTTCATCAATTAATTGTTTCTGTTTTGGTGTTAAATGTATATCAATCTTTTTTATCGATGATGATGATGAATGATGATTATTCTGTAAAAATTCACGTGCATTTGAATTTAATTTCGATGAAATTCGTTTTTTTCCCATCAATTTTGATGATGATGTTTGCATTGAATTAACATCATCATCATTAATGGATGGTGATGAGACATTTGTTGCAGTTGTAATTATCATTCGATCGTTGTTGATACAAAGCTGTGGATTTTGTTGAAACGGTTGTTGTTGTTGTTGTTCCAAAGGATCTTCATTAATCACTGGCAATTTTTCAATTTCATTATCATCATCATCATCGCTATAATCATCATTTTTAAAAACATTCAACTTTTTAATAGTTTTGTTATCTATGGAAAAAAAGCAGAAAAAAAGAAAAACTTATTAGAATATTCATATGGATGATGAATGAATGAATAATTGTGTGTGTGTGTGTATCCGAATTTAGACAAAAATCATCATCAAACATAAACACACACAGAAAAATTCCCAATTTTGTCAACATGAAAAACTTTCAAGTAAAGTTTTCCCTTTTGAAAAAAAAATTTAATATAAATATAAACCAATGATATGTTTGTAGTCTTTTTTTTCGTCGTCTTGATTTCGTCTGATTCATGATTTCAACAACAACAACAACAAAAACGATGATTTCACATACACACACACACACACACATGTCATTGAACGGGATTGGCTTCATCATTATCCTAATGAAGCTCCCAATAAGTCTGTGTGTCTGTGTGTGTGTGTATGTCATGAATGTTGCATCCATTTAACCAATTTTTTTCTCTTTTTTTTCTTTTATTCAAAATTTCAATAAAAAATTTAATTTCTGCTGCTGCTGCTGCTGTTGTTGTTGTTGTGGTTTTGGCCTTATAATTTATTATTATTATTATCCCCTCTCCGTCCACACACTAAAACATTCAAATTTTGTTTGTTTGTTTTTTCTCAATTTTTTTCAACAACAACAACAAAAAAAATTTAATTTATCTATAATGGAATGATATTTGAATTTTTCGCTTGCTCATTGTCATGTTTGTGTGTGTGTGTGTGTGTTCGATGTAATGATTAACTTACCATCATCATCAATATCGAATACATTTAAATCAAGTGAATCAATACATATATCCACACCATCATCGTCATCATCATATGAACTATCATCATCGATATAGGTAATTCTAGCCAAATTATTTGCCGTATTGATTTTCATCGATGATGATGATGATGATGAATCAAACATTATTGTTGAATATGGACGTTGTTTTTGTTGTTGTTGTTGTCGTCGAATTCCATCATTAAATCGTTTTTGAACACGTTGTTGTTGTTGTTGTTGTTGTTGCTGTATGTTGGCCTCATTATTTCGAGGTTGTTGTTGTTGTTGTTGTTGTTGAAAAATGATTTTTGTATCCTTATTTTTCATGATGATATTATTATGGTTGATTGTCATTGATGATGATTGTGATATTAACATTGGTTGTTGTTGTTGCTGTTATTGTTCTTGATGGTGGTTGTTTTTGTTGTTGACAATTTATTCACCGTATTTTGCATTATCATTGTCACAAAAACACAATATCATATATATATATCAGGTGTGTGCGTGTAGAATATCCAATTTACACGCTATTTTTTTATGTGAGAGGGCGTTTGTTTGGTTTTTAACGAATTCCGAAATATAAAAAAAAAAACACTTTAATTCAAAAACTTTTTTTTCTCTTTAAAATAACATCCAAAAAAAACGACAATTTTTAAAGTCGAAATCCTGTTGTTGGTTACTCTCGATGATTGTTATTGTCGATGATGATGATGATGATGATGATGATGTTGATTATTACGGAATGTCACCACATTGATTATCATATCAATATAATGATGATGGTGATTACCGTTGGCCATATATAGATACAATAGATATGTACAATAATCAATGATAATGATAATATTTTTGTTGTTGTTGTTGGATCAATGGATGAATGAATGGATGGATGGATGGATGATATATTTCATTATTTAATTTACAATGACAAAATTGATTAAATTTTCCCTATGGTAACCCCAATAAAACAATAACAACAAAGATTTTATCATTTGAAAAAAAAACAAAATAAAATAGCCAACAGGGCAATATATTGCCAATAAATAATTGTCGTTGTTGTTTCATGGTCCTCGATTTTTTTTCTGTTTGTTTGTTTGTTTGTTACTGGTTGTAAATAATCAATCAATACTATATGATGGACACGATACCTACAACGTTGACGATGCAAACACACACACACACACACACATATATATTGTGTATAAACATCGATCATTTGGATGGATTTTTATTAGTCTCTGTGTGTGTGTGTGTGCGGGTGGTTTTTTGGATCGATGTTTCGTTGGTTTTGGTTGCCTAGTTACCGATGATTTGCGAGAGAGAGAGAGAGAGAGAGAGAGAGAGAGAGAGAAAGAAAAAAATGAGTTAGACTATGAGAGAGATAAAAAGATCGATATCGTATGATTTAAATTTACATTTAGATCATGGATCAATCCATTTTTTTTTCTTGTCGAGATTTTTTTTTTTTTTTTTTTTGGGGGGTTTCATAAACTCAAGTGTTTGAGATTATTGCACATTCGATTTCAAATTTTTCTCTTATTTGGCAATTTATTAAGTGTTTTTTGTTTTCTTTTGGTAGGGTTTTCAAAATTTCTTTTCCATATTCAATATAGGATAATGATAAAGAAAAGAAAAAAATACAACTGGATTTGATAATTTCAAACGATTTCATAAAGCAAGGAAAAATGTAGATTTTTTTTTTTTTTTTTTTTTATGTAGAACAGTAGGCTGACAAAACAAAAAATGCTATAGATAAGAAAACAAGATTGGCTCCATAGTGTAACCATCCATCCATATGATGATGATGATGATAATGGTAATGGTAATTACATTCGACAATTATGCTATGTAATGATTGGGCGTGTGATACAGGTAGGTGTGTGTGTGTTTGTGTAACCACACAAATACATGCAAAACAATAAATGAGCATATCTTTTTCCGGGAATATAAATTGTGATTTATGGTTGACATTATTTATTATTATTTATTATGATGATGATGTTTAAAAATTTCTTTTCATTATTAATCATAATAAATTGATCGTTCCAAAGTAATTTTTATGGGTGGCAAATTTCTAACAGATAATTGCCAACATCCTTTCGATGGATCATAATGACAATGAGCAAGAAAATCCTGTACAGTATGTTGACATTCAAGAAAAATAATCATTTTTTCTGGCCGTGTACGTATTATTGTGAATAATGGATTATTGAATAATAACATCATATCGGAGCTTAAAAATCCGGCCAATATCATCGGTTCAATTGTTTCGAATATTAATTGATATATAATGTGTTTTTTACGTTGATCATTATTACCATCACCATCATGAACATTTTGATGATGAGGATTATGAGCTATTGGTTCTTGTTGAATGGTAGGCTGCCGTTGTGATTCAATATTTGGCGATAAACTTTTATAACCTTGATCTTGATCATCATTGCCACCACTAATTGCTACTCTAGCCATTGGAATTGATATTGTTGTTGCCGTGGATGATGGCCGATCGATTATTCGATTGATTTGTGACCAACGACCAGAATCATTGAAAAGCCATTCACCAAAACGATTACGTAACTGATTCGAGGTCATCTGTCGAATCGACGATAAATTTCCATCATCTTTATTATCGGTTATTTTCAATAAATTGTTCATTAATGAACATAATGATTCAAAACGATTTTCCAAACGATCCAAACGATTGGCCAATTCACGTTTGCTAGTCATCATTGTTTTTATTCGTATTTATTCGAGGAAAATACACTGTGTGTGGATAATAATGATGAAAAACTTTTATATTCAATTTGAACATTAAAAATCAGATGTCATATAATAAAGTTTTACAAATTCACAAATGACATGACGTTAAAAAAATATCATTTTATTTATTTTTCATTAATTACGAGGTATAAAAATTTGACAACATTGATGATTATATATGGCGACAACGACAACATCAATGATACAAGAGAAATATTATGAAAATATAAGGAAAAAAAAGATAATAATCATCAAAGTGATAATGAAACTAATTATGATTGTTTCTCATCAACTTTTTTCAAAGTTTTTTTCGTCGATTTTTTTGCTTTTGATGCCGTTTTCTTTTTGGCAGCCACTGATTTAGCCTTCTTTTTTGTCTTCAATTCGTTTGCTTTTTTCATCAATCTTTTTTTAATGATTTTTGCTGCAACTCTTCGTTGACGTTTTGTATGTAATTCGGCACGTTCTTCGGACAAGTTGGCTACTTCCATCTTTTTCGATAGACGTTCCAATTGACGAAATTTTTCCTCATTTTCAGGTTTAGCCAATTCATGTTTCCATTGTTCTAATTCTTCAAAATAACGTTTACGATCAGCTTCAGCTTGTTCCTCAAAAGGCTTTCGTTCTTCCGAAGTTAATTGATGCCAATGTTGTGACCATTGTTTAACTTTTTGAAGATGTTCAGGTGATTTAACCGGTGGATATTTACCATCCGGATATTCTTGTTTAAAATGATCACGAATATAGAATATGTATGATGAAACAGAACGTTTTGGATAGTTTAATTCACGAAGTTTACTCTTGATACGTTGACGATTTTTTGTTTTAATTTGATCCTGTAAATAATCAAAAAAAAAAAAATAAAGAAATTATCGAATAAATTCAAATATAATTATACCTTTTTCATTTTTTTAAATTGTGCCATTTCTTCTTCATTCAATGTACCAAGATATTCATTCATAGCCGATTTATATTTAACAAATTCTTCTGTAGACATTTTCTGATAATGTTCTTTTTGTTCGGCTGTCATTTGTCGCCATTCTTGTCCAGCACGTGAAAATCGTTCTCTAACTGGCATGTCCGATGGAAATCGTTTAAAACAATCACGAACAAACAATGCAAATACATTTGATGATCGTTTTGGTGGCGGTGGAATTGTTGTTGGTGGTTGTCGTTGTGATTCTGTTGTAGTTGGAAAAAATAATGACGAACTAATCGAAAATGATCGATTATTCGATGATGATGATGATGAAGATGACGACGACAACGAAAGATTGGAGAATCTCCAGAATAAATCTAAATGTTTCGATTTAAACATGATTTGCGAGAAAAAATTCAATTTTACCAAAATGAAATTCTACTCCAGAAAAAAAAATATTGCGTGTTCAGCAATGTCAACAAAACAAAGAAAAAACAGTAACGGCTCTTGTACAAATAATGACTACTGGTCTTCGGTAGATGGCCGTACATGCAAAAAAAAAATATGAACACATGTTTATTTTCGTCGAAAGGTGATCACAAATTCGAATCTAGCATTTTCAACGATGGGACGTAAAATTTATATCGGTAGACCAAGCGAACATTTGGGTCGTACAGCATTTCAAATATTGGCTAATTTGAAAAATTTTGGCATTGGTCGTATGCTAACACGTCATGAATTTGATAAATTTCCCGAACCATCATTTCATATTGTCAAACGTGTACAAACGTATATGGATCCTGAATTGAAATTCGGTACTCTTTGGTGTGAAACCGTTATTCGTGGTAAACGTTTGCCAGGTATCCGCCCGCTTACCATCACATATCGGCCAGATTTTCGTTTGATACCGAAAGATGAAGAGAAAGAATTTATCGGTGATTATCCCATAACAAATTTGGGTGATAATAAAAATATATTGCCACGTTATTATCAGCTACCACCATTGATGCGTGAATGGATGAATCGAATCGAATGTTTAGTCAACATGAAAATCAAAGCCTATATCATGCCGATCTCGGATTGCTACAAAACCAACAATCGTGATCATGGTCAATTAGAAAAGTGCTGGAATTGCCCATGTATACGAAAGACAAAGTGAACCATCATGAAAATCAAAGCCTAAAAGAATTTCTCATACCATTTGTATATCAGGATAAAAAAGATTTACGACGACCAGATGCCGATCTATTCTGGATTGCTAACCGTTTGGCCGAAGATGGTGAAAAACCAACAATCGATTTTGATGGTCAATATCATTTTAATCAAGAATATTTAGAAAATTGTAAAAAATGAATTTTTTTCAGATAAGAATTGTAAATATAAAAAAAAGAAATGTTAGAAAAAAAATTATAAAATAGAAATCAATTAGAAAAGTGCTGGAATTGCCCATGTATACGAAAGACAAAGTGAACCATCCAAATGGTATGATGGCCAATCGACACGAACACATTCGCCACGTTTTTCTTCCATCTTGTTCGGTGTAAAACAAACGACAGTATTAAGACCAAATGAAAATTTCATCACAAAACAGCCAAATGGAAATTTCTTGGTCATTTCATTACAAACAAGAACATTCTGTCGTAATGGTAATTTAATTGTTGTACATGAATCCGGATTATCGATTTCATTTGATTCTGGTTTCGATTCCTTTGATGATGATGGTGGACGAGAGGCTGCTGCCTTCGATAATCGAGAACTACTCGGTCGTGATTCAACGATCATCATCGACAATGCAAAAATAATAGCCAAAATGATGGTAGATTTCATTTTCGTTCGAAGAATAAATGATTTCGAATGTTCACGGAATTCGTCGTTAGTATGTGATCGTAATACAATATCGTTAGAACTCGTTATGCCATTCCAATTGGAATTCATCGACTTTTTATATGGTCAGAATATGACCATCGATCATATCAGGATCACATTATCAATTCCATGATAATTTCAGCCTTTAACCTTTATGCATGCGATAAAAGGATAAATGTACAACAGTGCGCATTTCAATTCGAATACATACATGCATACAAAAGCCAAAGTTATGTTAGAATAATTTTATTAAAGTGGCATATAATGTGGTAGTGGCGTAAGATTAACCACACCTATACGCATGGTTACATGCTACTACTATGTAACTACAAGTGCAGCCAACCTAACCGACAGAAAAAACCCGTTGCTTTGTTTGTGTATGTTGAGGTTGTATTTGTGTCGATTCGATATGATGACTAATCTGCTTAACCTAACATCAATTTGGTGATTAAATTATTTCATCATCGATGACGATACCACGCCACCACATCGGATTGTTTGTTTCATCATAAATTTGAAATAATTAGAATATTTATCCGAAAAAATATCGATCAATAATGATGAAATCAAATGCTGATAAAGAATTTGTTGATTTTTTCGATTCAATTGGTCTTGAATCATGGATCGAACCTTTGAAAAGTAATTATTGATTTGAAATGTCAATTATGAGATAAAAAGATATTTTTTTTGCATAGATGCTGGCGTTTCATCGTTGAAATTTTTATATGTCAATTTCCTAGATATAATCAATGATGTTGATTATGGTGATATGGCGATTAATTCCTTACGACAAAATCGTCTTCATGTCAAGGTTTGTTCGATCGATTGAATTAAACTAATATTATTCATCATTTAAAGTATTGTATATTTGTAGATCATATTGAAACGATTAAAAGATAAATTTGAATCAAACGTTAATACATCAATTGTAGATACACCAGTTGAAAGTTCAAACAAACAATTCTCACCACAGCCGTCATCATCGAAAAAAATTAAAATTTCTAGTCAAAATGGATGGTCGACAGCTAGAAATAGACAAAAATTCGAATCTAAACTCACACAAGCAACAGTAATGCAAGCATCGATTCTGAATGCAAATATAGAAGGAATTTATTGCGAAGAAAAACTCACACCAAAACCCGATGGAAGTCACGAAGTATTTATCAAGATTTTTGCACCAAAACCAGAAAATCCGAAAAAAGAACGATTTCTTGATGATTGGAATCAATATGGTCAGATTCGTTTTTCGATACAGCTACATATCAACCAATTTTACCTCAAGTTATACATGATTTCATGGATAAAGTAAATGCAAATATCGTACCAATATCACAAAAAGAATTTGATCACATGAAAGAGACACTTAGTTTGGCTTTATTTCAGGATCTTCAGCATTATTTTATATGGCGTTTACCACCACGATTTTTATATACTGTTTGTGATCGATTAATACAAATGTATCCAATGTGGGATGATGGATCACCAACTAAAACGGTATGTATTATTTTATTACAACAAATAATCAATCGATATTAATGGACACGAAACTTTTGATTCCAAAACTAAAACAATAGGAAACGATAAAAAAACGATTATTGGATAAATATATGCATTTTCGTCGTTTTAAAATACCACCTGATTGGGTTGAACATAAATATATTATGTTGAAAAATGGTATGAAAATTTTATTAATTGAATGTGATGATGGTGATATGTTTAATGATTTTCATTTTAAAAAATTAAATTTAAAAGATGTAGATAATTGTGTCTTACCAAATGGTGGTAAAAAACGTGGCCGTATTATACAACCAAAGCCACCAATAGTAACAACAGAAGAAAATGATACCACTGTTGTTATTGGACAAGATAATAACAATAATAATACAAGTGTTGATGTATTAAACAGATCATCCATATCGAATATAATCGATTCTTCTCAAAATGCTAGTATTGGTGGTGGCGATGTTAATGTTGGAGATGATGATGGTGGTGGTAGTGGTGATATAATAATTCAAATAAACGATCTACAATCGATACCATCGAATGTCATAATAAAGACGGAATAATTTTTAAAAATTATTTTTTATTTTTTCTCAATAATAAATAAATAAATATCACATTTTGGTACTTTGTTTACGTCAATATTATAGTTTTATATGTACAGAGAAAATTAATGATGATAAATTGACACCGGAATCGAATGTTTGTATATGTTATTCCATACATTCATGTTCATCATAATCGATTAAATAGGTTTCAAGTTTTCCTTTTCCTTTAACCTCTTGTATTCCTCTTGAATATGGTCGAAATATTTGATGATCTTGAAGTACTTTGGCAACATAATCCGGTATTTGGATTTTATCCACAACACCATATGTATCCATACGGCTAGCAACATTTACTGTATCACCCCATATATCATATTGTGGTTTAACAGCGCCAACAACACCGGCAATCACTGGTCCCATGGAAATACCAACACGTAATTTAAAATGTTGATCAGCCGTTAAACATTGATTAACTGTTTGTTCATCACGTGGTATTGAATTCAAACGATTCAAAACACGTATCATTGACATTGCAAAACGTATCATTAATACTAGATTCGTCACTTCTTGTTTCGTTGTAATCGAACTCTGTGTCCACAATAAAAACAACATTAAAATGGACATTCTATCGGAAATCAAATTCTAACGGAATTTCACAATACACTTACATCGATTGATGCACGGCCAGGTTGAAGACCAGAAGCAGCCATATATGTCGATCCGATTGTTTTAATTTTCTCAATACGACGTTTAAATTGTGGTAATATTAGTAGCTAAATTTAGAAATTGCAAAAAAAATCACGAGTTAATATGATGATGATAACAGTACAGAACAGAATCAAATCAAACAAACCTTGTCAAATTCACAGATAATATCATTAAGAATATATAAATATTGTAGACCATCGTCATTATCTTTGGTTTCGGTATAGAAACGAAAAAAATTCGGTATCGCCGCAAACATTACAGCACATGAATCATATGGTTCATAATATAATGAATTTGCTTGTTCAGGATTGGTTAGAAATTTTTGTGCCACATGAATAGGAAGAATATTTTTCAATAATAATTGATTCACTTCACGCATTAGACGTGCTTCACGACGTTCACGTTTTAATTTATGTGCCCATAGAAAATCTAATCGTGAAATATATTCAATTTGTCGATCAAGTACATGAAACATTAAATATACAATGAATAGATAATGTAAATGTGACATTGTTGGTGTTAATAGATCACCAAGAAATTGTTGCTGCTGCTGTTGTTGATGATTTTGTTCATATATTAATTGTCCAGGTTCACGTGGTAATTGATAAAAACGATCGATACGTAAAAATATTGAACATGGATGTAGATAGCTAACAAATGATATTGATGCTAATGCAACCGTACTCAAGATGAATTTAAACCATAGATTTACACGTATAAATAATGAAATCGATGACATGGCCAATATTGATGAATATGTATAGTAACGAGACTGATGATTTTTTTTTGTTTTGTTTTGTTTCATCGATAAAAAAAACGCGAAAATTCAAATTAATTAATTGATCAATTGACAACAATGAAAAAAAAAACGAAATACCAAACATACCCATTTATAAAGACATTCTTTACCAATAGTAGTCATTGTACGATTATCTCGATTGTGTTCAAGAATTTTCATTTCTTGCATTTGTGCCATTGAACAATGTGACATATCCATTATTGTGCTTACAATCAATAATGATGGTATCAATAACCAGATAACCATACGAAATTCAATACCAATCATTGTATTATGTGATTTATTTTGTCTTTGTCTTTGTCGTTGTCGTTGTCGTTGTCGTTGTTGATCATGATTATGTTTATTTGTCAATGTATAGATCAATGCTATAATAGCAACAATAATGGCTATATAACAAAACCAATTACCCGATTCGGACCAGAAAAATTTTTTCCATTCATCATTTGAATAATAATTATAATCATAAAGTGTTAAAAAACGTATCAAAATAATCATTATTGTAATGATTAATGATGCAATTAGATAATATGGAAATAGATGATCATCTTGTTGTAGATATTTTAATTCACGTTTGAGATCGATTCTATGTATACGTTTTAAATGATTCCATATCGATTTCGATGATGATGATGATGATTTATTATGGCTACCACCACAACATGGTATATTATCGGCATCATATACAGAATTTGTATGAATCGATGCTGTCGTCGATGATGATGATGATTGTCTTCGATAATCATTTCGATTTTGTTGTTGTTGCTGTTGTTGTGATTGTGAATGAATAAAATATAAAAATATTGGATTAATTTCCAATGATGAATTTTTAATATTATATTGTCTTTTGAGATTGAATGACATTTTATCAATTGTCTGTGATAATGAATCATTTGAACAACGAATCATTTCACCATAATTTCGTAATCTAAATTGTTCAAATGAGAGAGAAAAAAAACGTGGATTTTTTTTTAATTAAAATGCAAAGAAAAAAATTTTAATTAAGACTTACGAGTTGATCACTTCAGACATTGGTCTTCGTCGTGATGAATCTTGTCTTGACCAATTCTAACAAGAGAAATATTACAAATATAATGAAAGAGAAATGAAATGAAATGAAAAAAAAATAATAACAAACGAATAAAACACATACTCTAGATCGATATGATTGTTGATGATAATGATTTGTGTTGTTTGTTGAGGTAAAAACATCCTCGTCATTGTTCGTAATGATCGATACTTGTCGATTTAAACGAGGCATACAACCATTTTGATTATGTTCATGATTATGATTATGATGAGGTAATTGAGGATCTATTGATGATGAGGAATTTGTGCAATCTGATTGCTCTTTGGTTATTAAATGATTATGATTATTATTATTTGTGGACAACAATTCTGTCTGTGTAACAACATTATTATTATTATTATTATTATTATAATGTGTTTTGGCTGTAATACGTTGAATTAGATACGTTGTTTCATTTTTCAACACATGATTTTCAATTATTGATAAATTATTCAATATATTGACAGATATTTGTTGTAAACTAGCTGCCGTTATATGTACATAACCTGGCCGGCCTTCTTGTTCCATTTGTGATGCTTTCATTGTATCGATTGACCAAATATCAAATTGCCATTTTTTTAATCCTAATAAACCAGATAAAATCATACCGGTATGTATACCGATACGCATATCGACATTAATTCCTGTTTCATGACGATATTCCCTAAATATATATTATAGATGTGTAAAAAGTTAAGAATGTGTGAAATTTAAAATTCATAATTAATATATAAAACACATACTTGATAATATCGAGCATATCTAAACCCATTCGTAAACAATTGGCTGCATGAAGTTTATCTTCATCATCTGGTATGCCACTAATACAATAATAACAATCACCCAATAATTTTATTCGTAAACAATCATGATTCTTTTGTGATGTGTGATGTGTTTTGTTTGTATATGGGGAAAAAAAATAAACGATTGTCATTATCAAAAAACAAAAACAAACAAAACAAACAAACAAAAAACAAACATACCTCAGCACGAGAATCAAATCGACAGAATAAATTATTCAATGCTTCAACTAATGCTTTAGGCGATTGTAATGTTTGTGTCAATGCCATTGAATTGACAATATCGGCATAAAGAATGGTCACGTTTGAATATTTATCGATATACATTTCACTAAATGGTCGTCCAATAGAACCATTTGAACCACTTTTATGATGATGATGATGATGATGATGCTCTTCAATAATTGATGTTGACGAATGTTTTTGATTATTGACATTTTTAAAATTTTGTTCATCATTATTATTACCATCAACATTGATTATTGCATTATTATTTTGATTATTCAAGATTGTTGTTGTTGCCGTTGCTGCCGCTGTTGCTGATGATGATGATGATGATGATATTGATCGATATGGTAACAATCTTTGTGGATAATCATCATAATCATCACTATTATTATTATTATTATTGCCAATTATTGAACGATTCCAATTGCCAGTGAATCGTGATCGTATATCATCACGAACTTTTTTCATCAAATGTCTTGGTAAACAGGATGCTAATAAACGTTCTTGTTCATCACGTTCAAATGTTAATTTATATTTAGATTCAACACATTTACGATGATCAAGAAAGGCACGACGATTAACAATTTCAAGCAAATATGTCACATAGAATGCAACTAAACCGGCTAATAAATAGAACAACATATCTGATAGTAGATAAAATCCACGATGACGAATAGCCTGGCTCCATTGATGAAAATATTGCCATGAAGTATTTGTGGCTGTTATCGATAATGGTGTAAGTGGATCCGATGTCAATGATAAGGAGTTCATCAAAATGGCCGATGATGATGATGATGATGTTGTTGGCGGCAATTCGGATGGTAATAGAAACATTTGATTCAATGTATGATTGACAACTGTTGCAATTATTGCTTCAGATGATGATGATGATGATGGTGATGATATTGTTGAATTTATACCAGTAGCAGATGTATATCGTATTGGCCACCAAGATAATGTTATTATAATCTCCAATATTACAACCAATGTTGAACAAGTGATTGAATAAATTCTTCGTGGAAATGGTAAAAGAATTTCATTGCAAAATATTAGAAAAAATATTGGTCTTGCACGTTTCCAACTGGATATTAAACGTATATTATTATCATCATCATCATTATTATTGTTGATTATTGTCGATTTTGATGGTGATAGATAATACAATAAAAATGTACCATATTCAGCTAAAAACATTGTTATAAATATAATAAATGCAACCAATGATTGTATAATTGTTGAATTGTTTAACCATCTTTCATCATTATATGTAGTGGCCAATAAAAAACAAATATAGATAATCAATGTTGATATACGAACAATTGCTTGAAATGGATACGAATCATCTTGCTGATGATTTTCGAATGTTCAATTTCGATTAATCGATTGTTTTGTTTAATTTTTTTTCACATTTATCACGAATCGTCATGTATGTGTGTAGTATGAAAATCAAAATAAATAAATCATGTTGAAATCGTCATCATAAAAAAAGGAGAGAGAGAAAGTGAAAAAAAAACAAAATAGACCATTAATTCAAAAATGATTTTATCATCGATAAAAAAAATTTTTTTTTTCATTGATGACAGGAAATATTTTAGGACAGGATTTTTTTTTTTTTTGCCAATTATCAATCTTGGGCTATTCGTTTATTAACCAGTAAAAAAACGTGCACTTGATTTCACACAGAAATAAAAAAAAAATCAAATTTCAAACCGACAAATATTGTGATTTGTGATCATCATCGATAGATTGTGATAGATATGATGAACAACGACAATGACAATGATTATATTCTCCTCGGGTTATGCAATCAAACACACACACACACACACACAAAATATCGATTTTGTTGTTGTTGTTGTTGTTGCTGCTGTTATATGTGACAATTGCGTAATATTCAGCATACACACATATATAAAAATTATAGTTGAAAAACACACACACACACAAAGAGAGCAAAAGTAAATAATAAAAAAAAACTTTAAGATTTTAAATCGAAAGAGTTGAAGGTCGAACAACAACAACAACAACAGCAACAAGAACAACGAAAAAAAGAACAAACAAACAAACAAACATTGACAATCCTTCGGTATGTTTACTCTCACTCACACATATATACACTATTAATACGATTATTTGGAAATATCAATGAATTCTGATCGGAAGGATTCACACACACACGCACACACAGTGCAAAAAAGAGGGGGAAAAATGGATACATTCCTTGAAATCTATCCGATAAATAAACTTTATGAAAAAAAATAAATAAATAAATAAACATTCACATTTAAAAAGTCAATAACTTGACTTTGTTCATCATTCATCATTCATGGATTGAAAATTTGAACAAAAATCCAAAAATTCATTCACATTTTAAATGGCGTTGGGAGGATTTTTCCGTTCATTCATTCGTTTGTTTATGTATATAATAAGGATAAAGATATAAATAGGTAGTGAGAGGGGGGAAGAGAAAAAAAAACTCTCCCTCTATTTTTATCTTTCATTTGAAATGATTAAAAAAAAACTTTTTTTTTCTGAATGAATGAATGAATGGAACATTTTCAAAAATTGGATTGGAAACATACGCTCACAGACACAGACACACACACATAAAAAAAATCTCATTTTTTTTGCATCGTTTTTGCAAGGATAACAAGTGATCCAATGATTTTCACCATTGAAACAACTCCATCTCTCTCTCTCTCTCTCTTACTCATTCAATCGGATATTTAGTACATTAAAGAATTTTTCAATGATAAATTTAATTTCATCTCATTGTGTCTGTGTCTGTGTTTTTGTGTGTTTTCCTGAGAATTTTTATGAATTTTAATGATGATGATGGTGATTTATATGTAAAAACAAATGAAAAAAAAAACTTTTGACGATTCTTTGTAATGAAATTTGAAAAAAAAAATTCATAGAATATTTATTTTTGTCGTTCATTCATAAAAAAAATTAGCCATGACACCCACCTTTTATCAGGAATCTATTATTTCGTATAAATTGTTGCATGAATGAAACAATCACACACTGTCACAAACACACACACAAATGATATTTGCACAGAAAAAAAAAATTTTTTCATAGAAATTTCAATTGAATCTGCAACAAAAAAAAATGAAACAAAAGAACACAAGATTTACACATCACAAGTTTTTTTTAAAAATGTTACTGTAACATTTAAAAAAAAAATATAAAAATTGGAATTGTATAAAATGGAAAAAAAGTTTCAGATTTTTTTTCAGTCGTTAATAGCTGCTGTTGTTGTTATTTTTGGTTCCATAGAACCGTCGTTATTGTTGTCATCATCATTATGGTGATGAAGTTTTATTTTTAAAAAAAAAAAAACAGAAACGAAATAGAACAATTGTGAATATTTATTTCTTGGTAGTAGTTGAATAATGTAATCATCATCGGGACAAACGTACCAGCAATAAAAAAAAAATTGGTGATGAAATTTAAAATGGAAAAAAATTTTTTTTTTTTGGATCAACTTGAATGTGAAACAACAACAACAAAAATAAACGAAAAAAATTTTAAAGGAATGATATCGGTGCGTATCATGTGAATTCAAAGGTTTTTTTTCGTTCGTTCGTTCAATGAATTGAATTCTCATCATTCATTCAACAGTAATTAACATAAAAAACACGAGAAACAATTTGTCGAACATTTTGTAAACTATTTAATTATTTGAACAAACGCGAACCGATGTTATGCACACACACACACACACACACACACACATACAGCAAGTGAGTGATGAGTTTTAAAAACAAAAAAAAACTCTAAAATCTTTCTGTTTCTCTTTTTTTTAATGAGTTTTTTTTTACAAGTATAAAAATATTCAATTTTTCTCCAAGTGTGTGTGCAGTGTGTAGATTGATTTGTAATTATTCACAGAATGGCAAAAAAAAATGTGAAAAAAAATAAAAATAATTTATCCATGTTTGTGTGTGTGTGTGTCTCTCATTTTGTATTTTGTATTTTATTTTTTCAAATTTCCAAAAACTCTTTTGATGACTTTCCATGTTCTGTCGATTATATCCATTATTCTCTTTTTTTTCACATTTTTTTCTCTCTCTCTCTCTCTCTCTCTCTCTCAATCTATCCATCTCGGTGTGTGTGTGTGTTTTTTTTTTCGAAAATGTTCATTTTGTTCAAGGCTTTACAATTATTACATAATGAAATCTTTTTTTTTTCAATAACATTATTCACATAGCTTTTGAGCTCAATGATATGATGACAGTAGTCTAGCTGTATATATACATATCATCAACACACACACACATACACCATATATATATGAATTTGAAACAATCATTGGTTTTACCCAGTTATCATTTTTTTTTTTTGTTTTTGTTACTTATCCTTATACCAACAACCTTCATTAATGGATAAATGAATTAATGAATGAATAAATGGGGGGAAGGGAAAAAAGGGTTAACGTCAAGGTTAAATTTAAATAACATCATCATCATTATCATTGTATTTTTTAACGTTATACAGAAAAAAATAATATTTGTAAACGTGTAACCAACCAATCTACGAAATTGAATCCAATCTAATCGATTAAATCATTGTTAACAACAAATGAATTGGCCCTCGAACACAATAATCGATTGAATATTGTCGGTATTTTGATCGGTCAATGTCCATGTCCATGTGTGTATGAAATTTCTTATATTCATTCAACATAATCGGACAATCACATTTTTGTGTGAATTGTGTTTGGCCACAATGACCATTATTATTCGGACATTTTGGCATTTTAAAGTGTTCACAACATTGAATTTACCGGTTTGTATGATTATCATCATCAAAAATATTATTCAAATGAAAAGAGAAATTCTACAAATTTCCTTTCATTTTTTTCTTCGCTTACACTTTCAATCTTGAATGGCAAGATAAAAATCTTTTTCATTTACATGATATCATTTGATATCAATCTAGAGAAAAAAAAAGAAATTATCATAATTACCACAATCAAATGCAACATGATGTTGAAAAACAACAAACAAACAAAAAAACAAAGAAGGAAAAAAGAAATTTACAATTTTCCTGGAATAATTAATTCCAGATTTTCATGATGATTATCATGAATAATGGATAGGTTTTTCATATTTTGTTTTCAAGTTTAAATCATCAAATTGGAATTATCATTGAAATTTTGTAATCAGAAAAAAAAACAAAACAAGGACAAGGACCCTCTGTGACAA